TGTTCCTTGAGCGGAGATGAAGCTGCGGGTAATGAGCTGACGGACACAGCATGGCTCGGTGCTGATTTCGGACCAGCTCTGACTGAAGCTAATCGTTTAAGCAGAGGACCAGATGGGAGTAGAACCAGTCGATCGTGAGATGGTACGGTGAAAAATCCATAGCTAGTTGCAAAATATGAGATTTAAGAGGATGTACTCCTCTGATCCAATCTCACCGATCTAAGCTGGACAGCACATTGAGTTCTTCAGCTTCTAGGTCTCGTGATTTCTCTGAGGGACCAGCCAGGGCAGCCTCCGCGCGTAGTTCGCTTCCTCTACTGGCACGAATTCGTGCGCGTGTGCGTTCCACGCCCTCCTCGTGGCCATCGCCTCTGACACCAATCACGTCGAGGTGTGCATACGTACTCCGCACGTGGAACGCGTCCAGGTCTTCACCTTCTGAGGGCACCAGCGACGTTTTGCTAGAAGGACTGCTTAGTTTCGATGGCTGTTTAGTGGTGGGAGAAGAAGATGGCGTTTGAGAGGATGGTGGGATTAAAGAAGACGTTGGCTGTGGGGGGGTGAGAACCAAAGTAGGTTCAGGGACATGGCGTTCTCTACTTCTCGACCGTAATGGTGGGCGATTATGGGGAGGCGTAAGATGTGATACAGGAGGTGAAACGGCGTCTAGATCAATTGAGGAACTACATGAAGTGAGAGCACTTTGGGAACGAGTTGGGATGGGAGGAACGCGCTTGGAACGTGTAGGAAGTTCCAGAGTGTCTCTTCCATGAGAATTGGCACGATTCAAAAGTGGGGGTGGATAGGATAAGTTGGCAGAGCCATTCGAGGTCGCCGATAGCCGTGTCCGATCATGAGGATTCGACAATGTGCCAAAGGGCTTCATGTCTGAAGACAGGTCGATAAAACTGGTGTCTGTATTGGAAACATAGGAAGTTCTCTGATTAAAAAAGTTACTGTAACGGAAGCTGTCCCCCAAGGACAAGTCAAGTTCTTTGGAAGGATCCTCGAAGGTTGAAGAGGCAGTCCAGCTGGTTTGCTCTTCGTCGTCGCCGTACATGGAGTATATGGTAAATATGGCAGATTCTGTTGAACTGCGTTCCCTGTTTGTCGATGATGAAGAATAAAGCTCTGGAACGGAGGACGCTGTCGACGATGGTGATGACCTCGGATAACGACTTGGTGATTGTTTTGGTAGCGCAAGAGTGGTCGACGACGACGGAGTCTCCATAAAATAGAGAAGTTAGGCGAAAAAAGAACTTGAAGAAGAAAAGGGAATCGAATTGAAGGAACGTCGGAGGAAGAAGCTTGGGAAAAGTGTTAATACGCCCTTTGAGAACTTTGGATGAGAGATTTCAATGAACGCCGATTCAGGCAAGTCACTAGTAACGGTCAGTCTGCAACAGCCACACCGCAGCACTGGCTGCCAGCTGGCATGGCAATTCACTCATTCTCGTAAGTAGTCCATGTCGCTTGCACATAGCAATTCCAGACCGTTTCATACAAGATCCTGGCCAAGACAAGCCCGGTTTCATGATATGATCAACGTCACACTAACTTTAGGATGCCGCGGCATACTAAACTTGTATCCACAGAGTGAGAAGTACCCTAGTGTTCGTGGGCAATATCATCCTACAGCCATTCAGGTGGTCTCAAATTGACAGACCTTCCCACCCATAACTTACCCTCGAGCGCGTGGCTGATAGGGTTGTAATACGGGGTATAATATGATCCTCTCCAAATATCAATTCGGACCGGCACTCATCTTAAATCTCCCGAAGTGTCCCATGGCATGTGACGCACAACATCGTCACTGAACCCTTTCAAGTTGCTGCCGAAGTAGCCACTTAGTGCCAGCCGCTACCAACACTGTATGTAGCGATGAGATCAGTCCATAGACCGCCAATCCCAGCAGCAATGAACGGCCATATTCCGCACTGACAGTCTATCTTTTCCAAAAGCAATCAGGAGCAAGGGTGGAGTTCCAGCGCCGCTGACAAAGGACTAGCTAGCCACCGGCGATTATTGAGATCGTTAAAGACGACGTGGAAATTGGCAATGTAGGGCAAGCAGAAACGACACTCCGGACGATACCTTACTGCTGGTAAGACAAGAAGTAGGACAACAAACTATCAAACTGATTATCTGGGTCCCTTAGAGCAATAGTTGTTCGGTTCGAAAGGAGGCCAAGCCTCCCGATCTGAATTCCGAGGCTCTCTATAGACTCCATAGAATAAGTACGATGGGCTCAGTTCACAGACCACCGTATCCTTGCCTGATATAACCTGCGCTGGCAGCTTGTATTTTGTCCAGCGATCAGAAGCAAGAGCAAAAACCCTCGAAAATATTCAGCAGCGGAACGTTCTGGTCAGTTGCAAGTTTGTCACAATCTCATGAGCTCACGCTTAACATCCAGGACAGAGAACATGGTAAATATCTCCAGCGCCTCTATATAAAGAATGACTGTCTTCCTTCTATTGGTCTACCAAGTGGAGACTAAGCGCCTCCAGATCAGTCATCCACCTCATTACCAAGGCTGCCATTGACACCGTGGAAGGCAGCAATATATGGCAGACCAAACGCTACCCTCTGTTTCTCGGTCCCCTCAAGCAATAGCCATGTCGCTTGATTTGAGAAGAGATCTGTCCAATTCAAATTTCAGGGCTCCAGTTCCCGGTGGAAATAGCAATGCCGCACTGCGTTAGTTGGGTTTTCAATCAGCCCTGTCCCGGAATCGGAAAGCCGGATGGTGTCTTATCACCTCGGTCAAGCTCATGCTATGTCGCCGAGGATGCAGGGAGGATGCTATGAGAATAGGTAACTAGCTGGACCAATGCATACTGTTTCTAACCTGATCGCAGTTAGCTTCGCAATTACATTAATCGCCACCACCTGAAACGGCAAATTTTGTTTCTTCGCGCTGAGCACGGATCCAATTGAAGCACTCTAGGTTGGCTCATGGCTGTACCTTCATGACGCCGAAGTCAGTGCACTGGTCAGGGTAGCCGTCATATACTGAGGAGAATTTGTGTTTGACCTAGCGGTGTCTGTCACAATGCGATACTTGAAAAAAAACACCCTGACCGTCCGGTTCAGTAACCTCCGTAGCATTGACCAACTCCTTTTACTTCGAGGGCTCTGGCGCGCACAACTTCATCGGATATAACCGGGATGGCAATTGCGGCCCGTAGATCTTCAGACTAAAAGCAGGGCATCTATTGGGCGTCTGACACTTGTTACGTAGGATGCCCTGAAGATCGTGGGCAGGATTAGCACTGCATGTTATGTGGGTGCTACCACTAAAATGCTTTAGGACTCGACAACGCTGATCAGTAGTCGTTCCCACCTATGGCGTTTGAGGGCACGTGGTAAGTATGTTCCTTATTTGTTTCCAACTCTGCACTTATTTCGCTAGTGGTCTCCAACCAGACATGGTACAAACCGGAACTTGTGTGCGAACATTTTTAGGATCCATCAGGTCCGGGGTAAGATACAATGGGTGTGGCAGAAATATCACGTGATTTTTTTCTGGACACATTAGAGTAGGGAACCCCTAGGCGAGGGGTGGTGTAGCAGTCAGGTATGGACTACATAGATACTTTCTCCCTAGTTGTTTGTCTAGAGACAATATGATCTGTTATGTCATCAGCTGCTATCCTTGATTGGGAGACAGAGCAAGTAGATGTAAAGGGGGCACACCTTAATGCTATACTGAAAGAGGAAGTATACATGTAAAGGCCTGCTGTGGTAATGGTGGGAAACACTGAACAAATTGGATGAAGGATAACAGGATAAAACCATGGATTTCAGAGCATGATATAAATGAGCAGATGATAGTTTTGATAGGGAGATATATGAATGAGAGATGAGAGACGATTGATATTATTCTCAATAGGAGATGAGCAATGAGCATTAATTCTATTTGGCATATTCCATAGTATACTCATTCTATTCTAAAGTCAGATAGTCTGAATCTCTGCTACTTACCATGCATGGATCATGTTGCAGGTATGTGTACTGATTGTCCAGTCATACCTGCTATAACAACACTCCCCCTCAATCAGGAGACATGCCTAGACTCTTTATGAGTTTTTCATGGTCCAGTTTAGGTAGCAGTTTGGTCAATATATTGGCTATCATTTCTTTTGTAGGGCAGTAAACTTTGTGAATCTTTTGCTCATGAATCTTTTGCCTTACATTAGTGTTGCTGTGGCTCCAGCTTGTGGCCAGCTTTAGCTGTGAGTGGAGCTATGGTTAGCCAAGCCATGTATGCAGTTACAAATTACGTAATCCACGGTCTGGTCTAGCCCACGAAGCTGTGCTTGCAGGCTTGAAGCCAGCTCAAGCCAAATTTAAATTAGAATATATATATAAATACATACACTTAATTTTAAGTTAATCAAACGTTGAGTGAAAGAGGAAATGTGCTGTCACAATCAATCAGACTCACATCATACTGCACAATCATACTTCACATTTGATCCAAAGTAATATCGACAATCGCAATGAGTCCTCAAGCCAATGTAAGTGTCATTATTGAATCCAGCATTTGGGAAGCTAATGCAAATTAGTTGTATTGCAGCTTGGACCACACTCGCAAGCAACAGGCAGTAAAGGCGGAGATGAGGCAGATAAGGGCAGGGGAGCCAGAAAGGGTCTTGTGATGCAGCAGATTGGTGGATACGAGGGTGGCAGTAGATGTCCAGGAACGGCCAAGGATGAAATGGTGGCATGTAGTGCTGAGGAAGTTGGGTTGGAGGGTGAGGGGGGAATAAGTGTTAGATGTGCAAGTAGAAGAGGATGTACTCACCTGCATTGCATTTGTTTCTGATATCATTCGTCACTAAATGGCTAGAGGTCTATAGAAATATCAGCTGAATTGTAGACCCACACATGTAATTGAAATCATGCATACCTTGACCCTCCAGACCAAGCAACTTTGTTTAGCTCCTCCTTCAGCTGCTGAGTCCATATCACCACAGAGGACAGCCATTTGGTATTCAACAACGCTCAAAGACAATGAATACCCAAAGATATTGATTCTTCATGCTGATAAAAATACAGTTAGTTGAGTATGGAACTTCTGCTAACATCACTCACCTGTCTGAGATCTCAGCAATGACATCAAATGATTCCTCAACACCCTCATCTGTGATTTCCATGCCCTCCTCTAGTTTAGAATTGTAGGCATCTTGATCAAATTTAAGGATATAGTAAGAGTCGTCTGATACAACCGCCATGAGTGTCCCTGTCATCGACCAAAAGATCTATCAAAGTGTTAGCATCATGAATGTCCAATTTATGTCACAAACTCACATTCTTTGCATCCACATCAATGTGCCTCACAATTTCCCCACTCTCCCAATCCCAAAAGATCACAAAACCCTTTCCATGTGTGCCCAACACTGGACCTCCATAAATGGCATCCACTGCCCAGCTTCCTGCGCCCTTCATCCCTGCATTACCATGTTCCTTGAAGTTTTTGAACACATGAAGCTTCACCTTGCTCTCCAATATTGCATATGTGTTTGAGTCACCAGCCCATGTGAAGCCCGTGCCCAAACCAAACACTTTGTTCCACCATGTGAGCACTGTGTAGATGATGTATTCTCCATCACTGATAACAGTCACGAAGCATCCATTCAGCGAGTGTAGCAGCGCTGTCACAAATATCTCTGTGGTACTGATCTCCTTGATCTTGTGTGTCCTTCCATCATTTGCATGCAGCTTTTGCTGAGGTAGTCCCAAATTTTGATAGTCTGGTCGTCACCTGTCATGATGAGGTATGGCTTATCTGAGCCAGGGTAAAAGTCGACATAGTTGATGCCTTTGTCATGCACGTCCATGGTAAAGTTTGCTGTAGGGGAGGCAAGGGACCACATCTTGACAGTCCAATCAAGACAAGCACATGCGAAAGTATTTGAGTCTTTGGGGTTGAAAGTGATGTTCATGATGTAGTGCATATGTCCTTCATATACCTGGCACAAGTTGTGAGGCTGAGAGTAGCACAAAACATGGTAATGCACCTGAATACATTTCCACTGCTTGTCCCAATCCCAAGCTTTGATAGTCATGTCATCACTTCCAGTGAGCATGATGCTTGCAGTTGGGTGCACAGTGAGACATCGTATATAATCAGGGTGAGCCTTCAACATGGTGACCTTCTCATGTGTATTGTAATTGAAGACACGCAGTTGGAAGTCATCTGAGCCAGCAACAAATTAGTTTTTTCATGGAATAAATTTAACACAGTGTATGGGAACAGTAGAGACCTCAAAAATCTTCACAAGTGCACCAGTTTTGTGATTGTAGATGTTGACAGAGCCATTGTACAGACCTGTTAGCAGCCATGGCTCAGTAGGGTGGAAATGGGCACCTTTGACCAGAACTGTTTTTTCAAATGTACTATTAATAGCTCAGGAACCAAGTAAAAGTTCATTTACCAGAAATTAAAAACACCTGTCCTAAGGACACTTGACATCCAATGACATTGTATGCCTGCATTGCCATATGCTCAATTGAAGCATGTAGCTTAGCATGTCTGTGGGTGATTACTGAAATGAAACATGAGAAGCATAAAACACATAAACTCACCTGAGCAGCAGTGCACACAATGGCAGTGATGATGATCTTGAAAAAATTCACTATCAGTAAGCTCAAGCTTCTGTCGTCATCAATGAGTTAGCAGCATCTCTGGTCAGCACAATTTGAGCTCAACAGATATCAAGGATCTGACCCAGTAGTGGACTGAATAATCCAGATTGCCTAGACCAAGAGACTGTGAGATAACAACTGAAATTCGATGTACAAACACAATGAAAGAAGAATCATAAGGTGTGTGATGGTAAACAAAAAGCAAGAAACAAGAATGAAAGATCAAAGAGATGTCAGGTATCATAGACAACAACATCGTCATCGATGTCATCGCACTCATGCTCTGCGATGGCTTTGAGAACAGCATCATATGCACAGCTGTCATCTGTGGTTCCAATTGAGACAGGTGCCAGGAGCTCGTCCAAGCCGTTGTCAGATACAATAACACTTTCCATGGCCCATTGTGACGCCGCCCAACCTTTGGTAAAGTTAAGTCACTCCTTCTTTAAAGAGAACTTTACTATCTGTAGCACCTCCATGAGGACCGGGCTAATGCAGTTATGCTTCTTTGTGTATGTTTTGCTGCTTGACGAGAACACTCACTCACAGGGAACAGCTGATGCCTGGATTGGGAGGTAGTCCATAGCAATGGTGTAAACCATTGGGAACATTGCCTCAGACATCTGGTCAAAACCTCATGGTCAACAACAAAATACATCACTTGATGGAGACAACTCTCACCTGCCAGAATGAGAGTATATTTGTTCCCTTGGGGCTGAGATTAGCTGTGCTATAAGCCCCAAACTCCTGATCAATTGTCTGGATGATATCATCACAAACTGGCAGTGCATCCCCCTCATGAACTCTGTAGATACAGGAGCCTAGCATGCGTGACTGTAGTCTTGAGGGTTGTTGGGTTGAAGCCAGTATGTTGGAGGTCCACTGTGCTCTCTTGACATGCATCTACAGGACATATGAGTGCATGCTGTTGCTAGATAGATAGACATACCAGATTGAGAATGAATTCTCTAGCTGACTTCAACCGGTTCTCATCCCAATGATCTGTAGCCCATGACATTTGGCGTGTTGGATCAATGTCTATAGAGCAATCATAAGACATCAAATTTTATAAAAATGCAAGGGACTGACACATTGCAACAGCATAAGTGTTTGTACAGGCCATCCTGTCGTCATACTTATCTGCCCAAGTCAAACCAATGTTGATGAGTGGGGCACAGTGCGGGGCACTATTGGCCAACTGCTTCCAATCCTCAAGTAGGCATTCAAAAGCTGGAACCATACGACCCAACATGGGAGTGCTCTTGCTTGACATGGATTATTGAGCTCTGTGTGGGGGCTGAAATTACATGGTTAAATGCAACATAGGTTATGAAGGTGTCAATACTTACTTCCAGAATCACTTCGAAGTCCTGTAGGAAATGCCATTCAATTGGAGTCAGCTGTTTGTTGTGTATGGAGAGTTGACTGGCAGACTGGAAGAACATATCAACCACCTGGGCAATGGTTAGCCCACCACAAATATTTAATGAGATGAGACCTCACCTGACATAGATTGCACATACAATTAAGCATAACAAATGTTGAGTCCTAGTGGGTTGGCTCATCGAGCAGGAGTTCAACTTCAGGGAGCTTTATAGGCTCGCCTCTGTCTCCTTGGAACCAACCCTTGTTGTTACCTATAATGATGGTATCCCTGAAATTTGCTCATCATTGGTTTGATATACGGACGGAGTGCACAAGATTTCTGGCCCATTCGAGAGTTTTACCAGTGATGGCACCAGTATAGTTGATCTTGGCGATGTCCTGACCACAAACCTTCCAGGTATTCTCCATGTCTGAGAAGTCTGCTGTCACATAGTCATCCAGAATATGTTTCATGCATATGTTGATCATGTGTGGAAAACAAGGGATCCTGTTTTCAATTGGATCGTAATCAATCTGGTGTTCTTCAAGTAAGTTAGAAAGCTCCTTCATGCACATCTGATTGTTTGCTGCATTGTCCAAAGTGAAGTGTCCAGGCTAAATGAAGTCAGAGCACATTGAAGGTTCAACTACTCTGCTGGGCTGCAGAGCAAAAGAAAGAAAGATGGCTCTACCTCTGGGGTGAGAGGAAGGCTACTGACTCTCTAGGTGTTGGTTGAAGTGCACTGAGCAATGTGTTCAACCCTTAAGGGAAGCAAAGAAAGCAAGATCCACTGGGTGATGCCAGATCAACTCTGGTGAAGCGCACTGAAAGTGCGTGCACAGGAATGTTGAGTGCATAAGAGTGCGAAGCATGGGAATAAGGTGCATGCAGTGTGCGAACGTGTAAAAGATAATGATAGGCTGCTGCTTAAGACTAGGGTGATGACTCTGATAGATGCTAACTCATGGTGATCAATTCTGACTGCTAGATGCTACTAGACATGATGGTGGTTGGTGTATTGTGTGGTCCTGGTTGGTGTATGAAAACTTCCTAGGCCACAGGTAAGCTGTGCCTAGGCATGCTTCCAGGGCTTGGAAGTGAATAGGGAGCACTCTAAGTATGTAAATGATGTAAATAAGGGTCCGTGATGGAATAATATATCATATGATACCAGAAATGGTCTGATTTGAGAAATAAATGAAAAGGGACTCACTAGGGGACTGGTTGGATAATGGATGGATGCTCCCAGATGCTGTGTGACATAAGGCAACTAAGCACGTGCATGGGAATGCATCGCATAGTGCAGGAAAGCGTCGCACCTCTGGTGCATTTCGTGGGAAAGTCATAGATGGTGAGTCATAATATGGGTGATATACACCTAGAGGAATCTCATTCCCTACATCACCTTCATGTACTCTCGAATCATGTCATGCTTCTTGATCCCCTCCCCGGTCTCTTCCATCATGACCTCACTGCGTCTCTGCCATTGTTTCTGCAAGGGACCAAAAACACCTACATCAAGAGGTTGCAAGTGATGTGTTGTGTGGGGGGGAGGCAAAAAAGGTGAATACCATGTTCTTCTGCTGCTTGGCAAAGTTTAATTGTCTCATGTGAGCAGTGTCCATCATATATTAGGATGATTGGTTGACCAGATGAGTTCCGTTCCTTGGCTTGTGGCATGAAACTCTTCACAAGCCACTCAGTGCCGATGAAGTCACTTGTCCAACCATTTTCAGATGTCACAACTCTGATATCAGAATTGAGTGAGCTTTTTCTACCTATGATTGAGCAGAGACTCACATAATGCCATCTTCTTCAAAGTACTCAGAGTATATTTAAGACCCAGAAAATACAAAGCCAGGCTTCAAACTAGTGCCATCCACACACATGCACTCAATCACTGTTACCAGCTTGAGCTGGTCACTCTTTGCCTTGACTTGGGCTTTTGCTGTCCATGAAAACAGGTACTTCATGTTATCACATTTCCTTCCCCCTCCAAGTTGAATCCCCTTCTCGTCCATGTTATACACATTATCCCAGGGGATGTTCTCAGATTTCAAGAAGTTGTCCAGGAGTTTGAAGTGGTGATTGACAGTTGTGTAGTTAAACATTTGCATCCGCTTCGGATCAATGCCTGTTGGGCATCCCAGTTTGAGTTCTGAATGGCAAGTAAGAAAATCTTTGACCCAGGTTTTTGATGGCCCCTTATCTTTTCCAGTGAGCTTCTTCTTTGCCTTTAACTTCTTGCTAAGCTCTGACACCTTTGCACAAAGGTTGCACTTGGAGAGAGGGTGACCCATCATAGCCAGGTACTTGGCCCAGTCACATATTGTTGCTTCCTGGCCTTCAGTAAGTAGTTGGCTGTTTTTGTGGGCTTTTGAATGAGGTTTAGTGAGGTTCTGTGCCTGCCAACGAAGAGTATGGTATGGGACTTTAAACTCTGCAGCTGCTGTTTGGAGGTTCTTGGTCTTCTCCTCTCTGATAGCCTAAATAGCAGCAGTGAAGTTGGCTTCACGAATCACATCTTCTTCAGCTTTCTTCTGACTGGTAGTATGCCTGCAGTTTGGTGCCATTGTAACAAGGATGTGAGAATGATGCAAGAGGAGACAACAATGCAAGACTTCGTGCACTTGCCGAGTGTGCCGTAGAGGAGATTGAATTTGTTACACACTCTCCTATCTACTGTCACGTTTTCATACATGTCGTCAATTCTTCCTCTATAGCATCTTAAAATGACAGGATGAGCTTTATTGAAATTGTGTTCTGTAATCCTGACGAGGTGATTGTTGTGCTCCAGGTATAACTTCAGGAATATACCTGCAGGATCTATGGGATCTGGATAATTTATGTTCCTGCATGGTTACAAATTACCACTATTTCATCCCTCGCAGCTGCAACACGCGAGAAATTTTCATTCTACTTGGACAGTACATCATATATAAGTAGTCTACATATGCATGAATTTTTTTGAAGTGAGTTGAGCAGTGTGTTGAGGTGTTTTGAACATTTTGCATATTACATGCATGTTGCAGATTACCCGGAATGATAGTAGTGGATAGGGAAATCAGCATTAGCAATTTTAATTATGTGGAACAAGCCTTGCGCTATCGACACTTTCCGACCACGTTGACCGGATACCTGGCAGGCAAGTCATCTCGAGGCGGCCAGTATAATTCTGACACGAGGGCGACAACCTGCTGCCTGTCTACAAAGTGCCACTTACATTGCACCACATCAAAATCACAGTAAGAACCTGATCCTCCAATCATCAACCCCTCACACTCACCATGATCAGCTGCGCCCGCCCGCCAGTGGACACCACGACCCTCGCTCTCCGTATCTCAAACACGGGTTCCGTCCCATCAAGCTGCGCATACAACAATATTACAATGTCTGATGCCCATTGCAGGGCTCGTATATGGATTGCGCGTGGACTCCCTACAGACAACATACGTTATAGTAGACGCCAGCGCGAAGACCAAAAACACGTTAAAGACACGACAATTGCACGAAAATGAACATGCTGACAGACCTGACAGTTGATTAATGATAACCAAGGTTCTTTCAATGCTTCCAACGCGTGGCAGCTTTTCCACTAGGACGACACGTTCCGCTGTGGATCCTCACCATGTTTCAAACGCCCGGGATTAAAACCTCGGACCTGCAATCACACAAAGCGGGCTATTGCTTGAACGCCAACGCCACCCTGCACTGCGTCCACACCTATGCATACGCGTACGGACGGACAACAAAGAAAAAGCGCCAGTGGCACAGTCACGATATGTGGCGAACGTTTTGCTTCCACACCTTATTGTTCACAGTTACTTGTGGACTAGGCATTTTTGCTTAAATCCTTCGTTCGCGATGATGAGCAGGTCACTGTCCCCTCTCCTCACAGGCTTTCTACAACTTGATTGATCGCTCTGGAGCCGTCTCACACTGCATACACACCAAGATGGAAATGGATACCGCACGATACGACCCCATGGACGCACAACGTTTCGATCCGCTGCTGCGCACCAGCGCAGTGAGTATTTCTTTTCCTTTCATTTCATTTCTCTTAGTGTTCTTAACACCACGCTTACCTCCATTTCCATTCTCAGAGACCCAACTCGCTTTCTAAAACCGGCACTCAAAAATCGACGATGGGGCAGGGCCTTTGCGTCAGAACTCGACCATGTGTGCTGTTCCCCGTACGTGCGAGCGTAGGTGGTGTGTGGCCGGACCATGAGGTTGTGGTCGTCCCTCTTGAGGGGGGAGATGCATATTCGGAGGCTTCGCGCTCATCCACACCAAGTTCTTCTTCTGCTTCTACTACATACACGACTGCGTCTTCTTCTATGCCTGATGTACCTCCATCGCACACTCCACAAGTCGATGTTTACGAGAGGGATGACGTCGTAGTCACACGCACCATCATCCGCCCCAACACCACTCCCAATCTTCATCATAATCCAAGTAGTATGCCATCTAGAGCGCAGATGAGGCTTCCACGGATGTTCTCACGTTCGCCATCTCCCACAGCCTCTCCATCTTCTTCGTTATCTGTATTACCTTGGTCCAATCCCCCTTCGCACCCTACGAGCCCAGTGCTCCAAGCGCTTAACTGTTTTAGCACATCCTCGACTTTTGAGAGGGATGAGGATAATGTGCATATTGCCGAGAGCCCCAGGCCTGTATTACAGGTTATTGTTACGCAGACGAGGGACAGGTACGAGGACGATAGGGCGTTTAAGGAGATTGTGGGGAGTGTTTATCCGGGACCCGTCACTGCTGCTGTTGGGAGCGGTGCTTGATGCATCGACGCTCAATGCTTTCGAGTGGATCTTGATTCTTGTACCATTGTTCTTTCCCTGCATATCTTATTGCATATCTTATCGCGATAATCAATATCTATTGCTAACTTATATTGGACTAATAGCTCGATGTTATTCTGCAAGCGTTCTTTTATGCAATAATTAATACCTATGGCTATCATATATTAGAGACTAATCGCTTGATTTTACTCAGTAGACATTCTTTCATGCATTTTTATGTAGTAGCATTATGGTCCTTCATAGTTTTTCTGAGCGGGGTATATAATTCCGTGATGTATGCAAACGATCTGCTGCTGAAAATGCGACTTCAGTTGGAAAAGAGCCCTTCCTTTCAAATGGGTGATGTAACATAAAGCTTGATGTGTGCTTCTACAAGCGTCTCTAGAGCTAGCGCACTAACAGAAGATTTCTTTATCGTGGCTCTCTGAGATAAAAAATAAGTATGCGACCACCAAGAGGAATACATTGACATACAAGAGCAAAAGTTGTACCACGATACACGAACCCAAAGAGTTCCTTAAACTCCGGATGCGCCTTGGATACGCCAACTGCATCGAGGTGTCTTACAGTAAATTTCTTGATGATCTGTGGAATGTAACGTTTGAGCGCAATACAAGGACGCCAGGGAAAACGTTGGACAGACAGATTTGTTCTCCTGCTCTATATCACCAACTCCGTCGTCCACCGCACGTGCTTTACCTTTAGCATCACTGAGAGGTCCGAAAACGTCTGCTTCTGGTGCGTGGTTGGTTTTCTTTGCTGGGAGCGTGGGTACTTTAAACACAGCGCTGCCTCGTTCCTTGTCCTTTCCTCGCCCCCGTGATTTCGAATTCGGTAAATGCAGCATTACCTCTCTTGCCCGTCTCACCACCTCTGATTCATCTCCTTTGACTTTGATCCTCGTGTTCGCAGCGAGTTCTCCGATAGATTGTGTGCGTGTGAGAAGATGCTGAGGCGGTTTTCGGGGTGTAGGATCGTCTGGGCGGGGAGCACGAGTAGCTGGAGTGATGCGTGCTACACGGATTGTTATAGATGGAGTAGTCGGCGACGAATGAGCCTTTCCAAATATTAGTATTTCTGTCGTTGCTGGACCATCTACAAACGGCAATCAGCTCAGATCAAATGGAAGAATCAAGGAACAAATATACCAGTATCTCCCAAGGCTACACGCGCGCCCATTTCCGTCCGCCCATCAGGAGATAGATGCGATAAGCAGAGCATATTTTCAAAGTAGACCCGAGAGAGGGTGGCGGATGGATGGATGTCCCTGTTGGGTGTGAATGGGGTGTTATGGGTGTTCGACATGCTCACATACATACAGACATCATCCGAAGGGTCTATGCATATATTCTTGAGCGATTCCGTGCCTTTGAGTCTGAGAGAGGGACGACCGCGCATGCTCTCGAGTGCTAGTGCAAGTGGATTGTGGAGGAGGTCTTTGTTAGCCAGAAGGTTTGCTGAGAAAGTGAGTCCATCTAAGAGGATATAAGAGTCTGGGAGGGAGAGTGAGCCGCGATACAAGAGACGAGAGCTCGACGCTTCTGACATTCAAGATGCTGTTCGACCGCGTTGTTGGTACTTGTTTACGCGTTCAAATCTTTGTTATTCATCATTATGATGAGCGGCTCATGCACATGAACTTTGGATTTACAGAAACCATGTCAATATCATGCAGACTAGGCCAGCTACTATGTACTCTCTCATCAGGGTTTCCATAATACAAACATAAACGCTTCTTCCCATCGCGGTGGGCGGCGACTTGTTTTTTTTTCGACGTCGAACATTGCGATCATCTGGCAAGACGGCTGCGGCTCATGGTCACCCGGAGTAGGAACATCTGTCTCAACGTTCCTAATCAGTCTAAAAATCACTTAAGCCGTGGTAGGTACTTGTCATGCTTGACAGTCACGCCTCGGATGCTCATTTCAACAGACTTGCCATGACTGATACCTTCTATTAGTTAATCCCGTATCAGTCCTGCGCAGCAAAGCAAATTCAGGATTCTTAAATTCATGGAAACAATAAGCTCCAGCTTCAAGTAAGGCACCTGAGTGAGGCTAATGTTATAGGCAGAAGTATCAGCGTAGGGGTGGAAACATGCTTCTCTCCTTCTGAAGAGTCAATACATGATTGCAAATGTCTGTCTCATCCACTCTGAAACCTCGTAATCACGATCCATGATGTCAACTTCATCCACGCTTCCATCCCTCCTCGGCTTTTTGGGATATTTGCAAGGTGATGCATCTCTGAAATATCCTCTCATTATATGGAGAAGGGGTACAACGATGGTTGCACATGTACTTCCAACGGTCCGGACGAGTCTCAACTAAGAATCTACAGCCACTTGGCAGTTGTTATTAGTTAAAAGGATGATCCAGGCCGTTGCGACAAGTGTCAGTCCCATTAACTATTTCCAGGGGTGTGCTTATATTAGTATGTCTATAGGCTACAAATTCCGGACTGTACATCTGCTAGCCCTGGCACGGGGCTTCTGACGGATGATGGTTGCGTTCTCGCTGCGAAGTTCTGTCATCTAATTCGTGTCATCCGCTTCATCCTTCAGCACAATGATTTGGCCAAACCAATTACCAGGGCCGTTGATCCGGCGCATCGCTAGGATTGGGTAAACCACAGGTGGAGCAACCTGATTTGCTGCTATGATCAATCGATGGTGCAGTCAATACTAATTTGGGACATTGGCAGACGATCCATGGATTCCGGCTGTAATCAAATCCGTACCATTATTCTTACCTACTTATCGCCAAGACATGCAAGCCTACGTGTTGCGTTTCCCCCCCCTTCCCCTGAAGGATGCCCACTCTGAGCGATCCAACAGCGGTTGACGCTATTGATACAATCAACGATTTGCCAAAAGGTGTCTCCTGTCGTGCCCGTAACGACCTTGAGAGGAGATTACTGAGAAAGCTTGATTTGCGTATGTCCATACTACTGATTTTACAAACCCTGAATCTAGTGGGTCCGAGGTTTTTGCGAACTCCATTATGATACTTACTGTGCACCCTAGGTTGACAGATCCAATATTAGGTGTGTTACATACTGTTGTACTTGTATTAATCTTATGACATCTACAGCAACGCTCGGTTACAAGGTTTTGAGAAAGACCTGCACTTGCATGGGCAACAATATGCCACGACTTTGTCCATCCTATATGTTGGATATATTGTCATGCAAGTGCCAGGGTGAGTTTCGTCCTTCATCGAGAGACAGCTGAACATAACTTGTCTTTAGGAACATGTTCCTGCACTGGCTGGAGAAGCCTTCTGTCATCATTCCGTCCTGTATGTTAGCATGGGGTACAATATCAGTATTAACAGGTTTGTCGACATCGATTGTTCATGAAGATGACTGCTAATGGTGCTCAGGGATCACAACGAAGTACACATCCTTGTTTTGCATCGTTCAGATATAGTCTCTGATTGTTTGACCCAAGTTATACTGGGATTGTTGTCGCCCGCTTCTTTCTTGGCTTTGCCGAAGCGCCCTTCTTCCCCGGTATTATATTTCTTGTATCTAAATGGTACAAGCGGGACGAACTCGCCTTGAGAATAACTCTCGTTTCTTGTGGAAGTTTTCTCAGCTCTGCATTCGGATCCCTGTTTGCATCTGCTATACTTCACAGCATGCAGGACAAACTTGGTCAAGCTGCATGGAGGCAGGCAACAATCGTCTTTCTATCACTCCTTGGAGCTGAATGGTCCGTAGATGGTTATTCTTTATTGAAGGCGGCATCACCATCTTGGTCGCAATTTGCGCGATATTCACACTCCCTGATTTCCCGCACAACACCAGGTGGATCACTCCGGAGGAAAGAGCACTTGTCATCTCTCGCCTCGCAAAAGATGGCAATGGTAAGGCTGACGAGCTTGGGAAGCAGACGACCATGCGAGGACTGCAGGATGCTGTATCTGACTGGAAGGTGTGGTGGTTTGCAGTTGCTGCCATGTTCCAGGTAGTGGGGCAGTCTTTCTTCGCTTACTTCCCAACGCTGTGCGCGACACTTGGATACGATACGACTGTAACATTGTTGCTTTGTGCTCCTCCGTGGGTGTTCGCGGGTATGGTCGGATTTATTCTTACATGGTTAGTGAATCATTTCTATCAGAAAATCGCATCTCACGGAGATCAGGTACTCTGACAAGAAGCAGAGGCGTTACAAATGCTTTGTTGTTACCAATGCATTCGGCGCCCTTGCATTCATCATATCGATCTTTACGATGAACAAGGCTGCGCGCTATATTGCACTGTAAGTGGTATCGTCACTCGTGGGGCGCCACTTTTGCACTCAGAAACATACAGATTCCTGATGGCTCAAACCGTCACTGGATACCTGGTGCTCTTAGGGTGGATCAACAACACTTTCGCCAGAGAACCCGCGAAGCGTGCCGTTGCTATTGCTTTGATGAACTCAATGGGGCAAACAGGCAATGTGATTGGATCGTCAGTGACCTCGCCATCGATCTCTTGCTCTCACCAACTCACGACCGCACTTTTCGCATAGATACGCATGGCCGTTGAACTGGGGCCCGACATATCGTTACTCCTATATCATCTCCATCGCTGCACTTGGGGTTTCGACAGGCATGTTTGGTGGTATGTATTTGTATTTGAAGCATTTGAATGTGCAGATTGAGAGGAACGAGCGGGATGTGAAGCATATCACTGAGATTCAGGAGATTAGTTTTAAATATCTGGTATAGTTGAAGATTGAGATATTGATCGCTTCTGACAGTTGTGTGGGACTCTGACAGTAACATCGCTGTTCGACGGCGTTGTTGATGAGTCACTGACGTCACAGTATAACTATGCCCCATCGGTACTGCAGCATCGAGATACGTCCTGGGTCAAAGAGTGTAGTCATACTCGCGTCGGGGAGACGATGCGCTGGCGGTATCGGTGAGGACAACTGATGCAACGATATATAATCTGTCTGCCCAGACCTTCTCTTTCAAATCTACGTCGGTACACTCAACTGCAATAACTCAAATATCTAAGCACCACGACGAAACTTGGAATAAACACAAACGAGTTCATGTCGAGAATCTCGCATTTCACACATTACTGCTAGTCGGCACACAGTCGCGCTCTTGGAAAGCAATTGAAGCCATAGTAGTTGCTGCATCGGAGTCGGCCACAAGCCTAGCATGATATTTAGGATGAGGCGTGGTCCCAGTATAAACATCTGCGTGAGCATGAATATTTCAGAGAATCCACTATAAGTCTGAGTCTCCGTGGAATACGAGGACTATTAAAATGATGAATCAGGGTCGTGTACAGAGGTCGGCAATAGATCGGCGTACCGTTGAGACTGTCGGAGAAAAATAACCGATGAACTCGATGCAAGTAAGAGTGACAAAACTAGCGCATACAGGACATGGATCAGCGGAAAAGATAACTATATTCAGATCATGAGCTTACCTCGCAAAGTAAACAATGTGAGTTTTCATTAAAACCGTGAAACAGTCCCTGATGACTTCTCCTGATGATTGTTGTCGCATTTCACGGAAGTGTTTTATAGCTATCCAGACTGCGAGACACAGTGTGAGGACCTCCCATGCGGTGAGGAGTATCCAAGTGATGTAATCCAGAACTCGTAGGATACTTCCCCCAAAAGCAACAGTGCACTCATAGTTGCCGGAAAGAACGTGTTCCTCTGGCATTTGTCAATGAGTCCGGTGCACTTGAATTTTTTATAATTAATGCTTACCCGCTATGATATGGCTCACTGTTATTACAATCATCACTCCGATGGTAGTTCTAATAGCCAGGAAGACAACGACGAGAAATATCAACACACGTCTGGATTTCTGATACATGGCATATAACCGAACGATCATGATGACTTGCCTGATGTTTCAGTCAAGTCAATTTCACGAAAATGCATAGCTCACAACCCAGTATTATATTTGCGATATCATTAATGCATTCTATTGCGCTGGACATGATATGGCCTGACAAATAAAGCAATATATAATTTATCAGTGTCGGAGAAGCACACATTTCAGAGAAACTCACAACTGTGGCAGTCATTATCTTGAACCAACGAGTTGTTCGAGAATCTCACTCACCCCTACATGGCAGTGCGTTGAACGGGAATGAAAGGGTTCGCGAAGAATACTCACCATATCTGTCACCGAAATTGTCGGAACATAAACTGAATGTCGTCGGTCAGAACACCCGCGATGAATGTAAGGAGACATATCCAGAACGCAGATGCTGATTGTAAAAGATGACCAATTAGCACAACACTGATTACATAGCCTCCAAAACGTACACAGCATATATTATTCCGATGTAACGCGCCTAGGATATTCCGAAGTTAGCACCACGACTTGCCGACCACATGTATGTCACGAGCAACATACACTGAGATACATGACGGTCATCAGGGACCAGTGTCGACTCTGCCACAAAACAGTTGGTTTTTCGCATCGTTCTTCTGATACAGGAGTCCACTCACCCAGATCAATTCAACCTGTAAAATCATCGTTAGCGGGATGGCTACCCCGATAACAGTATCAACCTAACCTCTTGTCCGAACGTGAGTGCTGACAATACCATAAGGATGTCAGTGGTTTTTTGATACTCGATCTTGCTCACCCCAGTTGTACATTACACCAGCAAAGGAGGCAACTGCGAAACCATAGGCAAGGTTATATCGAGTCATCATCGTCATCATTCGACTGGCTGTCCGCGAACCTACAAAATAGTTACACATGCGATATGGATTGAGCAGTGGCCCGGACCAACTAGGATCATCTGACACTAGCAGGGTCATATTAGAGGATGGAAGTGAGCGAGCTGGGGAACTTGGGAGGACGTATGAGGATGACGTTCTGGTCAGATATACCACCATCAAGCGTTTGCATCACCGAAGTGAGATTGAGGCATTGAGTTGGCACACCGCAAACTATTCAAGCTACCGATACCCATACCAACAGCATTTGAATTTTCGGAGCACCATTTCATCAATTTAGTGTAGTGTGTTGTGCATTGGATTTTTCATCAGTAACAAAGCTACCTTTACCGCATGAGAGTCCTTGTAACATTGTAGGCCGATGAAGACATCGAAAGATGAGCCCTGCAGTACGCATGGAGCAATCGATAATCAATTACTAGACCGAGGATCCGACCGACTTTGGGGGAGGAAAGCGGTTCATTGGACTACACGTTGAGGTGTGTGCGCTGGCAGATCTGATGATAGAGGTGCACTGGTGAGTTGTCTATTAGTGGCATTTACCAATGATATTATTGTCCATCTCTAACCTTTCTGATTGATAAGAGACCTATCGCGCCTCGTAAATCGGACCAGCGAAGACTCCAGGAGAGACTGTTGAATTCAATGTCACCATTGAAATGCGAGACCTCGAGCTTTTTCGATGATTACATTGCGCCTGTATGTGTACTACGGTATTTCATTGATAAAACCCTTGCCTACTTCACTTCATATGTCAACCGAGGCAGGAATGGATATCATTCCTACTGAGTCTCCCGTATGCCTGCGGACCAAATAGAAGGAGAGACGGTTGTTCTTTTTTGTTGTGTCAAACACGAGCGAGTATCCGCGACATTTCCTTTAATTCGTGTACATGCTGATTATTACGGATGGGACCAAGAACACATACATGCATAGTTCTCAATTCCCAGTTAAGACACGATCGGGATATATAGTAACGAGAGTAGTCGTACAAAGGTGGGCGGTTGTCCAAAGATGGGGAACGGTGGAGGTGAAGAGCGGGTGTATAAAGACACCGATTCAAATAATCAAAACACCCAACACACACAGCAAAATGTGTCGGCATGAATCACATAGCATGCCATACACTTTTACAATAGTGCTGGACGACACCGAAGGTTCCGCCTGGTTTCTGTCGAACCATTGCGACGATATCGGAGGTGAGGAAGACACAATTGTTAATTTATGGTTCGCATACCCGACAACTAGGCGCATTAGCATAACGGCAACAAGTCGAGCTGGAACGCACCACTGCAGATAGCGGCATCATCATCATCATCAGCGATGCTACACCGAGTCGGGCGAATCTCGTCATAGCGAACAAGGAGGCTAAGTACATGGAACCCTGTCAGCTGCAGTGAATGGTGATATGCACCATAAACTTGCTGTGCGCGACTCGGAGTTCCTTGTACGTAATGCCTGGCATGAAGATTTTTCTTCTGACTGTGACTCAATGGGCCAAGGGAAGTCGGTCGGTCGGACGCGGTTAGAGACTAGGCAGTTTACACTAGTCACCTCACTATCATAGCGTAGCCACAGTACTTACTATCTTTTATTTACGGTTGTTACCTTGCGAGGGTCCCAAGTTACTTGTTCGTCCTGTCATTGGGCTCCGTGAAAAACCTGTTCAAAACACTTGGGGCTTTTAGCATTTTATTAGCATGTTTTTAATATGTCAAGAAGTGGAGGTTGATATTGGGGTGTTGAGTACTTGTCGATAACCCTAAGTATTGTACCTAATACTTCCGAGTCGGAACCACTCATCTCAGATTCAGACATCCGAGTGCCCGAAAATCGGAAAAATCGAAAGAGTAGAATGATTTGAGCCCCCACTGAATACAAGCATGCGCTGTACGATAGCAACACTGAACAATGCGTAAGAACTCACATTTGCACCGAGGCCGTTTTCTAAATTGCGAGTTTTAAACTCGTGTGAAGAAGCTCTAAGCCCGGGGTTCCAATTTAATTTCGCGGGCTCATAGCGCTGTGCGACCGCCAAATTGATTTCTACATTCCAAACGGGGCAACGGACGGGAATAACGGACGTACAAAATATGGAGACACAAGAGTACTACTACGTAGTCATCGAAAGTTCTATGTGCGTTTCATGTCATTTCGACTATATTGATACAAAATCATCCGAGACCGGCAGCATAGATACACTTCCATGCATGCATTAGCCTCCGCAGTGTCGGGTATCAGGAAACAAGTCGCAGACATTCAGGGATCATTTAGGGGGGGACGTCATTCCCCTCGGCTTCTAACATTTCAATGGTTTTCTGAGCGGCTGCCTCTTTCGCAACCCTCCTAGTTGTCGCCGACCCGTCACCGTATTTCATGTCGTTGACTGCATGCACACGATAAGCAAAAAATACGACAGGGCATTTATGAAAAACAAACTACGCACTAAAATAAGTGCCAGTCCACACGGTAAGGTTCTGCGGGCCGCTACTTGTGTCCTCATACTTGAAGTGAGCTGCGAAGGACGCGCCATACCGACCCTGGAGGAAATTGTTGAGACGCATAGCGAAGTCTGTTCATCGTGAATGGTCAGCGAAATTTAGGCACTGGCATGGCAGCCTCGAATGAAAGAGTGACGCACGGGGCGAACTCATGATGAATGACTTGAGATTTGGGTTGTAAGAGTGTCTGTTGTTCAGGTGAAACTGGGTCTCCGCTGGTCAAAAACATGAGGTAGGATGGCTCGTATAAATCCCCTCATGAGCACGTAGATATCAGCTGGCAGTGCCCGTCCGAACGAGAGTTGTCGTTCAAAGGGGATAACTCATTGGACGCTGCGCCACATCTGTCAAGTAAAAATGTACAAAACAGCTTTGGCGTATCGATCACTCACTAGTTTTTGCTAGCGTAACTCGCGGAAGTTCGCACCATGAACGATGGAACGTAAATTGATTACCGAGCTTGCTCGATCTGACCCATTATGTTGGACTAGATGACAGGCCGAGGTTCTTGAACCATGGTTTTGGAAGCTTTGGCTTTGACACTGCGTCCACTCCCGGATGTGTTCGCTCTCCGAGAACACGAATGGTGACAGAACGGACACGGTGGCACAGATAGGATTACATGAGAAGCCCCGAGGTCCAAGAATAATGCCAAAGCAGGCTGTGAACTCGTCGGTGTTATATCATCGCTGGTGGAGCAGAAGACAAGACTGTGGCTGCTGTGCAAATGCTCCGTTCTCGACCCTCGGTCTGGCGGATAGTGAGAATACAGAGATATTACATAGGTTCTGTTATCTTGACGCGGGGTTAACACTTGTGTATGTGTATGTGGGGTATGGCGGCAGACACGGAGAAGAATAAAAAACGGAAACGTTTGAGTGCCAGCACATTTTTTTAAATTTCATTTCGTGTTCGTTGAGGATGATTATTTCAGACCGAACCGGCGATAAGCGCGCGCTCATCGTTCTGCATCCACATGACAGTAGGGGTAAGCGCGCGTCTATGTGCTGGCTCGTGACCAGAGCCATGGCCTTGGTCCTCTGGGAAGCAAGATAGATGCCGTATAGCAGCGGCATAAGGGAAGCCCCATATACGGCACGCAGCTTGAAGACTGCAATATTAAAGACACATTGAAGTTGTATTGTTAGCAGGTGGAAATTCGAGTTGCGAATAAGCAAGTACATGATCCTGACCGCATGTTGAACAGAGCGACAGTTGGGGAAAAATAAACAGTCGATAGGCAAAGACAAGTCCATATGACGGATGATTCATGATCCTCTTCCGAAATTCGAAGTTCTTGTCGAAGGCAGAAGTCGAACGCGAGACGGTCACAGCAAATCTTCATGCTATTCAACACCTCCGGAATGGTAGGAACGGAGGACACATACATCCGAGAATTTGCTTTCAATGAAGCTGATGACATCCACTGATCAGACCGTGGTTCAGACGCTCTCCATCGAGCGGCTCAAATAAGGCGCTAGAAATATAGAAGATGAGATAATATTAATCAAGGTCAACCCATTCTCCGGGAGTCCGGGCTGACTGCCAGTTAACACTTTTGAAATTGCGGTGGGCAACTATGAGGTAGCAGAATGACAATCGCAAACACCATACACGCGGGCCAAGTCAAGTTGACCGTTGTTGCTTGTGAATGTTAGGATCCAAACCTTTTGGCAAATAAACGTACACAAACACACATGATCGGATCATTGAATCCTCGCCGAGGGCACGTTCCGCTCCGTATGCTTGTCTGCACTGGTACTGTGTTTTGCACTGGACAATTTTCCAGGCGCCCTCTGATTGTGGGTAATGATACGCATCAAATCGTCTAAACTCTGCAATTCTACATGGAATCTTGCTGTTTTGATACTCAGATACCACGTGCTATTATGACATTTGGTCCTGGTGAATGCTGAGATGGATAACGAGCGACCATTTTACAATAATATGGCAGTCCATACATTTTACTTCCCCGAGCCCGAGCAGGCAAACGATGAACAAAATCAATACTGGTAAATTATAGTGGTAACGCTGGGCACGCATATCCTTGCGACCCCCTCGTATCAGGCTTCGCTTATGCAAATAACGATCACATCGCATCTACTTGCGTTTCTTGACAGAGCCTGCATCCTTCTTCTCGCCTCCTGCAGGTGCAACGGGTGTGCTGTCAGTCTTTTGTTTGTCATCGGGGGTAGAAGTATCTGTCTTCTTTGCCTGGTAATGATAAAATTCAGTCAGGGAATCCTGGGAAGATGTATTGCAAACCTTAGCAACAGGTTTCTTCTGCTGCGAGCCAACGAAACCAAATAGAAGAGCAAGCATGCCGAAAAGAGTGAAGGCGACACCAGCAAGACCAACACTTGTCTCCGGGTGGGTTTGGATGGCTGATAAGAGGTCCACCCGAGCAGCGTCAAGGAACTGAGCAATTTTACCACGAATATGGGAGATAGGATCCTCCAAGAAGGGGGGGATGTAGTAGTCGCCTTCATCATTGACATCCTTCTGAGCAGAGAGATCCGCCTCGATGGACTTCTTGACGTCGTAGGTCTCCGCGGCCAGAGACATTGCGTCGTCAATAGAGTGCCCAACGTAGATGTTGTTGAACAGAATGTCCTCGGTCATGGTCCAAAGTTCAATACCAACACCACCCTGAGCGCATCAGTTAAGGAGGCTAATACGAGAAGGATGAAGCAGAAACACGAACAATATTGTTTAGGTGCTTGACTGGCTCTAGATCCTCAAAGAAGTTAGGGTTGGGGATCTTGCGCGGGGCCCACTCGCCAATGTAGGCAGGGTTATCAATCATAGGCGCATACCACTTGCCCTTGTACGCGGGGTTGGCTTTGTAGGGGCGTTTCCATTCACCGCATCCAGGAGCCTCATCACAAGCCGGGTTGGAGACCGTGGGCGCGATCCAGTCACCGTCTTCCTCGTCGTCCCACTCTTCGGGCTTCTCGGCATCTGGGTCAGGAATATTCGCGGGTGCATCGTCCAACCAGCCCTCGGGCTTCACAGCATCCTCATCAGGGATCTCGTACGGCTCAGTCTCATCCCAGTCTGCAGGCTGCGCAGTAACATAAACGCCTTAGCTCAACCTCACAAGGAGTAAACATACCTTCACAGCGTCAGGATCACTAATTCTCTTCTCGTTAACCCAGTCTTCAGGCTTCTTATCTTCAGGGTCATCGATCTCCTCCGCAGGGTTGACGGGAGGAGTGAAGTCCTCAAGAAGGCTGCCCGAGCGCTGACTTTCTTTGTTGAAAAGTACATCATATGTGTTGTTGGGGCTGATTACACATAAGTTTCGGTCAGAAAAGGATTGTAAATGAAATTTACTTGACAATGAGGGTGTAAAGGTTAGTGTTCTTGCCAAAGGTGGGCTTTGGAGGGACGGAAAGGTGCTTCTCCTCGAATTCACCGGTAATTGGGTTCTTGTGTCGGAAGATGAAGTGCACCTATATCACAGAAAGGATTGTCAGAGAAATATGACAATTGAATAATGAATGTTTCACCTTAGTGCCAGGACAAGTGTTATCAGGTCCGAACATCACAACCCAAGGGGTAGTATCTGAGAATTCCTTCCCGCTGGTCTGGAAGCCATCCTCAAGAAGTTTGATGTAACCACCGCCACAGTTGCCACCTTTCTGGTACTTGACCTCATACTGAACGACAAGGGGCTTGTCCTTGAAGTCGACAGGGGCGGCGAAAGGTGCAGAGATGGCGTGGTGAGCGGCTTTGGATTTGGCAACGAGGCCCTTCTCGCCCTCAATGAGGAGCGTCTCAGGTTCCTCGACCTCCCATTTACCGACGTAAGAGAATATCTCACCACCGACTGGTGTCTTCTTGGTTGCCTCCGAAGGTGTCCAGCGTTCAGAATAGTCGGCAGTAAATTGCTCAACGAAAGGAGCTTGGATCTCTGTTGCCTACGGATGAATAGTCAGTGAGTAGTGGGTTACATGCATGGCGTCATGGACACGTATGCAAGAAATATGAACGAACTTTGAATACAGGTCTTGAGTCCTCTGACGCTGACGCGCTTGCAGCGGCTGCAACGAGGATAACGGAAAGCGCTACGCTTCGCATTTTAAGAACACGAAGGACCAGAGACGGTAGAAAATCGAAAACGAGCGATGACGGTATGAAGTGTGGCTAAGCACAAACCACCAGCGAGCTCTTATCCTTCCCGGCTAACTCCTGCCACGTATGCTCTCCCACGCCCAACGACATTCCTTGACCTTCTAATTACTCGTGCTCAACTCGCGTCCACTGTAGTTCATTTTCACTTAAATGATAAGATCGATACAAGCTACGTTACACATACGCAACACAGGTACACTACCCAAGTAGATCAGCATGCCCAGATGCAGACAGTGCCAACTATTTTCATTCATTAGCAAACGTAGGCTTCAGTATCATAACAAGTAGCACTCACCACAAACTCATCGTCCAAGTACTTGGACACAGCAATCTGATCACCCAGACCCTTGCGCCGTCGCGTCTTCAACACAAGATCCCGCGCTAATGCTTGTCCTGATGCCGGCTCTAATGGCCGAAGTTTAATGCTCGTGTCAGTGGGATCACCTACACACAATTAATATAGCTGCTTTGATAGGGGATTGTGTATGCACTTACCAGGAACTATCGACCAGTGATCGAATACCTGCAAGCAGAACGCCTGACCCTGCGTGGCAGTTCGAAGGTCGGCTTCGAACCCATTTGCGTCTATCACAGGAATCAAGGCTTTGACCGTATATAACGGCGAGCCGGCCTTGGGGATGTCTTGCGTAACATGCCCCCGGCGTCGGGCTAGAACAGTGTATACAGCTGATATACAGTCAGCTGGCGCCTGCACTTCAACGTAGTAAATTGGCTCCATGAGGCGTGGCGTAGCCTACTAACCCATTAATAACCACAGCGGTACAAATGATAGGAACCTCACCATCAAAAACGATGAGTAGCACACACGGCGTGCAGTGGGGACAATCTGCCCACCACCACGGAAGATTGGCTCTTGAGCTAGACTTGCATCCAGTATCCGGAACTTCACATTACGCATAGCTGTCGCAATAAGTATTGTGAGAGTATGACAAAGTCATCACACAACTAATACATACGTTCATCGCACAAAGGACCCTCGCGAGCTCCCCACTGGAAGCCTTGCTTGATATGCTCTTTCACAGTTCCGAGCAATTTTTTATCAACCTGCATTCCAACAATGAGCAAAATGAAGCAGTGGGATGCCAGCAGACCTGACTTGAGAAGGCAAGGTATCATCGAGCAAAACATTCGGCCCGCTATCATCGGGACCAAACGCCCATATTGACCTTGAAGCCAATAAATCCCATTGGTATTTATCTTGGAAGAATGTGCCACGTTCCTTCGGGGTCATCCGCATGTTGACCCTCCCCCGTTCAATATCTTCGGCAATACCTCTTTCCAAAGGCTCCGCGATCATGGTAAGTTTGTTTCTATAGTCCATTAGAGAGGAAATAAGTCATGTATACCGATACCTACTTCTTGTTTGGCGTATCCGCATAGCACTTCAGTGCACTCGTCTCCAATACAGTTTCACAGAACTTGGTGACTGGATCCGACACCTTGATCTCGATCTCAGCAAATAGCCTCCGAAGGTCATGCATGACACAGTCCAGGTACAATTCGCCTGTACCAATTAGCACATGTTCACCGCTTTCCTCGACCTTCGTAGCAGCGAGAGGGTAGCTCTTGTTGATGCTTCGTAGGCCAGACAACATCTTGGGTAGCTCAGACGGCGCTATTGGTTCAATGGCAATTTTAAGCACTGACTCTGTCATGTGCTTAATAGGCCGGAAGATGTAGAGGTCATCATCAATGGATGGGTCAGCGAGAGTGGCGGTCTTGGAAATGGACGCATCGACTCCTGCAATAAGGACGAGGTTGCCTGCGGGAACCTCGTCTGCCGGAATAAAGTATCTAAGAGGAAAGGGCTTACTCAGCTGGAGTGATCGAATGCAAGGAGCTTACCGAGCTTCGCCTATCCACATGTCTTCCACGATAGCCCTTGCCATGTCTTCCTCGTCTTCTGGTGAGTACCCCTCACCAAGTACTTTGATCGGTGTGCCCTTTCTAAGGGTGCCACTCATGACGCGACCGAAGGCCCTAAATGATTGGGCATCTGTTGTATGATACAACTTCGTGATCTGGACCATTACGGGCGCTTCAGTGTCGCAAGCTTTCATTGCTACAGCGATCTCAGAAGTTTGTGGGCCAGTGTATGTCCGCTCGACCTATACCAGACTCAATTCGACTAATCAAAAGTACTGGAAAACTCATACCTTGCTGGTTGCTCCTTGCAAAGGTGACGGAATATGCTCCGCAATCATGTCAACCAGTCCAGTGGCAGGTCCAAAGAACTGGTCCAAAATAGCCTTCAGCAGGGGCCTTACATCCATCTTGTACATGATTGGCTTTAGAGATATGTTCAGCGATGCAAGAGTACTTTTCAGGTCTTCCGTATCCTCGCTCAGCACATGACTATAGAGCTTATACAAGGGATCAAGGATGAAGTGCACGAATGTGCGGGATTGCTCAGGGTCCGCAGCTTTCCTGGTAAACTTCCGTGTCTCTGCGTTAAAGTATATATCGCCCCAAAGGCGGTCGGCGAATGCTGCAACGTCGAGGGAACCAAACGTGTCCGCATACATTTGGGCGAAGGAACGAAGAGTGAAGCACCAACTCATGTCGGTGCTGGCGAACACGACATTTCCATTTTCAGGACTGAGTCGTAGTTCCGGGTCTGGATCAATCCCACTGTGGAGATTTCTGAGTCAACGAGGATTAACAAACATAGGGCAGGTATAAACCTGATAAAAGTGTTGATTTCTTCAATTGTATGCTTGATTTTGTAGTAGGCGTCTGCAGGCTTGATACGTAACTCGAGGATAAGCCTGTCGATTTTGTTCACAACAAGGGTGATTTTGATGCCCTCTTGTAGGGCATGTCGAATGATTGCTTCGGTATTGACCATCATCTGTTTCAACAGTTCAATTCATTAATTCGTTGTTACGCATAGCGCGAACAGAGGAGCTGACCCCTTCGACAACATCTACAACCAGCAGAATTCCATCAACAAGACGCATTGCAGAAGCAACTTCGTCGACAAAATTCACGTGTCCCGGAGTATCAATAAGGTGCACCAGATGTGACTTGCCGCTCGTAGTCGACAGGATGAGAGACATCGGTGAAGACTTGATAGAGATTTCTCGCTCTCGCGACAAAACATGAGTATCCGTATATCTTGTCTGGATGAACGAAACATAAGCTGTTGCAACCTAGAGAACTCAACTCACAAACCGGTTTATCCGCATCCCAAGCGAGTTTATGCGTCTCGAAAACCAGCATATCCATGAGCGCAGTCTTTCCGTGGTGCAAGTGGCCCACCACAGCGACATTGCGAATCATCTCCGGGAAGGACATCATATTCAGCAAAAAACTACATCTCTGTTGAGTGTAAGCCGCAGAGATCCTCAAGAAGTGCGTACCCCTTGTCAAAGCGCGTCTGTGGCATGTCCTTCTCCTCTACCGTCCATTTTCGCACTTTGATAGGAGCAACTATGGGCTCCGAAAGTGGCTGAGCATCTTCCTCCTGAACGAGAGTCTCTACGTCTGGGCCATAAACATCCTCGGCTGACGGATAGTATTGCTTGTCCTCATGCAGAATAACAGCATTATGGACGGGCTCTGGAAGGTTCCATGAGATACATACAAAGAATATGCTTCATCACAGACCATCAATCTCCATCAGTGCACCCTCCGCAGGCGGCATAAGCTCGTCATCGTATCCCTCTAATGTTGCCGACCGCTGTTGGGGTACCTGACGAAAGTCCTGCTGCAGAACTTCTTCCTCCTCTTCATCCGAGCCCAAGTCCGCGCCAATATAGTTTCCAAACTCATCATAATCCTCGAAGGAAGCCATGGTAAGGGAGTGATTTTAATGCTTAGACGGGGTCGAGGTTCAACGGACGCGTTCAAGTGAGAATAAATTTGGAACTCCGGTCCAGCTCTAAACTTCCTTACTTGAGATGAGGCTTGACGGTCATGGAGCATAGCTGAGCTCGCACTATCACTACCGCAATGTCTACCCTGCCGGACGACACGCTACGAAAGGTGTGTGTATGGTCAAAATTCCCCGTGTACTATCAGATTACTTGACTGGCCATTTGGCAGATCTTGGTCCAGATTCAACAGACCGCCGTCCAGTCACAGCGTGCTCTTAATATTTCTAGACAGCAATCTGCCTCAAAAGATCGAGAGCGGAGAATTCTCCAGCTGACCATTGATGAGATCCAAAGCATCGAAGGAGATGTCAACTTGTACAAGGGCGTTGGCAAAATGTGCGTTTAGATGGGTTCTACAATGGGACCAATGTTCAACTCGTCGTTCAAGGTTTATGATGGTTCCCCGGAAAACCATGGAGCAGGAATTCAAAACCCAGGAGAAAGAGCTGACAGATGACATCAATAACTTGAATAAGAAGGTAAATCGCTCAGTCGTCATGCAAGGATGAGATGAACTCGACCTATGATGTGTCAGGCAAAATATCTCGAAAAGCAGTTTAACGACGCACAATCTCAGCTGCGTGACATTGTGCGTCTCATTATTTGCTCAACCATCACATCGGGATTCACTTATTATTTTGTATTTAGTTCCACCATAGCCCGAAGCAATGAGACCTAGTGTAACAGTTATCCAGCACCCACTACTGTAATATCAACGGACCCGATTGTACAACCTAACGCATGATATGAGCCCCGCAAGTAGCTGAGCGCTCGACAGTCGCGTTTTATGTATCGGCACTACCGGAAGTTACAGTCTGAGTACCTTCCCGCCTTGGTCTCCCCTAGGTGGACCATAGACGAAGGGAGTTAGTTTCATCTCTCAATGTCCATTTATACTCAAATGGTTTTCCATATCCAACTGTCCCTTGTTATTCCCACCACAGCTGGAGGCCGGAGCGGTCTACCGTCAAGCTTGGGCGCAGGGCAACCCAGTACCATTGCGGCCTAACTCAGTGCCACGTATCACCTACCAATCGTCATGCTGTCGCAAGGATTTGCAGTTATACTAGTGATTATACAAGGACTCATGGCGTGTTTTCGTGTTGAACCGGGTCGTTGTCTTGGTCCTCTTGACTAGTTTGTTCATGACATGGCCCTCAGGGATTTACTAACCGTGATCAACCCGTTCTCCTCGTCTCACCGGGAAACAAGCGATGATGATGAATTCAAGCTTCCAAGCATGGCGTCCTTGGTCATCATGCTGGTGATGAATTTCCTTCTTCAAGTAAGACATCTGCATGGGACGTTGCAAAGGTCACTTACATAGTTTGCTTCTGCCGATATAGGTATCATTTTTCATCATCGTTTCGTCAGCAAACGAATATGCAGAGTACTTGGGGGGAAATGCTACTTTCTCTGGTGTTGTCATCGGCATTCCAACTGGCTTCGCTGTACTTTCTTTGATTCCTTTGACGCAGTGCGACAAAGGTACATTCAGATCTCTTCTTTACGCCGGACGCCGTTTAAACCTCGTCTTGTCATAGGGATGTACAAAATGCCCCTTCATGTCAGCTGCTGCTTTGCCATTCTAGGTCACGTCGCCTACGCTGTTGCGTTTCGTGCCAACTTCTTATACCTGATTCTGATTGGCCGGTGCCTTACCGGTGTATCATTTACTATGTTCATGTACTGCAAGCGGTACTGCACGGACCCTCGAATTATTGGAATCAGACGAAGGACGACCCTCGCTGGCTGGCAGGTTGCCTGCCAAGGTTTAGGCCTTAGTCTTGGCCCATTCCTTGGTGGATTGTTGTATAAGATCGGGTTCTCGAACTCAATCTTCAACGGTTATACAAGTCCGGGTTGGATTATGGCTGGAATCTATGCTGGCTTCTGGGTCTTGGTGACACGATATTTCGAGGACATCCCTCGACCACCACCCATGATGATGATGGAGTTGTCTCTCCCCGTAGCGAAAGGTCTCGAGATAGAGCCTTGTCCGAAATATTCATCAGCACCTGCCACAAGCCCTTCCTCGCCTATTGACGAATCATTCAGAGCACAGCTCTCGCTGATCACACCGTCCCAGTGGGGTGTCAATATATGCATGTGCTGGTTTTCGATGGTCTGCTTCTTTATCTTAGGCTCCTGGGAAGCCAACTTGCCTGTATTTGGAGCTGTCACTGCAAATCTCCGCTGGTCTCCGTTTGATGCAGGAAATTTCATCGCCCTCGGCGGAATAATATGCTTCCCCTTCCTCCTCGCCAACATCCTAGCTGCGCGTCGGATACAAGATCGCAAACTCCTCGCATTCGGGACGACTTTCGGCCTTGCAGGGCTTACTACTTTTCTTTTGATCCTTCACACCGACAAAGTCAATTACGACTCACTGTTTGCATGTTGGTGCACCGTGGCGCTCGGGTTTAATATTGCAACTGCAATTACCCTTAGTCTCCTCAGCAAGCAGCTCCCGCCCCAGTGGAACGGACTGCGCTTCGATCGCAATCCAATGCAGTAATTTCACTGGTCGTGTGACTGGCACAATATGGGGTGGTTCAGGTGTTTCCGTTGGGATGATAAACTTTGTAATATTGGAGATTGCTATGGTTGGTATTGGTAGTTATTCTGTTTACAACATTGTGGAACAAGCTGAAGACAAAGAACGGCTGACGTGCTCAGGGAAAGAGCGTTTTCTGGTCCGGTTCTGTAGAGCAAAACGTAATTCACTAGTTCAAACTACAAATTTACGACAGTCGTTAGTAAGTAACTTGCGAAGCAGTTTCGTAAAGTTTCTTTATCATCAAGTCACCTAGCGAGGCCACTGGCAGCTACATGCATAGACTAGGCTCATTTGTTCGTTGCAGATTGAAACATGCAATCCGATCCTAATTATCCGCTGGGAATCCCACAAGTTTATTTGCGTTAGCTACAAGTGTTTATGTCTGGGACTTAAATGTAGTCACAAGTGGGTCAGCTGCCGCGCCTCATAACCGGCGTTACACCAAAAGGTAGAATACTGAGGCCTGAGTACCAGCGACAGTATATGTATTGATTATGGGAACTCAAGTAAGCCGGTGTGCTTACATTGAACCTCTCACCTAACGTCCGTCTTTTGCGGCCTCCCTGTCTGCCACGCCATAATTATGACTCGCAATCATATTAATATCCGTGATCATTCAGCTTGATGTCGACTAGCTTGTTCGTGCAGATGACGGACCTCAAACGACTGCTGAACCAAATCAACCCGTTCTCCTCTCGCCATGAGACAAGCGACAATCACAGTGAGGAAGAGGAATACAAGCTACCGAACATGGCGTCTCTGGTCATCATGCTTTCAATGAATCTCCTTCTTCAAGTAAAATATTGATGCTAAGCACTATGTAACCGTCGCTCACTGCTTCGGCCTTCATAGGTTTCGTTTTTCATCGTCGTTTCATCGTCAAACAAATATGCAGAGTACCTGGGAGGAAATGCCACTTTCTCTGGAATTGTCATCGGCATCCCGACGGCTTTTGCTGGACTTTCTTTGATCCCCTTGACAAAGTACGATAAAGGTATGTTTAGGTCATGTCTTCCTCTCTTTGGACGTTATTTTAATATTTGTTCTTTCATCCTTGCTCTTAGGGATGTACAAAATGCCTCTTCATGTCAGTTGCTGCTTCGCCATTCTTGGCCACGTCGCCTACGCTCTGGCTTTCCGGGTCAACTTCTTATATTTGATTCTTATCGGCCGTTGCCTCAACGGGGTTGCATTCTCCATGTTCATGTACTGCAAACGGTACTGCACGGACCCCCGAATTGTTGGCACCAGACGGAGAACGACACTTGCTAGCTGGCTGGTCATCGGTCAAGGGATGGGCATGAGCCTTGGCCCATTTCTTGGTGGCGTGTTGTACAACATCGGGTTCTCCAACTCAATTTTCAATGGTTATACAAGCCCAGGATGGATCATGGCTGGGATTTACGTTGGTTTCTGGGTTTTGGTGACACAATATTTTGAGGACATCCCTCAACCACCAACCGTTATGGAATTGCAGCCAGCAAGCAATTCAAATGCTCCCCCCATCATTTCTTTAGAATTGAAAGGTGGACACGCCGAGGTTTCTCCCAATTATGCATCAGCGCCTACCACACGCCCTCCCTCGCCCGTTGACGAATCGTTCAGAGCACAGCTCTCGCTGATTACACGGTCCCAGTGGGGTGTCATTACATGCATGTGTTGGTTTGCGATGCTCTGTTTTTTCATTCTAGGCTCTTGGGAAGCCAATTTGCCTGTGTTTGGTGCCGCTGCTGAAAACTTTCACTGGTCTCCATTTGCTGCGGGAAACTTCATTGCTCTCGGCGGAATAACAAGCTTCCCTTTCCTCCTCTTCAACCTCTTAGCTGCACGTCGCACACAAGATCGCAAACTCCTCGCATTCGGTACCATTCTCGGCCTTACAGGTCTAGTCATCTTTCTTTCCATCCTTCGTACTGGCAAAGTCAATTACGGTTCACTATTTGCATGTTGGTGGACCGTGGCGCTCGGCTTCAACCTAGCAACCACTGTGACCCTTAGTCTACTCAGCAAGCAGCTCCCACCCGAGTGGAATAGCCGTACTTCGATGGCAATTCAATACAGCAACTATACTGGTCGTGTTACGGGCGCAATCTGGGGTGGTTCGGGTGTTTCAGTGGGGATGTTGAACTTTGTGGGGTTGGAGATTGCTATGGTCGGTATTGGAGCTGTGTTGTTTACCACATTGTGGAGGGATCTGAAGACGAAGACGGGATGACCCACTCAGGCCTGGGGAAGAGCATTTTGTAATCCATCTATAGAGGCTCACCATCCCCGACTCCCATGCACAAAAATCGCTCTGCACTTTTCTCTGCACCCGACTTGATCCGATGCAATTGATTTCACGGGCGCCTCTATGTAAACTAACACGATTGCGTCTTCGTCAACCCAGGCTCAACTGTTCATACGGATCTGAGCTTGTACCATGTACCACCGCCTCTTTAGACATCGCATAGCGGTCGTTTGAACGCGCTACCTTTCTCTACCATACTATTTATCACATGATAACTCTGAACGTCATTATTGCGTGCCATCCAACATTGCCCATCCCACAGCTTTTCATCGCGTCTATAATATTGCTTGCCTCGCTCGAAGACTTTGGGAGTAAGTCACTCCTGCCTTGTGTGACAATTGCCTATTCATCAAAGAGAACCTTCCATTATCGTGCCGTTGTCACACACGCCAAACCAGGACCTCTCTCGTGCTTCTGCTAATCTAGCTCTGCCTGCCGCTGCGACCTACCACAGTCTTCTGTTGCCTGTTTCGACCTCCTGCACCTTCCTGCCACCCCTGCGCGGCCGCCTGCTCCCTTGATCTTTCGCAGCACTCCGTATAACCATGATGTAGCTCTAACCTATAACCTAGTCATAGTGCACATGCGTCGGGCGAGCTCCTAAAGAAATGTTACAACTGAGTGCTGATAGCTGAACAGTCTCCAGTGTCATGTCCACCGTGACCGCCACCGCATCTTTGTTGCCAACAGCAGCGGGATAGCTCAGCACAAAACCGCCTGTCATGTGGATCATTATCATACTGCGTGCGACCCTCGGTCTTGTATGCACTTGCGTTCACCACTCCGTTATTCATATCCGCGTCTCTTATATCCTGCCTGCTTATTGTCGTACTATATCCCCTCTCAAACAATATCATTGCTCCCAAATTACCAAACGCCACTGAGTCGATGCAGGAGTTGTCGATGCGACCGAGAAAGAGAAGGAGAAAGAGTTCTTTTACGGAAGATTCGTAGTCTCTTTTACTTTCACTCTGTTGTTCAGCAGATAGATTGGGACTCATCTTGTAGAGCGCAGGCTGTCCACCGATGAAGTCTACCCGGAGCCTCTTGTGTATTATATCTGATGTGTAGGTCCTCAAGGATCCATTCTGTTGGAATCCGAGAGTTCCGAGACAAGGAAGACCGATGGATCCGAGCAAGGCACGCACAGTGAGTAATGAGAGGTAGAGGTACGAGCACAAGCCGAAAAGGGACAAAGGGCGAGCGACGCAGTGACGTCGGCTCGCGTCCTACTTTATTTTTCTGTTTCGTTTTAATACATTATTGTCGTCAACGTACTTACCTTAAAAACGCCAGTAGCAGCACCCTGGCATCTCAGTTCTTTTCCAAGACACTGAGATGTGAGTAGGAATTCGTCACCTATACAATACAAAGTCTAACGCGATGTAGTGTACTTGTTCAATAGGTAGACGAACCCTTAACAAGAGTTCTTTTCCAAGACACTGAGATTGTACTTGTTCAATAGACTCCTCGTCCCTCCCGCTCTTCTTATCACAGCACATTCGGGCAACTGCATTTCATACTTGATTGTTTAACAATGACTGTCAACTATAGTTATTTCATGCAGTAAGCTAAACAAGACGTAACCTAATGTACTGAAGTAAAGGGGCGTTGTTGCTAGAGCCTAGTAGTGATATCGTCTTCCTATACTTATTCTTCGCGATCATCAAGATTCTGGCTAAAGAAATATAAGTACTAGTAAGTAGCGGAGAGTAGAATGCTCCAATGGACATCAAAAAAGGAAAAGGAAAAGGAAAAAAGACAGGATCGGCTTGGGGCGTTGTTCTGTCATATGCCCTGATAATCGATTCGATGGCTTGGGACGCAGACGTGTACTGATCTAAAAGCAAGCTTCAGGACGTCAAGAAAATATGTTGCAGAATAACCGACCATGTTCGTGGGGGTGGTGATGCGGATCTAAGTAGTGCAGTGCATCCTTCTTCAGGTTTTGATATTCATCCATCTTCTCGACTTTCTCGCGCATCTCTCCTGAAAATATTGTCAGCTTTGAATCTCAGAATCAGGTGAGCTTTTACTGTGAGACGATAAAGATATGAACGTGTCAGTCACGCGGCGAATTTCGTCAGGATATTGACTACTGAGCATTTCAGCCAGTATTTTGCCGTTCTTTATGATTTCACTACGTAACTTCTCTGAGGTTTTCATAAGCAAGTTATGCAACGGGCTGTCTTGAAACTCTCACCGTTGCGCGCAATCTTTTCTAAAACATCTTTGAGGGCCCATTTGTCCACACCTGGGGCTTTAAGACACCACAAAAGAGGTTCTATTATTCCGGCATCAAACATCTCCTGACGTGCGTCCTCTATATCTTGATCAGTGTGAATTCTCAACACTAACATACAAACTAACCGTGATCGGCGACAATACGCAGGTAATTGATAGCACTATTCTGAACGGAGTCAAGCTGAGTAGTTTCGATCATCTTGCGCAAAATCCCAATGATATTTCTTGGGTACTCGGGCTTATCGGAATAATCCATCTGCTTTTTGACTAGTCTGTGTATCGTCTTCCCCAGGACGTAGTCTTCCGCTTTCTTGAGTAGTCGTCGGGGTGCATCCTTCCGGCCAAAATTCCAAGAACCATTATCGAATGACGGTTCATTATTCGGTTTTAACATAATGGATCGCAAGTGTTCTGCACAACTCGTAAGAACCCCATAGAACGTGGAAATATCAAATTGCCAAACCATTTCTGAATATCTCCGCAAGGATATCTATGCCCTCCCGACCAATCGTTTCGTCGAAGATGCATTCCTTGACCATCTGCAGCAAATGCAGGTCCACTTCAGTGTCCAGTATCCATTTCTTGGCGTCGGCTGAACGTAGCTCAATCAAAATTGTTGACAAAATGCCTCGCAGCACTCACCATATTGCATGAGATTCAAAAGCGCATTCGCAGCAAATAACGCATGGTCTGGTTTTGCCAAATTATCGACCATGCTGTCCAGGCCTTTTCTGTCAATGATTTTTTTGCGGAGTTCAGCTGGGACGATATCAGTTTTCCTAGAGCAAATATCTGACGGACCATACCGTGTTTTGATAGCTCTGTGAGCTCCTGGGTCGCACTGTTGCTCATTTCCACTATGTTATCTCTCGAAAGCGCAACTAGTTTTCCGATGTGCGGGCCCCGTGCAAGCTCGTTGCGCACGTCCCCTGCGTAACAGAATAAGTTATACGGTAAGCAGGGTCTTAGACGGTTTCAGATACGAACCAAATTCAGCGAGTTTCATTAAGCCACGCGGTCCACCGCTCAAACCTTGCTTATCGAACTCAAGCAGGTCAATCAATGTGACAAGAATCCCGCTTTCCATAGCCACCCTGCGGAAAAGTTTGTCTATGTTGGAAGAGCGTCAGCATTTGATCTCAGGAATTGGAAAAGTACTTGAACCATTCTGGCAAATCTCGCATAATGCAGCTACCGCAGCTGGAGTGACAAAGAAATCACGACGCTTTATCAACTCCTTGAGCCTGTCGACAATCTCTATCCGAGATAAGGTATCCTTCGGGATGTTCCCTGAACACGAAATATCAGAACGTGCTGATTTCCGTGAATCCGTGCGGGGACTGACCTTTGCTGGTCACAGCTGCTAAGATATTTAACGCAGCAACGACGACGGTGGCGGCTGAGATACAAATGAAGAACAAAAGCGGGTTGACAGGCGAAGACTCACAACTGTCTTTCAAAACAAGAATCTCTTTGATAAAATCGTGTTGTTGGGAAAGGATGTGACGTGTTTCATCTTTGGTTTGATTGCATATGAGGGGGCGGGTTTGAAACGATTTAGAGGGACGATGCAACTTACCAAAGTGTTGGGTAAGGTATGACAGTGTTTTCATTGCAATCAATCGGTTTTCACCTGCCGTCCGACAGAGATCGACGATTCGCTGAATCAGATCCTTTTTAAGGAGCTTCTCCCTTAGTGTTCTGATTCCACAAAGAGCTGGAAGAGCTGCGCAAGCTCTGCCTTGGTGCGCTGGTTTCCCATCTTTGAGCAATGCGAGAACATCAAGACTATCTAGTATGCTTTCCGTGATCTTGTCCTTATTCTCGACTGTGCGTTTCTGTGAGTTCGTCGAAGTAGCAATGGAAAGACAAGACATACCGAGTCCGCAGTACGCGACGACTGCGCTGAGGCGCACTTCAGGATCATGTTCTTCGACCGTGTCATCATATATGGTCTCCTTGAAATTTGCCAGGCGAGAGATCCTCTCCTCGTCTTCTGTTGCGTGTTCAATATTCGCAATACTTTTGCCGCGAATACCAAGTATGTCTTCTAGCGTCTCAAGTGGAATCACCTCCCGCACCGCTTCAACTCCGAGTTCTGTAATCCATGAGATCGGGTTAGTACGTCAAAATCGTCTGGCATCTCACCAAATGAACACATGAAGGCCAAACGATCGACATAATCAAGCACGTGCTTCTTATGAATCGTACCGACGAGAGCTTCGGCAGTCGAGCGTTTGAAAGGAACTTCCCAGGCATGAGTTTGTGTCGGTAGGTCTTGTGGTGATCGCGACCGCTCCTGCTCGTCGGTGCCAACATGAAAGTAGATCGCCTCAGGCCACTGTTGAAGATTTCTCCAGAAATTTGCTTTCGGCCGGTAATTGGGACGAAATAGAACCGACGCATGGACCTTTTGGCCGGGTAAGATAATACGACCTTTTCCAACATGTGGTCTACAAGTAATCTATGTGTGAGCCGAGTCATTGAGCAACATGGCCACTTACAACGACGTGTGCTGGTTGGAGTTATTGTAGCGAAGACGTCGGACAGGCAGTAGCTCGAGCGGCCACCACGGGAGAGTTAACGAACTATTTATCTTGGGTGCCTTCAAGTCTTCATATTTGAAAGCTACCTTGGAAGGATGAAGCACAAGGCCCGCCTCGAAAGCTTCTTCACGCATCCATATTAAGGGCATGTCTTGGAAATTAAGCGCATCGCTCTTTCTTTTTCCACCGCCTCTGGAACAAATTGTCAAATCATAGCCTTCCGGTGCAGGGGATACATACATATCCGAATGACTACCAGCAAACCAGACCTCTTTTACGTGATCCTTAGCACGATCTTCCCCGTGATCTTTTTCAAGACGAGATTCGTCCTTGGGAGGTAGCACCCATTTCTGTCGATCGCTCATACCCCCATAGACATACTCGGGTAGGAACTTCACCCTGTGTTCATCTAGTGCAAGTGCGTGGCGAAAGTAGCAAACGTGATCACATGTATCGGTAGACGGTAAAATCTTCTCCTTCTTGATACCGACAGACGAAACGGTGTCCCTGTACAGTGTATTGATCATGCTGGTATGCTCGCATTCAGGGATAACACACCATACGCCGATGAAATGTATTACAATGCCTTGTCTCGAGAACGTCGATTTGAATCCCGCCGCAAGTTTCTTATCCTCGGACTTTTCACTGTTGATAGCAGAGTAAAGGTCGAAGGCACTGCTAACGTCAGCTTGTCAGCCAAGGATGATCATCAAATAGACTCACTAGGGGATCTGTTCTAGATTGCCGGGTAATATGAGTCCCATCTATCAGAAGAGTAATGAACAAGAAAGATCATAGATAATAAATCAAAGTTGATGGATACTTCGTGGATCATTCCTGCTAATGCACGAACTTGGTATGCACCTCTCGAAAATCCTGGCCTCGCATTTTAGTACAGTTGACTATATAAAACGCTAACGTTCAAGGAACTTACCAAACAAGAAGATCTTATCACCAGGACAGTACTTGTCTGAGAGCCATCTGTAGGCGTCCATGATGGTTTGGCTGATATTACTTTACTGCCGTTACCACGAGCTGTTAAAGGTCAAGTATATGATACTTACAATGCGAAGGCCAGATCAAAGACATTCAAGACCTGCTTCATCCAGTGCGTATGGCCCTTAGCATATGTTCCTACACCACTGTTGTAGTACGTTATTTGTGTGTCATCCTTGACTATCTCGCTATATAGTTCGACGATATTGGTGTTCTAAGTACAGATATTTATCGTTAAGAAAATCAGAAGGCATGCGCGTCGGACGACCTACTTTATTACAAAACTTGTTTGATGTCCCATCTACAAACTTGAATCATCGTCATCCGCAACTGTAGCTAGAATGCGCACCAATGCAGATGACCAGGTTTCTCCCTGGCCCTTGGTCCCTCGGACATTTACACGACGCGTCGAAGACCTTCATAATCCTGAGTGAGGAGGAATTGTTTGCGACTCCCCAGTTTGGAGCCGTAATAGCAGGGTCTGCCACAATAGTGGCTGGAATGCGTAAGATATTTAACGGGTTCCCTTGCATCAACAAGATTTTATATTGTTCTGAACAGAGTATGCCCACGAAGGTGCAGTAATACGACAACCTGTGCATGAACTGCGTGTGACGCCCGTGGAGACACCACACCCTGGCTTCTTGAAGAGGCGCCATAACTAGATCTATAAAAAATCTGATAAAATTAGGTACAATAATTCGCTACTTTACACACCATGCTGCAAACCTTATGGTTCACGCAGCTGGTGCACGGCAAGCACACACATCATCCTTGGTGTTAGATGCAACGTTGTGTCTTGTTGTCTTTTTATGAGCGCGGAGTGCAGGGGCTCGATCAGGAAGTGACGGACAGAAAATGGAAGACGACGAGGCTGTATTGTGAGGACGCCTAAAATCTGAGATGCAGGTGAAGTCGTTGAATGCAAAACCACAGGTTACATACAAGCCTTATGTTAAATCATATTACATCACCAAACTCTTGTAGACCAGAAGTGACTTTTCGGCTCACATGACTTGTGAAGCTCTCGAAGATCAACCGATCTTTGCCTGTACCCAGGTGAACAGAAGCTCGCATGCAATGTCACTTGAAGTATAAGAAGATGATCGTTCGCAACATTCAACTGAACAACGCAGGACTAGCAATTCTTGATCTGCGTAGACCGTTTTTGGAAGTTTTCCCCTTCGTGCTGTGCGGGACCAGGTGTTACTTTGGGCATGCACCAGCATGGTGGAAAAATGATCATGAATCGCAGCCGTAGCCGAAGATGAAACCATTACGCCGTTGATAAGTGTGAGAACGTTTCGTAAGGCGCTTGCCAGAACGTCTGCAGATCGAGCGCCCGGAAAAGTGTGATGCAGCGTGTTTCGAGCAGGCATTATATTCTGCCAGGTTGGGTTTGAGATGCGAGCGAAGGTCTGGACGGTGATTAAATGAATAACGGCGAAGTCAACGAGAAGGTCACACATCAGGAAGCCTAGCACCTTGAAATGACCAGCCGATGGCCCAACAACGAGTTTGACCCTGAATAAACACTGTTATAGCATAATTGTCTACCCTGTGTCACCAAATCAGATAGGGGACCACGAGTTCCGCAACGCACACACACTGTGTCCACGAAAGAGGGAAACAAGATCAGGAACTGATGACATCTTCCCAAGCATAGAAGTGTACCATCTATAGTGTACAGTCAAATGGAGGGGTGTTGATTTACACCTGTGAATTAGGGCTGATCAGCATGTGAATCTCGGATGGGCATTTTGGGGTGTGAATTAGGGTGAATTAGGGTGAATTAGAATCAGGCATCTCCATGATGGTGAATCTGTGAATTCATGAATCTCACAAAATATCTACACTGGCTACACGGCCAATCATCAAATTTGCATGATGAATATTTGACAAAAGATAAATTAAATGTATATGACACAGCCAGAACCTTGTACATAAATGGTACATTTATGATAAAGAATAAATTTATTTGACAATGATCCAAAGTCAAGTCACCATAAAAGATCTAGTTCAGGATATTTACCCAGCGTGGAAACAAGCTAACTTCGTGTGCTGATTCAGTGTCTTTCCAAGCCCTGGAGTAAAGCATCGGCAAGACAATGACACCAACAAAGGCACGGCAAAGAGAGCAAGATATAGGATTTATATATGAAAGGTGTATGTCATGTATGTGGTAAGTGTAGAGTCTATAATGGCAGCCTTGCTTGTACAGTATATAGGATGCAAGATATAGAATTTACATATGACAGGTATAGGGTAGACAACATGACAAGTATAGGGCATTATAGACATCTTGTAGGCAGTATAGTCTAATTTCACGCTTCACATTGCAAACCACGAGAGAAGTTGATCATGAAGTAGCTTGTCATTGAACATACAGACTGATGTAAAGACAAGATATAGAAATGCAGACATGATACAATATGGTGCCCTACATACCATGCTAAATGTCCCAGACTGTTCAATGGAGGAAAAATCATGAAGTAGAAACCAAAGGATGGGGATAAAAAAGCGTGATGTGCCTCGAAAATTCAGTCCAAATGTAGTCCAGGGTATCAGTGGGTGTAGAGACATCTAGCTCACTGTCATTGTCAATGGCCGTACTGAAAACACCACCGCTTCCCACCCACTCCTCGATGAATTGGCCCTTGAGAGAAATGCTAGAATCCCAGAAGGACCATTTCCTGCCTGGGAAGTTGGGATTGGTAGCAATGAATACATACCAGAACACTTCCTGGCCCCAAGCCCATTCAGGCGTACTTGGATCCACAGATTTCACAAGCCATGATTGGATGTTGTCCAAGAGTTCCACCCAGTGGTCAGAATCTGTGTGGTCAAATGTTAGCGGAAGTGGAAGGAAAGGAAATGATATGTCATTATCAGTTACAGAGCAAGATTGACTGAAAGTTGCAGACTACAGATACACACTGTCAGTCTCATTGCAAAAGATTGGTACAGATACATACATTATTCGAGGGATGAGGCTGCTGAGATGCTATCTCAATTACTGGTACCATGAATGATTTGTATTTGTCTTTCAAAGACACAGAAATTTCGATAGGCTATAGAGCATCTGTCAGTAAAAGTAGCCGTTATTCAAGAAAATCAGATCACATACAATATTCAAACAAGCGAGGTGACGAGGTACTGTGCTTGACAACCATACCAAGAGTGACAAAAGCTGTAGAATGACGTCTTTTGAATCAGTGAGTCGCATATCTGGATAGAAGGTTGAGCTTGAAAGATGATGAGGTTGAAGAATTGACATGATGTCTCCAGGCCTCAGCGCTGTTGATGGGACAAGTGCTCTCAAGCTGGACTTTGCCAAAATTCGCCCAAGGAATCACGTGATCCGAAAGAGTCACCTTCAGAATCACAAGTCTATTGATTATTGCACTCCAATCGCTCGACAAAAGGTTTCATGTCTGCCACACTGTGGCCTGTTGATGGTATAAGTAAGTTTTGTGCTCAACGTGAATAGTGTTTACTGATGTTTAATGCAGTCTTGCAGTTTTGTGGAGCATCTCAGGTTGTTTGCAACATGTGTCCAAAGCATGATAATGCTCTGCGCACAATGCATCCCAAGCATGCACTGAAGCATCTTGCCACTGGTGTACATCAGCGTCATGCCAGGGCCTGGACATCAATGGGCTCGAAGGCTCCTTCCCAGCAGCAACAACGAAGGCAGCAGCGCCATCATGAAGCAGAATGTTTACCTTCACCTGCTGACGGCGACTCAGATTTTACTTCTAGTGCCATGGATGTTGACAATGCTGTCCATATCCCAGATCCACATGGACCAGACCATGAAGTAGTACCAGTCGCTGATCTCTGGGATGCAATCTCAAGCAGTCCTTTCTACCAAGTCAACAAGACATGCGATTTGTATGAGGAGTTGCAGTCTGCCCTTGCTTCAGGGGATCAATTATTTTCCATGCCGCTCACCCCAGTGAGTGAAGAGATTGGCTTTGATGATGAGATGGGATCAGACTTTGGGATTGAACTTTTAGGTGAGACACTGTTTCATTTTGTGCAGGAGGCTTATTTACATTAATAGATGATTGTACATTGACCGCCTTGTGTGATACAAATCTGAACTGTCCAGTTTCACCTGACAATCCAAATTATCCTTAGCCATCAAAAGCTGTATGTTCCAACATCTTCGTGCATTTTCACTGCTAACCTATCATTTAAGCACTATATTACCACATTACTATTTAGTTCTCCAAGGCTGCCATTCTCCAAGGCGCAGAAAAAGGCAGTTCCATCTTGGGCAAAGGCACTTGGTGCCCATGATGTTCCCTCGCTATACACATTGAATCGGCTCCAGGAATCTGTTTGAATGCTTGTTGGCAATCCAACAGAAAAGATAACTGCATGTTTGGGTAATATATTTTATCTCAATAATGTTGGAAAAGCAATTGCCAAGGTATGCAGTTCCAACATGATCTCATCTCTCAACACTGACATTGAATGTTCTCATTTAGGACTATGCAAACCCTCTCACGCATTTTGCGATGCAGGATTACCCTGAAGACAGCGGCAAGGGAATGTTGCAGGTGCTCAATGGAGAAAAAATGCTGTTTGAACTCCCTTTGCCCCCTGCAGCTAAAGTTGATGGAGAGATCTACTTTGTGAATGAGCTCTTGCAGGATGTGTCAGGAGACTACTTTATACCCGAGCACTTCTTTCTTGCATTGTACTCATCGACAAATGATGGTGCGGACAAGCAGCTACATGCACTTGGCCGTGCTGTACAATGAACAGAGGTGAGTCCGTTCTTTGCATACTTTCACTTTTACTGATAGACTTAGGATGGGTTTATTGTCAGTGATGAGCGGGAGATGATTCCAACATCTAACTTTCGAAGGTCATTCAGGGAAATATCTGCCAATGATGACAAACTCACTTGTGGGCTGACAGAGTCATCAAACAAGTATGCAAAACTCGTGCTGAATCCTTTGCGTGCGAAATCTCAAGGATGTATGGTGTATTCAATCCCTCTTATAATCTTCATGGACAATGTATCTAGCAATATATCCAAGCAATGGAACAAGCACCATGCAGTGTACATGTCGAACGTGAATCTACCTCACAAAATGCTCGAGAAAGAGTTTTGCATTCAATTCATCATGTCATCTCCTCATGCAGCCCCAATGGAGATGATGAGCACCATGCAAGAATCAATTAGGTATGTGATACTTATAATGTGTGATAGTGAAACATGACGCTGGTGATCTTAGGAAAGCTGCGGAATCTGGAGTCTTCACTTGGGACTGCAAGCACGAAGAAGAAGTTATGCTGGAGCTATATGGTCTGTTTCTCGGTGGCAACAATCCCATGCAGGCCGAGGAATGTAGCCACACAGGGCTGCATTGCAACTACTTCTGCAGGACATGTGAAGTTGGCAGAACAAAAGAGTATAAAGAGTCAGATGAGGGCTACAAGAGTATCTTCGTGGTATGTAGCATATTCTTGCCCTGCTTGTCACCATGTTGACTGACTGTCCAAGTAGCCAGGAAAACTTCGCACTCCTGCGGGAACAGCAGAAGAGATTCATGCGCAATTTTCTTCTGTGCTTGCTTTGGGTGCGACAGAGAAGATTAAGAAATCTGTCGCTTTGTCAGGCATGAAGGACATGACAACTGGTTACATTCTTGAGACGGTTGTTGAGCTGGGGAAGAAACTTTGCAAACGGGGTGCTGGCATTCAGGCAAAGCCAGAGGCTGAAGTCAAGGCTATCCTAGAGAAGCAACTCAAAGACCTCCTGCGAGGGAGTGCACTCAATGACGCAATCAATCCATTACTGGGTGTGGAAGGTAACATATATGTCCTCATTTTCTGCTTTACATTGACCTTTTGTCAGGATTCAATGTTCATCAGGACACGCCGACAGAAATTCTCCATACAGTTCTACTGGGAGTTGTCAAGTACTTTTGGGGTCAATCTGTTTATCGTCTCAAGAAGGCAAAGCTTTTGGACGTTTTTCAAATGCATCTCAACTCTATTGAGAAGGCCGGACTCAATGCTCCATGTCTCAACGCTGAGTATATTTGTCATTATAAGGGTGGGCTCATAGGGAAACACTTCAAAAGTTTAGCGCAGGTCATGCCATTTCTCATTCAAGACTTACTGCTGAGAACGGTACTTGATGGCTGGACATGTATTGGTGAGCTTGTTGTGTATGTTTGGCACATGGAGATAGATGATATAGAGATATACTTGGTATGATTGTGCTCTGACACTGCTGCACCAATGCTGATTGAATCATAGACAAAGCTTTCCCAGAAAATTGAGGATTTCCTCAATGTCACAGCAAAATGTGCACCAAGCATTCTCATCTTGAAGCTGAAATTCCACTTTTTGGTCCATCTTCCCGCATACATTCATCGCTTTGGACCAGCCATTCTCTTTTCCACTGAATGATACGAGTCGTTCAATCATGTGTTCCAGCTGGCATGTATACATAGCAATTGACAAGGTCCGAGCCAGGATACATGCAAAATATTTGCAAGGCAAGATATCATCAAACATATTGCGACTGGTGGTTAGTGGTTTGATAGTGCTAGGAAAAGTGGGTTTGGGCAGGTGACGCAGTTTTGAACTACCTTGACAAGCATCCAGAGCAAGCACGGCTTTTAGGAATTCATATACAAGAACCTCCTGTGACAGGTAATGTGCCATTCATTGAATACCAAGCATCGTGGATTGTAACATCTATTACTCAAGGAACTGGTCAACTCAAGAAAGTCACTATCAACAATGGATGGCCTGTGGCAGCAAACCCTGTGATGTGGACAGCAATGTGCTGCACCAAGCTCGAGCTCTCACAACCTGTCTGTAATGCTCAATACCGCGAAGGCATCTCGTTGATTCTTGGCAATGGTGAGAAAGCGTCCTTAGAAGGCCATATCATTTTCAATGACTCTTCAACATCCCACACAGCCATTGGGCGCATTTGTGAGATCCTGATTTTGAACTCTAACAAAGCCATGAACCATGTTGCCATTCAGAAATTTGCTTTTGGACCTGTTTTACATCCTTTACTTCACCTCCCCACTCTCAAGCTCACACAGCATGAGGTTGTCATTAGCCCACAAGTAAGTAACATGATCCTTCAATCAAGCTTATTGACATGCTCATGCAGTGAATCTAGGAAATCATTTGTATAGTAAACATCCAGCATGACTGTGTCAAATCATAGTGCACAGACACCAGTCAATGTCGCCTTTGTCAAGAGTGAACCGAGACCACACGCATGAAGTCCATCATTCAGCACAAATCCTCACCATTCTACTTGCTCAATGCTTACTCAATTCACAACTATGCCCAAATTTGATCTGTCATTCCTCCATCACTTTGTGAGACATCATTGAGGGTCAATAATGCAGCACAGGTTCGTTTAGCAGCAGCCCATCAAATGTGGGAGAAGAAAGCAGCCAAGAAATCAGGTGAAACACCAGATACTGAGCTTTCGAGTGCATTGTGCGATGTCATAGCTGATGTTCCTGCAGTATTTGACCATCCAGCAGCAAAACGAACCAAGAAAACACAGAAAGCAAAAGAGAAGGCAGCTCCACTGCAGCTGCCAGGTCCACGACAACCCACAATCACACAGGCAGCTGCATCTTCGAGTTCCCATCTCCCAGTGCCCATGCCTTCTCATCTCCCATCACTACATCTGCCTGCTACTGTACCTTCACAGATGCAGCATTCCCTCAGACCCCCATACAGTGCTCCCCATTCGCATAACTCTTTGCAGCCACCCCCAATGATATTGACGTGACAATCATCTCCCGCACTCGGTCCACCTAGACCTCCCCCTTCTCATCCTTGGCCATCAAACTCACCTTCCATGGTGCCGCCAATGTATCCTGGGCAATATGGTGTCCTGCCATATCAGCACACTTTGGGGCTAGCTCTTCCAAATCCCTCATACCCTCCCCCCCCCCCTTCACCTGCCCCATTCACGACAACTGCCATATGATCTTCCCTTGCAACCTTCCGTGCCAGTGATGACCTCTCTGGCACCCTCAGGCTCCACACCACAACCAGTCCAATAGACAGTACTAGACAGAACTCCCCATTCCTGCAAGACGCTGGACTCTAAAACTCCCCATTTCTGCAAGATGCTAGATTTGCATCCTCACTGCCTGTCCTTGAAGTTCTTCCTCCATTGTTCTTGGACAGGTTTGCATGTTTGTTTTTGAAGTTCTTCCTCCAGCATTCTTGGACAGGTTTACATGTTTGTCCTTGAAGTTCTTCCTCCATTGTTCTTTGACAGGTTTGTGTGTTTGTCTTTGAAGTTCTTCCTCCATCATTCTTGGACAGGTTCATGTGTTTGTTTTTGAAGTTCTTCCTCCAGCATTCTTGGACAGGTTTGTGTGTTTGTCCTTGGAGTTCTTCCTCCATCGTTCTTTGACAGGTTTGTGTGTTTGTCTTTGAAGTTCTTCCTCCATCATTCTTTGACAGGTTCGCGTGTTTGTCTTTGAAGTTCTTCCTCCAGCATTCTTTGACAGGTTCACATGTTTGTCTTTGAAGTTCTTCCTCCAGCATTCTTCAACAGGTTCGCATGTTTGTCTTTAAAATTCTTCCTACTTCATCACACCTTACATTATAATATATCAATACCAGTATCTTTCAGTCTGCCCAGAGGACAGAGGCCTGAATTTTCATTCTCTGGGTGTCAACTTTCGGAGTGTTACAGATTCTATTTATAATATCAAACTTCAAGCAAGAGCAGCTGCTGTGGCCTTTGGTGTTTGCGACAATGTTCCAATGTGGTTATCATCTGCACATACCTTCTGGTGGCAACCAACGCTCAACATCACCTTCATGAGCAGAGCAATTGCCAAGGCCACAGTTGAACTCAGGAACTTTGGGGGCAAGATCCATTGGAAGGAGTACTACGCCTGACCCTGGCAGTGGAAGCTCATCCAACCATCTGTCTGCTGGAGGGCATAGATGTAGGTCCTCGTATATAAGGTCTCATTTAACTTGCTAATGTACTTCACACTGTACAGATGCTTCCCGATCCCTGAACCATCAATCTAAAAGTGGTGATGGCCCAGCAGTACCTGGCCTTGAAGTCCAGCCCCCCTCTAGTCCAATGTCATCATTGGATGAGCCAATCAGCACAGCAATTCATTGATGCAGGAATAGTGGAACTTCCAACCATGGGGATCCTACAAAGCTTACACCCCAACGAATGAAATGCTTGAAGACATATGCCAAGAAAATGTGTGAAGACAATGATGTCCCTATCGGAGACATCATGTATTTCATCGATGTAAGAAAAATTTGTCAAACCATTGGCATTGTTGTGTTGGCTGACTCTGGCTTGATGCAGTCTGGCGACATTTTCTTTATGCTCATAGACCTCAAAATTACCCTTATCAAACTTTGCGAGGGAAATAGGGTGAAGAGAATGCAGGAATTGAAGGATGCCTTAGAATCGAAGGACTTCAAGGTGACAGTGATACTTTTCATTCTGTGTTATTCTAGACTAACTTGGACTGGAAGAATGGGCTATATAACCGTTTGTTTGCATGTATGCTGTTGCCAAATATCACAGCATATGTTACTAATACTCAGCATCATATAATGGTATGGCTTCGAAGTCCATTGTTCAGCGCCGCTAACTTGTTTCAGGACTTCATTACCACTCATTCCAATGTCTTCAAAATTCCTCCTGGAATGCTCGAGGATGTCGAACTCAGAGCTCAGTTGGGCAAATTGGTTACAAAGCTACTTACAGGCATTTGGAGTGTCATCAAGAATGCCCTCACCGCATCAATTGTCAAGCACACGAGCATTGCTGATGTGATGAGGGCACTTGCACACAGTGGGTCTGGTATGGAAGTTGACTCTACTCATTGGAACAGGATCGCGCTCCTGGTAAGTGATAAAACATACATATCTATTAATTAACACTTGTTTGTATGGGGACAGCGGCGTCTTCTACGAATTTTTCTCATTGGAGTCAGTGACTACAAAAATGCTTCCATCAACGATTTATTTTCCCCTTACCTTATTCCATTGCTTAAGCAGGATATGCAGTGCAAAGTTGAATGTGAACTTGGTGTCAACATTGCACAACTTGAAGATGACTTGTTTGGCACTAACAATGCACTTGGGTCTAACAATCAGGCCTCCCCAGACACTCCAACAGGTAATGGTCACGCACCCAGCGCTAGGAGGATTGAGAATGGTGCCAACATGGATGATGAAGAGCTCAAGGACCAAAGTGGAGTGCAGCTGGGTGGTGGGGATGCTAATGGAGAGGAAGAGGAATTGAATGGGCTTGGGAACAGTGTTGAAACTGCTGCAGTCTTACTAGATGATCCACTGGACTCCAGATTTGGACTGGTTGAAGGTACTCCAGCACACTACACCAATACCATCAGATTCTGGAACTTTGTCAATCACTCGCTCTTAGTCATGTGCCAAATATCTAAGGAAGCCTCCTCGACTCCTGCTGAGCAAGAGAAGGAGTTGCAGAAGTGCATTTTTGTTGGCTCATGCAGTTATTGACACTGATGTTTGGCTAGGTTGTTCATTGAAATATTCCAAGCTGATCTTGCTGAGTTTCCTGGTGGCAAGAAGGTCTCAAAGTTAATTTCAAGGATGAATCCTTGTTGGCAGACTGCTATTCAGACCAAGCTTATTTGGACCACCTAATATTCCCATTCATTTTCACCTCTCCTGCACTGCTGCATCCCTCATTTTAATCATACCTGTCATTTAGCTGCCCCTGCATTGCATTCCTCATTTTAATCATACCTGTCATCATTTGGTACAAGAATAATACGTGCTTTCTATGATCTCTCGATGGTGCAAATATCAGTGCAAAAATATTCAGGTAGTACCACTACAGCATGTTGATGGGTGTGCACTCTACATATGCTCATGTGTCATATGTATGCCGGAATTATATAGCTTGTACATCAGCCAACCAGTATACTACCAATACCTAGGTCTCAGTATAGGATCTATGTTTTCAACCAAGCATGATTTTGGTGCTCAATCTCAGTACATAATGTGCACCTGAAAACAGCCAATGGACCTATACCCTACCAGCATCACATTCATACTCTGACATCACCAACGTTATGTCAGCCTATGAATCCATCAAAATTGTATTATTTAATTATATATAATACACATGACGAAAGTTGATGCATGGAGATCAGGTCAACATAGGACCAATAACCCTATTTTTGGACATAAATGCTATGAATTTTCTGATTGGCCATGTAGGCCATTAAATGAACCACATTCTCAACCATGAACTGTGAAATGAGAAATAAACTACAGCTACTATCTCTTTATTTCCAAAATCTCCCTGAAACCATTCCTTATGTGGACCCTTCAATCATGCAGTATGGCTTTGACTTCTTTGCCTTGGATGACAAGAAGTTTGAGGATTATGGTCCCATCAGTGCACATGGGTCAGCGCGACAAAGGTCCTATTTCATTTAAAGAATGTGGACCTAGCCTCAATGCTGTGACCAATGTGCTTGGTGGCTACTTGGATCAGTACTATGAGTCTCCAGAGACAGTACTGTTGAAGTCCAAATGATCCAAAGAGAAAGAGAGTGAGGAAGCTAAATGATCTGACATGATAGGTATGAGTGGGAGAGAGAGGTCTAAGCACATGAGCCAGATGGGTCAATAGGCTGTGCCCCAATGACATCGGCTTGCACCCTGCAATATACATATGTCAGAAAACTTCACCTTTGTGTTCCTTACTTACCTTGCTATAAAACCAAGTACCCATCAGATGCGCACATCTCAGTTCTAGTTGAAACTGAGATGTGAGTACTTGGAAACATGTATGTCAGCATTAGCTAACCAAAACCATAGTGTACCTTTGTGTTCTAGGTACTATGCACGTTAATATCAGTTCTAGTTGAAACTGAGATTGTATCTTTGTGTTCTAGCTCCCTCTCCTGTCATTTGCTTGCCTGTTCTTGTAACAAGTACTTCTTGTCAAATGGGTGGATGACCTTACCATAGCAGCAGCAGCAGCATTCAAATCTGCTGGCATTCCATCCTGCCAAAGATTTGCCTCCTGCTGATCAAATGCCTCCTCCACCTGATGCGAGAACAGTGGACTTGGACTTGGACTTGGAAGATGAGTTTGATAATGGTGCAGATTGGTTGGATGGTCCAGCTGCTCCTTCACAGTTTAAGACAGCAAAAAAAGACTTGTTTGTGCTTGCAGCATCCAGTGGTATTGATTTACATGCACCCTACCTGTGTGAACTGCTCAATTTAATTGGAAAACAACCTGCACACCTGGGTTCCAGACTAACAAAGAAGGCTGCCACTAAAAACCTGTCCTCATCTGTCCCCAACCCTTCTGCTTGGGACAAGTGGAAATAATTCACCTAATTCACAGTACACTTGACCTAATTCACCTGTAAATTAGTGTTGATTTACAGACCTGTTAATTTACTGTAATTCATGCTGGTGAATCTGAAGCCTCTGGGTGCATTGCTAATTTACCCTGTGAATCTTGGACAGTTCCTAATTGACCATACACTAACCACCTATATGCATGCACTGTTGATGCAATCAGGTCACCAGCACTTCATCCTCAACTGTAGGCTTTCCAAGAAAATCTGAGCAACAAAATGTGTCTCTCCCTGCATTATCATCTCCACATCTGCTCCAGAGCAAACCTGAGTCAATTGGTTAAATTCTCTTACATGCATTAACACTGTCTTTCTCACTGCATTCAGACTAAACTCCTTGAATTCAGCTGATTGCAAAACATCCTCAGCACTGCTATAAAATGGTGGGTTACACATAGTGAAGTCAAAATCCACTGGACTTGTATGCTGTGGTTAAAGAATATGCCCATCAGCCTGCACATGCTCAACAACAATGTGACTGTCTATAGAATTCTGAGAGACATTTTGTTTGGTGAATTGGACAGACCATTTGCTGATATCTGAATCAGATGTCCCCATCACATTTTGGAAGTATATTGTTTATGATGCTTACCGGTGGCTACAAAGCTCCAATTATGTTCAATACCACATGCCAATAACAGGTAGATTGCTGAAGCACCAGTGCCACTGCATCAGCAAATCACTTTGCCTCTGTGGGCTCTGTACAGCTCTGTACAGAAGGAACCAAGCTGTGGCCAGCCATTTTTTTGTGGTGGGAAAAAAAGTGTTTTACTGATGTGAATAATGTTTGCTCCACTGCATTTAACCTGGAATAATGTGATGCACATATCAAGCCCTTTGATGATGGTGGAACCGCAAGTGAATTTCGCTATGTCTTGTAACCAAGGAACATAGTTTAATCTGTATATCAAATTTCCCATATTTTAGCCTTCCTGCATCAATCCTCTAAAAGGTGAAAGTACCTGTTTGGCACATAATGTGCATTTGGTGTGAGATAAATAGTAGTTTGCAACAACAAGCCTCACTGGAGGGCAGAGTCTATCATCAGTGAATTGATGAGTTTATGATATGGTAGCTGTGTCATATCCCACAATCCAGACCCACGTTCCATCATATTCCCACGCCTTCCAAGCCTACATCTGGACCCCACTTCATATCCAGCTCATTCCCAGATCCCCTTCCACTGTGCTCCACACCTCAGCAGGATTGACTATGCTCCAGATTTATCCCTGAGCTCCGGACCATTGGATCTCCACTGCTAGCCTGATCCATACCCCCCTGTCCCATCCACCCTATACACACTCCATCCAGCAAGACATCTGAACTTCACCTTGTCTCGGATTCCGGACTATATCCACCTTCTCATATTCCGGTCCTGTATCCACCTTGTCTTCCAGATCCCCAGATCTCCGGACCTCTGGATATTAACGCTGGACCTATTCCCACCCTCTGTCTGATATCCTGCGCCTATCCCCATTTAGGCATCTCTACCTTCCCGGCTTTTGGTTACCTCTTCTTCCATCTTGCTTATTGATCCTTGTACAAGTCTTCATCTCTGAGTTCATTTACTTATGTTCCATCTTACTTACTAATGTGTTTCCACATGCTCATACATAGCCCTGCTCCTTTGCTTATTGATCCCCTCAGATATTCTCCAGTATATAACCCCTGTAGATACTCCTGTAGTTTCCTTAGTTTGAATATCAACTTAGACTTGCCCAATCCTCTCTTGGACTTTGGTCCAGCTAAGTCTGTCCTACCCATCAGGCCTAGGGATTGATTCCCTAGGCTGGAGCTCCGCCTTTCTGGCACTTCCCCTCTTTCTGGACTTAGGTCCAATCCCTGACCCTTCGACTCTACCTTAGTGTAGTCTTCCCCTGTTTGTTTCTACATCAGACTTCATCCAATGTAGCCCCTATTCCTTCCAGACCTCCGGACCTCCTGTCCCTTGTACCTCCAGGCATCCTGTCCTTCAGATGTTCCGCCCTCCATACCTTCAGATGTTCCGCCCTCCATACCTTCAGATGTTCCGCCCTCCATACCTTCGGACATTCCATCCTCCTAACCCTCAGACATCCTATCCTCCTGTCCTTCAGACACCCTGCCCTCTGTACCTTTGGACATCCTGTCCTTCTGTCCTCTGTCATCCTGTCCTCCTGTCCTCCTGTCCTCCTGTCCTCCTGTCCTCCTGCCCTACTGTCCTCCAGACCTTTGGACCTCCTATCCTTCCATCCTGTTTCCTGTAGAAGTATTACCTTGCAGTGGGAACTCTCCTGAGCACTTCCTGCATTCCTCCAGAACTCTCCTGCGCTCCTCTGGACATTTCCTGCACTCCTCTGGAAGTCCTCTAGCGCTCTCCACCAGAGTAGCCAGCCTCCGGAAGTCCTCTGGACTTCATTGGACCATCATTGGACCTCATATGAAATGAAGGGCACATACTCGGGTAAGGGGCACAGCGTACGAGCTGAGGCCAAGCCCCTCTGAGTCAGTCTCTCCCCCTTGAGCAACATGGTTCTTAACAAGCTGTGAGAAATATAGGATGATATAATTCTGCTCCTGCTGAATATACCTATGTATACAGTGAAAAATATGAGTGATCAGTACATAGCCATGGATATCTGAAAATCCATTTTACCATGAGGAGTTCATGACAAGATCATGATGTTGCACTGCTGCAGCAATCAATGTGCAATAGCATCATTGAGTCACACTTGTTGACTCATACCATATTCCTTCATTTATGTTTTGAACTACCAAGTGATATAAGACTTTATCATGGAAAGTGTCAAGAACCATGCTCAAAGGAGAGAGAGACTGACTCAGAGGGGCTTGGCCTCAGCTCATATGCTGTGCCCCTTACCTAAGTATGTGCCCTTCATTTCAGATGAAGTCTGATGATGGTCCGTCAAAGTCCAAAGGACTTCCAGAGGCTGGCTACTCTGGTGGAGAGTGTGGGAGGACTTCTGGAGAAATATCCAGAGGAGTGTGGGAGAGTTCCGGAGGAGTTTTCTCTGCACAGAAAGGGAAGAGACCCCAGGGTAATACCTCTACAGGAAACAGGATGGAAGGATAGGAGGTCTGGAGGACAGGATGTCCAGAGGTCTGGAGTATGGAGGACAGGAGGACTGAAGGTCTGGAGGACAAGATGTCCAGAGGTACACAGGACAGGACATGGAGGTATGGAGGACAGGATGTCTGAAGGTATGAAGGGTGGAACATCTGAAGGACAGGACATCTGGAGGTCTGGAAGGAATAGGGGCTACATCAGACAAAGTCCAATGTAGAAGCAAACAGAGGTAGACTACCCTAAGGTAGAGTTGGAGGGACAGGAAGTGGACCAAAGTCTGGAGAGAGGGTAAGTGCCAGAAAGGCAAGACTCCAGTCTAGGGAAGCAATCCCTAGACTTGGGACAGAGACATAGGGGACAAATCTGAAGGTCTGGAATTCCAGCCTAGGGAATCCTTCCCTAGGCCTTGTGGAAAAGGACAAGACTCAGATGGACTGAAGTCTGGAAGAAGATTGGGCAAGTAGAACAGGAACTAAGATATTCAGACTGAGGACTCTACTGGAGTTGTACAGGGGTTATATACTAGAGGATATCCAAGAGGATCAGTAAGCAACAGAGTAAAGCTATGTATGAGCATGTGGAAACACATTGGTAAGTAAGATGGAACATAAGTAAATGAACTCGGAGATGAAACCAGTACAAGGATCAATCAGCAAGATGGAAACAGAGATAACCAATGTCTTTATAACCAAGGGTCTTATATAAATGCATGTAAAATGTAATGACACCACAATTACACTAGGATAAGACTTCTTGCCAGTCTGTCATATCCCATAATCTGGACCCACATTCCATCATATTCCCACGCCTTCCAAGCCTACATCCAGACCCCATATCCAACTCATTCCCAGATCCCCTTCCACTGTGTACTCCACACCTCAGCAGGATCGACTACACTCCAGATTTACCCCTGAGCTCCAGACCTCCAGATCCTCACTGCTAGCCTGATCTGTTCAACCCTATCCTGTCCACCCTATGCACACTCCATCCAGCAAGACATCTGGACTTCACCTTGTCTTGGATTCTGGACTATATCCACCTTCTTGTATTCCAGTCCTGTATTCACCTTGTCTTCTGGATCCCCAGATCTCTGGACCTATTCCCACCCTCTATCCGATATCCTGCGCCTATCCCCATTTAGGCATTCTCTGCCTTCTGGCTTTCAGTCACCTCTTGTTCCGTCTTGCTTATTGATCCTTGTACAAGTCCTCATCTCCGAGTTCATTTACTTATGTTCCAACTTACTTACTAATGTGTTTTCACATGCTCGTACATAGCCTTGCTCCTTTGCTTACTGATCCCCTCAGATATTGTTCAGTATATAACCCCTGTAGATACTCCTGTAGTTCCTTAGTTGGAATATCAACTTAGACTTGCCCAATCCTCTCTCAGACTTTGGTCCACCTAAGTCTGTCCTATCCATCAGGCCTAGGGATTGATTCCCTAGGCCAGAGCTCTGCCTTTCTGGCACTTACCCTCTTTCCAGACTTAGGTCCAATCCCTGTCTCTCTAACTCTACCTTAGGGTAGTCTACCTCTGTTTGTTTCTACATCGGACTTCGTCCGATGTAGCCCCTATTCCTTCCGGACCTCCGGACCTCCTGTCCCTCATACCTCTGGGCATCCTGTCCTTCAGACATTCCATCCTCCTAACCCTCGGACATCCTATCCCCCTGTCCTTCGGACATCCTGTCCTTCTGTCCTCCGTCATCCTGCCCTCCTGTCCTCCCATCCTTCTGTCCTCCATCATCCTGTCCTCCTGTCCTCCTGTCCTCCTGTCCTCCGGACCTTCAGACCTCCTATCCTTCCATCCTGTTTCCTGTAGAAGTATTACCTTGCAGTGGGAACTCTCCCACGCTCCTCTGGATGTTTCCCACACTCCTCCAGAAGTCCTCTAGTGCTCTCCAGCAGAGTAGCCAGCCTCCAGAAGTCCTCCGGACTTCATTGGACCATCATCAGACCTCATACAAAATAAAGGGCACATACTCAGGTAAGGGGCACAGTGTACGAGCTGAGGCCAAGCCTCTCTGAGTCAGTCTCTCTCTCCCTTGAGCAACATGGTTCTTAACACAGTCCTTGATTAACATGGTCTACAACTTTTCTTCTTTCATGGTAGATAATGTGTGAGTTCTTGGGAGGCTCACTAAACCAATCAATGTGATTAACTTAGCCAGAGCTTTTGTGTTTTATCCCAACTTATAAACTTGTCTAGGATAAACTGTCTAGACACTGGAACATGGTTCCTCATTAAGATAATTCTCTGTAGAGACTATGGTCTCAAATACAAATACATTGACCAAAGACTGGTTGGTCAAATAGGTACAAAGTGGTGAGAAACTGGTCTCACAAATGAACAGATTGACCAAAGCTTGTGTTGGTCAATATCAGAAAACTAGGTGAGAAGTGGGTCTCACAAATGAACAGATTGACCAAAGCTCATGTTGGTCAATATCAGAAAATGAGGTGAGAAGCTGGTCTCAAATAAACTAAGTTTCTATCATAAGAAACTTATGTAATCTCAAGGGAATGTCTTTTCCCTGCACTTGGTTTTTCAAAGGGGCTTACTTTGTAAGCAACAATCTTCACAGTGAGTAGATACAATGACTATCACAATTGTACTTCAATAAGACTAAGGTGCCAGCTCCTCAAGTTCACAGTCAATGGATTTTCTACTTCTTGGTTGATAATGTGTTGTTTGTGGGTGGCCAAAGGGTAATAAATTACTTCTTTGCTAGATCACTTCTTGGTAGTAAAGGGAAGTATATATTTTGTCAGGTTAACTTAAACCTAGTAGGTAATATGGACCTCTGCTGAATCGAATATGATAGGCTGTTGTATAGGTAGTCCCTGTAAGATAGTATACAACCAATTAGACTAGAAATACTATAGTTTTCAAAGGCAATCTTGAGGCCTTCACTTTCTTCATAATCTCACACTATTGAGACAGAAAGAGGGAAAACTCCTGCACTTCAAATCTTATGAATCTCATGGTTTGAGACAAGAAAGAAGAGGGAAAAACTTCTTGATTATGTGAGAATAGAGTCCTTATATACATTTTGGAAACCATCCTTACTAAGCAATGACTCATCACTGGATTGGTAAGAATATGCTTACAAACCAAGCCTTTTGGTGTGCTGAATCAGCTGCTTACTAAAGTACATGAGTAAAATATTACAAAGCATGACAAATCACAACAAAACATGATAAGTCATGGAAATTATCCTTACAAATCAGAATATTACCAGTCACATGACATGCTTACAAACATATCTGAGTGGTTCACTGATGTAATCAAGTGGCTGAAACTATAAATACAAGTAAATAAATAAAGGGAAATAGATGACTAAGCTCATGAGTGAGAAATATATCCTTATACACTCTCCTAATCATCTCCTTCTATACTTCTTATATATGTCATGGTATGAACTCCATACCATGCATGACACCGAGAACTGGAAAGGTGGAGATGCCTAAATGGGGATAGGTGCAGGATCTTGGATGAAGGGTGAGAATAGGTCTGGAGATCTGGGGATCCAGAAGGAAGGGCGGAAACAGGACTGAGATATGTGAGGTAGTGGATGTAGTCCAGAATCTGAGAGGAGGTAAAGTCCAGATGTCTTGCTGGATGGAATGTGCATAGGGTGGATAGGATAGGGGTGTACAGATCAGGCTAGTAGTAAAGATCTGGAGGTCTGGAGCTCAGGGGTAATTCCATAGCAGAGCTAATCCTGCTTAGATATGGAGCACACAGCAGAAGGGGATCTGGGAATGAGTCGGAGGTGGGGTCCGGAAATAGGTTCAGAAAGCGTGGGAATATGATGGGATCTATGTCTGGCATATGGGATATGACAGAAAGCACCATTAGCACTTGTAACCTAATGTAGATTCCTATGAGAGTTTCCAACAAGGCCATGACTTTGTGCCATTATGGCTGGTGAGGTATGATAGTGTAATTAGGTACCATTTGTTGAGCAATATAATATTCCCTCATTTATATTTGATTTACAAAACTATGTAAGTGGGTTCAAATATTGTATGAATTACAATGTCATCCAAGGTCATACATGTGACCATCACCCTGCTCCACAAGGCCAGAAAATCAGGACCCAAGCACTCATTCACAATGACAATTTATTTGTACATGTATGTGTCCTGTTTCTTTCACAGTAAATGACTAGTTCTTTGGTGCTACTGTGATGTTCTCAACCAATTTTTTTTGACTGTTCTATCAGCCTCAAGGGTTCAAACATTTACAGGTATAGCTAAATTCATTGTCAATGACTGTTTACATTGACAGCCTTAGATTTTACTGATGAATTATTGTGGATAACCCCAAACCATGTGACCAGTGCAAGTGGCTGAAATTGATTTGTCATTGTTTGTGCAAGATGGAGCAAGGTGAAAGTTGGCAATGCTAGAGTGCTCAAGCTTACAGGATGCTTAGGTAAGCCATTTGAAAAATTTCATGCAAGTTCCTTTCAATTTTGTTTCACCACTACTACTACCACCCTCTTGAGCCCAATGTTTCCTGGCCTCCCCTTCCTTGTGTTCCCTCCCTAGCCCTTCATGGTGCTCCCTCCTTGGCCTTTCCTCATGGTTCCTCCCTGGCCCTTTGTGGTGGTCCTTTCCTGGCCTTTCCTTGTAGTCCCTCCCTGGCCCTTTGTGGTGGACCCTCCTTGGCCTTTCCTCATAGTTCCCCCCTGGCCCTTCCTCATGGTCCCTTCCTCACAGGTTAGTGGCATACTGATGCATGAAACAGGGTAACTGTAGCGCATCTGTGATGCAACATTGCTGCAATTATACCACCATTTCTCCCTTGCTGATGCATCAGCCCCCTCTCATGCTGATGCATCAACTCCCTCCCAGTGATGCATCAGTCCTCCCATGTGTTACAGTGCCCCACTCTTTTTCCCATCATCACTGCAGACTCCTATATGGCTGTACTTCTAATGCTTCCTTTTCACTGTGCTGTTTCCTCATGGTCTCCCTTATCTCTGACTCATACCTTGTTTTCCCATGAACCTTCCTTTCTTAGTAGTTGTTACCCTTTGCCCAGCATGGTCTGTGCACAATTCCTTTATGTATATAAACTCTAGTTACCACTTGTATTTTCTCTAACTTGAATCTACTTGAATCTACTTGATTCTCTCTGATACTTGAACTCTAGCTCCTTGGGAAGGAGGCTAGCCATTTGTCCCATTTGAACTCTAGATCCTGTGGGAGTCTAGATGATCGCTCCTGAGGGAGGCATTGACTCAATAAGGCTTAGTCCTTGATTGACTGTGATCCTTGATTCCTTTATTGGAACAATGCTCTATCCGAGTTCGTAACACCATGCTGATGCATCAGCCTGTTACAATCATATATGCCCCTATTCATTTTCTCTCTCTTTACCTTGTATTACATCACAAGCCACATGATGCTGCCATTAGGCTTATCTCTGACTCATCTCTTGTATTACATCACAATTTCCATTGCCATCACTAGATGACCTATTCTTGTTATTGCTGACGTGTCCTTTCTTATCTCTGACTCATTGTTGATCCCACACCTGCCCTAAACCACCTATGTTCACTATATATAGTCAACAATGTATCTTGTAGTTCTTCACTTTAATCTTACTAGGTTTTCACCTGAACATTCCTTTGCTTAGGATCTCCAATCCTAAGTTGTCTGAACCCAATATTCAAGTCAGAGACACTCTTTTCATCTTGTCTTAAAGACCTTTGCATTTGCAAGGTCTGAATCAACCTCAGCTGTCACTCTTATTGAGCTGCTGTTGTTACAATTATCCTAGTTCATAACACAGCCCCCTCTCATGCTGATGCATCAGCTCCCTTCCAGTGATGCATCAGTGATGCATAGTGCACCACTTGCTGACACATCTCACCCGCCTATTCAGCCACTTGTTCTTGCCTCCCCATTGGCCTTACTCCTTCAAATGAGACAGGTAATGCTAGCACAAATTCATATTGGTTCTTGCTACATATGCATGTACTATGGGTACTAATCAATCAATGTCCTTGTCTTGCTGAGTGATGAGTGAGTCATTGAATGAGTCTGCCAGTGCCAAGGTGTCAGTCCAACTAGTTCTAAAGGACTCAGCAAGCCTTTGACATAATGAAGCTTGATGTTTTGCATATGCTAACAGTCCCTCACACTCATCATCATTGACCATATCATGTAAGGCATCTTCTAGCCCACACTCATCCCAGCATTGCACATGCCATTCAAAAAATTGTAGGATTCTCCACATCTCTTCCTTCAGCAGCTCCATCTCTTCTACCCAGCGCATTGCCCATGCCCTGGCTTTGCACCATTTGATTCGCATATCTAATTGACTGCAAACCTTAGGAAGCCTCCAAAAATGAAAAAAATATATACTCACCTTTGAAAGCATTATCATTGTCCATCTCATCAGGTGCAGCTCCTTGCATATTCCAGATCCAAGATAATTTTCTTGTCCCCTCTGATTCCCCCCATAATAGATCTGTCATTGAGTGAATATCAGTTTGGTTTAGTGGCCTCAGTGACAAGTGTCACCCAGTCTGATTCAGCAGTGGTGCAAGAACAATGAGAGCCTTATGGGCATGCTCATATGTGCTGGCGGCAGTGTCAATCCTTGCTTCAACAGCCTTGAGTGTATTCTGTGCCCTCATATTTGCACCTTGACCACAAAGGTTGCGATCTTTATACTTGAGGATGGCAGTCTGAGCACACAAGTTTGAGTATAGGGAATGGAGTGCATTGTGAGCTTGCATGTAGTGTAGCTTCCATTCGATTGTTTGCAGGTGGATGTCACAAGGTGCTGTCCTGCCAATTTGGGATGGTAGCCAGAGTTTGATGGTTTCAAGTGTAGTTACTGCAGCAGCAATGTCACCAGATACTGACCTCTTACTGACACATAGTGCAGCAAGTGATGGCATGTACAGTTCCTGTAATTTAGTCCAGGTGTCAATCCTGCATTGCAGAGTGTTATTCTGCTGAAGTAATTTCCCTTCTTGATTATCTGAAGCATGGACACCAAGGCCTGTTCTGTCAGCTTTCATTTGTTGTCTATGAAAAAAAGTTAGTCAAAGGTCTCATATGCCACACTTGTGGAACTGACTGTTGTTCCTCAAGTTCTAAGCCAGTACTGATCAATACACTTGGAGTACAGCCCTTATGTAGTGCAAGGCAAGTTCCCATTTGAATGTCATTCTGATCATCCCTAGCCAGTTCCAGTTGCACAGAGGCCATAGTAACAGCTACAAAGCACAGAAAAATCAGCACACAGTGAGTGATGATGATCAATACATACTTTCGACCCTTCATTCAGTAGGAACAGATCACAAATCATGAAACAGAAATGAAGCATAGGTAATGGATCAGGGAGCAGGATGAATATAAAAAGGATTTGGCTTTGCAAGGTCACACTCCCATGCCTCTACCTGTTCTCTCCACTGGGTGAGAGTAGCACTATATTCACCTCTCAAACCTTCTTCAAAGTCATCAAGGGCTTCATGATGATCCTGTTGCTCTGGTAATGCATCCTTCAACTTGTGAAGCATAGTATGACCTGATAATAAAGGAGGTCAGCCCAAATACACTCTTTATGATATCAAATAAAGTGAACCAACCAAGTTTAACAACCTTTTTCCAATTTGAATCTCCAAAATAGTCATCAAGAGTGTCTTGCTGTGCACCTGGGCCCATCTCTTTCATACTCAAAGCAATGGGGTTAATATTTACCCAGCTGTGCTCAGGAGCTTCTCCATCAGTCCAACCAACCCCACTTTTGAAATTGAATGAGAATGAGGTTTGACACCCCTCAATATGAGCAGGAAGGTGGAACTTTGGGACAAAAAAAGAAATAGTCTTGAAAGCAGGCAGGAGTTGCATTGAGACTGGAAATGTGGTCATGCAGTACCATAATTTCTTGTGCCATTGGCATGTGATGTTGTAAGATACATTCAGAGTGTTGATTACTGTGTGGTGCAGCATCAAAAAGAATAAATAATCCATGTTAACATATCTACAGACCATTAGATTGCCAATGTCTGAATGAAAAACACAATTTACCTTTCACCCTTTTGGAGATCTCCAACAGCATTGGGCCATTTCATGTTGTGGCGGGCACAGTTAACAGTACCTAAACCTGTGGCAGCAAGTCCACAGTTAGGTTTCATGTCTGCCATGTTCATGGCATTGTGACTTGAGCATGTTGATTTCTGTAGAACATCATTAGTATAAGAAAAGAAGATATAAATAAGACAACCTCTTGGGTATTGTCTGAATTGCTGTCCATGCTGTCCAAGAAGCCCTTGTAAGCTTCATCATTGATGAAATAAGCCCAACCAGAACTCAGGCTTGGGTCCATGCTGTCATTTGAGACAGCCTTGTGTTTCAAGCAGAAGTTTGTGTCAATGGCAAGGAACAATCCATAGAGCCAACTAATAGTATCTATATCAGCAATAATACCACTCAAGCTCATCTAAAACTTACTGTCAAGGTACATCTTTCCAATCAGCTGGAAGGTTCTTACCTGGATGTGGACAAGCTGGGCACAATACAGTGCATTCACCTTGAGCTGTTGCATCTATGCCCTTTGGATCATGACCTCATCCTGAGCATTTGAGCATTTTCAGGTGATGCCATTCATGAACCATCTGCATAAATGACTCATATCAATCCTATAAAGAAGCTTGATTGACCATAAGAATACTTGAAATTTTGAACGTACCTTAATGAGAAGTAGACTGGTGTTGTCAGACATCTGGTGAAGTACATGATAGAATTCATAGGCAGATATTTTTGACTCAAATGAGAGCAGGTGATACTGCTCCAGAATGTGAAAAGTTGCAGCAGTTTTTGGATCAGAGGTTGTTGAAGGAAATAATGACATTCAAAGTAGCTGTTGCATATGACTTTCAGCTATTGCACAACCACAGAAGTTGAGTGCCACTTCATGTATACCTAAGATGTCAACAATGACAAAATCATCATTGAAAGCTTGGCAAGGATTGGCACATTGCCAGCCAGTGATATGACCAAGCTGAATGTGGAGGCCCAGGGCTTTCAGAGAAATTTGTTTGAAGTATTGGCCATTCCATTTCTGTATTTGAGATTAGGTCTGTTATAACAATTAAATGTGAAGACATACCTGCAATTGGTGAAGCAGGTGGTGCACATGGACTGACAAAATACAATCTGAGCAATGAAGCTCTGACCTGAAGCAATCCTGACACTTGTACTCTGGATTGGGACCATCACACTCTAAGCACGACCACATTGTCATATCCCATATGCCAGATATAGATCCCATCATATTCCCATGGTTTCCAGACCTATTTCCAGACCCCATATCTGACTCATTCCTGGATCCCCTATCCTGTCCACCCTATGCACATTCCATCCAGCAAGACATCCAGACTTTACCTCCTCTCAGATTCCAGACTACATCCACCACCTCACATATCTCAGTCCTGTTTCCATCCTACCTTCTGGATTCCCAGATCTCCGGACCTCCGGATATTAACTGTACTATCTCCAGACCATTCCCACCCTCTGTCTGAGATCCTGCGCCTATCCCCATTTAGGCATCTCTGCCTTTCCAGTTCTCGGTTATCTCTGTTTCCATCTTGCTGATTGATCCTTGTACAAGTCTTCATCTCTGAGTTCATTTAGTTATGTTCCACCTTACTTACTAATGTGTGTCCACATGCTCATACATAGCCTTACTCTGTTGCTTACTGATCCCCTCAGATATTCTCCAGTATATAACCCCTGTAGATACTCCTGTAGTTTCCTTAGTCTGAATATCATCTTACAGTGGCTCAAAAAACTGTTCACATGTTTTTGCATTTTTTACTATTTACAATATTGTGTGAGAATACATAAAGACCTCAGTGACATGCTAATACCATATTGTAGTGCTGCTTCAGGGCTTTGGATTGAGCACCACATTGTGAGAATCAGAGGAGATATGGTGGAGATACAAGGCTTACAAAATCATGACTCATGCAGACAGTTTTTTGAGCACATATTAAAACTATATAAATCATCATTTATGACACCATAACAATCATGCCACCATTAAATAAATTATAAAGTGGTGTCATTATGTCATTTTAAAACCATATCTAACTATACAAACCAAAAATTTCCATATGTCATGGTTATATTCACCATGAAAGCCACTCCCCCTGCTCAAAGGGATAATATCCTCTCTCTTTCCTATTCTGGCCTCTCTGCTTATCAAATTTCCTCTAGAACTGGAGTATCCAAGTCCACTGTGGCCAAGTTCATCAAAGAAAGTCACACAGACAAGGAAAACTTCTGTGAAGGGCATCCATCCAAGCTTACCTCTACTGATAGGAGGGCTATTATTCAACATATCACTACAGGAAAGGCTGATAATGCTGTCCAGGTCACCTATTACATCAATTCCACCATCACATTCCCTGTCTCTTCACACACTGTGAGAAACATTCTCAAGACAGCTCATCTCAGGTCAGTAACAAGGAAGAAAAGGCTTTCCTCTCTATCACACATAAACAGAGATGACTAACCTTTGCCTTAGCCCATCGGAATTGGATTACATGGACTGGAAGCATGTTATATGATCATATAAGACCACAATAAATAGGATTGGGTCAGATGGCAAGGTATATATGTGAAAAAAGAAGGGTGCTAGTCCTCTCTGCATATGTGTGATAGAGAGGAGAGCCTTTTCTTCCTTGTTACTGACCTGAGATGAGCTGTCTTGAGAATGTTTCTCACAGTGTGTGAACTTATGGGACCTTTCTACTCTCAGGTAAGAGTCTTATGTGCTGTCACTCCCACTATGTCACCTGACAATTTTTGACTTAGTCCCAATATCCTGATTGGTCACTGGATTTCTACAATGTTATGATGCCTCAAGCTAGTGTGCCTCTCAGCTCAATTCAACAATTTGAGACCCAGTTTTTTCAGCCCAGTCTTACTGCTATGGGATATCTTGGTAGCAGTACCATGCAGAACATGTCATTCAGCTCACCAGCTTCTTTGGGATTGTTGCTTGCCAACTCCATGCATGGGTGGAATTTCAACAACAGCAATTTTAATTTGACAGGGTGGGAGAAATCTAGTCTCTCTTCTTTGTTGACCTCTCCAACCTCTACTGAGCACAGTACCACAAGCCCTAGCCTCAACAAGCAACTTCCTCAATTTGCTTATCAGCTTCCCACCCTTCCAGCTGCCAACCCCCCTTCTGTGAACAAGACCACACAACCTGCTGAAGTTCCCAATTCACAGGCTGGTACCAAATGTGCTACAACCAAGTGCAAGTGCAAGTCAAACCTTCCTACAACCAAGTCTCTCACAGTACATGCCAACAAGCCTCACTCTGCCAACAAATCTATTTCAGACACTCCCACTGTTACAGCCACACCCACTAGAGTGAAATTCACTCCCCTGGTCAATTCTACTGAGCCTATCCCTGTGCCAGTGATCACACTTGCAAAGGTGGCCAAACCCAAGGCCAAACCAAAACCCAAATCGAAACCCAAGGCGACTTCTGTCAATATCAAGTCCAGTGCAGTAATGGAGATAACACATGTTGCTGCAGATGAAGGTAACACATTGAGTGATTCAACTACTATCAATAATATCATGCAAAAAGCTATTGCAAGTCAGATTGGAGTGACACATGTATCAAAGTGCATTGCAATAAAATCCAGGTGGAATGATATTGCTGACACAATTGGGTCTGATGGCCTGACATTTGTTGGTATTGGTAGCAAGGAAAATCCAGGTGTTTTGGTGGAGGTTGGGGGAACATCATTGAAGCATGCAGCTGACTCGACTGCAGAAGGCACAATTCCATCAAAGTATGTCTGAAATATCCTGCTCTATTCCCACTCACTAACAGAAACAGGAAAAGATGAACGAAGGCATGAGTGGACTGGCTTTATGTTGGCACCATGAAGTTCTCTGTTTGATTCATGCTTCAATCATATATTTTCATGTTACACAGAAGTAATACATGTGGTCACTAGACCTTTATCCTATCTATGATTAGTGAATGAAGTTATTCTTGCATTGTGAAAGCTCAGTGTCAAGAAGGAAAAGCTAAGATTGGACATGAGACAGAACAGAACAGTATGACTCAGACTTGCAGAAATTGAAAGAATATGAGTAATGTAGAAAGGAAGAATGAATATATGCACACACTACAAGTATTGGCCTGTGTCATGCATAGCAAAGATCAGCCACAGGACATAACAGGACAGTGTGAATCAGACTTGCAAAAATTGAAGAAATACTAGTGATCAAGTAAGACTGAATATATGCACACATGGACTCAAGACGGAACAGAACATTGTGGGTGTTAAGAACCATGCTCAAAGGAGAGAGAGACTGACTCAGAGGGGCTTGGCCTCAGCTCATATGCTGTGCCCCTTACCCAAGTATGTGCCCTTCATTTCAGAGGAAGTCCAATGATGGTCCGATGAAGTCCAGAGGACTTCTGGAGGCTGGCTACTCTGGTGGAGAGTGCAGGAGGACTTCCGGAGGAGTGCGGGAAACATCCAGAAGAGCGCGGGAGAGTTCCGGAGGAATGCAGGAAATGCTCAGGAGAGTTCCCGCTGCAAGGTAATACTTCTATAGGAAAACAGGATGGAAGGATAGGAGGTCCAGAGTATGGAGGACAGGAGGTCCGGAGGGCAGAATGTCCAAAGGTACAGAGGGCAGAATGTCCGAAGGACAGGATGCCCGGAGGTATGAGGGACAGGATGTCCAGAGGTACAGAAGACAGGAGGTCCGGAGGTCCGGAAGGAATAGGGGCTACATCGGACGAAGTCCAATGTAGAAACAAACAGAGGTAGACTACCCTAAGGTAGAGTTGGAGAGACAGGGATTGGACCTAAGTCTGGAAAGAGGGTAAGTGCCAAAAAGGTGGAGCTCCAGCCTAGGGAATCAATCCCTAGGCCTGATGAGTAGGACAGACTTAGGTGGATCAAAGTCCAAGAGAGGATTGGGCAAGTCTAAGTTGATAGAGCAGGAACTAAGATGATATTCAGACTGAGGACTCTACTGTAGTTGTACAGGGGTTATATACTAGAGGCTATCCAAGAGAATCAGTAAGCAAAGGAGTAAGGCTATGTACGAGCATGCGGAAACACATTGGTAAGTAAGACAGAACATAAGTAAATGAACTCAGAGATGAAACTAGTACAAGGATCAATCAGCAAGACAGAAACAGGGATAACTGAGAACTGGAAAGGCAGAGATGCCTAAATGGGGATAGGCACAGGATCTCGGATGGAGGGTGGGAATAGGTCCAGAGATCTGGGGATCTGGAAGGCAGGGTGGAAACAGGACTGAGATATGTGAGGTGGTGGATGTAGTCCAGAATCCGAGAGGAGGTAAAGTCCAGATGTCTTGCTGGACAGAATGTGCATAGGGTGAACAGGATAGGGGATCCAGGAATGAGTTGGATATGGGGTCCGGAAATGGGTCCGGAAAGCGTGGGAATATGATGGGATCTATGTCTGGCATATGGGATATGACAGTGGGAGTCAGACTTGGAAAATACAAACAGTAAAGATTGGACTTGAGACATAACAGAACATTGTGACTCAGACTAACAAAATACAAGCAGTAATGAGTAAGTGAGAAAGGGAGAACTGAGGGAGAAAGGACCCAGAATAAATATATGTGCACACTATAAGTAGTTGGGTGATAGGCTGGGAAAGCAGTGAGCTGGGAGCTTTCCTAATGCATGGCTGATGCATTAAGGATCCATGATACACTGTTGCATCACTGGATCCCTTGCAACTGTAGCAAAATGTTGCATCAATATGACACTGAGACCTGCCTTCCTTGGCCCTTCCTTGTGGCCCCTCCTCAGCCCTTCCTCATGGTCCCATCCTGACCCTTTGTGGTCCCCTCCTTGTCCCTTCCTTGTGGTCCCTCCTTGGCCCTTCCTCATGGTCCCATCCTGGCTCTTCCTTCCCTGTTTCTTTTTTGTCCTGTAACTACATATGTATTCTAATATATATAAAATTGATTTTCTTCATAAAATGAGTGTTAAGGTTGAGAATTATTTGGTACTGGTGATAAGATGGCAGGTAGTTGCAGGCAATTTGTCATGCTTGTGCTTTTGGTAGTTCTGTCCAACTTACTCCAGATAGTACCATTCTGATAGATATTCTATAAATTTTAGGGGTAGACAAAGCTTTGTAAACCTTTAGGGCCTGGACAGCTGCCGTTTGTTTCTCAGTTTGTTTCTCAGTTTGTTTCTGTATGTGGCGTGGCACTTGTGACATAACAGTGACCAACAGTGACCTTTGTGTGACAGTCTCAAATGCCCACTCATACCTCCCTTTACCACTGCTATGGCAAAGAAAAAGACTACTGTACCTTCAGCAAACAATGCTGGGACTTTAGCAGTTGCTCGCTGGACTGTCGAAGAGACATCCCGCCTTCTCAAATACCTCATAGCTCACCATGCTGAAGGTGGAGATGGGACAGGATTCAAACAGTCTACTTTTACTGGCGCATCAACTCATTTGCAGGAGCTGCCAGATGGCGTTTCGAAGGAAAACCATGTAGGGGGATCTGGCAGGGACTGGCAATCATGCAAACAAGTGGTTAAATGTATGTTCTCTGCTCATGCTAGATTATATTCTGATTGTAATTTGCACAGTGCAAAAAAAAATATGCCGCTATTATCGATATCAGATCTCAATCAGGCTTTTCATGGGATGATGAACTTGGTGCGAATATTGGTCCTGCTGACGCCGCTCGTTGGATGGCATTTGCAAAGGTGCGCTTCAGTTATGATATGAGAGGGGTACTGATATGATTATGAGTTTGCAGACATGTCCTGATACCAAACCGTTTCGCAACAAGGGCTGGGAACACTTCCACGAGATGGACGAACTCATGTGCACACAACGCCCTCGCAGTACCAACGCCTTCCATGCTGGACATGAGACATTTGAGTCTGAACAAGCACCCCCTGACGATGACCAGGCCAACAGAAATGATACTCAACCTGTTGTGGAAGATGAGGTAGAGCGGTTAGTTGATGAGTATGTCAAGGACCAGGAGCAAGTAGCAGGAATGGTCAGTGACAAAGGGAAAACGGTTGCCGAGAGAGAGGTAGTGGCTGAGGACGACGACAAAGACGATATTATTCCTTGGGAGGTGACTCCTGTCAGAACCATGGTCAAGCACAAGTTCATATCTACCCGGTCTTCAACACCCTCCCTCACTGCCTCTGGATCTGGTACTACAGGCTCTGGTCCACCATCAAAACACCGTCAGTTTAGCGGATCAGCAGGGGCACTCTACACAATCAATGACCAATTTTCAGCATTCAGCGACATCTTCCAAGCCTCGTCACAATCACACACTTCAAGCCCATCTATTATACTGTCACCTCAGTGCAAACAGGTGGCCATGCGATGCGCACAGGAGCTAGAAAAGCATCTTGACGATGATAGTATGGCAGCGCTCATTGAAGCATTTCAGATGGACATCAGTGCTGCTGATGCATATATGGTCATGACAGATGACGGTCCAAGGAAGTCTTTTGTTGATAGAAAAATCAAACATATTAACCAGCAGGTTCTGTAGATTCAAATACTAGTATTGTAGGTCTCTATTCACATATTCTGATGAGTGCAACAAATCCTATGGTAGTCCTCCCACATGGCGACCGCAATATGATCTCTGTCTTCAGTCGCCCACTGCCTCTCTTCACGGTCAGCTGGTCCCTCTGCAAGGTCGCCTCTAGACTCGCCTGGATCGCAGTCAACAATGTCTTCATCGGCAAATTCTTCTATTTCTGTTGGATCGTGAATGCAAATAAAATTATGGATCACACATAGGGCTGGGGGGATGCGAGCTTGCATCGACATACTATACTCTGGTGGGTGTACCAGTATCATGAACCACCTCTTGAGCACCCCAAATATTCTCTCAATAGCATTACGAGCTTGAGCATGCCAGAGATTATAAATTTCTTTTGACGTTTTTGGCCTGTCACAGCGTTGAGAAGACACTACAGTGAGTCGTATATCACTCACTGAACTGCAGCTCGCCCCCATTCAGCCAGATGGTACCGAACACCTCGGTACAGGACAAGGAGTGAGTCGCATATCCCAAACCCAGCATCTGCGAGATAATATCTCCCTTCTGGAATATATAGGTCTGTGAGCCGGGCATTATTGTAGAGTGTCGAGTCTGATGTTGATCCATCCCAACCACTGAGGACATACTGGAACTGGAGATCGAAGGAACAGCAAGCGAGACAATTTTGGCTGACACCACCTTTGCGGTTTCGTGATAGTTGCCGTTCTGCTGCAGACGGGCAGCATGCAATGTGGGTACCATCAATTGCCCCGAGTGCACCTGAAAAGTACAGGAAGAATTTAGAATTTTCCAATATTTCCTTTGGTATGGGTGCATTGTCATGCAGAAGGGATACAAATTTGTTGTAGAATGGAGCCGAAGATATGGCAAGTAGGACTTTCTTGAAATATCTGATAAGGCCTGTGTGAGGCTACTGGTAGTACAAATATCTTTGCAAGGTGAACATACTTTTGTATTGTTGTGTGAGAGTGCTGGAAGTGTTCTGCAACATGACGGCTCGATAACCCAGTCACACAGGTGTAGAGAAATATAGCAATCTGTTCATCAAGTGAAATATACTTTGAATCACAAAGTCCACAAGCCCGAAGTTCCTGTACAAGTGCATGAAATACAACCTTTCTCATCCCAAGCTCATTTTTGATCCAGTTGGGATGTCTGTTGACAAGCTCTTGCACCCATGCATGCCCAGAGAGGATCGAGGTATGGTAAGGCTCTTTATTGAGAAATGGGGTCATGTAAACAATTATAGCACCTATTATGAGCTGGATAACCATTGCTGCTGCCATTCGGAGGACATAGAACTGGTGAATTTGCTCTCTTGCTGCCAGTGGAGGCGGCATTGAGTCCTTAGTATGTGTGACTAAACCCTATGTCACTGCTGTTTGTATATATTGTGGTAAATGAAACTAACTGAGAAACAAACTGAGAAACAAACGGCAGCTGTCCAGGCCCTTATATTTTCGAGTCAATTACCTGATGCTTCATAGTTGTGAACCTTCCTTCCATTATGGCATTATTGGTTAATCTAGCTCAACTGTCGACTTCTGCCACACCTTCACTTCAACTGTGAGTTTGAGTGAAATCAGGACCTTTTCTCAATCATAAAATTTTATACAAAAATCAGGGAAGCTTCTTTCCTCAATAATGTTATGAACTAGGATGGTTGTAACAACAGCAACTCAATAAGAGTGACAGCTGAAGTTATAGTCAAGACCTTGCAAATACAAGGGTCGTAAGACAAGGCAAAGAGAGTGTCTCTGCCTTGAATATCGGTTCAGATGACTTTAAGATTGGAGATCTTAAGTGAAAGAATATCCAGGTGAAAACCTAGTAAGATTAAAGTAAAGAACTACTAAGTACATTTGTTGACTATATATAAGATATAGATGATTCAGGGCAGGCGTAAGTCAACAATGAGTCAGAGATAAGAAATGAGTCATCTAGCGACAGCTGCAGCGATCGTGATGTAATACAAATATAGGAAACAGGTCTAGTGGTGGCATCATGCAGCTCATGATGTAATACAAGGATAGTAGGGGAAGATGAATAGGGACGCATGTGACTGTAACAAATAAGGCTAAACATAACAATGTGATTGTCAATAGCAGAATTATGCTGGTTCTTGTGATTATGTACTATATATTGTGATATATGGCCTTGTACTTTCTTCACAAGTTCACTGATGACTCATCATCCAGCAGGGCTAATGAAAGACCATAGTCAAGATAAAGGAGTGCATCTGTTAAATGCCTACCCTCATTAGTATACCACAACTTATGGAGTTTGGATTTATCACTGTTCACCTTTGTGCAAGAGGGCTTTTAAAATCTATTGTACTCGATCCTGTATGGTTAATGGGACACTGGATAATTTCAGTATCTCTCTGATACAGTCGCCTGATGAACACGTACTGTGGTCTGAGGGGAGGGAAATGCCTCGCAAGTTCAGGAAAATTAGGAGGGTTGTTGTACAGATTACGAGGATACATGCAATTCAATTCCTAAGAGCAACTCAAGAATGAGAGGGTCCAATGATATGTGATTCTGGTTGTCATGACTTTAAGTTCTTACTAAGCGAGAAACCGAGTTCATAGTGATTATTATGTATGGCACAGATCATGGAATATTGTGTACAAGTCTTCGGAGGAAGGGATCAAATAAAGGAATTGACTGGTCAAGGGAGTCAGGGACTAGTATGAGTAGCCAGCCAACTACTCAAAGCAGAGTTTATGGGGTCCAAATGACAGTACGACTATGAGGTGTCGGGGGTCCTACCCACTGTGACAATTGGAGCACTTGAAGTTACGGTTACCTGTGAGACGAGTTCCGCCCTACCATGAAAGTCTTGACCGCACTTTCTGTTCATATTCTTTTCGTGTTGCTCGTCTCAGCACATGGCGGCCATGAAGACTCAGAACAGAGCGCGAAAATAGCTAATGCAGGCTACGCCATTCGACATGTATGGGTGACCCACACATTGATTCTGACTGGCGCTGATCCTTCATTGTCTGTAGATGGCTACAGAACACCATATGTGCGCAACTGAAAGATATCACAATGGTCTATTCTAATAAGCTGATACAGTGACTCCTTCGACATTGAGAGTTTCTTCCAGCTTCATGACCTGAACAGGTAATGAAACACAACCCAAGCGGAAGATTATTGACACGTACTTTTTGCTTTAGAGATGGCGTATGGGACAGGGAAGAAATTGAAGCTATATACGGCGTCCATCATGTGTACTCACAAAAGAAGTCAAAGGTCTGTTAGCTGAACCTTTTGCGCTTGTCGTGTGCTGACGTCATGATAGGACGACATTGAACATCAGAGGAAGGCTGATCACGTTGCGGATACTGTACTCAAGCTCTTGGACAAGGACGGAGACAGCAAGGTCACGTCAGAGGAGTTCGCCGCTGTTGGGACAAGTGGCCTGCCGAGTTTTGATGACATAGGCGCAGAGGGACACCATTACGACGTAGAAAGCGGTGAGTATCAACTAACCTCACATCATAATTATTACTGAACTCGCAACAAGAGTTTTTCTTACATCACGAAGGTTTGTTTGGCGTACAATGCATGCTCTCGTGATCTGTAGCTCAAAAGATTCTTTTAGAACAATATCACTCGACGCCTGAGACGCAAACCGATGAATCATACACCCATCCCGAAGACGTTGAACACTTTTCACAGCACGTAGCTATTGAACGTGAAGAAGCAGAGCGAGAGGCCAAATTTCAAGGGATCACAGTTGAGGAAGCCATTCGCGCACATGAAGAGCTTCCCGCAGCCCGTGCACCCCCCGCTGAGAGCGCGCCAAAGCCCAAAATCACCCGAGGAGTCCCGCCAGAGAAGCAGGATCCAGTGGTCAAGTACAAAGATATTGGCAAGGAGAGTAACAGCCAGTCAGAATGGGGGACCGGAGAACAAGGCTACAAGCAACCTAACACACCGGTAGAGAAAACGAGGTTAGTTTCACGTTCAATATCGATACATTCGTTCTAACTAGTTATCTCGTATTGCAGGAAGAACCTCCCATACAAGGTACGGTTTGAGCCTCCTTAACAGCTATATAGAGAGCCGCTAACTTACAGGAACGTATGCAGTATAAATTCCGACGGAATTGGGGAGATTTCTGATGAGATATCTGCTGATTTCTATCCGCTGCTTTCCTTAGGAATCCATTCGCATCTATGTATACCCATGTGCTTTGCGTATAGAACAGCGAACAGAACCCATGTACATCCTAGAGAGACAACCAAAGAAACGGTTCATCCTCAACGGCCGTCGAACATATCGTCCAAAACCCCCTGCTCAACTGCCTCCCAATCGATGTTCCCACTACTTGCATACACGCTCTCGTAAGACGAGATGCTCACATGGGAGAAGAATGGAAAAAGGTCCCTGATCGAATCAATCTGACGGATTGATTTTAATATGGGCTTCCGTAAAGCACGATCGGAATGGGCAGGGAAAGCGAGGGAAGTTGATGTTGATGTTGACAGCCCAATGCTTTGTGGTTCCTAGTACGATTCAGATGATGAATGTTCAGATAGTCAAAAGAAGATAACATACTCGAGGCTCTGGAATGGGCAAACTGCCAACTACTTCAGCGAGCTGGTCAAACATCGATTCTGGGCACCAATCGTCGGGGCGAAACACGGCATCCACGGTATCGGTGATGAATATCCATTGATGTCTGCAACTTGTCAATAGTCATACTAACACGGAGAAGGAGACAGTACATCTGGAACTCTTCTGTCTGAAGGGTAAGCAGCAAATCAAGGCATTTACTGGCTGAAAGGATGAGTTGTAGATCTTCTGAGCCATCTGAAGGTATTGAATAAATTATTTGCTCAAATATTCGGTACTGGAATTGACGTCAGATTTCGAATGAGATATGCAGGATGTTCGGCTTACTAGTTCAGTGAGAATCACGGGCCAAAAGCTCGTCATGCTATGTGCAGCCAGACGGCACAACAACACTCGTATGCAAAGGTAGACTTCACATTGCACAATCGGAGATGAAACATTGCGCAGAATATCCACCAATTTCTCCTGTATAGCCGGAAGCTGAGTCAGGAAATGATTTTTCTCTCCAGTGAAGAGGACCAATGCAAGCCGTCGTAAGTTCAACGATCGCAGAAGCATCTCATGCTCTCGGTTCGTGAATATATTGGCTGAGGGCGACGTAGCAACACGACCTAAAGCACATTGTCAGTAGTGCTAGATGAAATGTATGATGCGCATTTACTAAGAAGGTCAGGGAAAGAAGTTTTATCACCATCAAATACTGCTTTGATGATGGGTTTCCACTTCGTAGCAACGCTGGAATTCGAGTTGAAGACGCGATGATCGTAAAGGACATCGATCACTGCCACTCGCCAAACCTTCATCGCAGGGGGGATTTTGATCATCTCCCGAAAGATATCGACCACAACCACATCAGCATCCAGAGGCCTGTCATTTGGTTGAGAGTTTGGCGTCTATCGTCAAGAGTGAATGCTTACCTGGTTTTCATTTTGATGCCCGGGCTCACGATATAATACACGATGTTGCTACACGCATTCGCTACCTTGTCGTTATCCATCAAAAACCGGCGCAGCTCTGGAACAGCTGTTGATGCCATGAATGCGGTGATCTGATAGACAATCTTAACTGACAAGACCTCTCGCAGTTGACAAGCAACTTACCTGGGAGGGTAACTCCGCTCCCCAAGTCGGCTTGGCATTGTCCGAAATCGTCGCAGTGCTGGAATCGGGTTTCTCGTCAGGCTTCATATCTGAGACTGAAGACTCATCAGATGGCAGAAAAAGTAGTAACAGGTGGATAACCAACCACCACCACGAAGAGCAGGGGAGGATCGACCATTCGTGACCATCGATTCCTTCGTGGTACGTCTCATCCAATTTGGTTGATCCGTTGATTTGCCCACGAAAGTAACGCATGCATCAAGGAGCTTTCCAAACGTCTCCTACAAATGGATGTGAGCAGATCTCAACTCGTAAAATAGCTTTTAAAAGTAACGGACCTGGAGATCTTTCCTGATGCGCTTGTCGTCTATGGCAGTGGTCTGAGTAACTTTGTCGCCTAAAACGCATAAGCACCTGATAAACAGTGAGCAACGAATGATAATTTTGAGAAATACACACTTCAGTGCCAAGAAGACCTGGATCTTGAAATCCCGACTTGACGCCAGGTCCTTCGCGAGCTGCATAAATCGACCCCATACTTGAAGAGCCAGGGGCCCTTCAAGCCGTTGGAAATATTGCTCCAAGAAATTGAATAGGACGACATCGGATCTGTTAAGTAACACGTCCGGTAGTCCACTCATCCGTTGATTGATAGATAACCCACAGATTCGCATTTGCGGGTTTCCTACTGCGTTCTGAGGTGTTGGAAATACGAACTGATATACTGTCGCAAATCATGTGCACCGCGCTTTGCGCACTAGCAATCAAGACATCGACCAAGCCGAAGACACCTGTCGCAGGCTGGTCAGAGCCCTTGGACCGTAGCAATGCATCATGATCCCAGCATTCAATGACGGACTCTAGCACTTCTGTAGGGTGAGCGCGAAATAGGTGTTCCAGGACTCTTCGACAACGAGCATGTGTCCGATTATAAATCATAGACAACGAATCCGCCTCTGGCCGAAGCCGGTGGTGTCAGTACCATACCATATTGACCCATATTGCAAGCAATACACGGATGCCGTCATGGAGAGATTTGTACCCAGGTGAGTGTGACTGTACGACCATCAGCTGTGGTAGACTAGACACGAAACATCATCAAATTACTCGCCGTCAGCTGGTCTTCAACAGCAGTAGATGCGTTGTCTGTAGTGAAGACATTCGAGACATATCCCAGATACCTCCCGACTCAGCTCCAGGTTTTTCCTGAACTGGAGTGTCATCCTCTTGTGAATTAGCATCCGATTTTTGAGTCAAACCAAGCACAAGTAACCGCTCGAGCGCATTGAGGAGCATGATGAACTCAGCATCAGTCGCAACACGAGGACACCTCCCGTTAGCCATTGGCTGGTTCGCCTTCAGTGCATCTGAGAGGAGCAAGCGTAGTTGCCGGCAAAGGCAATCAGCAATAGGAGAAATAACGCTCTGAAGGGCAGGTTGGAACTGGGGAACCGCCATCAGCACGAAATCTAACCAGTGCTGCATCACGGGACGATTCCGCGAGGTAGCAATACCATCGATGATGGTTTGTGTCAGCAGAGAGTTGACAGTGTAACCCCTTGTCCCGGATTCCTGCGAGCCGTCTGCACTTCGATCCTCGGGAGGCGGGTGCCCGTTGTAGGCGTATGACGTCGAGGCGGATATTATAGAGTGGAGGAACCGCAACAACTTGTTTTGTATGTCCAACCGATGTAAATGGACGCAGAGGAAAAGTTTGCCAATGACCGCTGGTTCGAGAACTTCAATGGCGAGCATTTCAATCTCTCCGCGAGCGACAATAGTTTGGAGAAGGTCTATGGCGGAGGATTGTATGACCGTATTCAGTGGCTGCATAACTGGAGCATCTTGGTCTTTGGGTTCGGACTGAAGGAACCTATACGAGAATGAAGCGCAATGGCGAGTTAGGGAATGTAACTCACCTTGACAATACCTCAATGAGCGCATCTAGGTAGCTTGTATTGGCGTCTATCCCAGCTGGTGGCAAGTCGTTAAAACCACAATGGCAAAACAGCATCGATACCATTACCTAAGCTAAGCCTATGGAGTAGCACATGGTCATATGAACGCCTAAGGAAGGTGCCGCGCGCAGATTTAGAAAAACCTTGACCACCGAACTGGATGATCGAGAGTAAAATCTCGAGAAGGTGAGCGACATAACGCTGGTCAAACGACTTCTCGTAAACGAAGCCCCTGATTTCTTTGCCGCTCACTCTGCTAACTCTGGATATTCGACGGATAGAAGGGTCCAGAAGGTCGCGGAGGACAGGTTCCAAGACCCTTTCGATCTGTGTAAGCCTTCCACCCAGCCAATAAATCAGAAAGTAGCATTACCTAATATACGACCTCAGGTTACATCGCATCCATGTTTCTCCAACACGTCGCAGGCTTGGATCATCATGCTTCAAAGTCTCCAAAACTATCATCAACGGCACCTTCAAGCGCACTCCAGGAAGCGAGTCATCCTCTGAAAAAGTTCAGTCAGCATGATAATGGCATAACACATGTTTACTTACCTGACAGTCGCCAAAGTACTCCAAAAGCCTCATGCGCCTCGCAGACGTTTCTGGACTCAGGAGAACACATGCTCTGAGCCATTATCGACTCAACTTCATGGGGTCGTGACATTGATTCTATGGACCAAATGAGGCTAACAGCTCGCACATGACAAGTAGCTAGGTCTGCGTGGAGGTATCTGAAAAGCTATGAATCCAAGCTCCATTAGATCGACTCCAAATGCAGTCAGACGTGCGAACCTTCTTCACCATGCGACTGACGACGGGTCTTTTATCCATCGACAGCTTTGGGCTGAGCTTCTGTGCACCATGCAAAGACAATATCAAAGACACCATCTGGTCCACCAGGGTGAAGCTGACGGCCTGAAGATAGACAGATAAGTTTCCCAGTCAACAAGCAGAGAGCATCACCTGACATACCTCAAGGTCAAGACAATCGAGCATAGAGTACAGCCATTCAGAAGGTTTCCATGATAGACTAAGAGTCGTATCACAACTGCTGTCCACCGTACGGACAACGCCCGACAAGACCCGCAGCACCTGTGACGATGCCGCTCGAAGTTCTATGGAGCCCCCTTGCTGAGCCGAGATTGATCGTGACAGCGCTTGACTTATACAGAACATATGCTCTAAAACAGCCACCAAAGGATTAAGCACTTTACTGCTCGGATTCGATTCGGTGAATTCAAGTCCGTAAAATGCATAGGCAAATGCGAGTGAGCTGAGAGACGAAGCTGATACCTGAAGTGCTGCATTCAGCCCGGGCTGCCGACTGAGAGACTCTAGAGATATGTGTTGGAAGATTTCTTCTTGCAAAGCCAAACATTCTCGGACAGAAGCTCCGGCAGCTATGAACGGCTCGTTGATGATTTTACGCTGTGTCATGGATCAGCTTCTATATCATGTCCCAGAGATAGCAGTCACACCTGCAGCTCCTCCGTTATGGCGGCAAAAATAACTGGTAGGTGAATGCTGCGAACTTCATCATCTTGCATAGGGAGTGAACGCAGTAGGAATAAGGTCAAGTCAATTGCCTAAAGAAAGTGTGAGCTCGCGCTACACGAGGCCAAATTGCAGCGGAGCTCACCCCAGTTTTGCTGTCTTCGGTCAAATCTTTCATTATTGCTGCCAGTAACTGCTTCCAAAGAATACTGGGCTCGACAGCCTCGTATAGCGTACTGGCAGTCATAGAAATCTGGAAAAGACACGTAAGATACTCACACCTCAAACACTAGGAAATAGGACGTACATCTTCATTACGTTCCTCCGCGTTCCGCTGCATCAGAAATCGGATTGCCTTAAGAGCGTCTAATACAAGAACATCAGTCAAGGCCGATCCTATCTCCCACTTGTCCAACAGCGAAATAAAGATCTTGAACGGCCTAGATTCGGAGTATTCCCCTGAAGGCGCAAACATTTCATCCTGATGACAATTGTTAAAGCCTTGACACATCCTGAATTACAACCTACCTTGAGCGTGGTATTCAATAGTTGAAGAGCATGTTGTCGCAGGTACACGGTCTGGTTGTCGCTCTTCTCGTCTGGACCCAGTAACCAAGTATAAAGCCGTCGATTAAGTGACAGATCCCGACGCAGGACTACACCAGTCGCAGCTCTCATAAGTATGACGGTGTCTTCCGAATGCGCTCGTTGGATAGCAGCGCTATCGATCCGCATCGACTGCAAGAGAATATCAAGCGCGCCTCTTCGAACCAACAAATTGTCGTCCTCGAGTGCAGCCGCAAATGCACGAATCATAAGCCCTATATCTCTACCTACTATCTGAGTGATGTCTAGAGCATACTGAGCAGTGGAAGATCCTACTTAAAATCAGCCTTACCTTCGTCCGCGTGTAATCGAGGTAGTCGGCGAGAGAGGAAGTTCAGAGCGGTTCCGCGTGCAGAGGACATGGTTATCATGATGAGCCATATGTTCTGGATAAAGAATACGGGGGAGACGGTTCCTGACAGCCGATCGAGTAGGTTTAGTACCTACACCGATTGCATCAGCCACACTTAGATCTGTGAAATGTAACAGTAACATACCTTTTCGAAGAACTCGCCAGTCTCCTCTTCAAGACCCGGAAGTAGGGCAAGGATGAACGACTTCATCACAGGTCGCAGACCAGCTTGTAAAGGCAAGTAATGCGTGTCATATATGGTCAGCAGTATCGGCTGTCTCAATCAGTACTGGATGAAGCAGAACATGAATAAAGTCATACCTTGACTGATGTAGCAGCATATTCAAAGAATGGGAACAGGCCGGATGACCATAACGGCAGGTCCCGTTTTAGACCTTCCGTCTAGCATCGCGCACACATTAGAGGTTACCCACAATGACCACGTTGCACTCACTCCAAGCACAGAAAGTATATGCGTATAAACATCCAGAGCACGTTGATGCACGCCAGTCGGTAGAGCAGGATTCAAGCACTGTGCCAACCGTTTAGCAACAATGAGCTTGTGCGGGATCTCCTTGAATTGCATATATGATTGAAATGTCTGTGGGAGCACAACCGCGTTGAATCAATGCTTCCAACTCAGGGCAGAGGAAAATACCTTCAATAACTGCTTCAGAAACGCAATGCAGTCCGCCCACTCGTGTACGTTATCGAATGCATTGAGACATTTCTCCACTTGTTGCGTGTACTTCTTGTATTTCGGATCAGAAACGTATGTTTGATGCACTGTAACAACCCAAGTCAACCATTCGAAGACAGACCATCGGAACCTGCATGAATGCGTACATTTCTCCCTGGTACTCGATTTCGTAGGGTCTAGTACCGCAGCCGCATTCGTGCCTGGGGTTCCACCAGTGCTAGTCTGCGCGGTAGTAGGGCTTTTGCTGGACATGATTGGTGGAAACGCGGCTAGTGTATGATTGTGTGTCCTGGCCTTGCAAATGGCCTTCTACGAAGCACCACAGGCCGCGAACTCGAGTAGAGAGCGCACTCAGCGAGACTGAACGTTGCAAGCTACGTATACGGTATTAGCAGTGGTACCAAATTAAGGTCGATGTCATGGTCACGGCTTTGTCACACGAGGTAGCCTGTCACACAGCATCACAGACTGCGAAAAACCAATCATATTAATAGAGGGAAAGGAATGGACAGACAGTATAGTAGGGTATAACATTAATGCAAAAGGTACAAAACATAATCAAAACATAATTACATGAAACAAGCCACCTATGACTCCATCTGCTCTGGCGTGTTCTGTACGGGAGCATCATTGCCTTCTTCAGACGCCGGCCCAGCAACAATATTACGCATCTTCGAAGGCGCTTTCACAGGGTGATGATCAGCAATAATAGACCCTGCTCGTGAAGGTGCAGCTGATATGCCCGACATGGCACGGGCCACCTTAGATTTGCTAGACCCTTTTCCAAGTAACGGCGCAGATATCGAGCCGCCGCCTTTCGGCGTCGTAATCTTGTCTGTATCACCATTTTTATGCGAAGCTGCAGCTGCAGCTGTTGCATTAGCATATTCAGACTCTTTATCGCCAACCCATGTTCTAGCGAACCATCGTCCGCCTGCGATACCCCGTATTTCACGGTTTGCGGTTCTCCAACGACGGATTTTGTTTCCGCTTCGGTCGAGGGGTAACACGGGTGCGAAGCCTGCTCCGATCTTTGGGGGTGGTTGCACTGGGAATGGTTTGGATGGTAGAGGGTAGACAGGGAGGGGTGCAATTTCTGTTGTACCCTCAGCTAGAGGGGGAGGAGCATTTTCTGCGTCCTCATGTTCCGAACCCCCCTCACGAGGAGGGGGAAGTGGTGACGAGGGTGCGGTTCCGGCATATGCTGATGCAGAACGAGTTAATATAAAGTACATGGGAAGTGAGATAATACTTACATTCACTCAGCGCTCCTTCATCCACCGAAGGCACTACCAAGACCTTCGCCGTCCTGAAAAGTATTGATTTATTGATACATTCTGAATTCTGGTTTACGTACTTGGAAGGAGCCTTGGCTCTGGACCGTTGAGCAGGAGCAGGCCTGCGGGGTGCTGCTCTTTTCTTCGGAGGCGGTTTATCGGCAACTGCGGGTGCACTGACATCCTGCGCATCGGCTTCCTCGCCTGTTTCTGTTCATGTCGTTTAATAGAATTCGGGTGATTAGGAAGAGGGACTTACCATGGGGTTTTTTGTCGAGATCCTTGTCCTGCTTCCGTGTTTTTGGCTTCCTTGCTGGCGCCTTCCGCTTGGTACCACCAGTAATGGCAGGGGTAGAAGCAGACTGTTGTAACTCGTCTTCGTCGTCGATGAGTTGGTCCTCCTCGTCCTCCTCTTCAACGTCATCATCACTATGCGCACGTGCCTGCGGAGCAGGCGGTGGGGGCGGGGGCGGAGGTGGTAGCGGAACAGTCTTCTTGTTGGTAGTTGCTACACTAGGTGAGGACGACTTGCCCTTGCCCTTCTTGTCGGTTACCAGTAACTTTACTCGGAATTTGGAAGTTCGAGAGGGTGGAGGAGGAGTGGTCTCTTCCCTGAGAGTTGAAATCTGAGGAGCATCCATGTCTACATCTTCGTCCATGTTTTATCCTGGAAATTTTTACCAAAAATTGTGCTGGTGGTCGCGAGCGCTGGCGTGGTGAATAACTGATGGTAGAAGAGAAGGGTCAAGCTGTGTACAATATATATTAAATTTGCTTTGGCCGTGGTTAGTTCGGGTGACTCGAAGCGCCGAGACCACTTCCACGTCCACTTCTACACATTGTGGACAATGAGCTCAATGGTATCTAATTCAGATTATCTGAATTCGATTCATATCCTTCCCATTTAGTCAAATCATCATTAACATCCAGCATCCGTGTTCCATAGAACTGATGAGCAGTCGGCTTGGCAATATCCCAGCCAACTATCTTCCCATCCTCATTTCTATCCAAAGTTGCGCCCCATATGCTAACGCGGTTGGTATTAGAGTTGTGAGATGCAACCCCAACGCCGCAGGTCTTGCACCTATACCGTCGCTTGTATGGCTTGAGAATATTGTCGTAGAAGTCTAATCGAGACTCGTGAGGTTCTGGAAATGTCCATGTGAATGCAGAAGCATCGAAATGCATGGTGTGAATGAATGGGCACGCTGTGATTCGAGAATTATTACTCTTCATCCAAACCGAAGTGATTCCACCTTACAAGTCAATCTCTGGCAGCCCGTACAGTGACAATACGCGCTCAAAATTGGACGAGCAAAAACGGCATATGAAACGGCCTGGCAGAAACAACTACCTTGTAAAAGCGGGACATGTGCATGATCAGTCATAACTTAAGGATATCGATGACTGTTGAGCATGGTGCGGCGGGCAGGCTCTTCCCCCGCACGGAAGAATTACGTCAGCGGAAAACGCCGACTTGCTCCGCTGAAACTTGGAAAGTAGCTTTTCTATAAGCACCTCCAGGTTAGTCCTCGTCGCTTTCAATACGCTTGGCTTGCTAACATTCATTATCCGAAGCTATCTTAGAATTAACTTTTATATTGAAAGTAAAAAAAACGTTGAACAATGTCTACCACACTTAACGTGCGCCGTTCTTCGTATTTACAGTCTGTTAAACTGAAGCGGCTATGAACTAGGTCGCTCGCTACAGTGCTCTCCTTTCAGGTGTTTTCTACGGCATCTACCACCGCCGGTCACTGCAAAAAGCCCATGACCAAGACAAAGAACACCACGCAATACATCAACGTGAACAGTTGATAGCACAGGCAAAGGATGCATGGAGACACAAGCAAGAGAGTGCAAACGGGTCGGATGGTGGTGAGTCGCGCCCGTAATACTTTCTTGTATCGAATTTCCTGGCCTTCATGGAATGCGTCCGCCTTCTTTTTTGGATCCTCTGTGCATTTCCTATGTGTGTACTAACTTTGAACTCCAGTTATCACAAACCCGGAAGACCCACGGTTCGACCTCGAGAAGCTCGTTGCCAAATGGGAGAAAGATCTATAATCGTCGTGTAGCCTGCTTTCCTCCGTCAACTATACCTAGAGATCACTGCCATCACTCTCGTGGCAGACGTGAATTCGGCATATGAGCAATATCATTCGAACTGCTCTAATGAGTTTGTCCCTAGTGCTGCTCGAGACGCGTTTAACTTAGTCTAATGAACGAATTTGAATGACTGGGTGATATGTAAAAGTAGCGCCAGATAGCGCTTAAAATGAGACACTGTTTGGGAGGTGTATGTACATAATCCGTAGGCACGGGACGCGACGCGCCTTGTTATCTTCCTCCTTTGTTCTTGACTGACCCAGACCTGATACTGCTCATCTATCCCATACAACTTACTATCTGAGATGAAGCCCACTGTTCAGGACGAGGATATGGAAGATGATCTCGCAGCTGAGGAGGAGAACAAGCTCATAAATGAGGTCAGTTAACAATCTGCCTCCTCAAAATTTCCTCCAATTTAGCAGGACGATCATTTTTCAGGAATATAAGACATGGTATATGATCCTACTTTGCTAAAAGCTTTTCCAAATCATAACACCTTTGCAGGAAAAAGAATGCACCGTATCTGTATGACCTAGTCATCACGCACGCACTCGACTGGCCGAGTTTGACATGCCAATGGTTTCCCGACAAAGACGCGTAAGCACACCATCACCCTTATCTAACCTCATCTAATGAGGCAAAAAGACCAGCAAATAAGCCCTACACAACCCACCGCCTCCTCCTTGGAACACACACCTCCGGCCAAGCCCAAGACTACCTCCAAATCGCAACCGTCCAAATCCCCAAACGCGACGAAAAACTCGACCGCGACAACTACGACGAACAACGCGGTGAACTCGGCGGACACACCATCCCTCCCCAACCTCGTATCCAAATCACCCAGAAATTCAACCATGATGGAGAGGTTAATCGTGCGCGGTATATGCCGCAGAACCCGGATTTGCTCGCGACGAAAGCTATCTCGGGACAAGTACTCATTTTCGATCGGACGAAGCATTCGTCCGAGCCTCCGAGAGGGGGTACTTGTAAACCTGATATCAGATTGGTCGGGCAGGCGAAGGAGGGGTGAGTGGTTTGATTGATTTGGATGTATCCAAGGCTTATTGCGGGCAGGTTTGGTTTGGCCTGGAACCCGGTGAAGGGCGGACATATTCTTGGTGCTTCAGAGGATATGACAGTGTGCCACTGGTGAGAGGAACATCTTTTGGCGCAGTTTCGTTGCTGATATTCTTCAGGGATATAAATTCCTATACAAAGGGCACTAGCACCATTGAGCCGACAACTGTTTTCAAGGGGCATAACTCTGTTGTCGGGGTTCGTACCATCCTTCACGTTTGCAAGCAAGTTACTGCCTAATTCGTTGAAAAGGACGTAGATTGGCATGCGACCAAAGAAAACGTATTTGCTAGTGTGGGAGATGACAAGATGCTTCTGCTGTGAGCGCGATTCTTTTGCATTTCCATCCAACCAATCTCACTGCTCCCTCAGCTGGGACACCCGAGCTCCAACTGAAGCTACGACGAAAATTCAAGCACACGACAGAGAAATTTTATCATGCGCATTCAGCCCAGCATGCGAATATCTTATCATCACCGGCAGTGCAGACAAGGTACGTATACACTTAATCACTCGCATGAGTGGAGTTCATTTCAGCGTCATCTAGACTGTTGTGCTGCACGATATCAGATCGCCTACCAAAAAATTGCACATTTTCGAGTCACACACGGACGAAGTGCTCCATCTCGCATGGTCTCCCCACTCTGCTACAGTCTTTGCATCTGCTTCTGGAGATCGAAGGATTAATATCTGGGATCTTAACCAGATTGGCGTGGAGCAGTCACCAGATGACCAGGAAGATGGACCTCCGGAGCTCATGTTCATTCACGGAGGTATGTCACACTTGCACGCATCCCTGCTCAGATCATGATACTAGGTTGTCCCAGGCCATACCGCACGTCCCACAGACTTTTGCTGGGCACCAGGAGAATCTGAGAACTGGACTGCATCTACCACTTCAGAAGATAACGTTGTGATGGTCTGGCAACCCACTATGCGTATCTGGGCTGGCGACGAAGTCAAGATCGATGAGAAGGAACTCGAAGGCGACGCTATGGAGGGCGTCGAAAGCGTTCCTGAAGCTGGTCCTTCCAAAGCGGTAGCAGCTAGTGGCGCCAACAGTGCACGCAGCCAAAGTATGAGTATCAGCGCGAGCGTTAGTAATTCTGGCGTAGATGTGGAAGTAGAGGATAGTTGAGCGTTCGGTGTAGATGGAGAGTAAGAGGAACGATGACAGAATCCAAATTTGATCATGATGGATACAATATTTATAACGCATGCCCTTGCGAAAATGCTAACTGCGGACGGCATGGAGTAGTGTGTTGTGTATATTGTCCTCCTCAGAGTGTCTACGTATTACAGGAATACCAATCTGGCGAGTTCAAATAGCACTGCAGCATTGTCAGATTCAGAATGAGCGCGCTAAGACAGGTTGTACTCACCACCACCTATAACAACAAACAGGACGACGCCAAGAGCCCAGAGGCTGATAGGACTTCTTTTTGCCATTATCTCCTGGTGTGAAGGCTTCACTGCTTTCTTGCCCGACCGGACTGCATTAGCGAATTGAGCATTCTTCCTTCGCAGGTCAAATTCAGTAGGCTAGATGAGCACGTTGCGTCAGGATCAATGTAACGATACGGTTTCGACACAATTACCATATTCAAATTTAAGAACGATGAAAGAGTGGTGTGATACTCGGAGAAGAGAATAAGTATGAACAGCTGTATGTGTGACGTTGATAAGAACCAATAATTAGTCTCAAGTACGTGTCAGTCCAAAAAGGGAAGTGGTTGTTTGGCAGCAGCTTGGGATCCAAACAACCGTCGCTGATTCCACTTTTGTTACTTGGCTCGGACCACTTATCGCACCATCAGTCACGGCCCATTTTCTATATCTCGCGAATCTTGTGGTTTTTGTTTATCTTTCTATTTATCATATCGCATCCAACCAAATTATTCGCAGAAGGGTTGCTGCAGATCCTCACCATAAACCGCCAAAATATCGCTGCTGCAGTTCGCCAAACACCGCTATCGTCCTTTGAAAATGCTCCGGACTCTATATATCAACGTTCGAGGAGCACCGGACGGATCAGAGCGTTCGATTTTCCTCCTAAAGCGTCTAGGTCGAGACAACTGGCAACAGGCTTCGACATCGAACATAGTGTATGATAGGCTACTTGAATCCGGAGAAAAAGGAAGCCCTCTGGAGTCTGTGTCCACGAACGTGTCCTCGAATGTAATGGATAAGCACGACCACTCAAGTAATACTCAGGCTTGCCGGATCAATCGAGTCTTGAAGCATCCTAGTGATACGATATTAATGTTAATCGCGTTCACGATCTTCAAGAATCAGTCTAATGGCGTATCGACACACACGGGCCCGTTTTTCAATATTCAATTGATAAGAACTATAGGCTGCAATGACCGTCATACCCGATGGAGCTGCGCGCGTCAGTGCGACCCGAGCCTTCAAAGCAGGAGCAGTAGGTTGAGCCTACGGAGCTCGTTGAACTTGGCACTCAGGATGTGTTTTCGAACATATATGCATGTTGCGCGGTGAGTGCAATAACAAAAAAGTACGTTGACCTCATACCGATAAGTGAGCAGTCTGCTGCATCCTGACAAAACAACCACACTGATCATCGTCCTATATCCGATTCCGGTGGCAATATTAATAGATGAGTCCAGTCTAATCGTTTTCATCCTTTCATTCTACAATGAGCAGAAGGAAAGGTTGAGAAGGATAAACTGATGGTCGTCTTCTCTATCCCAGTGCCAATATTAATAAATGGCTCTGTGTCCAATTCCTTTCATCCCTTCCACTGTTATCAGCAGATGGAAAGATTGAGAGGGGTAGCACCCGGACCCATAGTTAATCTCTTTCCCAAGTAATGTCCCAAAACCACGCAATATGCATCCCTCTAGCCCTTATACAGATAAGCTAATCTGATTGAAGGCTACAGGGAGAACATCTAGCATCTCACAGGTGTTGACGACACAAGATCTCACTTGATCGAGGGTAAACCCCACCCAAAGCTACTTATACTAACAAAAGGAACAGCACTGTACAAGGTGCATTTCCTCTAGGCCTCTGCTCCCAAACAATCATTGGAAGGCAGGTCTAGACTCGGAGTGGAGTACCTAGTACTTCACAAGTACAATGATCGCCCAGATCTCACCCGAACCTCGCCGTCGATCACTTATGTAGATAACGCAAGCCCAGACACTGATCTTAGCTCAATATTCCACTGTAATTCAACGATGTGAAGAAAGCATTATTGCGATCTGATGACATGCGTGCTCTATGTAATATGAATAATGAAATTATGGACTACTTTGACTTCGCTGACAAGTCACGCTATGACACGCCTCAGCTTCAAGACTACTAGTAATTTGTCATCGGGCCTGTTGTTCCCTGTCACGTGAACAGGATATCACTACATGGCGCAGAGGCTCTGGTCCGGTTGGTCGTCCCTGCCCTTTACAGGCGGGCATCTACGCCGCTTCTTAACAACGCCTCTAAAACATCTCCTGCTTCACTCCACAGCAACAACACCAACTCATGTGTGCGCTATAGGGCACAAACTGTTAGTGACTGTCAATCATAAATTATTGACTGCTTAGAGAGATCTGTAGTCGTACTATACTAGATGGTATGAAGAATATTTGATATACTGCAAAATGAGTAAGTCATGGCAATTGGGAAGCTCAGGATCCACTACTACTTCCAGGGAAGGAATGAGGGCAGTGTATTCCGCTCGCTGGTCATTTTTTATAGTCACTCCGGCCCCCAAAATCAGGGTCTCCAGGGGACACCTTGAGCGTGCCAAAAATGCCTTGAACTCCTTGTGAGGCCACGGTGTTATATTGATAGCCTCGAGCACCCGCAAATCGGGGAGTAGAAGAGCGTTCATCAGGCGAGGTAGACAGCGATCGGGTGTGCGTGGAGCGGTGATGCGAAAGGATTGAAGTTTGGTGTGCGTGTACGCCACTAATGCCTGCCGTCCGGGTCTCATGCGAGTCGTTAATGAGGAGAGGTTGGGACATAGGCGGAGCAACAAAAGGACTTGACTCTCTTTAAGTATTCTGGCATGGACATTTGTTAGGTGGGGCCATGTGGGATTTAAAAAAGACAGCTGCTCGAAATTAAGCTACGCTCCAGTCATCTTGAGACTGCGAAGGGTGAGTGGAAGTTGCGAGATCCATAATACAAGAGCTGGATTATAATCAAGATTATGTATGACCAGCTCCTGAAGTGCCACGAGTTCTGTTAACATAAATGGAGTGTCGGTGCAATACAAGGGAAAATATGCAAAGAGAGACGATATTTGATTCAGGTAGGGCTGAAGAAGGATCCGTTGGTTGGCGATACCATCTGCAAGGAACTTGACTGCTAATGAGAGAGGATATTGTCGTGATCTCTTGAGCCACGAATTACAACCGAAGGCTGTTGGCTGCCAGTCACTGTAGTCGACGTCCACAAACAGTCTGCACCATAAACCAGGCGTGGCCACAGCAACATCCCTCCATCGTCTGCATATTCTTGTCAGCAGCATGGGGGCCAGCCGTGGCGCAGGCGACAAGTATTGTTCTTCTGGGAGACAATACATGAAAATGTGGGATAAGATTTCAGGTGGCAGGCGCCAGACAGCTGACACAAGTCTCTTGTGCAGAGTCATGGACTGGACAATTTTGTCCTTCTGTTCAACGAGCTTCAGGCGAAGATTTTTGATACTATCCATGACTGCGTACAGACCTGACATCTCATGCAAAATTGCATCTATATGGAAAGCCAGACAGCCGCGCTCGTTACCACCTGTGACATGGGCCATAAATGGCAGTCACAAGTTGAGGACTCCGTACACCTCTGATTTTGCCTCTAATATTTTACAAGGAGGTTGCAAGCGTCGACAACCTTTAGGTTCCATACTAGAGCGCGGCTGTCTGGCTTTTTGTTCTGTTCATCTCAATATGTATATGACATTACTGAGTTCAATACACAAGAAAAAAGTCTAGATTACCACTCGTCACCACTATCATCCCCTTCATCGTCTGTGAACTCCCAAACAATTAAGCCGTTGAAGTCGTCATCGGAAGCTGCATCAGCGTGTTGGACATCAGGTTTGTCATCGGCCAGTAAAGCGTCCAGCTGTGTGTGATGAGAGACATCTGTACCAGAAAGTTAGCATGACTAGCAAAGGAAAAAAAACGGATCCAACCTAAACCACGCCCCCCACGGACACCTCCCATGTAATAAGAACTATTGTCATCGTCCTGGAATGGCAAGTCTTCGTGATTATCAAGCAAAGGTAATTCATCGTCGTGCGTAGCAGTGATGATTTCAGCTGGTAAATCATCACTGAGCTGGATAGCATTGAGCAAATCCAAGTAAACTCTCCATGCGGAGTCGCGAGTGATGACAGGACACCCTAAGTGGGTGTAGCAAGAAGTAAGGTGATGACCGAGAGTGAGCGGTATGAGGTTGAATACTGCATGGGAAGGGTTGATATAGACACGACGAATATGATCAATGGCATCTGACTCGATGTTGATCTGCACAAAGCAGATTGTTGAGTGCCGTCCAGTGCCAAGCCAAACGAAGATGTACCTTGAAATCAAGACCACATATGCGAGCGGCCAATCTGTGCTGTCAGGATCCCGAAGGGCGACCCTTGCCACTATGTTGCTACTATTGACCCTAACAAACCAGGCCGCTTTGTCTGTGGTTCATGCCACTCACGCTACCAGAAGAAAGTGGCAACGACCGTGAGGCCTTCCAGTAAGTTTTGTTTTCTATCATACAGTCCACTCAACTGAATCATCCTCCATGCTCAGGTCAGCATATTGGGTTCCGCATGCTGGGCACTGACCAATACCCACCACCCCACCCTCTCCCGGATATGCATGGTGTACGGAGATCTGTCAATGCTGCCCAAAGGGCTGGTGAGTCTATGTATGGTTCGCATCTGTTGCAGGACTTGATATTCTTATAGGTACTATCAATCCTCCTCGAGTCATCGCTATGTCACATGGCCTCCAGGGCAGTCGGTCTGCCAGCGGCCCAGTTGTTGGCATACCTACAGGTTCAAGCTGGAATCAGGCCTCTACCAGTCATGGACTCGGAGTGGGTTACACCACCAATCACGCTGCTCACGCTTCCCAGCGTGAATACTGGTCGAAGCTTGCCTATAGTATGGGCTCACATGCCGAGACCATCAGTCTCGATATCTCGGCTGTGCATGATGCCGGCGCAAAGTGTAAGGGCAGTCGTGGTACACCAATTTTGGTGAGTATTTCACACTTTGTTCATTTGAGATTGTTATCTCAAACATCTGTTTAGAATATCCGCGAAGGGAAAAAGGATATTCATGCACAGGTAGATGCCCCAGATCTTGTCAAGATCGCACTCAATATGATTTTGCCCAAGATCCTCGCACTATCTCCAGCGTTTGCATGGCATACCCTGGAATTCGTCGTCCGAGACGCAGGCTGGGTCGACCTTTCAACACACCCAGCCAATAGGCCATATTTCTACTCAGAGTGCTGGCATACATCGAAAAGGGGCGGCAAAGAGGCTAAGGTTTTTAAGTCGAAGCAGTTTGCTTTGACAGTAGTCGTCCCTGAGTCCCAGTGGCTTCAGTACGAAGAATGGCTTGAGCAATCCGAGGTTGGTGCAAATCTGCATCATTACTGTGGTCGTCTAATTGATTTAAATTTAAAGGAGAAAAGCCACTACCCCGCCACGGCACGCCCACTTGTTCAGGATATCACTGCATCACCGCTGATAGAACAAACGCATGCTGACTTGCCCGTCGAAGAGTCTGTTCCTGTCGAAGAGTCTGTTATGACCTGGAAAAGGGTTCATGAGCGCAGCGACAGCGTTCCCATTAGCGCACCTTCCAGCAGGCTGTCACCACCCCACAAAAAATTAGCGGCAAGCAGTGCCTTCTGCACTCCCAGTCCAGACCATGAAGGCCTTAAACAGGCGCTGAGGATTGGCAGAACTGTTAACTTGGATGTGAAACAATGTAAGTCCTTGTTGACTTCCTATATTCATTTTTTCTGATGCGGCGCAGTGCACCTTATAGTGTTGGATTTACAGCACGAGAACATACAATACTATCCGATACCCACGCGACCTCTTTCAGCCATGCTGAAAAATGCCAAATTCCTATCCTATGATATTGAAACTATCAAGTGCTCGATGGGTCAATTAACTTTCAACCCGTCCACAGCCAGTATGTTAGGTGCTGGTGCTTTCAAGACAGCCCACCCAGGCTGGCTGACCTTGTTTTCTCCTCCTTCGTCTGGTCTCGGATCTCAGACACGTCATGATGTTGCAGTCAAGTGGGCCTATTACAAGGCTAACCCACCAGGCACCAGCAAGGCATCAGTTAAATGCAAAATCGGCTGCTATGCTCTTGCGGATGAGGTGCCCAAACTCCTTAAAGAGGGGAACGTCCTTTACTGGGCTCGGTCACTTCTCCAACTCACTTATGATTTCATTGATCGCTCCATTATCAGTGCGTCTGAACTTCCGCCATTCAAAATCCCTCAAGTTCACTTCGTTGATGCTGGCCTTGCCTTTGCTTTTGGTCCACTGCCTGCACCCAAAGCAAGCTCGTCAATGACAAGCTCAGCACATGCAGTTTATCTTGTAGAGGAACTCATTCCTGGCGGAAATGAAGATTTCCTGAAATATGTTCACAACATGGACTCGAATCCGTTGCTTGACGAATCTGACGACGGTTATGATCTGGCTCTATTCTTCACATTTACTCAACACATCCAGTACGTAAAAACACGGGGTCTGGCTTTCATATCAGACTATCAAGGTATGTCAGGCATTAACACTATCTCGACAATTTACTGAGCATCGCGGAATTCCAGGGAGCTCAGAACTATTGACTGACCCCCAAATCTTGACCCACCCGTATGTGTATTACTACGTGAAACCTTATCGCGCTAACTCACTAGTGTTCCACATCGTTAGCACTGTAAGCCAAGGTAACGATATCTTCGGAGATGGCAACATTGAGGGGGCAGTCAGCGAGTTTGAAAAGCAGCATAATTGCAATTTTTATTGCGAGTGGTCTGGTTTCAGCTTACATCCTTTCAAAAAGGAGCAAGATGGTAGCAGCGGCGGGGATGACATTGAGCAATGAGCATACTGCCGCCTCCTAGTGATAATATGTACTATGTCGTGTCTCGGCTGGGGGCTGTACTTGTATAATATGCGATATTCTTGATAGCTGACTATGACATTCTTGGCAACGACTCACTTCGGAATCCTAGAATGGTGGACAAAAAATTGGTAAAAACTGAACCAGGTCCAGTGCAAACTGATGACTCGGGGGTGGACGAGGTCCTCTTACCTATTGCAGACCCGTGACAGAGCGCGGCTGTCTGGCTTGGGAGCGCGGCCGTCTGGCTTTCCATACATCTAGCTGTTGGTGGCGTTCAATGATGATGGTGCCGATGACGGTCCGATCTTTGAGCTCGATGGCAATGTAGTTCGCATTGGGGGGTGTGACTTGGGAGTATGGGGTTTCGAGGTCTGGAATCTGATAATCATGAAATAACATCTAATGTACATCGGAATAGACATACGGGCACTTGTGAATGTGCGAGCTGAAGAAAATGAGCATCATTATGTGCGGACACGAGTGCCTATGAAACTGGGCACTCACAATATCTTGCAGAGCAAGAATGATGTCCAAAACAGGAGGGAATTTTGCTTTCGAGTCGGCTGCCGTCCGCTCGATTGCCTGCATGTCGTCTACTAGGTTTGTCATATTACTTCCAATGATGATCCAGACTCAGGACTACTACCGGACGGATCCGAGGGTCATTCCTTTATGGACTCCGATCAGTAAAGTTCTTCTGCGAGCCTTTCTTGTGCGACGCGCGGATTTCTGCGGATTATCCAAAAGAATATCATACCTTCAGAAAACGTTCCCGATAAATGGGGCAAAGCTTACAGCAGTGATTCATTAGATTTTCTGTCGCAATGACACAGAGAAGATACAACTGCCGCCAGAATATTCAAGACTGATGATTAGGTGCTGGTGGGTCGTTTGACGGAGTGATGCGTTTGGTTCCGTTGTCAACTGCGGGTTACAAAATTAAGTAAGTTACCGAGAATTTGGCTGCTGCATCGATGATTTGAAATGTCGGATCCATCATTTGTGTTGTACTAGCGTAAAAAAGCGAGCTCGGATCTCGTCTCCTTGTTCCCGAAGTTCACCTTTCTTTTCTATCAAGTTTCTAGGAAGGCCTCATAATGCTGGCGCCACTGCAGCAGTGACAAACACAGGGGGTGACCTCTCCGCAACTCTGGCTTGCCCGCCGACCTCAAGTCCACCCCACACGCAATTTGCTCCAGTGTTACCGGCGAACATATCAATACTCTAGGTGTCAAGTGCGTCAGATCTTCTGTTCTCACCACTATTATCCGTACCGAATTTCGTTATTTACAGTGTCAGCGATGTCCGTCCATGGATCGGTCGCGATGTCAAGAACTTCGACTGTAAGCCGACAGGCTCACAACATCACAACATCCCCTCAGCACGAAGCGGTCGTGTAGTTACCGCACTACATATAATCTAAAATATGCATACTAATCCGTGTGGGTTAGCCCGATTCCGCTGATGTCCTGATCATTGCGAGAGAGTTGCCGACAGATCCTGGTTCCTTGGGATGAACCTGCACTCGAATGATTTAGGGTGCCTTCGGGTGTGTAAGAATATATTTTAGGCTCAAAGACGGACGAGTTACCAGACTGGACCAATGTTCTCGTATTCTGGAGGAAGTGTGATCTCTTCCCCTCTCTCATCAAGCGGTTTGGCAATCGTGAACGCAGCCAGGATACAAGAAGTATTGAGGTACAATGAGGCTTCAACAAGATGCAACCCTGAAATAAGACGCTACTGTTCAATGGCGGCTTGGACAGTGTCATGTAAAGGGCACGCACCAGGGCATCTACGGCGCCCGAACCCAAACATGAACTTGCGAGGGTCCGATTGGGGTGAGGGACCAAGGAAGCGTTCAGGCCTGAACTCCAATGGGTCGGGGTATATTTCTTCATTCCGTGACATGGAAACAAAGTTCACAATGATGGCCGCACCCTTGGGAATGTGGTACCCTTCGTAGACGTCTTCCCTCATCGCGCGGTGGGGAACCCCTGCATTGCTGAGGGTGAGCGGGAACCCCAAAAAAATCATGTGGCTGTCCTTGCGGAGTCACGGGTGCCCAGCGGAGGAGTTCTAAGGCGAGCGCTCCGATGTAAGGAAGCTTGTCTTTGTCCTCGAACGTGGGAAATCGATCCTGACCCACGACGGCATCGATCTCTACCTGTGCAAGCTTCTGCACCTCGGGATAAAGCACCATCGCCAGAATAAAGGACTTCATGGATGATGCTGTCTGCTCATGCCAATGATTGTTTTAAAAGGGAGGGTTCAAAGATGTCTTACGGTGTCCAATCCCCCTACATAAATCACCTGACTGCACCGCATAATGATATCTTCTTGTTGGGCACTGACCATGGACCCAACCTCCGGAAGGAGCTGTTCTGAAACGAAGTATAACTGCCGCTTTGCTGATCAGTGATGACAATTGGTCAGGACTACGGATAACACGGACTCACAAAATTGCTTAGCAAAGCTTACTATTTGCTATTTGGTCCAGTTAAATGGTACTGTGTCAACACTACGAGTCATCTTTTTCCCATAGTCAATGGCCGTGTGCTTGAAACCTGCCCCTGGAAACCATGAAGGTAGGAAACGCACTCATGGAAGGTTAACTAGCTTAGTTCTGTAGTAACTCGGAAAATGAAAGAGGGACTACATAATGGCATCCCCTCGACCCACCAGCGTCCAGGCCGAATTAGCACGGCAGTGGAGTCAAAGGCTTCTTGCAGCATACTAACGAGATGGTCATCGTCGGTGACCTTCCAGCCGTATGCGAGATAAAGGACGACGGCCGCTGCGTTCCTGCACCTCCAATGAGAAACGAGTAAACAAGCAATCGCAAGAATTTTACTTTCCGATGTGATCGGTGAAACAGTCAGGGTTCTTGTGCAGACCGTCAAGCAGCACACGACATTCTTCACTTTGCACCGACTGGTAGTTCTGTATAGCACGGGTACTCAGACTGTTCTTGAAGATCGTGCGATACGCCTTGAAATACGGGTGATTGTAAGATATACTGAACGGGTTCAGATTGCGCTTCGCGAGTTCTAGCATCCACACTTTTGGACGATCAGAGTACATAGTGGCGCGTGCATCGAACAATTCAGTAGCCGCTTTTAGGGAGCTCAGCACTATGAATTGCCGGTTGGGCACGCGGAAGGAGAATATGGGCCCTATGAGATATAGGTCAACAAGCCTTGCAGCAAGCGGAAAATTAGACGATATGCACCATATATATTAGCCCACGTGACATACGCCCGCCAAGGTTCGTTCTTTGGCAGAAGTTGATGGGGATTTCCAATAAAGAGCTTTGGAGGTGGCCCAGGGAGTAGACCGCGTCGACGGCTGTAGAAAAAAACTGTCGCTGCAGTCACAAAGAGGATGATTATGCCAGAAGACATGTAACAGATACCAGCAACAGATTGGTCAACTTCTGCGGTTTGCTCTCCGAGATCTTATATCATTGTCCTCAGCATACTATGATATAAGCGATGTGCTGTCACCAGTCAGTTTCTGTGACGCAGCAGATCACCAGATTAGGCAGGATGCGACAGTTAGGCTAGAGGCCTCGATCGAGGTTCAGTTCCCGCTACCTTGGTAGTGGGTTTTGGATCCTTGATGTGTTTAGAAATCTCCACAGGCAGCTCTGAGTGAGGTCCTTACGAAATCTGGTCAACGGGCGATCCCGGCTCCTTTCCACGAGTCCACCCTAGTTTCCTGGCATGGCATCACTTCGAGGTACGAGCAATCACCGTTCAAACTGACGCCATGTATAGACATTCAATGAGTACTGAGTCTGAATGACAGTGACCTAGTGTTGCTGGCAGAACTATTCGTGGGAAGAACTATTTTGAGGTAGTTCTGCTGGCGTGGCACACGGTTTTTTCTTCATAGTACATAGGCTACTAAGAGTAGAAGTATCTACATGGATGTGAGTACAAAGACCACCAGATTGAAAGTTAAGCTCAGCTCACCGCCTTCATGTATAGGAACTTCGAAGTGCGTAACAGTCTCGCCGGCTAGACGGGAGCCTTGAATGCGAGAACTTGAGCTCTAGTCGCATCCTCTGACGCTCGGCGTGTGAGTCAGACGAAAGAACTGCACTTGGTACGCGGCGTACCGTGCACGTGAGACCAGGTTGTCAATTGTACAATACCACCCTCTTGAAGCTTGAAGGCGACAAGATTTTGCAGATCTCATTTCAAACAATATTAATGTGCTTATCTTTTTCGTTCATTTTTGTGATGATTCTTTCATCAGGCAATACTTCGCAGGAGAAATGTCTTTAATTCGGCAGGACTGCCTCTCCGGCGCTCGTGTCTTTACCCCAGGACGGCGACTTTGGCATTGTATTCAAGTTCACGGAGCGATGGGGAGTCGGGGTTAAACGACTGTGAATCGGGAGACTACGACATGCATATAGCAGCGTTCCATAGAGCTCGACGCTCAGATCTGCGGACTCCACTGTCCAGAGCATGAAATTGAAGATCGTCGTATTGAGTCGGGAGCAATTGCATAAAAGCTCGATGTCAATCACTAATTAGTAAATACCTGATTCCATTTTCGTACCTTGACCAACTGGTCACTTCGAATCGAGAGTCATGGGGCACAAAAAGAAAATATCCTTAAAAGCAACGCTGCAATCCCAGCAGACTCGGCTCAAGAACAAAGAGAAAGCCGCACATGCCGCTGAAGCTGCAGAACTCAAGACGAAGCATAAAGGCAAGGGGAAAGCGCCAGCCCTCCGACCTACCATTCCATTCACGCCTACCGACAAAATACTCTTGATCGGCGAGGGCAACTTCTCGTTCGCGCATGCGCTGGTCATCGATCCTCCTTCATCACTGGAACATCTCCCACCATCAAATGTCACGGCAACTTCTTATGATTCTGAGGAGGAATGTTATGATAAATACCCTGATGCGAGAAGTAAAGTGGATGTTCTTCGGGACCGCGGTGCAGAGGTTTTGTTTGGTGTAGATGGGACCAGATTCGAAAAGTGCAATGCTTTGAAAGGAAGGCGGTTTGATCGTGTTGTGTTCAACTTTCCTCATGCAGGTATGTTTTATTGAGATCCAAGTCATATAAACGAGAAGGCTGAGACATCGTGAAGGAAAGGGTATAACAGACCAAGACAGAAACATACTATCTAACCAGATGCTTATCCTGGGGTTTCTCCGTTCTGTTGTTGGCTGCCTTGCAAAAGGCACCATTCCAACGCCTAATCTGTCACAAAAACCAAGACCTGTGGACGATGATGATGATGACAACGTGAATGAAGATGAGGATATAGTGGATGTCACGTCGCCTTCTGCAGCACAGGGCGCAAGGGGGACGGTGCTCATCACCCTGCGCAACGTTCGACCATACACCAACTGGCAAGTGCACTTTTCGTATCATTAGTTGGCTGCTGCTTATATTCACCCCTAGGGACGTGCCAAAATTGGCAAAGACGCCTCCGAAACCTGCATCATTAGGAATCCCGCCGAACCCAAATTATAAGCTTCTGCGTTCGTTTGTATTTCACAGGAAGATATGGAAAGGATACGAACACCGCATGACAAAAGGCGAGAGAGCCCACGGTCTAGGTACGACAGGCGAAGGAGGGGAGGATCGGACATGGGAGTTTTGCCTCAAAGACTTATATTAACCATTCTTCTATGAAAGTGCGTGGTGTGTGAACTATGTAAGGCTAGTCGACAAAAGGTGCAGGGATGATTGAGTAGATGCTATGATGAAGCTTCCGCACTCTGACTCTCTTCCAGTCCCTTCTTCAAGCCCTCCAGTGTCCTCGCAAGTTTCCCTCCACTTGCCTCACTGAGAATTGCAGCCAACTGTACAGCTGGTGAGCTTAGCAACCCAACTATCTGCGCCCGCAGAGTGTCTAGGGTTGGCAGTTTCGATACATCCCGTACACCCTCCATTCCAAATACCCGCCTCTCGATGAGAGCACCCATCACCACTAGTTCTGGGGTCAAGACGGGCTTCACCCTCTGCATCTTTCTACCAGGAATAAAATTCGGGTCATCTTGAGGTTTTATCGGTGCTGACTGCGCAAGCCCTGGTTTCTTGGGAGGCACTGAGCGATCAAGAGCACGGAGGATGGCGTCAAGTTGGGGAGGGTTGAATGATGGTAGCGTTAGGACAGCAAGACCGCCTTGAAGCAATCCTGCAATTTGAGCTGCCTGTTCCGCGTCTAAAGGCGCAAAGTCTCGTAATGCAACGCCAAAAAGCGAGGTCCGCATCACGGCTAGCGTAGGAGTACCGTTTTCAACAGGAGGTGTTGGAGAGGATAATGAGACAGAAAACTTGGCGTTTGCATCGGCTATATCCCGTCTCAACTTCTGTAGCCGCTGAGACGCGAAATTTGTGTGTTGGAGGAATATTATGGGGGAATTATCGCTAGCTTCGAGCATGCGGGTGTATTGATTGTATAAGAATGTTTTCTGCACACCGTAGCGACGTGGTATCGGTTTGCCCTCGTAGATGCGAGGAGCATTCACGGACACGACATATCCTCGAGCTGTTCGCGGTATTGATGAAGCAATAACAGGCTTCACGCAGATCATGGCTAACGTCCGAGTCTCGAGCAGAACAGACTTGAATAATTTGTAGACTTGTAGTCACGTGGCCATAAGGCACAGCATGTCACATCTTGTCACATAGTCACGCCTTCAACCGGTGTTCTCTTTGACTTCGAGGTCGTTAACATTTTGGGCCTTTGAAAGGTTGCGAAAATCGTTGTAATGTTAGTTCATCCCATGGGGCTGCAAGCAAATAATTAACATACACCTCGCTAGGGACGACGACGATGCATTCCTGTACGGCGAGCCCAGCTTCCAAGCAGAGGCACCAAAGGCAGATTTAGCAACAAATTTTGGTGAGAACAGCTCAAATACTTTGGAAACTCTTCCCAGAGGCTCTATTTGCTGTATTTATCCTGCAACATGAACTTATCTTTTGTTGTCTGATGTGCGATTAGTGGTACAGGCGTAAGTCGTTAATAGTGCGCGAAACTGTCGTTGTTGAATCCTCTTCGTTGCAGAATATCGTTTGAAGCTGTGAAGGCAGTGTCAAATGGGGTGGTCAAGGACCTCGAAGCCAAGGCTGAAGAAGAAGAACCGCCCTTTGGTCTGGGTGCTGATGAGTCCGAAACTGGGGAAGATAATGCTGCGGGGGAGGAAGACTCTAGTGATGAAGATGTACGTGAAGCATGAACCCGTCGGGTTCTAGCAACTAACGGCCTTTCAGGACATTGAGATCATCATGGACCAACCTATACGGTCTATAGACAACCGGTGCGCTCCACGTTGGATTGAGTCGTTTTACTCTCAACTTGTTTCAGACCAAATGTTCCTCCTCGAGCTCCTGCTCCAAGCCGTTCCACAGGTGGTCCTCAGTCCACCCCCAACAGACGTTCGTTTATTCCATTTGTTTCTTCTCTCGTGAAAATTGACACCTCCTACAGCTCCTCCCACACACTCACAGTTGACAACTGAGTACACACCTCGTGATAGGAATGTACCACCTTCAAAAGCACCCCCTGTTCATTCAGGAGGCACGCCCCAAACACCCTCTGTTCCCCGGGAGTCAGTCTCTGTTGCACCAGAACAGCCCGTGTTTCATGAAGGTCTGGACCCTTCAACTCTTCCTCCTGCCATTGCACCACCTTCACATCCTTCTATAAATCCGGATATACCTGGCATCCTTGATGGCCACTCAATACTTGAAGTCGACGTCAGCGCAATGGCAGAAAAACAGTGGCGGCTTCCCGGGGCTGATATCAGCGATTGGTTCAACTATGGATTCGATGAAATCTCTTGGGAAGCATATTGCTACAGAAGACGGGACTTGGGCGAACTCGCAAATGTCCTCAAGACCAACGTACTCGTACGATATATAGTGACTTGTTTGGTCCATAGTCCTTACTTTTCTCCTAGAATTTCGCAGCCATGCCAGAAGATCAGCTAATAGCCTTACCCCCTGAACTCCGTACGATGGTCATGACGGGCGCCAACGCCATGATGAACACTGCTAGCCAGGGCATGATGGGACCAAGCGTCGGGATGAATCCCATGATGGAAATGCCCGGTATGGGACCTATGAACATGGGACCGATGGGCATGGGCATGAATGGCGATATGGGTATGCAGATGCAACCGGGGGGCCCGTTGATGCCAGATGGCCCCGTCCCCGGCCAGGGTCCAGTAGGGCAGAACGGCACGCCGGAGCAGGGTGTGCAGATGGGCATGCAGGACGGCTTCGGGCCGGGAATGATGGGCATGGGTGGTGACTTTGGTATGCAGGTATGGGTTAACCCTTCCTACTCTAGATACGTACAGCAAATGATATGAACATCGCATGAACGTGTTTGTTTTTCTAAGCAGGAGCAAGGACCGATGGGGCAGCCTATGTATCCCAACATGGAGGGCAGTGCGACACCGGCACCAGTCCCTGTGCAGACGCCAGTGCCTACGCCAGCTCCTACAGCGCCTGCGCACATGGGCCGTGGGGCACCCCCAGCACAATTCAGAGGTCGTGCAATGGCTCAAGGCCTACGCGGAAGAGGATTTGCTGGACGGGGACGAGGAGGATATGGCGGGGGTGGGTTGTCTAATATAGTTATTCCCCGGTGTATTAACCCATCATCGTAGCTCCAGTAGGGCCTGTCCGCCCAGCCTCGCCGTTACCGCCCGGCGTGCCAACCGGTCCCCGCAACCAGAATAGGTACAAAGACAGAGATAACAATGCACCTGCAGTCGAAGGTCTTGACTATGGAGGCACAATAAAGGACGTTGGAGGAAGGACGCCGTCAGGGGAACCAGAAGATCGCCTTGGCCGGTGAGTGGATTTGCATTCATCCATGACCTCAACGCTCACATTTCCTGTAGGAAGCGGCGCCTTTCACCAGGTTTGGATGATACTCGGGGATCTAAAAGGCGCTGAGACGCGCACATATGTATACGTTCTCATTATTGTATCTCACTCTTGACATTGTGCACACTGTTAATGCTGTCGTGAAGGTTATTGCTGACATTGGTTGTAAGCCGACGATGGAAGGCTAGTGATAAGCAAGGCATCAAGTAACTTGTTTATAGTACAAAGCTGGAGCTTATCAGCCTTTATAAAACCTACAACCATTCCTTGTTTCCTTTATGTGAGATGAACGCGCCAGTGTCATTGACGGTGATCCGATTGATGACCTCGAGCTGCATTCGGACAGATGCCTCTGGGGTAATTGGCCCCGTGAAATCGGGGTAAACCTTTCTGAATTTCTCAACCATCGCCTTGAACTGCTCCAGTTCCTTTTCAGTAGCTAGATCAGCTGTAATCAGCTGTGGATAACCTAGAAGATATCGCAAAACTTACGAGCCCTGGTGCTAGTGTCCACAAGTCCCGGGCTAATCGGCCAAGAAGAAGAAGCCCTCTGACTTGTATTGAGCAGCATTACTTGACATTGACCATATTTACCGCGGCTTTCGAGATGGAGGTATGGTCCAGGACGTGACCAATTCAGCGGCTATCGTCATATCAAGGTCTCCCAATCCACTAGTGACAGTGACCACTTTCTTTGCTTTCCCGTTCTTGAGTAGCGGGAGGAAAATGTTGATGGTGTGGATGATACCGGACGGACGTTGATGTTGAACTACAGAGGTCCATTAGCTTATACCGCCATCGCATACGAAGGGATTTGGTTGCATACCGAATCCAGGAGATCCTTAGTGAGCAACTCTTCTGAGGAACTAAATACGACTCAGTGCCATTCCGAGAACGCAAAGCAGAGAAAGAATCTTACTATGCATCGAGAGTCAATCCATCCCTCTCAGCCTCTACGAACCCAGCATTATTGATCAAGTAGTCAAGCGAGTTGCCTCCTAGTCGAGAAACCTCTGCAGCAGCGTACTGAACAAAACGTCAATTTAGCCCCTATCCAAGGTGTCAGGCACCCACCTTCAAAGCCTTGTTATCAGTGATATCGGCCTCGATAATGTGAACATTATGCCTTCCCAGCTCCTTAAGCTTGTTCGCAGTGGCCTCATTGCGTACAAGCGCGAAAACGGTGTTCCCAGAATCAGTGGAGAGTTGATTGACAAATTCAAACTGGTTGAATTCAAAACGTCCGTCAGAAACGTAGTATGATAGTCGATCAAGCTGCACGTACACCAATCCCCGGGCTGCACCTGTTATGGCGTATGACGGCATCTTTACTGGTTTAGATTGATGTGACTGGAAAGAACTGAAGAGATAGATCTTGGTGTAGCCCTTCGTAAGTTTTGTGACGAACTTTTATACCCCAGTACGTGCACTCTGTCTACCTCACCGAGATTTCCGGATTATGATCGTTAATGTCAGCATATCAGCAGCTGTGTCAGCATGTCAGCAGATGAGTCAGGGGGCGCACGCCCAGTTCGCGTGTTTCTCTGCGTGATGGAAGATACTAATTTCCGGCAGTATATGTTAGAAATACTCTTTAATAATCGCGACTGCGACTTCACAACCAACTCGACTAGCGCACAAAGGAGTGTCCTGACAGAGGAACAGAGGAAGGCGTAGACTCATCACCTCTGTAACCTCATTTGGGTCCTGATGATAGTGGAGCTAATTATAGACAACAAACATAAATACGAAATCAAAGGTGAAGTAAGCACTGGTAGAAGAACAAACCGATACTCGCTATCCGTTGTTAGTAGCTTTCCCGCCCGACCGCGTGCCGCCGCCGCCACCCGAACGCTTTTTGTTCGCCCTCGAGCTACGTTTGGCATTCTTCTTCTGCCTGCAAGCTTCGCAGAACCACGTTCCGTCTGGAGGCACCGTAAGGCCAATGCATGCAAGATGGAACTGCACAGTTGGTAAATACGCAGTATCTGGACAAATAGAGACGTAACGTACCCATTCTCTTTCACAATTCACGTCGTCACATGCGATCATTTCTCCATAGCTTATACCCTCACAGAAGCAATAGGTTCTGTCATCCCCTCTCCATCACCTTCGCCAACTTCGGTGGCCGTGTCTCCTGCAGCATTACCGGCTTGGGTTTCACTTGGAGATACGAGTGGGAGGCTAGGGGTTAGGACGGTTGCGGAGCTTATTGATAGACCGGTGTGTGTATTCCGTGCGACAGGCATGCCTGGACCCTCCAGCTGCCCAAGAGGAGGGGCTCCCCAGTCATTGGCAAGTGTGTGAGCACCAGGCAAATCATAAGAATGTAAACCATTTGATCCGTAAGGTATAGGTAAAGAAGGATGAGAGACTGATGATGAAGGTGGTGCGGGGAAGATGTCGCGTCGTCCATTGACAGATCCATTGACGTGCGGCTCGTCATAGGTGTTAGGATTTGGCTTGGAACGCCTACTGGAGGGGTTGGTAGTGCGACTCGATGAGCCCCCAGCTCTCGAGGTCCCTGTATAGGCTTGAGGCACTGGTGCTACAGTGTGCGAGATGACAGAAAGAACAGATTCTGTGGGAGAGGCAGCGCGTTCTTGTCTAAAGCACCACATCAATATGATGAATACATATACTGGTAAATGGCTTACTTTCGTGAACGAGCACCATTTCGAGATCGCTGCACAATGATATCGCCAGTCCTCTCCTTGCGAGGAGACTTCCCGCCCCCCACATCCACATCATCTTCTCTCATTGCTCGTTTTCGTTTGGAAGGGCTGGCTTCATGATTTGCGGTATTCATGATTGATCCGTAGTTGCCTCTTCTACGACGCGAGTTATCGATGGTGGGCATATATGACCGAACAGCGACATGGGGATAAGTTGTCTTGCGGTTCAATGCAGACACATCGAATGATGGCAAGAGAGTAAGGAGCGTTCTCATATGTGAAGTATGGCTTTTGAGGTTGTCGGCGGCTTGACATGCTACACGAATCTTGTCTTCGCCGCCCAGTTTCAAACGCGCAGCTTCCTCTGCTATATCTGTGAGCAGGAAAAGACGGTCCTGCTTTGCTACCGTGCCATCTTCGATCATCTTTGTCAGATTTTGTATTTTTGCGGTGATGGATGTCATAGACGATGACAAAACTGCATCGAGTTCACGGAGGTCTGCAAAGTTACGAGAGAGGTCGAGTGGGAGGGAGTCAAGAGTGTGAGTGTACTCTGAAAGTAATGAGAGCGCGTATACGTCGGTGACATTGCTTTCTTGTGATATTGGTGCTCTCGAGGGTGCCATGATGAACGTCGCTGCCTCTAGAAGTGAATACTCCTTTGAAGAAGGTTGCGCGAAGTAGTACCAAGCGATCTGCTCTGCGTTGACTAGCGGCGTTTGCCGGTCCGGTGTTCAAAATCCGCTAAATTTGAATCTGAGTCGCCGGGGTCAGACCTGGTCAGACAATCGACGATCGTGTCACAGCCTGCGCACATTCGTCTTGCACTATTGTCTTCATCTGTTAACTTTTGAACGATAGGGGAGGAATAAATGCATAGCATCCAGGGTGAAACAATAGAGATACAATATGTGCGTTCTATGCGTACGAGATATCATGACGGACACAGGGATTTGATAGAGAAGTAAGTGTTGTAATCGAACAAAGTGGTTATGAAGATGACCTGCACCCCTCATTCAGTACGTATTTTTTGCGCGCTCCGCCTCTCATCTCCCTAGCCATAAAACAATAACCGTTCCGATCCAGTACTATCGATACAATGGGTTTGGGTACACGTGACTCCTTCGTGATGGATACAGTTGACGATCATGACGATGAGAAAGTATCACTTTCTGTAGAACTTCATTAACGGGTTTGAGCTTCCGCCGTTACTCTGGCTGCGCGGGCTATTTGATTGGAAGCCCATGGCTGAGCCCAGCGCCGAGTACATGGCGTGCGAGTCACGCGGGTTCCCCTGCATAGCGGAGAATGCATGTGGGGAAGATGGTGCAGTGGGGAAGAAGCCGAAGGTAGGTGATCTTTGGGGAGTGGTGTAGTTGTTATAGTGAGACATTATTATGTGCGTGAATTGGTGAAGATGTGATATTATAGCACGCAAAGAAAGATGTGATGATTGGTCTGCCCGTGACGACGTTCGTAAGGGGATGGTTATGCGTGCTAGAACTGGTCTGCAAATATGTCGCGATGATGGTAGAGCCTCGGTAGACGTCAACCGTTGGTTTGTTCAAGGACGTGATGCGTCAAACAAGGGTTGCTTGAACAGCGGAAGAAGTGGTCTTCTTGGAAGGTTGTTAGGCTACTGGACCAAACTGGTCGTGTTGATAGAAGTAGGAACTCACGCATAGCTATTATATACCAAAGGAGGGATGTTGAAGGAGAAGGAGGCCCATACCTGGACTGATGCAAAGAGTACAAGGTAGCAACCGAAATAGGCATTTGTCCCCATTCGGAAGAAACCAACAAGTCTCATGTCATCGTATGGGAGGGAAATAATTCAGGAACTGCCTATCGTGGCACAAAGGAATCGATCCATCCAGTATTAAGTCACCAGGACCCCAGTCCAGACATTGGTGAGGCATGTCCTCACGCACCAAACGCTAAATTTTCATGCAGACTTGATTGGCGCGGAGCATATCAGCTCGACCTCACTCCCCCCCGATCTGGTTTTAGCCGCATCCTCTGTTTGCCGTATAGACTCAGTGGGAGAGGAGTGCAACGGTTTCATAAATCTGGTTGGTTAGTACGCTTCAATAGTAAGCTCATTGGCTCCGCAACAGATCTTTCCAGCGCTTCCACCCTGGGCTTTGTTCTGATAACTGGAGCCGATATCTTATTGATACTTGCCCTCGGCAACCCTCTTCATGACAGACTAGTGAAAATCTCAGAATAGATCATCGCTGCATTTGTAAGCTCCTAATTACTTGCGTACTCTATAGCATTTCAATGGCGCAAATCTAGGTGTTCGTTGTACTCGTCTGCATTGCAATCATTAATGGCGAAGATCGATATCGTCTGTGGTCAAGCCTTTAGTGGATTTGTTCCTTCTCAAGCACTCTTTGTTAACAGCGCGCTTTATACATGTATGTGGGCTGTATGTGATGGAATGCAAGGTTGCGAACAGGCGCTGACATGAATGTATTGTAGCTGTTAGAATCCTAGGCGCTACTGTCATGCTCCAATCTATTCTTGGGTTCACATATCGCAATTCAAGATAGGCTATCCAAAAAATCACTTACACGGGCCCCCACCTCTTCGCTTCCCGACAAGGTTCGAGAACGAGTCGCCGATCAGTGCGCACTGCGCAACAAGCACCTACGATACTTGGGACAAGCGCTCTGGCAAAATTACCGATCCTCGTTTATGGTTGAGTTAAAAGAATTGAATGCCCATCCGAGGTCTCGTGAACACCGAGATTCATAGAGTTCGTGCAACCTTATCTGTACCATGGCATGTAATCAGCGGTCTGCTATACTTCGCCTTCATAATCAATGCCCTGTAAGCTTCTAACACTTCTTGCTACCATTGAGGCTATAACCCGTTTGAAGTATTCTTAGCCTAGCCAACGTCGTCTTTTACTACAGATCAGGGGCTATGGCTGTGAATCTCCTACTAGCTTGTTCGATGCGCATACTCTCATCAAAGACAGGATTGGCAAAGGCACGTCATCCTTCATATTCTGCAGTTTTTTGAAATCCTTCGCAATAGCCGTTGGCATCGGGCAAAAGAATTCTTGGGCCGCGAGAGTATCGTTTCACTCGACAACTTAGAAGCTCCCTCTTTCCCTGCGGTCAAATCAGTACATTCCAAATTTCTGACCTGGAAATACTCCGTGGACATTAGCAGTGGGAAGCTCAAGACGTCGCTTAGGTGCCTGATATGGCTTGTGATCGTGATGGCTAATTTATATGCCTGTAACTTTAGTTATGGGATAAGGTGGGTGGGCTTGGCGCCAACTCGTATAATAGCACTTCATTTATTGGGTGTTGTCAGAATGGCTCGCGCGCTCAGATCTGTAGATCTATATGTGGGTCGTACAGTGTACGTAATCCTCAGCACAAAAATTCTTATTTTATCCTACGAGTTATGGATTGGTGTGATTTTCGATATGGATGATTATCGCTTGTTGGCAGTGTGCCAGTTATTACAGTTAGTGTAGTACCAGACAGTACGCTCGAAGTGCGTGAGAAAGTTCTCGATAAACCCTAACCCTAGTCTAGGTGCAACACCAAAACGCGCACTACGCCTTCCAAGCCACTGACGAGTCACGTCGATATCGAATGGTTCAATCTGGGTACAATCAATTCACCAATCCTGGCTAAGATCTTTCCATTCAGAGCGTGCGTTATCGCGAATCCATCGTGCGGAGTTGGACCGTCTTCGATAAGAACCGCCCTGCTTACAAGATCGAGACCCTTCAATACTACCACTGGCAGCTCCCAGTCTTGCGACGGTGCCCAAACCAACAGTATGCCTAAAGCTCAGAAAACAGCATATTATGCCGTGCGCAAAGGACGTACGCCGGGGATCTACCCAACATGGTTAGTAGATTGTACGATACGTTCATCTTGTACTCAGCTTCCTTCCTGAAGGGAAGAATGCGAGGCCCAAGTGAAAAACTTTCATGGTGCTGTCTACAAGAAGCTCCCAACAGAGACAGAAGCCCTTGTATTTATGACCACAGAATTAGCATCCCAGTTCGCCTTCTTTAAGACTGCCCTCGTCTGCGGTATCGCCTGCTGCCATAAGTCCACCGCGGAGCGTGGCGGCAACATCGTCGAAATTCCGCCCTTCGGCTGCTATCGTTGCGAATGACAAAGAAGACGAGTCTGGCTACGACGTTGTCTATTCTGACGGTGCGTGTAAAGGAAACGGACAAGTTGGCTCGGTTGCGGGTGTGGGTGTGTGGTGGGGCTGGAACGATACCAGGTGAGAAATATTATCTGAGCGATGAACACATGACGCTCATCATTACTTCAGAAATATCGCCGAACGATGTCCTGGAGATCAAACAAATAATAGGGCGGAACTCATTGCAAGTTGTACTCCATATGTTTGATAATATACTTTGCTTACTCTCGCACCGATTTTGCAGGCAATTGTTCGGGTATTGGAGACCGCACCATTCTCCCAGCGTCCGCTCATGATAAAGACAGACTCAAAGTATTCAATCCAATGTACGGCACGCTGATCTATGTGTTGGATTCTTCTTATCCTGTTGCAGGCTTTGAATCCTGGTTGCCAAGGTGGAATGCAAACGGCTTTCGAACGGCCAGCGGCCAATCCGTCAAGAACGCTGAACTGATCAGATACTTGGCGGCATTGCTATATGCCCGGGAAAGGGCAGGACCAAAAGTCATTTTCAAGCATGTCAGAGGTCATGTTGGAATCGAGGGCAACGAGTGCGCTGACCGATTAGCTAACGACGGTGCTCTAAAACCAGAGCTGCCTGAGCGGGATTGGGAGCAGCTAATCCGCGACTTAGAAAAGAAGCCAATACCATCGAAGACGATACCCGAGCCAGTCAAGGTAACTGGCAAGCTAGTCGCATAGTATGACGTAGCTAAGCCAATTCCACTGAAGTCGGACACATCTATGTCGCGACAGGCCACTAGTGGCTCTTCTAGCAGGCTTCCCCAGCCATCCATAGCAACGCGTGTTGCATTTCCTCCAAGGGAACCTACACCCAAACCAGGGTCCATCAGTCAAGCAGAATTAGACGTCAGTAATCACAATTTCAGGCTTTCATTGTGCTCACAAGCAATAACGTGTTCAGGCATATGCAAGCTGCCTTCTCGAGACAGATGACTTGGAATCAGATTTTTAGGCTCTTAACCTCGGAGCTCCTCGGTGTTTGTCTTATGCCCGTGACACGAGATTAGTTCTATGTAGAACTTCTACCGCCTGACCATAATTTAGACATGTGATATACTACCCGTGTGTAGTCATTGGTCTACGAATAAACATATTCTCGAGGACGTTGACCGCTACAGTACACGAAACTTCTGAGAGCCAATAGCTGGCCCTTCAAATACAATGAACGTGGAGACCGGTTTCTGAGAGGGCCGACCACAAGGCCCATGGTTCATATAGGAGCTTTGTACGAATCGGCGACTCACCTCTTCAACTGCATTCTCGAGCTCATCCATGAGCATACAGTACATGGGGAGCATCACCGGCGCAGGCATGTTGATCAGCCTTTCACATAGAACAAGTCTTACTCGACACTGCGAATCACGCAGTATCATCGATAGTGATTCGTCGGAGGCCTTCGATTTTGCCAAGGTGTACTCTATGAGCAACTTCATCGACACGTTGTCCTGACAGCAGTCCTTGCTTGAAAAACGCCAAATAAGAGACAAATGAAACTCATGTTGTGCACACCGATATTTAAAACGCTCAAGAATGCATGTGGGTTGCTCTCCTCTCCATCAGTCTTGATCGTGATCCATATATCAGGCTGTGAAAACACCAGGTCCGCAAGAGCATGCGTGCTGGGGCCCTCAGCATCCACACCAAAGAGCTGATCGAGAAGACGCTTATGGTATAGTAGTCAATCATTGCATTGAAGCCAAAAAATCGAAATCTATGTTAGAACTCTTCCACTATCGGTGACTTGCATGTCCGCCGTCTTCTACACACGGGCACAAACTCATCCATCTTCCAAAACATCTTTTTCGGCTCCGAAACATAAGGAGTAGCATTTTGAATGCCCACAACACTGTGAAAAGAGCGTACAGCCATGGTGAAGGAGTATAGTTAGGAGAGAAATGTGCGATCGCGCATGGAGCTAAGGAGACAGGCAGCAGAGATGCGGAGATAAGCGAACAACGGAGACTGCTGATGGAGGAGCACAGACAGGGGGTCAGCCGGTCACACGCCGCGGGATCAAACGTTCCCATGCTAGACAACGTGCAGTCATTAATATCGGTCTATGAATAAATCCATTCTCGAGGATGTTGACTGCTTAGCTCAGTACACGAAACTACCGAGAGCCAATAGCTGGCTCTGGAAATGCAATGAAGATGGAGACCAACATTTTTGCCACGCTGTGACTATCATGATATATAATATATCGCCGTGACCTTGTCGGCGTTCTACGGTAATTTTTCTCATTCTTTTCGTCCACTTTCTGCGACTACTGCGCATCTAGAGGGACTCGTTCATCTCGTACCGAAGGACTTCGTATATACTCTAGCTTGATGACCACTGCTCCGAATCAAGCCAACCCCGACCTTCGGGGCGGACCCACGACTACTAAAAAGCACTGGATAGATCGTCTGCATCGTGTGGGATGGACAATATTTCATCACGCACAGAAACACACAGGCGTGGGCATCGTGTGTTCTGTCGCGTACTTTGATCCGTGAGTCATCTGACCGAGATGGTAACCGGCACCGTCTTACTTTGAAGTTGGATCAAAGTGGCAATTGGGGAGTCGACCTTCAGGCAGGATCTCAATATGGCTATAAGCTCCTCTTCATCGTACTTCTGTCAGGCTTGTTCGCTGCGTTTCTTCAAGTGAGTAGGACGTTTGAAGTAGTGACCGTCCGAGTGACTTGCCGCAATTTTTACAGGTTCTTGCCTGTCGGCTTGGGGTGGTCACTGGCCTTGGTAAATCCTTCTTCATGTCAGCTTTTCATTGAAGATAGACATGTTTATTGACCCATCATTCTCAGACCTCGCATCCCATTGCCGCCTTCTCTTCCACGATCGACCACGTCATAAGAAACTTTGGCGATGGGGAGTCCTTTACCCACTTTACGTACTCTCCGAACTAGCCATCATCAGCACCGATCTTGCTGAGCTCCTTGGCTCCGCAATAGCACTTACTCTTCTCTTTCCTGCGCTTCCACTCTGGGGCGGTGTTCTGGTAACAGGCGCCGATGTATTATTAATACTTGCACTCGGCAACCCTCTTCATGATAGGCCAGTGAAGGTATTCGAGTGGATCATCGCTGCACTTGTAAGCCCTCAACCATTCGTGTGCCTCGTTTGGTTCAACGAGACAAGTCTAGGTGCTTGCTGTGCTCATTTGCATGGGAGTAATTATCGGGAAGGTCAATGTTGCCTGGGGTCAAGCCTTTGATGGATTCGTTCCTTCTCGGACAATTTTTTCCAGCGGCGCTCTCTATACATGTAGGTCATGAAATGCAAGAATGCGGATAAGAGTTGATGTAATTTTGTTGTAGCCGTTGGAATCCTGGGCGCTACTGTCATGCCCCATAGTCTATTCCTGGGTTCCCATCTCGCAACCCAAAACAGGCTATCCAAAAAACCACGTTCCCCAGTCTCTTCGCTTTCTAGCAAAGTTCAAGAATCAGAGCTAACAGGGGCCGCGTCAAGGCGCGAGCATATACAATACTTAAGACGAGCGACTTGGCGAAAACTCCGGTCCTTGTTCGTAGTATCTCGCGCCGAGCTAGAAGCGTTAAATGTCCGTCCGAAGTCTTACGAACATAGAGAGAATCATTCCTTAGAGTTCGTGCGATCCCATCTATACCACGGCATGGTCGATATGGTCTCCAGTCTACTAGGCTTCGCCGTCATCATCAATGCCCTGTAAGCTTCTAGCATTCCTTGCTATTATCGAGGCTAACAACTTCTTCGAAGTATCCTAATCCTCGCCAGTGCCGTCTTCTATTATGGATCAGGGGCGTACGGATCTGAATCTCCAGCTAGCTTATTTGATGCCCATACTCTCATCAAGAACTCGATTGGCGAAGGTGTGTTGTATCCTTCGGGTCCTGTAAGCTTCTCAAATCCTTGGTAATAGCTGCCGCGATACTCTTTGCGCTCGCCTTACTTGCATCGGGCCAAAGTGCTTCTCTTGTCGCCACTGTAGCAGGGCAAAGTGTCTCGGAAGGATTCCTGAACTGGAAAGTTTCGGTCAGCTCTATTCTTTGCTCCAGCGAGAACCATCGCTCACTGATATGACAGCCTGTTGTACGGCGCCTTCTGACGCGCTTGCTAGGATTGATACCTTCTATGACTGTTGCCATTGTCGTTGGACCAAATGGCATCGACTTCTTGCTTGTTGCAACTCAGGTCATCTTGTCGATAATCCTCCCATTCATCATATTCCCGCTGATATACCTCACCTCATCGTCGCGCATCATGCGAGTACGCAAACCAGCCCCAGAACACACGACTATCAGTCCTGGCGTGGAAGTTCGCTCCCTGCCTGCTATCACACCATCGGACAGTGACCCGGAGATAATTCAGACTGAGGACTTCGTGGACTTCAGCAGCGGGAAGTTCATGATGTCGCTCGGGTGGTCGATATGGTTAGTGGTTGTGGCAGCTAATGTCTACGTGCTTGTAACTCTCTAGGCCTGGGGCAAGATGGATGAGTTCAGTCATAAACCATAACTAAGTTAACTTCATTTCATTACGTGTGCATTGATGAGATGTGTTTCTGTATCTAGCTGTGTATCCTAAAGCTTTCGACTTCGTGCGTATCCTGTATATTAGCACTACCCATACTTCCCTACAACAATTAGACATAGGCTCGTCCTGCGGGTTGGTGTGAATTTTATCGTATCGTGATGACACAAAGAACTATCACTAGGGTGCGATAAGAGGAAAAAGACTTGTCGGTTTCAGACCCCCACCTTCCCCTCCAAGGAGCCCTCCAAGAAAATAGGTTTCAGATCTGCGCAGTGCACTATCCAAGAGGCACAAATTTTGCGCTGGACTTCCAGGGATTGTTCATAAGTGAATGTAAGTGAAGGGGGAGAAACTGTTCGAGGCAAGTGTAAAACCGCACCGTTCAAGAGAAACAGACTTCGAATCTGTCATGATACCCGCATGGCTATGACTGCATGAAGATAGACATAGCATCAGTAAGCATATACCAACTTCCAGACAACCACAAAAAGTCTCTGAACCACGCATAACAGCCGATGTGGCACATTATGGCAGTAGTAGTATACCATTGGACATCAAAAGGCGATCGAAGACGGCGAAGTAACCTTAGGTTCGAACTAAGTAACGGCAAATAATACGGAAGTTTACGGTAGTGAGAACAAGAAAATTTTGGTAAGTACCTAAGAGATGCCCTTCGAATTATGTAACTCACTTCCAACACTGCAGCAGTGACTAGTACATACATCGGTAGCGGGATGTATTTGTCTATGCTCCGAGTATTGACTTTGTTGGCTTCATCATGTTGGCATCCTCGTGATATGGTCCGATTGCAGTCCTTCGCGAAGTAGTTCGTCACGTTCCGGAAGCGCAAGTGAAAGGCAGCTGCACAGGCAATGGCTAAAGTAGAACGCGTGAGTACTATTAGAAGGTCATTCACATCGGTAACTCTCAGTCTAACCACATTCTACTTACCGGGTTGGCCATCTTGTGGTTGCAACGAAGCTCCATTGCAAACGGCACCTAGGATATTATTGCATGGATGAGGCTCTGAAAATCGGTGAGTTGTAAAATAATACTGCAATCTATGATGGCGAACCTCTCAAAAACTGAATGAGTAATGCGTATGGAAAGTCGTAGTCCCAGTATGAGTGACAATCGAGGACCCGGATCTGCATCCAGGATATCAGTACGACCCTTTTGACATGTTAATACCTGAATTTACCCAGCGATTGAGTAGCGCTGAGTTTGCACTTGGATGCACTACTTTAGAGTGTCATACCCAGGAACCAGGAACATCATAGAGCTCAGGATCAAATACGTATACCCATCTGCAGTGCCGGATTCGTCGTCAGCACCGCTGAACACAGAGGAACGATAAGTCTGCATGTACACAACATAACACGTATCTATACGACGAGTGCAACAAGGAAAAATTGACCTGAAAGAAATAAATGATGCAGAAAAATAGTAGCGTAAGCACAAGAACAGACAAGCAATAGTTCAAGAAGTCGTCATTTGCGTAATTTAGGACCTTTTCTGGGAAGCCTTAATGCCAAGGAGTCAGCATAAGTACACGTTAGGAATTGTACGGACTCACAAGTATGGCCATTAATTGTTGATAATTCGGAGTTCCTGGCTGGGGGGCACCGGGTGGCATGCTAGACATGGGAGGTGGGGACATCATGGATTGAGGGGGAGGGGGAGGTATTCCGTATTGCGATTGCATCTGTTGGGGGGCAGTGCCTTGGCCCTGCTGACCCTGCGATTGTTGTAATAATGCAAGGATATTTGGAGGTAAGCCAGGTATTCCAGAGTGCATTTGCCCTGGCTGAGGAGTGGGTGTCTGAGAAGGCATCTGAGCATATGGGTTAGCGCTAGGCCCAGGCGGAGGATAAGGCGCTGTGGGTTGCTGAACGGGGGGCGGTGCATAGTATGGGTTTTGATGTGGGGGTGGAGGGGGCATCCCAAGTGAGCTCGGGGGAGGTCCTGGTGCTGGGGGTCCCTGTTGCATTGTGGGAGATGGTGTAGAACCATTCTGGGGTTGTTTCAGTGCTGCAAGCAGTTGTTGAACTTTGCGAGCTTGCTCCAACCGATCCCCTGTGCCCTGATGGACTATCAGCAGTGTGGGACACTGGTAAGAAGCAGATACATACAGTTTGATTGGCTGGTGGCGGGGGTTGATGATACTGAGTGGCCACTGGAGGGGGTTGGCTATATTGAGTGGCTGCTGGTGGGGGCTGGTTATACTGAGTGGTTGCTGGCGGGGGTTGGTTGTACTGAGATATTGCTGGTGGGGGTTGGTTATATGCAGTAACGTTCGCCGGCTCGCTATACGAACCAGAACCCGAGCCAAGTCCACTTGAGAGAGAACCGCGGGAATCAAATCTGTCTCCGTAGCCACCCCGGCCGCCGCCGCCGCCACCACCACCGCGCCCACCACCCCTGTATTCATCTTCAAAGCGCCCGCGATCACGATCCCTGCCAAAGTCATCACGCCGGTCCCAATCCTCAAATGAGCCACGGCCTCGGCCACCGCCGCCGCGGCCCCTGCCCCGACCCCGGCCTCGAAAACCGCGCCCACCATCATCCCAGTCCCGTCCACCGTCAAATCTTTGCTCACGGCTGGCATGGCATGTAAGCACAAAGATGAATAGCATGTGTTATCGCATACCGCTGAGTAGGAGGACCAGAAATCTCAGACTCCTCCCATGCATAGGTGATGTCCATGGTTCCATCTTGCAGCCCTTGGTGACGGAGACGATCGAACGCCTCATCGCAAGCCTGAGGGAGGTTAACATTACATCATTCCAGCTTACAGTAGAACTGACTCTGATATCATAGAATTCAACATAACGCTGACTGCATAGGCTTGTCAGTAAACTAGGCGATTGGAGAGAGATCCAACATACTCAGCGCGATCACCGACAGGCATGACTGACTTGACGTCTCCAAACTGTTGAAATTTACGTCTGACCTCATTATCGTCGATAGTCTGAATAGAATCCTTAAGTGTGACGATTAGGTTGCCCTGAAATTGCTGGACAAAATTCAGTCGTTATTCGCAAAATGAGCGTTGTATTACTACCAACCTGATTCTTGTCACGATCGCCACCTTGCTTTTGGTCATCGCGTGGAAGAGAATAATGAACATCAATCTGAGGAACGACAATTCCATTGATGATTATCACAGTATGGTGCAAAGCTTACGGGTCTTCCACTTATCTCAGAACCCTGCAGACGATCCCTAGCACGCTCAGCTGCGCGAATATCGTACTGAACCGAATCCTTAGTGATGGCGCAGCGGGTTCCATTTAAGACTCACAAATGTCACGAAAACCATTCCCCGCGTTGCAATGAGATCGAAAAAGGTCTTGATATCTCCATGCTCTTCGAATGAACGACGGACGTCCTCACTATTCGTCTCATACTACAAAAGTGGCTCAATATTAGCAAATCAAATCCGTACCAGAACACGTGGAGCTGCATCCAACTCATTGACTCGCCTTAATGTTGCGTATAAACAAAGTACGACAGGGACGTTCGCGTTGGATTCGCTCTTCAATTATTGAATCGTGGACCTTGTCATCCCGTTCTCGACGTACAGTTCGCCTCTGAGGTCGCATACCAAATCCACCTTCGTCATAGTTGCCATCGGGACCGTCTGACAAAGAATCGGATACCAGTGAGATCAAGTCCTTTCAACGTGCCAGAAAACCAGCTGAGGATAAGGCAGAACAAATAGACGTAGCGCAGCAAATTAGGAGAGGCGGAGAAGACTCCAACTCAGCCGAAACATATGAGCTCCCAATTGTGAAATTCGGACGAGCACATTCCCTGGGCTATCTCAGATTCCATCGTCTGTAATCTTTCTTCCGACTTCACTGCTCTCGCTAAAGAATAGCTTAAGCTCGCGAGTGCGTCTTATGTCTGAGATGCCTCCATGAAAGTTTCGCCGTTGGCAACATGAGCCTGTCAATTTTTCGTCGCTATAATTTGCATCCCATGTGAAGCTGCGCCGCTAAAGTTCTGCCTGTATTCGCGCATTTTCAGTCTTAGCTTCAAGCGCACCTTCATAATTACCATAGCCCTGGGAGTAACCATCTGACTGGGTTTGGGCATTGAACTGAGCGGAGGGCATTCCACTACCATAATTACCACTGCCGTTCTGGTAGAAGGGGTCTTGCGAGCCAGTGTCGTAATTATTGTAGAGGCCCATATCGCCTTGAGGCGGCCCTTGATCATATGCGTTGGAGACACCGCCATCGTAATTGCCAAAGTGACCACCTGCTCCACCCTGGACGCCTCGGCCACGGCCGAATCCTCTTCCACGAGGCGTCCCACCTCTGTGATGGTAAGATCTATCCGGCCCAGGCCCTGGTGGGCCACCCCTTCTGTTGGCAGAATTATCGTAAACTCCTCCTCCATAGGGATGATGACGGTTCATTTTCTTTTACTGGGGGTCGAGGTGAGCTGAGCTGATATGTGAAAGCTTAAAGATCCGGTGGAACACGTGTACGTGGAAGGTAGAGAAAAACTGCTGAAGAATAACTCTGAATAAACTTCTGAAAGTATGAATCAACTCAAAAGGAATACGCTGAAAGCGAAAACCAACAGAAGAGCTGTCTGATGATGATGGTGGTTCGGGTCAAAGCCGTTGTCAACGTTAAACAAAATTTTCTGCTATGGGTGAGAAAATACACGTAATCAAAATTTCCAAATGCGGATCATCGACATTCGTTGCTCGCAGTCACTGGTCAAAGCCACTTGTGCTACTACTTTCTCTGTGTACCCCTCCACGATGTCGAAACAGTTTCAATTCAAGCTCGTTCTTCTAGGTAAATGAATCCGATTTAAAATCTATGAAGAGCGAACTCATAACACTTCTTAAGGCGAGTCGGCTGTTGGGAAATCCAGGTAATGCGGAGCGTCGTTATTATCTCGTGCGCAAGTCTCCAGCTCACTCGTGACAGCTTAGTCCTAAGGTTCGTAAAAGATCAGTTTGACGACTACCGAGAAAGTACTATTGGCGGTATGTATCATTTAAAAACCTATTTTCTTCTACTGAGCTCCTGGCCACACAGCCGCGTTCTTGACACAAACAGTTACCTTAGAGGACCAGACAACTGTCAAGTTTGAAATATGGTGAGTCGTGTAAAATTCTAGTATTTGCGCACACTAAAATATGGCTTAGGGATACAGCGGGTCAAGAGCGATACAAAGTAAGTACCCAAATTCGCATATATCACGTATCATGTGAATTAACGATATGGCATGCATTCTAGTCCCTTGTATGTTGTATTCTCTTTGTGGAGTTGCGTTTGATTTAGAAGATCCCAGGCGCCAATGTACTATCGCAACGCAAATTGTGCAGTTGTCGTGTATGACATCACCCAAGCTGCTTCTTTGGAGAAGGCGAAGACATGGATTCGTGAACTGCAACGCCAAGCGGACCCATCGATAGTAATAGCTCTGTGCGGCAATAAATTGGATCTCTCCGCACGCAGACAAGTCACGGAGGAGGAAGCCAGTAAATATGCTGACGAAGAAGGTCTTCTGTGGAGCGAAACGAGTGCAAAGACAGGAGAGGGTGTAAATGCTATCTTCAATGCTATTGGTGCGTTCTGTCTTTAGTTGGATCGTTTCGCTCTAACTTGATTTGATGCATAGCCAAGAAGCTTCCTTTGACCGCACCGCCCTCAGCGCGTGGTGCTCGTGTCGCAGCACCTGGTACCACGCGGCAGAGTGTAGACCTTAACAAGCAGCCAACAGTTCAGGGTAGCGAAGCTTGCAATTGCTAGATTTTATGTACAATCCCACACATGCCGCATGGAACTCCACTTTACCTTTATCTGACTTAGTCTGTTCCCCTTACTAGCCGTAATCATGACCTACTTCAATGCTGAACTTTCTAGGATGCATATTCATCGGATAGGATCAGCTCAGGATGATGATTCTATTTTAAGCCAGTTTCAATAAATGCACCCTGTGCTCTACACGTGAAGTATGGTATGCTACAAGTATGGTCCAGACAAAAAATACAAGCCACTCAAGATCCTATAGTTGTGAATACAGCAGTGATGGGGAAGATAGGGATATGGGTATCGTAAATATTCAACTTCCCGTGCACCTCCTGTTGAATACGTCAAACGTCTCTTTCACATGCGGACTGTCAATGGCATGGAAATCAGGCGAATGTTCCCTGTCGATCATAGCAGAAAGGCAAGACAAGGATTTGTGGTCATTCACAAGCACCGCTAGACGGCGGGGGCGGCGGGGATAAGGCGATGATGGCAGAGAGCGCTCTGGATCAATACTGAAGCATGACAATTGTAGGTCGTCGAGTTTTCCGGGTGGTTTATAAGGAACTTCGAACGCTGGACTGGGGGGGAGGGTTGTGACATGCTGTGCAAAGGAAAAGGGGAAGGACGGGTTAAACCATATGGTGACGGTTCATCATCAAACAAGCTGAAGAAAGAGTCATAAATTTGGCTGCTCCTTCGTGAATCTTCACGACGCAACTGGTTACTGGGTAGTAACAGGGGCTGGGCCAAGCATTAGCCATCGTGGATATATTCACCACAAAACGCTTGCCAGCTCACCTTCGCCACATCCGACACAGTATTCAATATGTCCCTGAGTTGTATACATTCCGAATCAGTCTCTGATTCGGAATTTCTCGCCTTGTTTTCTTCAAGGTTATGGATCCAGGTGTGGACGTCCTCCTTATCTGGCTCTTCTACGGCTGTTTCCGTGAGACGCTCTACGAAGGAGCTTGGAATCCACCCGAGACGGTCCCCCTCGGGACGCATAGCAGCCCACCAACCTGAATCCTCCATCTTCACAACGGCGAGAATCTCATTGCGGGTGAACGAGAGATGATCTGGATCGTCTGACTCGAAGTCAAACATACATATCACGTTGCAGATGAGCCACTCCGGGTCGCCTGTACTGGGCGTCAAACCCGATGTCGTTAAACTGGATTCGGATGAAGGAGAAGAAGTAGGTTCAGGGGAGGCCGAACAATGGGCCAAAGGAAGCGAGGAGTCTATCAACACTCGGAGAGGTTGCCGTTGTGGTCGCGAAAATGAGGCCAGCATCGTAGCAGGTGCTGCGGGTTTCGAGAAGAAGAAAGCCCTAGATCATGTGGTGCGAGTCTTTCTATGTATGAGTAACCCAAGTGGGACTTTTGACAAAGGGAAGCCACGTTGTTACTAAGGAAAGAGGTACCCTGCGGGAATGACGAGATTTCAAAAGAATGAGGGATACGATCAACTGCAACCATCATGACATGGATTCCCACTACTTACAGGTGACACAAGCGCTGAAATTGTAGCTGTATTATTTGAGGACACCAGGTCACACTTTTGACCCAATGATCAATGCCTGCGCATGCGAACCTAGGGTCACATCGCCGAGACAACCGTCAAATTGTCGATAGCCCAATAGTTATAGCGAGGACATGTATGGAAAGTAACCATGTGCTTACTTGCTGTGTCCGTCATGATCGCAGTTGGAGTAACCTCGAGACTTTTAAGCCAGTATGGATACGCTCCAGGGCACGAGCGCGAATGGGCGTCAGACGGTCAGACTCAGTTAAGAGATGATTGGCAACCTCGTAGAGCAGCTACCTGTATCCATCGGACCTAATGATGGCTTCAGATCAGCATGTATTCCAGGCATAATTGCAACTACTGCAATCACTTGACCCAAGTTTTGTTTGGTTGTGTATTGGGAGCTAGTCTGCTGACTATAGGCCAGATATAGGTTCACCGTGACCGTGTAAGGGCAGAAAGATTAATAGTGTCCTGTCGGTTTACAATTCACAATGCCACCGTCAACGTGGAACGCGGCTAAGGCGAAGGTGCAGGACTTGTAAATGATCATCCTCTACACATTATCTGAACTTCGCCTGCACAGGTACAACTTCGGTATCTTCCAATGATCTCCCGCTACTGCTTAATAAGTTCTTACACAATTTAGACTCTCCGTTCAACGGCTTCGGATAGCGCAGCAGAAGAAGGAGGCACATGCTAAGGGCTCTCGCAGGGATATTGCCCTTCTCCTGGAGAAGGGAAAAACGGAGAGTGCGCGAGTCAAAGTAGAAGCTGGTAGGTCTCCTCTCCCTAGCTAGGACTTCAGTTGTTCAATTACTTGATGCGCTCATGCACGATCATCGTGCGACGCCAGTCATCAACGAAGATGTGAACCTCGAGTTATACGAACTTCTTGAACTTTACTGCGAGTTGCTCATTGCCCGCTTCGGCCTTCTTGACCAAAAGTATGGAGCTCTATATTTGTTGGGCTTATTTTCCGAAGTCAATTCATCTGCCAGCAGTACTCGTGACCCTGATCCCGGAATCAGCGAAGGTGTATGTAGCATCATACATGCAGCTCCAAGAACCGAAGTGAAAGGTGAATCTATACTGTGACATACATCATACCGCTCATTGGTATTCCGCCTCAGAATTACTGGTTCTGCGCGACATGCTGATGCATAAGTATGGGCGTGACTTCTCCGCAGCTGCAATGGAGAATCGAAGTGGTTGTGTGAGTGAACGTGTAAGTATGTCGCCCACGGCTATTTTGAACCCGGGCTTACGTGCCGTGCTAGATAATGAGGAAGCTTGTCATAGAAACACCCTCGGGGGAGCTGGTTGATGCGTATCTCGGCGAGATAGCCAAAGCTTATAGTGTCAAGTGGGCCTCTGCTTCGTCAATCACCGCTGCGGCACAAGGGAGCATCGTGGTTCGTTGATTCAGCTTGGAATCGGGATGTGATCTCATACAGTCCTCTCCAAAAGGATGGCCTATCAGGCAGCGATACACTGGAATCACTTCCGTTGTATTCCAGGGAAATTTCTGATAAGCTACCGGATATTCCTCCAACTGAAGACGAAACCGGAAAACACAAGGCATCAGCCGGAGGAAAATCCCACCAGACGGAGCACTCGAAAGAGGAAACTGAGGATGAGTTCGCCGTTCTGGCACGACGCTTTGAGGAGTTAAAGAAACGCTAGCTAGGTGTAGTGTACACTCCTCTGTGTGACACGGCTTATCTGCTTTTGTGTATATCCGAACCTTCAATGATTCTCCATCTTATGAAGCTATGTGATCACGATTCACAGATATTAGTGACTTCCGGAAATTTCTATTACCCCCGGGCTGTACGTATCAGCTTAATTATGCCAAGTCAGGTGCGCGAATTGATTGTACTGGAGGCGCCAACCTTGTGTCGTTACTTATGTCCGCCGGATCCCATGGAAGGGTGGATATTTTATAACACTTTGGGGATTCCGATCACTCCTGGTCTGGTCGGATGCGCCCACTTACTGAGTGACTACTATGAGCTTCCAATCAGGTTTAACCAGACTTCAAGTTCTCATGAGTCCATGTGTCAAAATATTTGTGGTGAGCCGTCACGGTATTTAGTCATGATGATATTGCCTTGTACTGATCAAAAATTTAAATACTGAAATCATGACCTGACGTTGTCTTGATTTCCAGTGTGCAGGAAAGTTAGGCGGAAATTGGATATCAGCTGCGAGGCCAGGCTTAAAATATATATCGCACATATATTACTCGCATTAATACTTTTGGAGTCTCACGCCAATTTGCAGATTTTGAAGACTGCGAGACTGAACATCGAAATTCGAGCTTGAAGGAAAACTTGAGCGGACGCATTCGACTTTATCCGCTCGCCGGCCGAGTCACAATTTGACTGCACCCAAGATTGTGACACCGCGTTCTGGTATTTTTATTTCCTAGTTGAGCATGTCCAGCTCGCTACGGACGGTAGACATGAGAATGCATATTTTATTCAAGCGGACCTTTCGGATGATTACACATTTCTGATTCTGCGGGGATGTGCCCCAACGGTAAGCATTGAAACTCGGCGGCGGAACGCTGAGTCAGAATTATGAACTACAGAGGCACCAGATAAAAGGACCGACCTGGACACCGAAAACATATGGACTGCGTCTGGAAGCTCCAGCGCAAACAATGCGATCGGCCGCACAGTACTACTAGTGACATCAGATTCGCGGTTTTCAGAAATGGGCAACTACAAAATTATTCTTGCATACCGACAGTGATCCGCCGACCAACTGAAATCAGTGATTATCTCCAGAGCGCAGCGGATAAGTTCATGAAGGTACTATCACCTCAGAGCGTGGGGCCAAATTTAGGGGCCTCCAGACCTTGATTAGTTTACAAACGATAAACTGTGCCACTTTTAAACCTTTTCAAGTTAGTGCCAGAGAAAATAATTTATTGGCAAACGTAGGCAAGCGTGTCACCCCGGTGTTATAGAAAGCTAGAACGCAAGGGACTTGAAACAATATCAGACTGAGAAGCAAATAATGAAAGAGAAGTGTTTTATGGAAATAGTGATTGTTCGGGCTAAGTCGGGGAAGAAGGGAAGTCCGGTAGTCGCCGGACAGTCCTCGGGCACGTGGAAAGGTTCAAATCCATTCACGCGATTGCAGCGGCTAGAGGTTGGGTCAGGTGCGGAGCAACTATGATGTCTCCGCCGGCGAGTATGTCTGACTGAAAATATAATGTCATCCTTCTGCCATACCAATTATAAATAATTCCTGATCTGTAGCCTTTTCATTCATGTCTATCTCTACCATGTCCCAGTCGTCGTATCACCCTTTTCCTCCTGTAATGGGACACGGACATTCTGAGGACGCTGACAGCGATGTCGAATCCGAGTCTGACAGATATACCGACATGTCTTTTGACGCGTTTGCGCCCAGCGTGGCAAGCTCGAAGACATCAATGGACATCTCTATGCGTTCTCAATCTCCAGTTCCATCAGTATTCTCCGCAACAAGTTCTCTGCGAGCCCAAGCATATAGACAAGAATATGGACGAGGCCTTAATAATTATTCAGAAGTCTACCGGTTACCAGCCGACGATGAAGAACTTGACCGTTTGGGTGTGGTTAAAGTAACCCCTTTTCATACCCTGTGGTCTAACACCCCAGCACAGACAGACAGCATGATATGTTTTGCAAAGCTATCGGCAAATTTCCACCGCCGATGCCTGAGATCATGGCAGATGATGGGTTTGAGGTTAAAGCCGTCCTCGACCTAGGTTGTGGCAGTGGCAGCTGGTGAGATTCTTCTTTCGAAATTCTAACTATGCTCACGTGTGCAGGATAATGGACATTGCGAGAGAATTCCCAAATGCAGGTGCGGTAGCTGTGGATCTCGTTCCCATGCAGTCAACGTATGTGCTCGTGTTAACCCCTGTTCATTTAACCTTTCCTGAGCAAGCTACTCCTTGGCAGATCCATGCCACCAAACTGCAGGTGAGAAAGATAGCTGCGATTACCCGGCGCTACCTTTCTTAGCTAGACCCCCTTGCTTGATTTAGAAGTGAAGTTGACGACATTAATCTCGGGCTGGAGCACTTTTATGGTGATTTCAATGTCGTCCATGTTCAATTAATTTCTTCCGGAGTCAGTATATTCAATAAGAGTATTTTTTTTTTAAAGTACTGACGTTACTTGCCCTCATTTTTTCTGTGCTAGATTCGGGATTACCAGGGGCTCATTAACCATATCGCCCATGTCCTCCGACCAGGTGGTCTAATGGACCTTACTGAATTCCCATTCTACTTTACTGGCATTGAGAAAAAACCAATTTGTCCGCCAGCGGGCACCTTTGAACCGCCGTGGACACCTCTATGGATGTCTTATGCGAACAGAGCCGTTCGTCAACGAGGTGGCGATGCAGACGCTTCACTGCACATGCATCGATGGGTGTGTGATCACCCAGCATTCGAGGACGTCGTGTACCGTGAATTCTGGATACCACTTTCGCCGTGGCTGAAGGGCAACGACCCCAATAGTGTCTGGTGGAATGATATTGGGGCAACTATGCGAGATGACGTCAAAGTAAGTTGACCAAATATGACGTGAAGCCCTCGTATATTAATTTCGCTTGTAGGCATTCATGAGATCCGGTCGCCCTTTGCTCCTCGGCAATGGGTTATCAGAAGACTTCGTGGATCAACTGGAAAACAACGCAGTGGCGGAATTGGATGAGGCGCTCACTCCTGTTTACGTGTGTATACAAAACGTCTATGCCCGCAAGAAACATTGATTAATTCTGGTGCACCTTGATACTATTTATTCATCTGTTTTACTTACCACTTTGGCATGTTTGGACTGGCGTGGGCATATCACATTAGAATACTGTATCATGGGATATTTATTTATTCCTACATCCTCATTACCGTTCGATACTTGCACTAACTACGCTTTCTTCACGGCATCACAACACGAGATATATTTGACGTAGATGATTACAGACCAGTTCTAATCTAAGCATCCTGAAGGAAAAAGAGATACGTGCTTGGACGTATTCATGTCCCTGCATATGTGAACAATAAGATTAACCGAGTCAGCTTCGGTACTGGGGTGGAGGAGAAGAGAGGTTTCTTTCGGGCATGTCCATACGTGAAGCTATAATTCCCAGTATTCTATCCACTTCTGAGTCTGGTATCTGTACAGGTAGTTCCGGCCTTGATGGCCTCGGAGAATGGTGCACCTCCTGTAGAGAAAGTGCAGAAGAAGAAACGCTGTCAGGTGGAGGTGGCAAAGGGCGCCACCGACCACGTGCACTAGAAGAAGATAGAGAACCACTCGTATTATTTCTAGGTTCGCTGTATGGACCTAGAGAGCTTGTGGCGGACACAGGACCACGTGGAATTGCTCCATCACGCAGCGAATCATCAGTACTAGTGCTTCCGCCGATAGGTATCAATGGGAATTTTTGCGGACGAATTTTGGCAGTGGCGTAAGAAATAGTGCATGGCGCGGCGAGTGCGGGGAAGTGCGTAGCACGAGCCTCGGGAGTGATTTCGTTTGCTAGTAAGTCAGAATTTCGTCCTGAAATTGCTGTTTTAAGGCGCCGTGAGCGTCGCCAGAAGAGGAAACAGACGACTAAGGCAAGCAAGACGACCACTCCTACGATGATGCCAGCTATTTCACCTGTGTTTGAGGGCTTCGATGCCGATGGCCTTATCGGAGGATGTCGCTTCAGTTCCGGATCTTAAACTTTTTGATCGGTGGACTTACAGTGTAGTCGGCTGAGGCAGATAGAGTTTCACGGAGTTTATTGCAACCTTGTTGCCGTCTTCACTCGTGTCGGCAATATTCAAAACATAACTTTTTGCTGGATCTAGGCCCCCTTCATAGAACAAGGTAGTGTCCGGAATGAACCAGAAGCTGCTTGCATTGAGCACGGACTGAGTACCGTTTAAAGACTGATGAATTTATAAGTAAGCTCCCTGGTTTTAGAATGAGACGTGCAATGCATACCACTGTGTATTGCCAATTACCCCAGTTTACAATACCTTGTACGACCACCGCCGATGACCCTCCGAATGTAGTAGACACACTTGAACCCATGGTTTCCGTAAAATGGAAGGTGCCTCCAGGGACATGTGCATCTGTGCCAGCAGACCAGTTCCCGGTATAGTTGAGGAACGTGGTGTTCGTGTTACTATATGATGCCATTTGGGGGATGGCTTGACTGATAGAAAGTTCAGGCGCTACCGAAACAGATTGCGTCGACCATTGACGTACTCGATATAAATTACAGCATTCTCAAATGCAAGTTGCTGCCCTGAAGTTGGGTGGGCAGTTAGGGTGAGCGAGTGGGTTCCTTCCGATAGTGCTTGGTTAGAGTACAGGACATCACTGGGAGAGTTGAGGGATGAGGAGAATATCCCGTCCACCGTGATATCGAACGTGCAATTTGCCGTTCCATGGAGTTCTATCCCTGTGCCTTTATTGGCAGTAACCGGTTCAGGATTGCGAAGGGGGAATTCGTATGATCATTGAACATACCATAAAATGAAAGGGTAACATTAGCACCTTGCAGCGAGGTGATATGTGCTGATATGCCAACTCCTGGATTCGCAGGGACTGTATTGTATCCAGTCTCCGAGTACCAGACTTGCCAGCCATTTCCCGTTCCGAAACCATCGTCTGCAAGTCAAGACAAGTCAATCAGTTAATGAAACGCGATGAAACAGCCCACAAGTAAGGATAATACGTGAATACTGGGCTCGTATCATTCAGGGTTATATTCCACGAGGTCGCCATTAACAGTCGCGTAATTATACAGCGACTAGTTACTTGGAGGATACTGCGTTTTTAGATGTAACAATTTTGCTTGATAGGTATTGGGGATTGATTTCGGCCAACAATTTCAGGATACAGGCGCCCGCGATGATGCCGGGTATGACATGTTATTGGTTCGCTTCCAACAAATCTAGTCCGACATCAGTGCCTTCATCACGAGCGTTGTTGCGCATCATCGAATTGACAGCTTGTTTGAGCTATTTGAGCACTGTCGCTGATCGCGAATTGACAGGATTGTTCAGCCAAAAAATCTGCCGAGGGGAGTTCACGCGCCACACTCCTCCCCACGATATTTCTACTGCGGGTGCCAGGGTCTGGCCAGGGAGACCGGAGTTCCACCAAGGGACATAGCGACGTGTTCACGAGTGAACTAGACTGCATGAGAGACTACGAAACAATTTTAGCGTGCACCCACGGCAAGTTTTCGTCAGAATAACCTATTTCAAGAATATAGCAAGCGGTGCTTTCTACAATGTGCACTCACCAACTAGTTCAATATTGAAAGCTTGCTCGAATTTCGGGTTATGTAAATTCATCAGCATAATGCACTGGCAGCACTGCGTTTTGCTCACGAGGAGATGAGGCGGACCATCGACTACCTGTCTAAATCCCGTGCAACGTCACAATGCCGTAGGCAGGGTCATTCGATCATCGATCTCCTGCCATGTGCAGGCACTTAGGGTCGAAACCCTGACTCAGCGGCCTGCCTTATACCACGCGTGTACGGACAAGTCGAGTGGCGCATGTTCAAACTCAAAGTGTGTACGTATACTAATCTCGAAGAGTTACATATGCATGTTCAAAGCCCATGGCAACCCTGCCCCAGGCCCTTGCTGTCAAAATGACCATCAATGATGACTCAGATCTGCTGTATCTGTCCGTGATGGGTGGAGCTGAGCGTTTTTGATAACCCCCGTTACCAGCGACTAGCCCAGCTCGAGGCCTGCGATCACGGTCAACATGGTGGACAGGTATATATCCGATGACAATATCTAGAAAGGAACAAAGCACGATTATGCGAGGAATAAACTCAAAAAAGCGAAGAATTGAGAGCTCATTACATAAGATATGCTCTAGAAAAACTAGAAGGGAAACATACGTGCACCCTGTGCTTGAAACTTGAAGCCCACGGTGGGACGTTCACTACTGCACTGGTCAGGGCAGGCATAGAGGTACCGACAGACTGCCAGCACTAGGTCTACAGTAGAACCTCAATGTTGTGAGCTTATCGTTTAGCAACCGTGCTGGTGCCGACACTACCGAGAGAGGAGGGGCGTGAAATGATCGCCCGGGAGGTAGTGAGGTATATGGGCTGAATCCTGGTCATGTATGCACGGTCGATCTCACCAGTCTACATGTAAGTACATGGAGACTCGAACGAAGTATTGGAGTGTGTTAAAGCGCTCGATCAAACAATGACCAAACAAATAATTCAGCTCGACCACGTCGTGCATTTCGCAATCGCCGACCTGCAGCTCGCTCTTTGATCGCTGTCAGCAATGGCTTACGCCTCGAAAAAGGAGGATGAGAAGTGGCCTTAGTTCTTACTATAATAACAAGACAACGATTATTCAAGAAGCCCGTGTTTTCAATGACTCCCCAATTAGCCCCAGGAAATGCAGGGCCCTCCTCACTCGCATTGTCTATCTGCTTTACATTGGGGAGACCTTCAGTGCGCAGGAGGCCACAACGTTGTTCTTTGGAACAACAAAGCTCTTCCAACACAAGGATGTACGTTCCTATTCTCTTCCCATTGCCATACAATGACCAGCTTATGTCTATGAAGAGCGCCTTGAGGCAGATGGTGTATCTGGCCATCAAGGAACTCGCAACCACCGCTGAAGATGTCATCATGGTCACAAGCAGTATTATGAAGGATATGCAACCAAACTCTGAGGTCATTTACCGGCCAAATGCGATTCGTGCACTCTGCCGAATCATTGACGTGCGTCTGCCAAAATTATGGAATCCCATGCGCTCACCGCTGTATAGCCTTCCATGGCTCAAGGTGTAGAGCGTTTCTTCAAAGCCGCAATTGTAGACCGAACGCCTTCTATCTCATCTGCCGCACTCGTGTCCTCATATCATTTATTCCCTCTAGCAAAGGACGTAGTCAAGCGTTGGGTAAACGAAGCTCAGGAAGCGGTCAGCGCAAAGTCTTCATCATCCTTCTTCCCCGGATCATCAGGTGGTGGTTACCTCAATTTTGGCTCGTCCGGAAATTCGAACAGCGGTTACCAACCTATCCCTTCAACAAGCTACATTACTCAATATCATGCACTTGGCCTTCTGTACTTGATTCGCCAGCAGGATCGGATGGCTGTGACCAAAATGATACAGCAGCTTGGTGGGGGCAAGTCTGGTGCAGGCACGACGCTTAAAAACTCCATGGCTCTTTGCATGCTTATTCGGTATGCTGCGAAAGTGATGGAGGAAGATCCAAAGTACGTCTTTGGACGCGTTATGAAATCAACTCCTTATTCTGGCTCTAGTGTTCAAAGGCAGATCCTCGATCTTTTGGAAGGGTGGCTACGTCACAAGAGTGACATGGTCAATTTTGAGGCAGCACGTGCTATTTGTGAGATGAAGAATGTCAATGCTTCGCAACTCACCAAATCAATAGCGGGTTTGTAACTGCTGAACTTTGATTTTTATTATTATCTGACCTGTTTACAGTGCTCCAGCTATTTCTCTCTTCTCCCAAACCTGTTTTGAAATTTTCTGCAACCCGGACACTGGCTACTCTCGCTTTGACCCATCCTGCTGCTGTAGCGTCGTGTAACGTCGATCTTGAGAATCTTATCACCGATCAGAATAGGAGTGTGGCAACATACGCCATCACTACCCTGCTTAAGGTAGATATAAACTTGAAATAATTCTACATTCGCTAATTGTTCCATAGACTGGAAATGAGGCGTCTGTTGACCGCCTCATGAAGCAGATCACTGGATTCATGTCAGAGATCAGCGATGAATTCAAAGTCATCATTGTCGACGCTATTCGCTCGCTATGCATTAAGTTCCCGACGAAGCACGTTTCCATGCTCGCTTTCCTTTCGGGGGTCCTCCGTGATGAAGGCGGATATGACTTCAAACGCGCCGTCGTCGAGGCTATGTTCGACATGATCAAGTTCATCTCAGATTGCAAAGAGCAGGCACTCTCGCATCTGTGTGAGTTCATCGAAGACTGTGAATTCACGAAGTTGTCTGTGCGGATATTACACCTTCTTGGCCTTGAAGGTCCCAAAGCTCCTCAACCAACCAAGTACATTCGGTTCATCTACAACCGTGTCGTTCTTGAAAATGCCACTGTACGCGCAGCAGCTGTTGCAAGTTTGGCCAAGTTTGGCGTGAATGCGGTGGACGATGGTTTACGAAGAAGCATTGGCGTTCTGCTAAACAGGTTTGTAACTTTTCCTTACACGTAGAAAAAGCTACTGACAAAAGTTCTCAGGTGTTTGGATGACGTTGATGATGAAGTTCGTGATCGCGCCGCAATGTACCTGAAAGTCATGAAGGAGGCCTCCCTTGCGGATACTTATGTGAAAGAAGGTACGTTTGGTTCTTCGATGATTTCTAGTGTCTCATGATTTGTACAGAATCTGTATTCTCACTTGCCGCGCTCGAATCCAAACTCGTTGCGTATGTCAATGATGCTGATGCCAGTGCACAGCCATTCGACGCCTCGTCGATACCAAAAATTAGTCGAGCTCAACTTGCTGCAGAGTCGACTCGTCAGCATTCTTACTTTCTCCTATTCTAAATTCTAACGCGTTTCTCAGGTCCAAGTACGCTGGACACTATTGCTGCGCCCGCGACGAGAGCTTCGGCATCTCCGCCACCTCCAACCGCTGCAGAAACGCAATCTGCATATGTGCAGCAACTTGCGGATATACCACACTTTGCAGAGTATGGAACCAGTCCTCAACAGCAGCGTAAAGCCTGCACAGCTCACGGAATCCGAGACCGAGTATCAAGTTACGTGTGTCAAGCATATATTCAGAGAGCATATCGTGTTCCAGGTCAGTGAAGTGCAGCATACTTCATGGCGTTGCGTCTGATTCGGCACTTAGTTCAATGTATCAAATACCCTCCCGGATACTGTACTGGAGCAGGTGGTTGTGGTAATGCAACCACAGGCCGATTCTGGCTTGACAGAAGACGTTGTCTTCCAAATCGACTCTCTGAGTTGCGCCAATTCACCTGGAATCGTCTATGTTTCTTTCAAGCGGGATAACCCCCGGGAGTACACCACTACCTCCTTCCAATGTATCCTGAAGTTCATTTCCAAAGAACTGGATCCGTCGACGGGTCGGCCAGAAGAAGAGGGTTACGAGGACGAATACCAACTGGAGGAGGTCGAGCTTTCAGCCGGTGGAGACTATATTATTCCCAGTTACGCCTCTTTTTCCTCCGAGTGGGATCGTCTACGGTCTGGTGCGACTGCTACAGAAACATTTTCACTTGGTGCCATGGAAAGTATCAAAGGTCCGTTTCACTCTTTCTGTACTCGTCCTCAAATTTTCCACGGCTGATGCAACTCACATCGCATCCACATTTACAGCTGCCTGTGACTCTATCATTGAGCTGCTCAATATGGAGCCTTTAGGTGGCACGGAGACGCCCAGTTCGCCGTCTGTGCACACGCTGCAACTTTCTGGTCTGGTAACTGGAGGGGGAGGCAAGGTGCTTGTGAGGTGCAGAATGACTTTCTCGCGAGGTCAGGGTGTTACGCTTGAACTTGGGGTGCGTGCAGAGCAGGAGAATGCATGTGCGTTGGTTGTATCTGTCGTCGGAGGTTAGAGTTAGATTCGACACGAGGAACTTGTATCACATGGTGTCCCACTAGTCAGATAGTCAGTAATGCATATGACTCTGCTATGTTCACACGTCGACTGGGAGATTAGACATTAAGGAATGACCATAAGGAGCAGTTCCATATTCCGGCAAAGGCGGTCCCCGAATGTTTGTAAATATCGGAAGTCTCAAGACAACGGATGGCATGAGTTTTGAATTTGAACGTTTACATGATTCAAATTGCTCAGGGAGTGTTCGTACGATTTCACGGCTGTCGTACCACTTTCCAGTGCTTTTAAGTCACACATGATTTTTGTGATATAGCGCTCGAGTTTATCTTCGGACTAGTGTCATCCAGACTCGCGATGCATGCCCCCCTCCCACCGCCGTCGCTGCCCACGCCCAAGGCTATCCGTGTTAATACTAGAGGAGCAGTGATACTCGCCGAGGAGTCGCCCGAGGTATGCATAGTTATCTGTTGAAGCTATGCATCACCTTGACTCCTCATATGACAGACCCGAGACAGTCGAGGAATATACCTTCCAAACTACATCGAGCCAGTCTCACATATCGCAATAGACGTAAGTGCTAGTCTATCTATCATCCTGGTTACTGATACTAGGGCTATCGCAGATCGGTGGATCACTAGCAAAGGTCGTTTACTTTACTCGCTCTCCGCAGTCTTCTTCATCCCCATCTGTGATAGCTACGCAGGGCGGTAGTTCCAGCGTTAATAGCTTATCGACGTCCAGTGCTAGCTCTCCATCTACGTCCCCACTAAACGTCACTTGTCCTATCCCCTCCAGCTCTTCGCAAACGCGGAACGGCACCCTTACACCCCGTGTCCTCGAATACCATTATAACGGAAATGGACACAGCAATGGCCAGGGCCACTATCCCCCCGACACCCCAGATTCCCTCGACACAGACCTTTTGCACTCTACCATCCTGAAACGTACTACCGAAGTCCGTCACATCCCTGGCGGCTCTATTAATTTCGAGCGATTCGAAACATGTAACATTTCCGCGCTTATCACGTTCATATCGGAGCTCATAACTCGGTCTGCTGCCGCGAATGGGGTCTCTATTGAGGAGATGCGCCGCGGCGTTAAGATCTCAGCCACTGGTGGCGGCGCACACAGGTTTGGCAAGCTGTTCGAGGGTGAACTCGTGGTGGATGTGCAGAGAGAGGACGAGATGGAGTGTTTGATCGAGGGGATGAAGTTTATGGTGACGATCCCAGAGGAGGTGTATTACTTTTCGGATGAACTCATCCAGGAAGTAACGCATCACGTATCGAAGGAGGAGATCGTGTCAGATGGTCCTGCGCCAAGCGCGCCCAGCACGAGTGCAGAGCCTGTTCTGGAGCGGCCATCGCCAGACCCGCCGCGGTATGCCGTGACATTCGAAACCAGCGAACCTTCTGCGCATCTTCCTTGTTTACTTGTCAACATTGGATCTGGCGTGTCTATAATAAAGGTGGATGCTGATGGGTCGTTTGAACGTGTTAGCGGAACAAGCCTTGGTGGCGGGACCTTATGGGGACTTCTCAGCTTGTTGACGCCCGCGCGGACATTTGACGGTATGTCGAAGACTTGAGGGCTTGATCAGTGACTTATTTTTGGCGTAGAAATGCTTGCACTGTCCGAAAAGGGCGATAATGCTAGTGTGGATATGCTCGTTGGTGATATCTATGGATCGGACTACAGCAAGCTTGGACTCAAATCTACGATGATAGCAAGTTCGTTTGGCAAGGTTTTTAGGAGCCGAGGCGAGGCGAAGGAGGAAGGGGAACGTGGGACGTTCCGAGCAGAGGACATTAGCAGAAGCTTGCTTTACGCTGTGTCGAACAACATTGGGCAGATTGCGTGAGTTGGCTAGATATGGAATGTGGATGGGCTGACAGCATGGTCAGGTATATGAATGCAGAAAAGTATGGTCTAGACAGAATCTACTTTGGTGGGTTCTTCATACGTGGTGGGTCAAGTTCCTTATAATCTTGATCATGCAATGTTGATTACGTTTTAGGACATGCAGCGACGGTAGCTACACTGTCATATGCTATACGGTTCTGGAGTAAGGGAACGAAACGAGCGTTATTTTTCCGGCATGAAGGATTCTTGTAAGTCGATGCTGCATTCACATTGAGCACTGCCAAATGAAATTTTCTGCGTAGGGGCTCGATCGGTGCATGGATCAAGAACATCGACGTGGAAGAGACGCCAACGTCATAACTGCTGTCATATTCCTAAATGGGAAGTGACTATTTATACCGCTCATTCCCTTTGCATATACATTGACTGTTATCTCATGTCCATGTACGACGGAAGGATAGTCTCAATCTAATCAATTGGTAATCAGAACGTGCAGGCCCGGGCTAGGGCGGCCGGATGCAGTAGTAGCAATGCGCTACAAGCTGTGTTGGATTAAAAGCTTAGCGCTTAGGGCCCTGCATAGCAGGAAATATAAGGGAGGTACTAGTCTCAGGAAAGTGACAGTGCGAGCGGGGATAGCCACGTGGGCACCCTGTGAATCGCATCCGACCTTTCCTTTAACCGAATTTCAGCTGCAAGTCTGATCTCCTCACCGCAGCACCCACTATACATTTAAATGATTCAGTACATAGTAACAACAGGGAATCATTCATATTTATGTTACTTTCTTGTAATACCCCCTCAGTGACGACAAGTAGCACCCGTGGGAATATTGATCATTATAGCAGAGTAAAAAAAGGTTGCGGATATGGAATATCAGCAGTCCATATACAAGCCTTTGTCATGTCTCTCCCTTGAAAGCTGTCCCCCATCAGCCGCCATGGAATTAACCATGGACAACGTCCTCTTTCCTACTCATCGTTCACAAACCAATAATCATTCCATATCTGCCTCTTCATCTGTCCTTGGCGACGTCGACCCCGACGACCACAGTACAGTTTCAACACCTATAGCTATTCAGGACGATGAAAAGCCCAACAAAAAGGCCCTCGATCCTGAATCAGCCGACAAGGGCACCTCTGCAAAGAAACCTCGTCATCGTCACAGTCCAAACCAGCTCGCAGCACTCAACGAGCTCTATGAGAAAAATGAGCATCCCAGCCTAGACGACAGAACTGACCTAGCTGAGAAGCTTGGAATGTAAGTTCCCCTTTTAGGTACCCCTCATGATTTTATTGATTTGGTCGACGGGCGTCTTTTGCATTTATGTGCATTCAACATACTCTCAGGGAAACCAAGACCGTTAATGCGTGGTTTCAAAACAAGAGAGCTTCCACCAAGAAGCGCAATAAACCAGCACCATCTGCTTCCACTGACGCACCGCCCCAAAAAAGTCCATCATCTACGCTTCCATCAATAGCAAACCTTTTAAACTCCTCATCACCTCCACCAACTACTTCCTCACGTAACATTTCATCCCGCTCCCATCCTTCATCATCACGCAAGAAACAGAAGGATATTCTTCAACTTCATGACCAGCATATCAATGAATCCAATTACAATCATGACAAGTCCTTCGCCCCCGAGTTCTTGTCACAAGATCGCTTTGTGCCTGAGAACCAAACTGTCGATAGCGATCGGCACCATGCCGTCTATGCCGAGAGGGGCCACTTTGTACCCGACCCGGATAGCCGTTTTGTTTCCGAGAATGACGGCGCCAGTGATGGCGTTACGTCTCGAAAGAACAGAGGCGAGCCAACTCGCAATAGAACAACCCCTGAACAAACAGAGGCGCTTCGTCGCGCTTATGCGATAAATGCACATCCATCAAAGGATGACAGAGAAGAACTCGCTGAGCGAATTGGCATGTCAGTGATGTTTCACCAAGACCATCGTATCATCCTACTGATCTTGCATTGATAGGCGCCTCCAAAGCGTGACAAATTGGTTTCAGAACCAGCGCACCCAGGCTAGGAAGCATAAGGAAGACCATCATCCCCTCACATCTTCATCGCCTGCAACTGCAGATGGCTCATCTCACCCATCTTCTGTTAACGATGATGATCATGGGCCTTCATTGACCCATCTGAACTTCCCTCCAAGAGCATCTCATCCATCCCTTGTCCCGGACCGTCACCTGCCTATGCCCTCTCTTCCCTTCCTCAAGTTGTCTCCACCTGAACTTGACGAAGTAAAGGTACCGCGCAGCCGAATGTCTTTGCCACCATCTTCGAATCCTCGGCTCACTTCACCCCGCATGCGAAGAAGCGTCACTCCATATTCAAGGGATCGCGAAGAGATGCCTCGGACTAATGAGGGCATCAAAGGAGAGGACGCACAATCCCGTCCTCGCCGCTCCCGCCCTGAGCCATACCAGCTGGAAGCGCTCAAAAAGCTGTTGCATCGCACATCGACGCCAAGTATCGAGCAAAGGAACGCCCTTGCGCTGGAAGTGGGAATGTACGTCAACTCCATCTTGGCATATCTTTTACTCACCTCCCACCAGGGACATTGGCAAAGTCACAAATTGGTTCCGTAATATTCGCCAAACAGCCCGTAAGCGGGCTAAACGCGCTGGTGTTCCTCTTCCTCGCGCCCCCAGGGGCCGTGGATATCAATATAATTTTTCTCGCGAAACTTCATCAGGCTCGTCTTCCCAAGAGGAAGATGAAGACGATGCAATGGATCTGGATGACGAGGACACCATGGAATTTGATGTCGACGAACGCAGCGAAGAGGACTTCCAGGAGGCAGTAACCCCTGGCATGTCGCCTTCTCCTCCCCCGCAAAAACGCATTCGAGCACATGTCCCACTTCCGATGCCCCGTGGTGTGGGCAACATCGGTGTCGAAAGCATGGGCGTGGGAATCATTGAACCCACTGCCTTTCAAGAGCTTGAGATGGCCGTGGGAATGTCTGCGGGGCCTAGCGAGTATGTTAACGCAGACACGGGTATGCACGCTACAACATTCTCTGGTGTGAAGATCGAAGATGCGTTGCTATTATTGAGCTTTCATCAGCACGTTGTGCATTAGGGTATGTGGTCTATTTAGTATCACAGGAGCAGCTTCTCACGTGTTGTTTCATGTAGAATCGTTCAGAGCTATTTATATCAGTAAAATGATGTGTTTCAATGCCTGCCCACCAAGTGTATCGACTATCATTACCCATTCGCCTGTTTTTGTGATCTTCGCTCCCCATCATCATTGCATACCGCATGGATGCGTCCATATTCATTATTGTTGCTTAATTGCCTATATTTTCTTTTTGTTTCTTGCCATCATTTCCAAAGTGCATCCCACCTCACCTCGTACAATACATGACCTCGATCTTATCTCTCTGTACTAGCACGATTTGTATGCTTTCCTGGTATTTAAACAAATGTGTTGCGGTGCATATAACTATCTAGTCAGTATTTGTATGTTTGTTTGTCGTAGATAATTATTTCGTGTTACACAATGACAACTGTATGTAGAGTTACATCGAGACTGATCTACACTGAATTGCGTCTTGCGCTCCTTCCTTTTCTGCTACCCTTGTTACTATTTGCGCCGTAACCATCGAGGTTTTGAACGGGCAGCTTTCCCTCCTCTTCCCACTTGTCAAGGATCTCGACCGCAGCGAGATACCCCTTCTTCTGGATCTCATCAAACTTGCTGAATTGGAGTGTACCATACTGTACGCGTGTGAGTGGGAGACAGTTAAGATACGAGAGTATTCGTACCTCCTGAACCGGTATCTGCATATACAGGCAGTTCCGTGTGACTTTGGCTGCCTCTAGAGTGTGCACACTCGACACGCTTCGAACACATAAGAACATAAACTGATCGTACGGCGTGGAGAACTCACTAGGCCAGTCGACTTTGGATCTCGGTAATCGCAGGTACGGTTCGAGCGCTCGAGAAGGGGTTCCATCGGTTGAACATGAGCCACCACCCAGAAACAGAATCACCAAAGTTTCGAGGGGAATTGTCGTCAACCTTGATAATGGAGTGTAAGACACAGAGGTAGAGGTGACGATTTTCAATAAAAACCTACAGAACCAACATCCGCAGCAAGCACAACACTCGCGCCCATCGAGAACATTGTTGACACCTAATGTTATATTTTAGGGGCCATTCAGAATTAGCAGTGATCAACTACTCACGGGTAGGTTATCAACTGCGGAAGACAATCTCATAAGCAATGGAATACGGGGTTGAACGAAGGAACGCACTATATCCACCGTCGACAAGCATGCTGCCGTTATCACATAATGGAGGCAGTAATCCAACCAGAGTCATGGAAGCACCTGTATCACCCGTGAGTTCGTATCAACGAAATCTGTTCGACGACCTCACGGATGAACCTCCAGGCATAACCACTTTCATGGATCTCCATGCGGGATGTGTTGATGTTCGTAGTATTACAGAAGTACGGTAACCACATGTCTTCTATGTGAAGATCATAGAAAGCCTGATAAATGTGTTAAAATTGTAGGTCCAGGCTAACTTCCCGACGACTTACCTTGTATATAGTTCTGTTAAATTCATGTCCCTAAGGCGAGACGTGAATGTGTAGGGCGATACGAAGTGTGATCAGATGACTTACTGTGGTATAAGCAACGAGGGGATATGTAACATCTGAGAGTATCCTCCAAATATTTCCCATTCTTCCGCTGAACTGCTTAGCACGACTGGTGCTCATTATAAGGTCGCACTCGCGTGCGTAAAGACCACCTATAAGTGCACCGATACTAGTGCCTGCGATGTAATCGATAGGAATACCACGCTCCTCGAGCGCACGTAAGACACCCTGTTATCTTATCAGTAAATGATGACAACTACACGGAGATACCACTGACGAGATGCGAAATGCCACGAGCCCCACCACCACCGAGGACAACTCCGACAGATTTTGCGCAGAGTCTCCTAGCCAGACGAGAGAAATCATTGATCATGGGATGTGGTTGCGGTCTCGCGTGCCTGGGTCTCCCCTGTACTTCTGAATGCCACTCTGCACTCTATCCTTGAGGTTCTTGAATGCAATGACAACATCGGGATCTTGTATCTGAGTGGTTTTCACGGTTGGAACTGCAAGACCCTATTGTCCACGTTTAAATCAACAATCCAGGAGTAAAAGTCTATGTGTACACACCGGAAGTTCGACGTGAATATGTTGGTGTGCCCAAGGTCGATTCTGTATCTTTATGAGATCAGCCATTCATAAAGTAGCTCTCATAACACACTTTCAGCCATTCGCGTGTCGACCCAGGGGCTACAGAACGTTCGGGATGGAGTAGCACAAGCTCTTTCCTTGCTGTGGTTTTCATCGAAAGGAGCAACCTTTCGTATTCTCCAATGCTCGGATCGTCACCCATCCCAACTACCATTACAAAGTCCGCCTACCAGAAAGGGTTACAGCGTTCTAAAGCCTGGTGAACCATCAATGACTTACCTGTCGGATACAGGTCTGCGTCCAGGGGCTGTTGACAGGCGAATCAGCGACATAAAGCACTGTTCGATATCTTTGCTCTTGGTCTGCAAGCCAAGCTGCAGCCTTGAGTGTGCCCATACGAGAGAATGCGTGACGGCCAAGATGACTTGACACAGAGGCTTGATTCAAATACGATGTCTTCGCGCCCATCTCTTCCAATGCAGTCTTCAATTTCCGGGCAAAGGCGTCTATAGGGACATTTCGCGAAACCGGGAGAATGGCCACAGTCTTGAGGTTAGTATTGTTCCGTCCTAGTTCAAACGCAGTGTTGCGTGTCTGGACATCGCTCGACGCATCCATCTCGTCACGTACACGAGAGGCAATCGTCCGTAGCAACCTAGACATACTTAAGGATGAGCCTTATACAGATCAGAGGTGGCGCTTACTGTGCAGTTGTCTGAGGATTTCTGAGCATAGCATGAACATAAAGCCCAAGAGCATGGCGTGTGTTTGAGTACTTACCTTGAGGAAATGGCATTAAACAGCGTCTGGGGCATTCTAATCAGCTCGGAGTCACGGATTGCATGCATCGTAGTCCTGCGTGTTGAACTGGTGATGACGTCTAATTCTCCAACAGTATCGCCTTGTCCGTATTCGCCGGTAATTATGACTTTACCACCTTCTCCCTCGGTAATTGCTCGTAGTCGTCCATTGATGACAATGTAGAAACTATCGCTAACGTCTTCAGGGCGCCAAAGAACTTGGCCTGCGTTGACGTGCATCCAGTCAAGAGAGGCGTCAATTTGCAGGACTACCACATCGTTAGCATGTTACAAGGGATGATTGAAGGTAGTGCTAACCTAGAGGCGACAGCAGTGAAATGAGACGTTTTGCTAATGTAAGCTGCACGATAGGTCGTTTCTCCACCAGACGTTCAAGAGAGTGAGCGGGTAGAAACCCCACGTATGTATCCGTCTTCGCTCGGATGTCAACATATGAAGGTGTTCCGCAGAGAGACGCTTCAAATAACATCAGGATATGCGAGAGCTGTCTGATATAAGCATACCGAGATAGCCCGCAATTCCTCCTGGTTTCACGGTAAACAGCCTGCGACTCTGGGCCTTCTCAGGCTCTTGCTTCTGGTTAGATGTGTAGAGAGGGTCTGAGTCTGAGCTTGTCGATCTCGTCCCATGGGGCGTGTTGTTTGGTCGAGACTCGTCAGCACGTAGGAGAATATCCAAGAAGCCTTCGACAACATAGTAAAGACCTAGTTTGTGTGCGGTCAATTATCGTCTATACTTGACTGATGAGACTTCTACCAGTATTCCGTTCTCCGGCCTTCACAAGCGTCGAGCCAGCAGAGAAGAAGAGGATCTCAACTTCGTTGTCCAAACCGCTCATGTAACCGGTCGTAGTAGATGATGTTCCTGTTATACTCGAAGCGCCATCGTCCGCAGTTTCTAAGAGCGACAGGGAGCCAAAGGGGGACGGAAACACGCCGTTCGCAGAGCGCACATGATCAAAAGGGAGGAAAGCTGGTGAATCCTCAATAGACTCGTTCCCGCTCATGGGTGGCTGGAGTAGACCAATGGACTTCGCGATGCATGACATGACTTCCTCGCGCAGATCGAACTCTTCACTATTCAGACGGGTCTGTAACGGGTCGCTTTTCTGCAGCCGAGGGGTTTCCAAGATGCTAAACGAACGCGCGAGTTTATACCCGTCACTGCCTTGCCCAGTTGAGGTATGCAAGTCACCAGCCTGTACCTGATTGCGAGGCGTACGAACTGGGATCCCACGCATAGCAAGCGGACTATCTGTCAAGCTTTCTCGTGATATAACTGAAGATGTATAGCCACTGTTAGCAGAGGCCAGACCAAGAGATGGGGCGAGAGTGAGGTACTCGCTTTCAGAGTCAGACCCCTGAATTGCGACATCGTCAAAACGTTGACGCAGGTATTGCAGGCCACCACCCTCATAGAATGATGCCGGAAGAGGGTGACATGCAATTTCATTGATTGCCTTCTCAGTTCGAAGGACCTCTGTCGTGAGCCCCAAATATCTGTGTGCCGCATTGAACGTAACACGCGAAAAGCGCGTCAGAATCACTGGAAATATAATGAGCAGAGTAAGAACTCGATCTCGCAGAAATTATACCTTGTACGATATGACTGGTTGCCTTAGGAAACTTCTTGGCAACTCTGCGAAATGCTTCTGCAGGGATAAAGGCCAATGTGCTGTCCTCTTTTGCCCTGGCGACGATACCATGGTGGAGTTGAGTTGGGTTAGAGTCTGATCGCGAGCGGGAAGCACGTCGTGGCGGCGATTTAAACCTATCTCCGATGTGATACGGGGACGTCAGACCAACGGGAATGGGAGAAGTTGCGTCTGCGGGATGAGCGGTGGAATTAGACGACGAGACGGATGCGGCACGAGAAGGCCGAGATGCCACAGATGCGTAATCCAGGCTAAAGCGAGACACGTCCGAATTCGCGCGGCCAGTACGTGATTGAGGTGGTCCTCCTACTCCACTTGCAGAATTTCCTCCAAGAGCATCGGAGTGACCATCTTCTTGCCAGCTTATCTTTATGTGCTCAGTGAACAAGCTGAGAATGCTGAATAAACTAGACAAGGTTCCACCACTCCCAACTTCATTGATAAGCTGGTATCCGTTCATATCCTCCTCGTCCCATGACCCATTTTGACAATTATTCTGGCCTGTTTGAGCGTATACCTGGACCATGCCATCGACGACGCAATAGAAGCTCCTGTCTTCGTCTAAAGAGATACTATCCCCGGCAATTAAGCGTCTCGTTGCAAGATGCCTTGCCAATTCATGGAACACCTGTTGAAAGATGATGGATTGATCAACGCAGACCATACAGATTACTTACCGGCTTCTCAAGAAATCCAAAGACACGGACAGCTTGCAGAAAATCGTCCAAGTAGTTGTGAAATGCTGGGGGAGGCTCTGTTGTATTCACATCTGGGTGAAGTGCATTCACATCGGGCTTCACCAACGGTGGCTCCTTCAGTGAGGAGTACGTGTTAAGGTATCGAAGACGTATCCAATAATTCAAGGCAACTGCTGAAGCGAAAAATATGATGGCGAATGACCAAAAATTTAGCTAAGTGAGGGTGAGCTATTCATATTTCAAGCAGCAATTTTGGAAATCACTGACTGTTAACGTCATGGAATAGGACAGAGCAAAGTAGATGAGACGGGGGATAGTGATGGTGGAAAAAGCTATCAGAGCTTTTGCCCGTGATAGGAACCATACTGCCGGAATACCGTACCGTGAGCTTCATCTGATACGTTAACAAGAGAATGCCATTGGCCTACATATCACCCAGAAAAAGGCAGAGAGGAGGGAGAGGAGAGGATGCCTTCCGTCATACTCGGGTGAATTGGAGGCATGCTCCATGATGGACGATGTTCGTACTACGTGCACGCCAGCTTTGAGAGTGTTTACGATTCAGCTTGTTAGTCAATACGTTCAGGGATCGGCAGCCTTATCAGCCCTTACGCAGGCTAGGGAAGATGAACGTTTGATACGACGTAACGGTATGTAGGCTGAACTTGCCAAATTGGCCAAAGAAGGATTTGCCAAAGAAGAGGAAACTGCGGGCCGAAGAATTTAGCATGGGTGGCTGTGTTATTGCACGTTCTCCATAACATGGCAGCCGCGTCCGCATCAGCCTCTGACGCGCAGACTTCTTATGAGACCGAGCGAGACAACGAGCCCAGGTTGGGCGTAGAATTGCTCAAGGATACGGCAAGAAAGGCCTTGATCGACACTCTAAATGCGGTGCGCCCTTTGGTTCCCATACATCTGTCTCAAGCGAACTGAAGGTTCATTCTGTGCAGGTAAATGGCGCGAAGACACTTGTGCTTGACCCTACTCTTGCGGGGCCTTTGGGACTGGTCACAGAAGTCGCACTTCTGAAGGTACTTCTTTGCACTATCACGGTGTTGATTGTGTTATTCACATCATTATTAGCATCATGGTGTAGACAAGATGTTCTGGCTTGAGCCAGGCCCATTGACCTCGACGACAACAAACGTCGTGTACCTTTGTCGCCCGCTAATCAAGTACGTCAAGATCATCGCAGGTCTGAATTTCCCTTTTGTGTACAGTCGTGCAGTGGACTCAGTGCATGCAGATCAGGTCAAAGCCCACATTCGAGAGTCGCAAAAGCACAGATATACACTCTTCCTTGTACCCCGCATCTCTACTCTAGTATCAAGGATACTTGAGGAAGAGGGCATTCTTGGCGATATTACCATATCTTCCTACAACTTGCAGTTCATTCCGATTGCGGACGATGTCATTTCGCTCGAAAACGATACCGCGTTCAAGGAGTTATGGGTGGTATGCTCATCATCCACATATTAACGGTGTAGTATAGCTCAGTCCATTCAGGATGGCGACGAAACCGTGATCTATAACTCTGCGTTAGCACTCAACTCGTTGCAGAAGGTGTACGGTCGCTTCCCTCGCATATTAGGAAAGGGAGATTATGCTTCGGTATGCGTTTCCACACTCCTCCATAGCTCCAGATAAAGCCATTCTGTACAGCGGTTGGCAACCCTTCTTACGAAATCGCTACCTGATCAACCTTCTCCCTTGTCAGACCCCTCCATACCTTCTGCACCGTTTGACTCGCTCATTATTATGGACCGCACCGTTGATATGATCACACCGCTTCTGACCCAGCTGACGTATGAAGGCCTTATCGACGAGTTTATTGGTCTCAAGAACTGTAAGCAGCTATCCACGAGATGCGAGAACGTGACCGGTATTGACATATTCGTAGCTCATGTTGAACTACCAGTTAGCCTCCTCACCCTCCCCGCTGCACCTAACCCTTCGAATCCCAACGCCACCCCATCAGGATCTGCGTCTATCACTCCACTTATCAATGAAAAAACGAAGAAGCACCACCTCTCAACTGCCACTGATCCGCTATTGACTGAGCTGCGCGACTTGAATTTTTCATCGGTAGGGAAAAGACTCAGCAGAGTGGCACACCGATTAGATGAAGACTACAAAGTGTGCACTCTCACTTATTGCCTTGACACAGTTATTGACAAACAAAAGGCTCGATTACAAGCGAAGACTGTTGCGCAGATTCGCGACTTTGTTGGCAAACTTGGTGGTCTTCAAGGTGAACATCAGGCGCTGAGACTTCGTAAGGGCAACTTTTTCTGTTTTCTAGGAATGTTCTCATTTCCCTGCAAAGATACTGGCCTGTCGGAGATGCTCTCTCTGAAGACACGCGCGGAATTATTTAACAAATCGCTTGAAGTGCAGCAGAGTAAGCACATTTGCTCATGAAATTCCTCTTGGATTTGATATCCAAAAATAGATCTTCTGGCATCGTATGAGGTCTCGGCTCAGATTAATGCAATTGAAGATATGATTGCACAAGGTGCAAGCATGCAGACTATCGTGCGACTGTTGTGCCTTGCCAGCATTACTAGTGGTGGAATCAAGGCCAAATCCTTGGACGGTGTAAAACGCGAGCTTCTCCAAGTAATCTCACTCGGTTTTGCCCGCGCTTATTGTGAAGCTCACAATCTATCTTGCAGGCTTACGGATATAATTACCTCCCCCTGCTTCTCTCGTTAGCCGCGCCCCCTCTAGCTATTCTGCTGCCCAATCCCCTCCCAATTTCCGCTGCTCCTGCTGTTGCAGGAAACAAGTACCCCTTCGTAACCTTGCGCAAATCACTCCGACTTCTTATTGACGATAACCCTGAAGCACTGGAGGAGGTTGAAAATGATATCAGTTATACCTACTCTGGATACGCGCCTATCAGTATCCGGCTAGTACAATGTGTTGCCCAGAAGAGTGGAGTCATCAGTAATCCTGCAGAGAAGAGTAGTGCAGACGACGGGGATGGCAAGGGCAAAGGGTCTAGCGCCAGAAAACTCCATGCGCATCCGATTGTGGGCTGGAAAGGCTTTGAGGACGTGTTAGGTACGATTCCGGGAAAGACATTTGACATTGTGCAGAAGGTGCCTGCATCTGCCAACTCCACAGCTTCTTCCGTTGCTTCCTTGAGTAAGTCTGCGGGTCGGTACCATTCGCAGGCACTCTACTTTGCTTACATAGATACCCAAATAGTGCGCCCGCGCGAGCAAACGACCACAACTGCCGTATTTTTCCTGGGTGGATGTACGTATACTGAGATTGCTGCCCTTCGTTGGGTGAGCCGACAAAACAAAGGTGCCTTTTCATTGCACTCTAGTGTAGAGATGATATTAACTTTTCGGCAGGTCGTAAATTCCTCATCGTGACGACGGGGATTGTGAGTGGGAATAGCTTGGTCGATAGTATTGCAAGCACTGGGAAGAACCTTTCTACGACCAAGGACGTGAACACCTATTAAGGTGCGATGGAGCAGACACTGGTAAGGTATATGTATACCATGGTTGTAGTCATTGATCTAGTGCTAAAAAGATCTACATGTTTTCCACCGTCTGCCACGCATGTCGTACATATTGCTGATCCATACAGGAAGAATTGAGTCTAAAAAAAGGGATCCTTAGGGTTGTTGCCTTAGGGACGAAGAAATGTAGAATTGATAGGGAGCTTGCTTAGAAGCATGGATACGAGTGTTTCATATCCCCACCGACCTGGATCAACACCGACGCGACGCGTTTGTTTGCCTGGCTTTGATTTCTGGACCCCTGGTACTTGTTGGAGTCGATACGAAAGCCACTTGGTCTTCTCCACTGAGCAGCCGCATTGCGATCACATCGTAGTCTGATTAACGAGATTCCGACTCAACTCTAACTGTTGGCAAAAAAACGTGTGCATTTACCCATGGGGGTGGTAACTGGAAAATGACAGTTGACAAGTGCACTGGTCGCCTAAAGAGCTGGATGGTGAAGTGCACCTGCAGGGTTGCTGTGGCGAACAAGGTTCTTCCTAGATACTTTTTTTGTTCAGTGTATTACGTTAACTGCAGTGACTGGGGTCCATCTGGCGCGAGCCCTCCCCGGGTCAATAACTTACGAAGAAAAAGGTCCGCCAAACTCGAACCAATATGAACCTTTCCTCTCTTCAACAGACCACACCCACACCCCCTTTTCACATACCTTCCAACTTTTGCTGATCTCAACGGTAACCCGACCCGATTATTGTCCTCTACTAACAATATTGATGACGTTTTCTAGTTAGCTTACGGGTTGAACCGTGCACTGCCCCTTTTATCAGCGTCCTCAACGAGTTCGCATCAACCGCGTTTTCTCGCTTACACCCGAATTACTTGTTCTTACCTTGAACTATGGCCCCCCGGACAGAATCGAAGACCGCGTCTGAGAAACCCGCGAAAAAGACTAGTACGTCCCCGTCGCCATCAAATACGTAGTCGATCGCTTATTTGTTTATTTTCCCTATAGAGTCGTCTGGCTTAGGTGGAAGGAAGAAACTCAGCGCGTTCAACAAATTCATGCAAACTGAGATGGCCCGATTGAAGGAGGAGGAACCTGACATGTCCCACCAAGACAGGTAAACTAATTTTCCCCCTTTACGTCTGTCCGCTAATCCACCAATCTGTAGGTTCAAATTAGCAACGTCTAACTGGAAGAAAGCAAAAGAAAATCCCAGGGCTACTGCCTAATTCCTATATCACCTCATCGCTACGATCGATTACTGCTTTGCGCTTTCCTCGTTCCTTCGCCTCCTGTTTACTTGTTGCCGCTCGCTTCCGTCGTGCTATATCTTCACATCTGACTGTTAAGCTGCGCATCCCTTGCCGAGTATTATTCATATCGCCTGTCATTCTTTCTGTAGCCCTCCTGTGATTTTTCTGTTCAGGGTTTTCGCTGTCATTGTGCTTAGTGTTGCTACTAATTTCACCGTATTCACGCTGCTAGTTGATTTTGCATCGCAATTATTTTGTTGCTCTCCTGCGTCGGGTGCTTATATCTTCACCGCACTGATTATGTTGCCAAGTGGCAAGGGGCAACAACGTTGGAGGGGTGCGATTGCCGGGTCAGCTTGAGCCATGAAATACGCGATGAGATCATGACATGACATAGGTTCTGCCAATCAGTAGGAAGACTTGACGCCTGGGTCTTTGTCAAACAGCCTCGCTGGAACAGACCGATACATTCATATGGACTTGTGGTAAGTTCGTATTGCCTGAAAGCGAACACCCTCTAAAATAAGTAAGACCCCATATTTGAAATAGGCTGTCTCAGAGATTCTGCTGGAAATTTCGCCCTACTATCAATCGAATCAGCTGGAGCCTCTGAACGCTCAGGTGAGTTCGATATTATCGGAAATGGATAAGTCGTGGGGGGCGAGCGTTGTCGTCGTGCGCGATGTTGATCGTGGAAATGACGTACTTTGTATGGCAAGGCATGGATCGTTATAGCCCCTAAGAGGTGTTCCGATGAACTCCGTACCATGCCATCGTAGGCGCCCGTCATAACGAGTTAAGTCTGTTGTGGTCCTGTAACACTGTATTCCGCTTTTCTCCCTCTCTCCCTCTCTTCTGTCTCTCTTATCTTTCTCTCTGTCTGCTCTGTCCGGCTATATCTCTTTATCACCTGCAATTGTATCGACCTTACTTATGGAGCAAGGATCCTGCGTCGATAATGAGATGCGTTGTTTTGCTTCGATCCTTTTGAACTAGCGTTGAATTCAAACGATGAAGGTCCGTTCCCTTCTTCCTCGTGTTAGTTTCCTACATCAATCGCTGTCAGCACAGCAGACACCCTATCTAATACTCACACCATCCGAAATCGACCCATGGAAGCAAGCGGACAGCACGACCCTAGGACATAGTGGCATGCTGGGCAAGGGCAAAGGTCCCTCACTACCGATGCCCATCCCAGCAGCAGCTTCCGGTCGCGATTCCCCTGTAACATCTGCAGGATTACCGCCTACCGTCGAGTCACCTCCTGAGGTACTCCATCATCTTCTCGGCTACCACTCGTTTCCATTACAGGGGAACATAATACGATATCGGTATCACCAGATAAGATTAGCTCAGAAGACCACGATATACAACTCGCCGCATCATCGAGTAATGATGATTGTGTATTTATGAATGCCTCATTGCCCGACAAGGGGAAAGCAAAGGACCTAGCTTACACGTTGCCTCCTCTCTTATTCTCCACAAGCGACCTGCAATATCACACCATCGACTGGCCGTCCCCTAATCCCGACTCGCCCACCCCAACTGCGGGACCTTCCTCTTACGGTTCAACCCACACTTCGCCTCCCTGCGCGTCCTCTAGTCTGTCTCACTTAGCCTCCCAGGCCCCCGAGAATAGTGCACAACAGCCTCCGGGATTGACAAGAGTACCCTCCCGGAGGCGATCATTATCCAACTTGTCAATCCATTCCACACGTTCCTTAGCTGCTCGATCCATGTCAAGGATTAAAGTTAAACTGGGCTCATCGTCCAAGGGCCCAGGCAACCTTGCCCGTAGATTATTGTTCAGGAATAAGGCTAGTGCAGCCGCGACATCAATAGATCTCAGCCCTGCCGGCTCTGTGTCGGATCCTTTCTTAGGGGACCTTACAACAGCAGGGCAAGGTAATCCAACATGGAAAAACCCTGATTTCCAGCCTTGTCCGAACCTCGAGTTCCCATCAAACGTACGAACGCATATTCAACAGAGCGCCGATGGTCCTGAAAGCTTCAATAGCATCACAGGCAAAGGCCGCTCATATTCCTCTCCACTTCCTCAGTCTGTCTTTGACATCATTCCTCGTGGCAATAGCGATGTCTTTGCCCCCGTGCCTTTAGCCCTGCAAAATCTCTTCGATGAAGCTTTGCCCAGAGAACTGAAGCTGCAGGTCTTTTCAGCCTTAATTTCCCTGCACGAAGATGAATTTCAGCTGTGGAAGTCGTCGGGACGATGGACTGCCTCGAAGGCATCCTCATCTAAGTACCGTTGGGTTGGAGAGATCGTGGGATGCGTGAGCTGGTGAAGTTGAGCAGGGTAAGCCTGATGCTCACGGTGTTGCAGTATCTACAATGACACATGTTATGTGCTAGGTGTCAAAGGCGTGGCGCTCACTGGTCTTTGATGGTCAGCTGTGGATGGATGTCGACCTCAAGGCATTCCCAAACCTTCCGGCGCCCTTCCTTTTGCGTCTTGCAGACAGGCTTGGGCCATTCGTCAAGAACATGGATCTTACCGGACACACAAAGCTTGATCACAGCACTCTGGGACAAGTCACGACCAGCCTCTGTGTACGCTCCGCGCCAACCATCGACTTCGCATATACACAACTCTCGGACTTGAACCTGACAGGTTGCAATGCGCTGACTACACAAGCATTACACAACCTCGTCATCCATTCTCCGTTTTTGCGCAGCCTTTGTGTTAAAGGGTTAAAGGCCGTTGACAACACGACGTTCGACGTTCTCGCGCTCTGCCCCCACCTGACATCCCTGAACATGAGTCGGTGTTCCAATATTAATGGAGATGGGCTCCACAGATATGCAAATGCCGTGCTAGGGCGCCACGGCCAGCTGGCGCTGAAAGAGCTCAGGTTATGCGGATTGGAGGGTATTTATGATGAGGTCCTGGGAGTTTTAGGCAGAGCGGCACCTTCGTTGGAAGTCCTCGATCTGAGCTATTCTCGTTCTCTGCACAACTCAGCGTTGGAGGCTTTTGTGGCGTGCACAGAAGAAGAGAAGTCAACGGAGAGCGTGGTGCTGACTGCGCGTGAGGCAGGGCGAGAAGCGCGTGATAGTGGGCGCTACCGGAGACGAATCACGAAACTCAGACATCTGTCGCTCTCGAACTGCAAGCTGCTTACAGATATCGCATGCTCCAACCTAGCGCATGCAGTGCCGCGCCTAGAGCTGTTGGAACTGGCGGGCATTGGGACGTCGATGAAGGATGAGGGGCTTGTGAGGCTTTTGGAAACTACGCCACTTCTCCGAAAGCTGGATCTTGAGGATGACCCGGATATTACCGACACTGTCCTAAGTGCACTGACCCCCAGTCCTCCAGGGGACTCCGGATCAGGGTCAACACAGCCCCCGCAGACAGGGCAGGCACTAGAGCACTTGGTTGTATCGTTTGCTGTCAGCATCAGCAACGAGGTCTTCCTTTCTCTCATCTGCAATTGCCCTCGCCTTATGGTATTGGAGGCAGATAGTACGTCCATATCCGGGGCTGTCCTCAAAGAGTTCGTGCGACGTGCGCACGAACGGAATGCGTCCGATGCGACCTTGGTTGCTATCGACTGCCGTGCTGTGGGTGAGGGCTCCATCAAGGACGTTGCTGCGATGACCCGCCCTCGCAAAGGCTGGTGTGCCTGGGATGCGCGGAAGCTCGCGTATTTGGACGGTCGGGACAAGGAAGAACTGAAAGTAGGGCAGGATGAGTGCGACGAGAAGCGCATTGTGTTGAAGTCGTTTTATAATTGGCAAACTGTGGATGCTGTTCAAGCTGCGCGGGGACGGTATCGGCGAAATTCTCGGCGTGCGGGTAACGAATCGTCAGATAACCTTGAGGACATTGTTCAAACTTCGGGTCGCATGCGGTGGTGGTCTCCAAGTAGTGGGAGGCGTTTAGCTGGTACTGACACTCCAGATAGGGCAGTTAGCGAGCGAGAGGGATGTGTCATGATGTAGGATCCTCATACTTGTACGCTTTAATTTTTTTTTTGATGTGTTTTACGAAGCTGATTGTGCACTTTATCCACACAACGAGCGTTCTTCGATGTATTACTGATATTTCCCTGTTGTTCACGAGTAGGTTAACTGTATTATTCCAGACCATGATGTGTAGAATGAGAGAAGGACCCGAGAGATAGTGGTCCCTGTACGTGACTGGTGTTAATTTGACGATTTCTTCTCCTTCCGCCTTGCTTTCTTTGCTGCTTTTCGTTGCTGCGCTTCGTCGGCTGCTGATATAGGAGTACTTTGTCCTGACTGATCTGGTGTATAGGCATCCGAGACACTATTTGCTATGGGTAAGACGGATACGGGCAACTTCTTTTTCGGCTTCCTTAGTTTCTCGGACTTTGAAGAATCATCATCTCCGTATCCTGTGAATGGGTGAGTTTTTGCGGGACTATAAAAGAGATCAGGGTCAAGACTTACCTGAGGCTGCGAAAGGATCTATCCGCGGTCGTTTCCGTCTGCCACCTACTTGTTCTTCAGTTTCTGGGACTTCTCTTTCAACCATTCGTGATTTCCCCTTGTCCTGTGGTAGCAGCGCTTCTTCTTCCATAGCGTTTTCGTCGCCCGACATCTCAGCCTCATCGAATACTTCAAGGTCCTCTTCTTCTTCACTACCCATTTCCTCCAGGTTCTTCTCGTACTCTGCACGCTCCGCCATTTTGCTGGTGATTTTAACAGGAACACGTTCACTGCTAGTAGAAGCAGGCTCATGTGCCGTATTGTTTGGTTCTCCAACTTTTACTAGTTTTGCTTGGGCGATGGCGTGTTTAATAAACCTGCCAGCAGCTGCTTTATCGATACCGAGCCTCTCTAAAAACGGGTGGGATGATTAGAATGAGAGTCAAGAAGGATCCTTACTTTTCTCTTCGGAATCTTCTGCGCTTTTGATTTTGTCAAAGTATTGGCGGACGCGGTCCTGAAGCGACCACGAGCATTAGATGGGTTAGAACTGCACTGCAAGGGACGAGCGCACCAATTCACCGATGACAGGATGTGTCCTGGGATCGATTCCTCGTGTTTTCAGGTATACTGTATGTGCGATTAGTCACTGGAAGAGCTAGCTAGTATGAGAACCGACAATGACTACGCACCGAATACAAGATCGTATAGTACATATGGCAGAACCACTTGCAATTTGGCCTGCTGGATGGTTTCGAGGGCTACAAGAGTCTCGGGAAGGCTCTTGGTGAATAGAGGCTCGAGCTGAATTTCGAGCTCATCGAGAGATGCGTTGAGATTGGCCACTTTGGCTCGTAGTCTGTCCTCATCGGAAGCCATACTTTGGGATAAGACACGAGCTTTCTGCAGAATGTTAGCAAGCTAGACCAATTGAAAGAAGACGTCGCGGCAGTCTTTGAGTCCGCAGAGTAAAAATAAAATAATTATTTAATTGTGAAATTATCAAAATCAACTCCTTTCTCTCAACGATCATGGTGAGTTTAGTCAGTGATTTAATCTGACTATTCTGACCGGTTTATGTGCAGTCCTCTGAACTCAGGTATACTGCCAACACGCAGCTGGAGCACCGTGAGTGCCATTTGTCGGTTCAGTGTAATATATTTGACCCTTCTTTCTTTCAGTACATGCTCGTTACACAGGAACTGGTATATTCCGGTTTTTAATATCTCGGTGGTTCGTTTCTGATGTTCCTTTACTTCTTCAGGTCACGCAGACTTGACGAAATAGTACGCCAACCATTTGAATCTGTATTACCCATACTAAGCATGTAATAATAGTGACTGGATCACACATCAACACAGAGATACGCTGTCTTCTATCGTAGGACACCCGTCTTTGCTTTCGTATCTGGCTCTCGCAGACGGAGAAGCTATCGGCCGGACGAAGTTCGAGATGACAGAGGTATGTCAGCTTATTCTAAGAACTTGGATCATGATCATGATTTGATGAATTCATTAGCGAATGCTGCAGCCCTGTGGCCCCCCTCCCAAGAAAGACGAAGATTGAACCTTCTTATATGCTCCTTTCATCGTACCTCCGCCAAGTACAGGGATTGTATTGATGGGTCCCCTTTCGTCACAGGTTATCTAGCCTTTATCGGTGCTCACGACCTGATGGCATTCAAACATTCTAGTTCGTAATACATTCTGAGATGTGTTCATAATTATGACGTCTGTACTCGATTGAGAGACCTACGCTGTCAAGACGTCCCCTTGCGCTTATCATGAACCCTGGCATGAATGGCAGTGCAGAGCCCTTGAATTAAACTCACAACAAGCAAGAGAGGACTGTTCATGTCATGGAACGTATCGAGCGGCTTTCCGTTGGAAATGCCCACATATCTTCCGTTGTGGCTTCAGGAAGATGCCAAGCTTCTCTCGGCAAATTGACTTTTGCAGGTCAAGGGACTTGTTGATTGGACAGGACTCGGCCTTAATTGCTACGAGAACGACAGCATTGAGGGATATCGATCATCACGGTGATGAGGCGGGTATATCCATCGGGTATTTGTCGCATCACGTCCAGTCATCAGCTGCTCGAGTTTATAATTAAGTGATCCTGGGATTGTGGAGGATTACCCTGGCACTTTCCGTTATCTTGGAGCGATTATGGGGAAAGGAGTTAACTTGGCTTGCAGCATGTACATACATAGTTTAGTATTACGTCTTTCCCTACTGTGCGAGGTGCTGCCTCCTTGCCACTTTGATCTAAAAGAGGGAATGGCATGATCGCTGAGCGCCAGGGTCTGGGGTAGAATCTGCCGTCAAATGGAATCTGCGAGGAGTTATTGCTGTACTGGAGCATCGCATTAGTTGACGCTGAAATCACTCACGACAGTAAGCTTGACTACATCAGTTAATGATGATTTAATGCGGTTTTACGCAGAAAATGAATGCGAGGAGCAGAAGGTAGTTGTGCTGGTTGTTGTGCCCGTTAAGCTCATGTCCTTGTCCTTTGAGCCGTTTTCGGTAGTTTTCAATGAACGTGACCGGCGGAAGCATGCTTAATTTGGGATTGAGAAAGTTCCTAATTTGGATATTAGCTTGGGTGTTGTTGTCGGGCCCGTCACAGCCATTGTTCCCTGATGAGATCAAGTGTCTGCCCCGGCGATGCACGGTATACCGGTTTGCCTAGATCCTGATTTATGAACAAGGTACGAATTTCTAAGATTATATCACACATCCTAATCCAAGATTGATCAGCTCCCCGCCCCTTGCTTATTTCTTTCTAGGACCACTATCCTGTCCTCCAACGACCACCACACCCGTTCAGGCCCTTGCACAGTCTCTTATAGACTGCGCTTCACCCTTCAACTAATTCCCTTTGTCTTCGGTGCTTTCTGCAGTGGACATTTCCTTTCTAGCAGTCCACAAAGGCCTATGCTGGCCACAATCACTTAGACTGGCCACAATCGTTATTGTATTAATTCTGCTCCGGCCTGCACATGATGGCGTTAGAAATTTCATCGCAACCGTTCTCTCCCTTTCAGCCCCATTCTCTCGGCGAGTGCTCCTCGTCCGAAAGCTTAATTTTGACCCCGCGACCGTCATTCTACAACTTCTCAAACAGCTCTTACATTCTGTCCGACTCTTGCAGTCGCCCCAGCTCTTTCAGCAGTATTGACTCTGGCTACGCCAGCATCATGGGGCCACAGTCTGACGTAGATTCCATCCGGAAGCACAGGTTCGGGGGAAAACATCTCACCCCTTCCGACGCAGACGTGTTCCGACCTCTCACACCCCTCAATCGCACCTCGTCATGGGATTTGTCGAAGCCAAAGAGAGCATTTCTTCAGGGGAGAAAGAAGTCAGAATCGTCCACGACTTCGTGGTATAGTGCGAGTACAAGCACTCTCCCGGACGAAACAGAATTATCTAGTGATGGAGACGAAGATATCGAAATCAGGCAAGGGATGAACTCCCCTGCTAAAGCGTTTCAGGCGAAGGATCACTTCGCCACAAGACGAGGCATGACTCATCATCCCTACCCTCCCCACCAAGCACCTTACATGCAAGCCTACGACCGTACACTTCTTGACAAGTGAGTCATGTTGCTACCGCATTCCTGTGTTCGGGGCTGACAACCACCATCTCAGTGATCGTTTCTCGGATGTTCTCTTACAACGTCTCAGCACCAATGGGACGCCGTCATTTCTCACATTCAACGGTAACCCGCCCACTACTATTCTTGACGTGGGATGTGGTGCAGGACACTGGGCCATCAGAGCTGCAAAACATTGGCCGAATGCAAGGATCATCGGCATCGACTTAATTGCTCCCTCAAGCTTGAATGACGGCATTGCTACCCCATCAAACGTGGAATGGAGGCAAATGAACTTGTGAGTACACGCGTCTTTCCCATTGCATAGCTTTACTTACAAATATTGCTCAGCATCGGGCACAGATTGGGCTTCCCTAGTGACACATTCGATCTCGTGCGGATGGCAAACCTGTCCCTGTGCATCCCTCTTGAGAGTTGGGAAGAGGTTCTCACGGAAGTCATGAGAGTTTTGGCGCCCGGGGGGCGGCTAGAATTGATCGATGATCAAGCCTTGTTCCCAGCCGTGAAACCTTCGGAACGCGCTCCAGCTTCGCCGGCCGCCACCAGCGTCCCTCCCTCCCGCTGTCAGTCGTACATCGAGTTTGATGACAATGATTCTGATGACGAGGATGACGAGACCGATGATGACTTCAAGAGTACACGGAGCTCCCTATCCGAAGACGAAGAATCCCCGCCATACGATGCTGCATCAGAATGGACGAGAAATGAATCAAATGCGAAACATCTCGAGACCCTGTTCGCTGATATGCTTTGGAGCAAGTACAAGATCCGCACAGACCAACGAAGAAGCATAGAGGAAGTTTTGGATAATGTTTTCGGCCGATATAACGCTCAGAGAGTCTCGGCGATGACTCTCGCCATTGCACCTCCTGCGCCCAATTCAGACTCAGGCTCAAGCTCAGGTTCAGGCCCAGCGTTGGACCCTGATCAGTCGTCAGTGTCGAGCGCAGATAGTAAGAGCCCGAAGAAGAAAGGGAAAGTCTTCAAGCAGTGGATTGCTGTTGAATGGGACAAGATCGAGAACAAGGGGAAGAAGGGCAACCGTTCTAGTGGAGAGAGCGTCCTGTCCCCCATACCACAATCCCTTAGCGCCAAAGCAGCAGGCCGTCTAGGTATCCCCTCTTCTGCTGCTACTTCTCCCACTGCGCAGTCGCCCCGACATTCTGTAATTCCCCCACCCTCACGTCCTGCTCAATCTCCCGGACTGGTGCTGTGGCCTAACACGTTGATTGAACTAGGGTCTTTCGAGCTTGAGATGCACGCATGCAAGCACATGCAGAGTCTGCTCGGGTGCAAAGCCGCGCTGCATGAGTACGTGCAGGAATCCTTCCGTGATGCCGACGGAAATGCCCTTTTAGATGACGCAGTGTTCGATGATCTCATTTGGGACTACGAGTGGTGAGTACCTTGAACTGAATGATTTCCTTCGAAATCTAATGTTCCATCGATTTAAAGCTTCCGCCGCAAGCGTTTCAACTGGCCATCAGCGACCCCCGAAACGGAAAAGTCTACTCCTGATGAGCCCTCCGCCACTCCCAATCACAGACTTTCAACCGACGTACTATCTATTCGCTCACGTCCTCGGGGAGGCTCTGACGCCAGTATGAAGCAACCCGAATCATCACGCTATTTGAAAGAAGAGCTCACTTTTGTGCGCTCCATCTACGTATACACTGCGAGCAAGATTGCCGCAGACGAGATCATTTTATCATAGGAACACCACACCATGTACCAAACTTCATCATTCATTGCACGTATACCCTTCGTCACCTTTTCCGACGGTTTCGACCCGGATCTCGACAATTCTTCGCTTTCCTCCTCCGCTCTGCTATTGATTATTGCTATTTGCCATATCACTGCTGTATCCTGCATCGCCGCACTCGAACACTCACTCATTACTGTAACATGGTTGTATCACACATAGATTGCATCGTGATATCCAGTACCTTATATTGCATTCACACCGGTTGCATGGGCTCAGTCCTTTGCACATGTACTGTATGACCAACCTTATAGAAATTAGTCCGTAAGGATAGTCAATATGAATCGCAGCAATCAAAAATTATAACTCCTCATAAGTGACGACCTCAGCACTCTCTTCATCACCCTTGACAGGCCGCATCTCCTCGTCACCTTCGTTCGACTGGTCATGGATCGTATCTAGGCGTGCAGTCTCTTCACTGGCTCCTGCGAAGCGTATTGACCCAGTGATCATGATCGGTTCCGAGCTCAACCGGCGAGAACAGTGTTCCTTGAAGTTGATTACCATGCGGGTGCCGATCATGGTCTCAAGAAGCATGATGAACGGGATAGATATATTTGCGTGCAATGCCTGATTGTACGCAGGGACCAATGAGTAATAGTGAGTGATACATCAAAAAAAAGTCTCACAGCGAGATTCCGCCACAGGGCCATGACGATAGCGCACATCGCCAGGTTTCTAGATGGACCAATTATTAGCCAGTGATCAGGAACGTACAGAAAAAGATGATGCTAACATGAAGAAATACAAAATGCTGTCTCGTACGAGTATGCTCATGAATGAATTTACGCGCAAGCTGGAGGTACCAGGGGTAGCCTTCCTCTCTCTCGTATTATTGAGAGAAACTCTGATAGCCAAGAAGAGGAGTAACGTCTCGAAGCAAAAGACGGGTATGAATAAATAGACGAAGCTTGTGCTGATCCCGGAGAAGGAGCACAAGTGCTTTCCAGAAAAAGGCTCGTTGGTGACTGGTGATGCGGAGTGAACAAGTGAGGCTCTACGCCTCATTGCAGTACGTACCAACCAATTTGCTTGCAGGACCAATAGTTCTCCAGATGATTACAACGACAGCAAGGACCTCGCTGAAAAAAGCAAAGACTAATATCACGAGTATCCGCCTAGTCCGCTGGTACATAGCATATATTCGGAGTTGCATGATGCCTATACGGGTGGTGTGAATGTTAAATTGTATATGCACAGATATGATTTACACTGAGTAAGCCATGAACACAGAAGAGTACCCCACGCTCGAACCTGGAAAAGCCGAAAACCTTGGATATTATAAGTCAGATGTTGGTCATTTGGAATACAAAGCCAATGTACTTGCATCTGAAAAATGCGTGAAACCAGTACTATCAGCGAGAAGTACGAATAAAGCGCGTGATGGATCGTACTGCTGTAAACAACTTCATAAGAAAACCGCAAATCGTACGTTTAGAAAACATGCTCACTTGTGTTGATGCATCCCCAGTGAAACACACTAGAGCATGTGAGAGATAATTTACAACATAAATATTAACATACTATATGCACCAATGCTAAGAATATATCAGACTACTGACAAGAGCTAAACGCAAGGGCTTACATCACAACGGCATCGCCCAAGTAGCGGTCCTAACAAACATGAAGACTAGAAAATCGATACTAGTTGCACATACTGATAGATATAAGGCGGTCACTAATGAAGGTGGCCTCCGCTGTATATCAACGAAATTAGAATATGACGAGCGGACACCATCTTCAAGTTTTGACTCACCCATATATAGTCTATCTGAGAGTCCAGCAATATCATTAACTTTTGCTCGTCGACAATTGGTCAACAGTAACTTACTTCGCGACCGAAGGTCAATGCTGAACAGACAATAACTGAGTGAGCGGTCATAAGACTTGATGGATTGCATACCGTGATCATACAAGACAGCGACGGTGACAGCAACTGAAAATAGTGTTTGGATTGAATCAGATTGGAAGTCAGGAAGCATCACCGCAACTAACTTTGTGCGTAAGAAAATGAATTAAGGTCATGTGCTATTGAAGTTGAACTCATGTGTCGGGCAAAGGTCATCAAAGTTGTTGGACAGTGGCTTCATAGTCCTTATAAGGTGTTGGGTGAGCATTCCAGAAGCACACGCGTTTAGGGTCCTACTATTCGGGCGTAAAGGTGTTGGTAACAGAATTTAGAAGGGGTAACGTTTAGCGCTAAACCTTGAAGTTTGACAAGGAAAGTTACGTTGCATTAGCCCAGAATTAGCCCATCAGAAGTTCGTGGGCGGGAGCGAAGTACCGTTAATGGGCGGCATGTTTACCTCAGGGTACATTAAAGACTGTGGCGGGGTCGCTCATAGGAGCGCCATGGATCTTGGTGTAGCCTATGAGCATATGATGATGAGTACTAGAGACGAACTTGAAGCTGACTAAGCAATATGTTTCTAAGTTAGCGCTGGCGCAGTGCCCTCTTCAGCTTCTGCCAACAGACTCGGTGTGCTGCCCGCTCTCCAGGATATATGTTGCAAACTTTCGTGACATCATTTACTCACTTGAAAGACCGCCCACATGCAGATCGAGCCTTGCCCATGCTTCAACGGGTAGCCACACTAGTAAAGCCTATTATGAGGAAACATGGCTGGGTCTTGCCGTTATTGTCTGAATTTTTCCCCGAAAGCCCCAATCTGGTTGGTAAGTTTCCTTTCAGCATCACCTGAAGCTTCTTCATAGGGTCACCCATCATGCAGGGTTGAGTGAGCGTCGGACACATTAGCTGTTCATTGCGCTTGCTGACACACATTCAGATGTAAACGGAGGAGAACAGATTCTTCTGAGACTGCGCCTTCCATGGGCTCCCGACACCTTTTATGAAGAAGATCAGGTTGTTCGGGTCATGCTCCATGAGGCAAGAAATTATTTCACCATGTTCAAGCTATTAATAATACTTCAATAGCTTACCCATAATGTCCATGGTCCTCACGACGAATCTTTCTACAAGTTTCTAGCTGCACTCGAAGACGAGTATGATGCACTAGTACGCTCTGGCTACGCCGGCGAAGGCTTCTTTTCTCCTGGCCACCGGCTGGGCGCAGGGGTATCACATGATCTTCCGCCACACTTAGCTAGACTCAAAGTTCTTGAAGCTGCCGAGAAGAGGCGTCGCGCAAATGGTGTTCTCGGCGGCGGCGGCGGCAGGCTAGGAGGCCACAGAATCACGGCGCTGCAAGGCATGGATCCTCGTGAATTGGCCGCACAGGTCCTTCTTCACGTCTTTCGTCTTCTGAAAATGTACGTTAATACCACATTTCGTAGGCTGCCGAGCGCAGAAAGCGTGATGAGATCGAGTGTGGGTCGGGTACACTTGCCCAGCGCGAAGCCGAGAGAGCGGCCAAGGAAAGCATCGAAGACATCATCGACCTTACCGATGATTCCTCTCTTGAACCGTGGTCTTGTCCAATATGCACACTTCACAATGAGCCAATTGTGCTGCAGTGCGCAGTATGCTTCACTGTCCGTCCTTTTAACTCGCCTAGGAATGCGAGTCAATCACGTGTTGTTGCCGAACCACCGAGGCCACAGAGTAGTACTTCCGGATCAATCCCTGATGCGCAAAAACAGTCTAGAGCCATTGCGGTGAGGCAGCCAAGCAATGCCAAGGACCCCATGCCTCCTCGTAAACCAGCTGAGACCTCAGCTGATGGTGGGCAATGGGCTTGTGCGGTCTGCACGCTCGTCAACGACCAACAAGCGCACCAGTGTACCTTGTGTTTAACAGGGCGTCCTCGAGATCCTTCTATGGGATGGACTTGTATAACGTGCGGTGAGGCTGACATACCCCACCAGTTTTGGTCTTGTCGATTTTGCGGCGCGATCAAGACGGAGAGCACTTACGGTTAAAGAATTTTGTCTCCTGGAGCAATTTCACATCTCAGGGGATTCCAGGGCTTCATGTTACAATATTTCATAATACCTTGACTGTGATGTTACGATGCAGCCCCTTTACCTTGACAGTTTTTCTCTCATGTATTGTTGTTTGGCCAGGCTGTACCCTGTGTAGATATAGTCGTTGTATGGCGGAGTAACAAAGTGTTTGCTTACGATGCTGCGAGTGTCGCAATTAGTTGTTTGCCAATCTGGATCTGTGGATGCGATCACAATATGTTCATTGGAGATGGATCAAATTTTTATCCAGTTCAGCTAGCCGCGTCTGGATCGTGGGTTTTCAAGTTCCTGTCGAAGTCCATTTTGATCCAACGATTAATTTCTCGTTTCGTAGACTTGCATTTAGTAGTTCGATGACATTCGAAGAGAAGCAACATCTATACTAGAGCTGTCACTAATTATCACCGAAAATAACTTTCAGGTTCTCAAGACTCTCCGGGTCTGCTTTGCCCGATTTATCGCTCCCCCGGAACGCCTCTTTGACGATGGCAGTCTTGCGTTTTTGGATCTGGAGTATGCGGCCTTCGATGGTGTGGTCGACCTCGAAGAAGGTTTAATGGATATAATGAACAAAGACCAAGACTCACTATAAAGTGTTTGACATAGACAGTTTTCTCTTGGCCTATTCGATGCACGCGATCGATGGCTGTCACCGAAGTCAGTACGGTAAACCATAGACGGATTTCCGGACGCCGACCTTGATTTTCAGTCGCCGCGTTCCACCAGCAGTCCATCTGAGTAATATTCATTAGCGTGGCGGGGAAACAAGTTCCGGGAGACTAACCATGAAGACGTGGTTGGCGCTCGTCAGCTATCGTTCGAAGTGACGTTCAGGAAATTGAAGAGGCAGGCAGCTTGTGCTTACGTTCAGACCAACCCCACCTGCTTTCAAGCTGACAATGAGAACCTTGGGCTTCCGCTCGTTTTGCTTGAATTCTGATATGGCAGCATTGCGCTTCTTGAGGTCCATTGATCCATCAAAACGATACCATGAGAGGCGTTCACGGTCCAGTGCCACAGAGATAAGCGAAAGGAAGGATGTGAACTGCGAGAAGACGACAGCACGGAAGTATGGGTCCTGATCTCGAAGTCGTCCTAAAACTAGCTTAGCTCAGAGTGGAATGGACTATGCAGAGGAGCACCTACTGAGGTTTTGTACCAGCGCATCCAGTTTCGTGGACGATTTAAAGTCATTTCGACGCAGGAAGACTTCTGATGTCGATGTCCCTTCTTTTTCGTCCCCTGTGGACTCCTGGTGTGGACTATCTTGACCAGACGGTCGAAGAACCTCAATGAGGTCTTGCTCCTTGACTGGCCCATGCGAGCACGTTGGGCATCGTGGCATCTCTCCCTTGTCCGTGCACGTCGCAAGATATGACATGATGCATTCTTTACAACTATGCTATAACGTTAGTATGGGTAGATGAAACGGACAGCGTTAGGCGCACCATTGGTGCATACAGGGAGGGATGATGGACGGTGTTTGCATCACATCGAGGCAGATTGGGCATTCTGCATCATTGGACATGTCAAGGTTGGCTAAAACGCTCTCAGCATAGGCCGCTTTCGAGCCACTCGACAAACCATGCTCTGAGATGTCATTCATGAGGGTATCCACGTCAATCGCTCCGTCTTTGGAGTGTCCAGAAGGTTCAGTCTCTGTCCCATCGCCAGTATCAGTAACGAGATCTGGATGAAGTACTGCCCGGCGCAGTCTTGACAAAGGGTTAAGAATTAGGATACGTCAGACATCGAAAGTCTTACCTCATAATCATGGCAAGAATGTGGGTGTAGTTTTTACCTACGAGCCCTTTCGCATTGAGCTGATCGAAGTTCCGCTTTGCCGCATTGTAAATAGAGTCGTATATCCTTTGTTCGGCAGGTGTAAAGTGCAGTGTGTCAACAGTGACCTCCTTCGCAGGCAATTCGACGATGCGTTTTCCAGAATTATCACGCATGTTCTTCTCGCGTCTCAGAAGGACACTCTCAAGGATCACTTGCACTATTTCTATTGCTTTGGGATCGCGAGCGAGGAATGGCACAGTAATAAAGCTGATAAATGGCTTCAGCCTTAACAGGAATGAAAATTGATGAGAAGGGTAGACACATACGAGCGAAAGAATGAGTACGATGACCATGGTGTATATCCCAGGAATTGGCTGACACGAAATCAATTAAAGTATTGTATAGTACACTTCTGTCACTTACAGAAGCGAATGTAGGTCGTCGAGTTTATTGACAATGGGAGTCCCTAATCGTGATTTAGCATCTGGATATGCAAAACACCAATATAGTCACCTGTTACGGCCCATCTACGTCTAGCACGAAGAGCATACACAGCTCGTGCGGTCTTACTTGTTCTGGACTTACAGTGATGAGCTTCGTCTAAAATGACTCGTAGCCACTCCACTTCACAGACCATTAATCAAGAAATTTTCGTTGATTCCTAGGACATACCTTGGAAAATAGAAGATTGACCACCAGCCTTGAGGAGTTTAGAATGTTCAGAGGCGAGTACGCCATAGGATGTAATAATCACGATGATAGACGCATCATCCATAGAATCATCTTCTATACCGTCCAATTCCAGCCTATTCTGTCCGTGCCAAACAGTGACTTTAAGGGTCCCTGGTGCACTGGACCGCTGGAGTTCCTCGTGCCACTGGGAGAGCAGTGAGGTAGGAGCAACAACTAACGTTGCAGAAGGGCCTTTGGTAGGCTGCTTCCTTTGTCCGAGAGCTCTTGACTGAAAGGCATTGTCAAGTTTCAGCTGACGAGTGCGTGCAAGATCCCTGGAGGTATCGTCAGGAAGAATAGGTTCCGGACCCCGGTTTGTATGAATGAGAGCGGATAACATGATGGTTTTTCCCATTCCCACTGAGATGAATAGATCAGCTCCGATCACCGTACAAAGGTTACAGGAACGCACTCTCTGCGTGGTGTATCAGATTAAAAGATCAATGTTTATGAGCGAGGTAACGTCGGATGAGAACTGCACTTTACCATCACTAGCAGGACATAAGTATCTATTGGCCAACGAATGCTTACTACTTACGCGAGGATACCTCCTTTGAGTTTGCGTTCAGCTTTAGGAAAGTCAAGACTGAGTTCTCCAGAGTAAGGATTGAAGTAGAACGACTTCTCGTCTTCAGTCAGATCGATTATGCCATCTTGAGGTTCGGCAGGGAAAGCATACCTATAAGAACAGTTGACTGCCGTTCCTATAGCATGGCCGGGGGGCTTACTCGCTCCAAAGAGGGTGCATAGACACGGCTTCTCTGGCAGATATTTCGCCTGATTCCTTCGTATGCATCCACCTTATACGAGTCAGTAGGGGAGAACAAGAAATTCGATGACATCCTGGCCCACATAAGTGCTTGTTTCTGGTATCCCCTTAGTTTCAATGTAAACGTGTTAGGAGGATCCATCTCAGCCATCGATTGGTCGTTCTTCTGGGCTCTGGAAGATTGTCAACATGATAACCTGACACCACGAAATGTTACCCGCTTCTTGTAGATGACATCCAACTCGTTGTCAGATAGTTCCTCACCTTCTTCTACTTCGACTTCCTCGCCATCACTGACAATTTCAATTTTCTTCTTCTTGGCACCGCCGGGATGTTGCATCGGGTTCTTGTTTATGCCGCCAGATCCGTTTTCCGTGTTGCCATTGTCTTGGGCGTGAGCTCCCCTACAAGGGCGGAGGTTAACAGCTTCGAAGAGAGAGAGTAGCGCAGATTTGCGTTCTTTGAGAGTTTGTTCATCTTGTGTTTCTTGGCCCTGGTTGAACATCGTTTTTGATGGCCCCTCCACGGAAGTACTCGGTGGCTTGAATGCAGGTGCACGGACATAAACAGACAACGAGACTATCAAGTCCGCGCCAGAATGCAGGGTGGCTGGGCAGTCTACCACTGTACTGCCCTTGAAGTCGACAATCCCTGGATGCTATGGTAAATACAAGGCTAATTCACATGGAAGATGAAGTACCGAAGTCAAGAAGCCTTGAAACCCAAGATGAAACATGTTGCGGAAGACGGCCAAACTCTGGTTGAAATGTGTGAGCACTTTTACATCATTTGTAGATGAGGCTCACCGAAACCACGGTCATTCGTGAGGCGAACCACCGTGTCGGCTTTCTTCGTCATTTTGGGTGGCTGCGATTTCAGCATAGCACCGAGAGTAAGTTGCTTCTTTTTACCGTTGTCGGGAAGGGCTTTCTTCTTTCCTTTACCTGAGACTGGTAGGCCAAACTTAAAATCATCATCTCGTTCGATGCGAATGGTGTCGCCTGGTTTGATATAACCTTTGCCTCTGACAGTACTCCAGGCATTCCCGACAAGGAAGGATCCAAGATATGCAAGATGATTAAATGATGCTTGTCCCGTACGCGCCTGAACCTTGGAAGAAGGTGAGAGTCGCCTCTTCTTGACCGGTGGTTCTTCACCAGAAGGATCTGGCGCGGGAGAAGAACTTCTGAGAGAAGGCCCTGATGACATACTACTAATGCTGGAAGCTCGAGGAACCTCTTCAAAGGAGGGTATCTCCAGGTCGCTTTCGCTGTCATTGCCATCCATGACAAATTCCGAATCAATCGCAATTGGCCTTGGAGTTTGGAAACGTGGAATATCTTCATCGTCACTATCGGCAAAGAACAGACGTTTCTCGTGTGGGGAGCAAGCTGGACCCGATGGCGGAGCTAGTTGGTGAGATGCTGGCTGCACTAATACTCCAATCTGAGCCGTCGTGGGATTCGCGTCGTCATCCTCATCGTCAGAACCTGCGAAAAAAAGACCACCACGAGGTTGAAAGTCCTGGGTCATAAGGAAGTTTCTTTGTGTAGGGAACGAGAGACAGCCGCGGTGCTCGAGCACAATAGGTCGGACGTGACAACGTGAGTCGTGTCCAAGTTTTGTTTGGCCGTATTACGGATACTTAATTAATTATGCCTTGCAATTGCAGGGTAACGATTCATTCCATCCACCATCACTGTCATTATACACTCATACATGCCCTCGAACTTCGGATTTTACTGCTTACTACACCCAACACGATACATTGTGCACAGCCTTTCATAGCCTAGCAATCAGGCTACCGGAAGGTATTAGCAGGTAATGGCACCTCCGTCACGTGTTTCAGATTCATCTTTTTACTTGTCGCTCTGCTAGACTTGATATATTGACATCCCTCAGTTGTTCAAATATCAATGTCACATTGCCTACTTAATAACATGATATCAAGGCGCTTCATGTGTGATACATCTTTCTCCACCTGCCATTAGCTCAGTCCACCTGCGGATTGGCAATCGGTAATTAATATTTTGCGAGTCACCGTTGCAACCTTCCACCACATGGCCTTCCAACAACCCTTGATAGGGAAAGCGCAGCCAGTGCGTGAAACTTGTTTTTATCTATACAGCTTGGCAGGTTGGCTTGTATTCTAGCGCCAATGTACGGAATTTAAATGGCGCAAAAAGCCAACATTGGGCAGCGTCTGCCAGTCTTCCAGATCCGTCGTTTTTTTTCACCTGGATATGATCGACATTATCGAGCGCGTGTTTTCATTTTCTCCACCTCCACAACCGTCGTTGCCGGAATCAGGGTGATGTATGAGGCCGCAATGTCCTTGCCAATATCCAAATTCGTCTGGCTGCCAGTTATCCTTTCATGCGTTTACAGCCCCGGCTTGATGAGCTACGCATATTCTGTGGATATAAAGGAAGAGACATGATACAGCTCACTATCCGGCAAGCCCTACACATTTTCTATTATCTACAACACTCGTACCCAAATTCTAGCAGCGATGTCTGGCAATGACCGTGCGTCTTCTGCTTAGTTGTTCGATATGCAGGATGTGTCCGCTCATTGACCTCCAGACCCCCGCCAGAAGTTGAACAACGAATTACAGAGGATTTATGGACCCTTTGCACAAGACCATGTCAGGTGGGAGATCTATTCGCAAGGCCCTCCCAACGCCTCAACATGGCATGCGACCGTCTACAGTAAGGCTGACTTCTAAAAAGTCGAAGATGTGTACGCTAACCAATACGTCATACAGTTGATGATATGAATTACGGCTACGCTTCATCCAACACCAGAGGTGGTGCCCAAGATGAGGCTGCGCGCCAGGCATATGACCACCTGAAACGTGAAAGGTCCCGATGAGCTGTGGCAATCGAGCATGACGACTCCGATACACGTGTTGTATCAAATTTTCATCCTCTTCAGACATCTAGCTACTTCCATTACCCACACGGTTTCGTTATCATACAGTCGTAATATAGCGCTGTCCATACTAGTAGTGCGCCTGTTATGAGTTAATAGATATAGATCCCCTTTCTTCCGCGATACGTTTATGGCCCGTCGTGCTTCGACGTGCTCCTTTGTGTCAGCAGCCCAGAGTACGAGCATATTAATGTGGTGGTGAGTAGAGGAGACCATCATGATGTGGTGTGGGGTCTACCACACGTCCCGAGCACTGGTACTTGTGCTTCCACTTAACTTCCACTTCACTACGTGTCTCGACAAATCAGTTCATATATCAATTTTATAATAGACATTCCAACGGTGAACTATCGGAATGGAATCAGTAGACCGGAGCATTTAGGGGTAAGACTATAGTTGCCTGACAAGAAGGCACGTGATGCGACGCGCGCCGTGTCTACTGCCAGTCGCAGCCTGAGCAAACCTCTAGATAAAGGAGAAGCCACATGTCCCAATACTAGTCTGATAAATCCGATGCTTCAACCCCGAGGATAGTGTACTAGTTGGTGTTATGCAGGTACACCAAATATTTTTATCCCATCTCCGCTACCTCCAATATTTCTTCTGCCCCCATCACAACGCCCTCCGATTTCGCATATCTTCCAGCTCAAAGACACCCGACCCACCTCACAATTGTCCTACCACATACTCCAAAGCATGCCCATCAGTATCTAAGCCGGCAGTCAAATGGAAGCCCACATCAAGCGGGAGTCCCATAGGTAAGCGGGTTTTGATAGCGCCTCAAATGTACCGATCATCTCATGATTGCAACACCAGAATTGCAGCACTATTCATATATTCATATGCGGAGTGAGGGAAATGTTGGCAGGACCGGGCATGAACGTTTGAACGTTTGAACACCGAATCATGATGGCGTCTGTTGTTACGGCTGCCTTGAGAAATTCTCTCGTCCACTATTGGAAACACTTGCACCCAAATTCCAGCAGTAAGTGTGGCAATGTCTAGCAATATTACATAACGACTGTATGTCTTCCACTCATTTGTTTAACATGCAGGATGTGCTTCCCCATTGACCTCCAGGCCCTCGCACGAGGTTGAACAACGCCACTACCGAATTACGAATTGTAGTTTATTTATGATCCCGCTGCGTTTTGAGCATGTTAGATGGGAAGTTTATTCACAAGGCCCTCCCACCAATTTGACATGGTATGCGACCATTTACAGAGAGGAAGTCAGAGATGTGCATACTAACAAATACAGCGTATAGCCGACAATCTAGATCACGATCACGCTTCAAGCTTCAGCCCTCGTCAGAAGTGCTACTCAGGACATGGCTGTGCAACAGGCTTATAACCGTCTGAGACAAGGAAGATCTACCCGATCAATAAATCAAACCGTGCATACCACATAACAGGCCAGTAACATCCAGTACAAGGTGTGTAACTGCTGCCATCACCACAACCGCATGACAGATTTGCGTTGGGCTTGCGAGTTATAATGCACGGCGGCCGAGCATGCAGCGAGGTTTTATACATACTCTACCAACCTATATTTATATCAAACAGTAGACCCTTGTTTGGGCGACGCTCGATATGTGGTGCTACAATTGTTGTGACAATTGTGCTTCCTTATGGTCTTGTGCGGATAATGAACTCGTACACATACTCCTGCTAGTCTTATTACCCCTATTGTACGGTAGTTGTTGGCTCCGTTTGATCACGATAATGGGCACATAAATTGCACTGCTGCAGCTAAGTACATTCGCTATAGCCAACGAGCACAGAAATGAAGTAAGTAGAGATACAGATATGCGAGGGACAAGTACTGAATATAACAGCAACGAGGCGAAGGGCATGATGTGAACCGGCGAAGATAAGAGAAAAAGTGGAAATGAAAGCCACACTATACAGAAACAACGTTAACGTGAGGCGGCGCTAGACAGAAAAGACAACGCGCAAAAGTACGCAGGGAAAGTGCAAGATGGTGCGAAAGGGCGGAGAAAGGACCTTTCATATGTCATGCGGGGGATGCAGAAGGTTAGTAACAGTTAAAACATAAAGAGAAATGAGAAAAAACTTCCCATAGAGTTACAGTGCCGCAGTCTGGCAGAGGATATCTGCTGCCGCTGTGATCACATGTCGACATGTCATGCGGGAGTATTTGCAACAAACAACACTGAATTTTAAAACCCGAGGCTTCTAATGATCACTAAACACAATCAAACATTTCATTTCATCCACCACCACCAGCTAATGACATTAATTATAATATGTACCCACACACGCCCATGAACTTCGGATACTGCGTACTATGCCTAAAAACTGATACTTTGTGAGTGCCCTTTGATCACAGAATAGCAATCAGGCTACTAGAAAGCATTAATGGTCAGGTAGGTACGATTAAGTACCACCACCGTGACCGTCGCGTGTTTTAGACTCTCGCTCTGCCAGACTTGATATCATTTGACATCCCTCGGCCGTTCAAGTACAAATATCTCATGTTGCCTCACTTGTCGAGGCGCTTCGTGCGTGACGCATCTTTCTGCACCTGCTGATTGGCAATCGGTAGTTGATAATTTGCGAGAAACCGTTGCAACCTTCCACCACATGGCCTTCCAAGATCCCTTGATAGGGAAAGCGCAGTCAATGCTTGAAATTTGTTTTTATCTATACAGCTTGGCAGGTTGGACGGTATTCTAGCGTCAATGTACGGAATCCCGAAGACGCAAAAATCAACCATTGGACAGCGTCTGTCTATAATGCCAAGCAGGCTTCCAGATTGGTCACTTTTTCACCTGGATATGATCGGCATTAGCGAGCACGTGTTTTCATTTTCTCCACCTCCACAACCGTCGTCGTCGGAATCAGGGTGATGTATGAGGCCGCAATGTCCTTGCCAATATCCAAATTCGTCTGGCCGCCAGTTACTCTTGCTTGCGTTTACAGTCACGGCTTGGCGAGCTAGGCATATATAAAGGCAGAGACAATGCAGCTCATTATCCGGCAAGTCCTACATATTTTCTATCATCTACAACACTCGTACCTAAATTCCAAGCAGCGATGTCTGACAATGACCGTACGTCCTCCACCCATCTGTTTGACGTGCAGGATGTGATTTATTGACCTCCAGACCCTCGCACGAAGTTGAACAATGAATTACAAAAGATATACGGTCCCTCTGCACCTGAGCATGTCAGGTGGGAGATCCATTCGCAAGGCCCTCCCAACGCTTTAACATGGTATGCAACCGTCTACAGTAAGGTTGACTTCTAGGGAGTCAAAGATGTGTACACTAACCAATACGTCATACAGTTGATGATATGAATTACGGCCACGCTTCATACCGCACTGTAGGAGGTGCTCAAGACAATGCCGCGGCAATGGCATATAAGCACCTGAAACGCGAAATATCTTCCCGGCGATGAAGCATAACCACTCCAACACAGATTTTTCTTCCTCTCCAAACATCTAGCTACCTCTATTATCCATACAGTTCCGTTATCTGAATACAGTTGTAATACAGTACTGTTCTTACTAGACGTGCGCCTGTTGTAAGTTAATAGTTATACATTCCCTTTCTTCCATGATACGTTGATAGTCTGTCGTGCTCCGACGTGCTCCGACGTGCTCCTTTGTGTCAGTAGCCCAGAGTACGGGCATAAATGCGGTAGTGAGTACTGAGACCCGTATTGAATGTGACATGGGGTCTGCCCAGTACACGTCCCGGCCAAGCACTGGTGTCTGTGCTTCCACTTAACTTCCACTTTCCTACATGTCTCAACAAGTCGCATGATACAATAATTATATATAAGACATTCCAACGGTGAACTATCGGAATGATATCAGTACACCGAAGCAGACCGGGGTATTTAGGGGTAAGGCTATAGTTGGCCTGACAGGAAGGCACGTGATGCGAGCAGACGAACAAGCTGCCTGTCCCACTAGTCTGATCAATCTGATGCTCCAACTCCAAGCTTACAAGGATTGGTCACTAATTGGTATTATGCATGTACACCACATCTCTTATCCAATCTCCGCTACCGATATTTCTGCCCTCATTGCAACACCGAAGCTCAAGGACACCCGATCCGCACCTCACAACAACCTACCACATACTCAAAACCTTGCGCCTCTCAGGCTCGCTTGTTCAAATCCATTGATAACTAGGCCTGCAGTTAGATGGAAGCTTGCACCAAGCTAGAGTCCCATGTGTGATTTGCTTTCAGGGTGAGTAGCCTAAGGTTATCATGATAGTGCCTCCAAGGCAGATGACACAGTAATACCTTCCAAACCTTGCAGGGAGGAAGACTCTACAGAGCCAATAATTAACGGCGGACACAAACGGACAACCATGACGCACCATACATCATTTACAAATCGCAAAACCCGACTTAAACTTGAAAACCACGTACTAAATCATCTCAAGATTACAATATCAAACTTGCAGCACAATTCATATGTGGCGTGGGGGAAATATTGGTAGGACCGGGCATGAACACCGAATCGTACTGACCTGGCACCTGTTGCCTTGAGGAATCCTCTCGTCTAGTTTCCATCGGAAATACTCGTACCCAAATTTCAGCAGCGATGCCTGACAATGACCGTATGTCTTCCACTTATCTGTTTGACGTGCAGGATGTGTCAACTCATTGACCTCCAGAGCCCCGCACGAGGTTGAACAACGCATTACAGCTGAGGTATGGTGCCACTGTCCAGGATGATGTCAGATGGGAGGTCTATTCGCAAGGCCCTCTCAACGCTACAACGTGGTATGCGACCATCTGCAGTGCGTTCGCCTGCTAGAGGTGTCGAGGATGCAGATGCTAATATACTCAGGTACAGTTGACGAAGAGAATTACGGCCACGCTTCGGCCCGCACCAGAGGTGCTGCTCAGGACGCGGCTGCGCAACAGGCTTATGAAACTTTGACACGAGAAAGATTTGCCCGAAACGACTTATGAACCATGTTCATCAAGTTTAAAGCATGCTGGCGACTTCAGGACATATATATGCCCTCGTTTTCAACATCTCCAACGTACTTAGTTCTATTACTCATGCATACATTTTTGCAACTATTATGCAGTTGTAACACGGCCCTGCAATCCGTAATACGCTTGTTGATAGACCGTTGTACTTCGACTGCGGGTCAGTAGCGTTAATCAATGCGGTTACTAAAATGATGATGATGATGCGGCGTAAGGGCTATCACACATGATTAAGTCTAAGAGACTTGCATTGTCGTTGTTTTGTATAGTGTGGCTTTTATTTTCTCATTTTCTCTTATCTCCGCCGGTTCACATCATTGCAAGACAGCGCTAGACAGAAACAACAACATGCGAGAGTGTGCAGGGAAAGTGTAAGATGCATGTAGAACGTTACTAACAGTTAGAACACAAAGAGAAATGAGAAACAAACTTACCTGGATAGAGTTGCAAAGTGCAGAGCTCGATGATATCTGCTAGCCACTTTGATCACATGTCATGCGGGAGTATTTGCGCTGAATTTTGAAACCCGAGGCTTCTAATGATCACTAAACACAATCAAACATTTCATTTCATCCACCACCACCAGCTAATGACATTAATTATAATATGTACCCACACACGCCCACGAACATCGGATACTGCATACTACGCCTAAAAACTGATACTTTGTGAGTACCCTTTGAGCACAGCATAGCAATCAGGCTACTAGGAAGCATTAATGGTCAGGTAGGTACGATTCAGTACCACCACCGTCAACTCTCGCTCTGCCAAACTTGATATCATTTGACATCCCTCGGTCGTTCAAATACAAATATGTCATGTTGCCTCACTTATCAAGGCGCTTCGTGCGTGACACATCTTTCTACACCTGCCATTATAAGTTCAATCCACCTGCGTATTGGCAGTCGGTAGTTGATAATGAAACCGTTGCAACCTTCTACCACATGGCCTTCCAAGATCCCTTGATAGGGAAAGCGCAGCTAGTGCTTGAAGCTTGTTTTTATCTATACAGCTTGGCAGGTTGGACGGTATTCTAGCGTCAATGTACGGAATCCCGAAGACGCAAAAATCAACCATTGGACAGCGTCTGTCTCTAATGCCAAGCAGTCTTCCAGATTGGTCACTTTTTCACCTGGATATGATCGGCATTATTGAGCGCGTGTTTTCATTTTCTCCACCTCCACAACCGTCGTCGCCGGAATCAGGGTGATGTATGAGGCCGCAATGTCCTTGCCAATATCCAAATTCGTCTGGCCGCCAGTTACTTTCTTTCTTGCGTTTACAACCCCGGCTTGACGAGCTATGCATAATCTGCATATATAAAGGGAGAGACATGACGCTGCTTACTATCCGGCAAGTCCTACATATTTTCTATCATCTGCAACACTTGTGCCCGAATTCAAACAACGATGGCTGACAATGACCGTACGTACTCCACTCATCTGTTCGACATGCAGGATATGTCCGCTCATTGACCTGTAGACCCCCGCACGAAGTTGAACAACGAATTACAGAGGAAGTATGGTCCCTCTGCACAAGACCATCTCAGGTGGGAGGTCTATTCGCAAGGCCCTCCCAACGCTTTAACATGGCATGCGACCGTCTACAGTGAGGTTTACTTCTGCGGAGTCAAAGATGTGTACGCTAACCAATACGTCATACAGTTGATGATATGAATCACGGTTATGCTTCATCCAATACCAGAGGTGGTGCTAAAGACACTGCTGCGGAAACGGCATATAACCACCTGAAATATGAAAGGTTTTCCCGGCGGTGAAGCATGATCCAATACACATGCACCATCAATTTTGTTCCTCTTCAGACATCTAGCTACTGCTATTACTCATACAGTTTCGTTATCTAAATACAGTCGTAATACAGCATTGTCCATACCAGATGTGCGCCTGTTGTGAGTTAATGGATGTACATCCCCTTTCTTCCATACGTTAATGGCCCGTTATGCTTCGACGTGCTCTTCTGTCAGTAGCCCAGAGTGCGGGCATAAATATGGTGGTGAGTACTACAGGAGACCATCACGATGTGGCGTGGGGTCCGCTACACATCCCCAGCCGAGCATTGATGTTTATGCTTCCACTTCCCTGCGAGTCTCAACAGATCGCATGTTAAACAATTATATATGATCTACACCGGGGCATTTAGGGGTAAGGCTATAGTTGGCCTGACAGGAAGGCACGTGATACGACGCGCGCATGTGTAGCAGCAGACGAACAAGCTACTTGTCCCACTAGTCTGATCAATCCGGTGCTCCAACTCCATGGATAGTTCGCTAATTGGTGTTATACATGCACACCATGCATCTGTTATCTAATTTTGCTACCGATATTTCTGCCCTTATTACAACACCCTGCGATTCCGAAGCTCAAAGACACCCGATCCACCTCACAACAACCTACCACATATTCAAAACCTTGCGCCTCTCAGGCCCGCTTGTTCAAATTTATTGACATCTAGGCCTGCAGTTAAATGGAGGCTTACACCAAGCTGGAGTCCCATGTGTGATTTGCTTCCGGGGTGAGTAGCCTAAGGTTATCATGATAGTACTTCCAAGGCAAATGACACAGTAATACCTTCCAAGCCTTGCAGGGAGGAAGATTATCATGGACTCGACATAGCCAATAATGAACGGCGGACACAAACGGACGACCATGATGCACCATACATCATTCGCAGATCGCGAAGCCCGACTTGAACTTGAAGATCACGTACTGAATCGTCTCGAGATTGCAATATCAAAATTGCAGCACGATTCGTATGTGGCGTGGGGGAAATATTGGTAGGACCGGGCATGAACACCGAATCGTACTGACCTGGCGCCTGTTGCCTTGAAGAATCCTCTCGTCTAGTTTCCATTGAAAATACACGTACCCAAATTTCAGCAGCGATGCCTGACAATGACCGTATGTCTTCTACTTACCTGTTCGACGTGCAGGATGTGTCAACTCATTGATTTCTAGACCCCCGCACGAGGTTGAACAACGCGTTACAGCCGAAGTATGGTGCCACTGTCCAGGATCATGTCAGGTGGGAGGTCTATTCACAAGGCCCTCTCAACGCTACAACGTGGTATGCGACCATCTACAGTGCGTTCGTCTGCTAGAGGTGTCAAGGATGCAGATGCTAACATACTATAAGTTGATGATCTGAATTACGGCCACGCTTCGGCCTCCACCAGAAGTGCTGCTCAGGACGCGGCTGCGCAACAGGCTTATGAAACATTGAAAGGAGAAGGATCTACCTGAGGGGACTTAGGAACTACCTCAATCGAGCTAATGACGACTTCAGTATATATATATAGACCTCGTTCAACATCTCCAATGTACTTGGTTCTATTATATTTTTGCAACCATTATGCAGTTGTAACACGGCGCTGCAATCCATGCGAGTGATATAATGCGCTTGTCGATAGAGAGACCATTGTGCTTCGACTGCGGGTCAGTAGCGCTAATCAGTGCAGTCACTGCGGTGATGGTGCTGCGTAAGGGCCATCACGCATGAGTACCTTGGACTCAACTGGCGATCTGATCATAGACAACCATCCATTGATATATGACAGTGTGTGAGAGTAACACATGGAAATCCTGACAGTCACTACATTATTGGTTGTATGTATGTATAAGAAACTAATGCCCTAGAGGAAGCAAGATCCGACTCCGAACACAACGATATCCCCACGTTAATTGGTCATCCATTGACGCTCTTTTCTTCGTGATCGAACCTTCGCCCTGCGCTCGCTCTCCTTCGCACGACGCTCTTGCTCCTTGACATCTAAAAACATGTTACCAACATCAATGAACTTGATTGCTGGGCGTCCAGGACGTTCGACAATATTCGTTTTTGTCTTGTTTTCAAAAGTAGCTGTGGCTGATTTTGTCGCGGCGTCCAAAATGCCTGGCATGATGGGGTCCTAGTAGATAAATTAGTTCACTTCTGTGTCGAAAGAAATAATCAACAAACCTTGCCCTCAGGCACAGTCTCCCAAAACATCCGCTGGTACCTTTGTCGCGCCCAGTCGAAGCCACCGGACTTCTTCGTCTTCTCGATCGGCCTCCACTGCGTCGTATCTATCGCTATGAGTTTTAGCCACCTGCTGGTTGGTATCGTACTGCACGGGCACAGGCTTCGACTCGTCAAGGGTGGTAAAAATCTTGGTTTGAGGCACGCCAAGGATACTTTCCATGCCTTGTACAAAACCTGTCTGTATAGGTTTACCCTGCAAGGCGTGTGAGCGCTGGTATCACAAAGGAGCGACATATAGGTTCAGATAAGGTCAAAATGTGGAACCAGTGCCAGACGATGCAAGGCATTGAATTGCGCGAATGATGATGTGTTTTCAAGGCAAGGCAAATGGCACTCACATCCTGCACGTCATGACGGAATTTTCGGTGGGGAATCAGTCAACAATTCCTAATTGTAAGCAGTTGCAATTTACCTAGGAAAAGTGTAAGACTAGTTAGTATCTTTGAATATTAGGCAGCAGCAGAAGGAAGATGCAGATCAGTAAGGTGCGTAGATTTAACCATGTATGTGTCTATAAGACTAATCGAATTCACGTTGCTCATCACGTTCGAGAGAAAGGAGAGAAATAGTGAGTTCTCACCTTTTTCCACGATTCTTCTAAACCTTTCAACCGTAGAATGGCATCGATGCGTTTGATACTGAGATGATGTCTGGCAGCCAGAGCGCGCACCGAATTAGCCTCAGGATCAGCCATGTAAGAAAAATAGATATGAGTGCATAAAGCATCCGAGACAGGTGGAGGGGGACGGAATGATTCGTTAAGAGGAAAAGGCTGAAAAGTAGTGAGCATGATCATCATTGTGGTACTAGCCGGAGCGTACTGTGCCAGAGCTAAGCCAATTCCGTGGGGCGGAATCGCGATACTTGCGACCGGCACCTGCTATCCAGTTCTCGTACGAAGGAGTTTGTGGTGTTTCGGCGTCGTTTGGTAGGTCGAGGCCCTCTAGGATAGCTTCACTCAGGGCATCATCTTCTTCGTCTGCCTCAAAAAATTCATCCTTTCTTGCGACAAAAGACTGGAAGAATGTTCTACGCGGACATCTGTGAGCAGACAGTAAACGCAAGTTGCGCTGAGATGATGAAGCTGATATACGCAAATGAGCGAACATTTGGGCACAGAACGCGTGAAAAATTTGAGGCATTTCTGGTCGGCATCACGTGAATACTCTAGGGCAGGCCTCAGATCGAGTTAAACTTAATCTGCAACCTGCTTGACGTTTACATATAGGGCATGATTGAAGATGTCCATGACATTCACCAACGATGTATGCTATGGAAATGACAACGAGTTGTTAGCTTTGCTGAAAGGATATTCTGCACTGATTCCTCCACTTCACCTCAAATTTCCTACTCAATGTTCATTTACTGAGGTACATACTTTTCTTTTACACCAGGTTTTGCTCGGCCCACACTTGGAGCAGTATCCACCTTCCGGGAGATACCAGCAATCATTTTGGAAGTGGGCGATTGAACACTTGGAACGAATGGACCAAGACGAAGAGGTTAGCTACGCCACAGAGCCACACGAGAAGGCAACTCATTCACAATTGCACATAAAGGACGGCGAGATCGATACACGAATTTATGATCGTTATTTGTCCCTTATTTCGGGCTCGACGTAGGTTTATTTGCCATGAGAAAGTACCTCTAATCATCTCCATTTTTTGTTCTCACTGCACAGCGATCCTAGTGGTCCCCCTCCGGACTCGTACATGACATATTACTGGAAGCCTTCAAGTTCACTTAGTTCTGCCGATCGAAGCAGTCACGAGACCATCACACTACTCGAGTCTCGTACCACCATCGAGGGCGGAACGACTGGGCTTAGGACCTGGTGTGCCAGTTTCGTCCTTGGCAGTTATCTCATTGCGAATGCCGGTACGGTAGACACGCTGTGCCATTCCTTGACTGGCCTTCATATTTTTTCATGCAATCAGAAACGATTCGTGATCAAACGGTCCTCGAGCTTGGTTGTGGGTCCGGTTTTCTTGGGATTATTGTGGCTACAATACAACAGAAATTTAATGAGCGTCATCAATCACATCATCAGGCGTTGCCTGCAGTACTGTTGACCGATGTGAATGCTGGAGTGCTTTCAAGGTGTCGCGACAATGTCCAACTTCGTTGCAGTGAGTGATCCCAGATAACGTTCATCCTTGTGGCTCTTTGGGTAAATCAGGTTGATGTAATCTGCCTTGTACCCCTTCAGTCTGATTTTGTCGTCTGTCTCGTTTGTCTCAATCAACTCATACCGTATTTCAAATGTGCTGTCCTTGCTTACTGTCGCACAGATCAGTCGTCAAATCACCCAAATATCACCTTCTCCACTCTTGACTGGTTCGATGCCCTTTCCCTGCCATTCAGTGAGAACACGATGACAGCATTTCTATCCAAAATGAGCGCGGGCGTTGTGATTGGTGCCGATATAGTAAGACTCAAATTCGCCGTTTCGTCGCTCTCCACTAACCTAGCCAGGTATTTGACCCGATTCTGGTCCCACCTCTGGTCGCAACATTGCGCATTGCACTTTCCTTCAAAAAAACTCGAATGGTAGTGGTGGCGCTAACAGTCAGAAATGAGCAGACACTTGCGCATTTTGTGACAGAGGCTGGTGAGCAGTGCTCGACCTGTCGTGTGGTGAATCTAATATTCAAGTCACCTAGCAAAAGAACTTTGTGTGGAAGAAGTTCCGCACGCTTTTACCTCAGCTACATACTTTGATCTGGATACTACTGGAGTGGATGCTGGTCTTGATGTGAAGATATTCAAAATCACACTCCACAATTCGGCGTCATAATTAAATGCGCGTTGTATTTCACAGTTGTTTCTACTCAAGGGTTACTCTCGGATAACACTCATTCGACCTTCACTCACTCGGCCAGTCACACGATATCACGGAGCAGTCTCCTAGGCCACCTAGTGAACTGACTGGTGACAGACCGACGGCTCCATCACGTCTTAACCTTTATCTCGCTCATTTCTCGATCAATTTCGATTGTTCAACTGCATAGTATTTTAAAATCACTGATTGTTGTAGAAACGTGCAACCAACTACCACTCGAAGTGAGCTCGGAACACCACGTGGATATACATAGTTCTGCAAGTACCCACGTGGGTGGAAAAGTAGCTTTACCCCAAGTTACCTGTTTGCCAATGAGACTTTGCACCTTTATTCGTTTGGTTTTATGTATGACTTACACGTTGAGACCTCGAACATTTTGAAACTTAAGCACCAAGCCAAGTTGAACTGGGCTTGTTAAGCAAGGTTTGTTTGAGATGAGACAAACGACGACGATGATGCAGACTGCAGTACACCGATCCAAGTTGTTTATTCGTTGGGAGCTGGTCCTTCGTCTCTCCCTGACCCATCCAGGCATTCAAGTTTCTCGTGCAACATGAGGATAGTGCTGCATCAGGCGCCTAAGCTCCGATTCCGGAATCTTCGTCTCAAACTCAACTGCGCTCGGTGGGACATCTGACACCGCCTCATTCATGAATCCCATGTCATCAATCGCTTCGTGGGATCCAGAGTGAACTGGAAGGCCCATAAGACGCGGAGAGAGTTGATAAACACCGATCTGTGCCGATCGAAGTGAGGAAGACGATGTGCGCGGAGGAGTAGCTTTACCAATTCGTGACATGTTGACCGGGGCATACGCTGAAAGAAATATCACGAGTCAAAAAACGAGTGTCTGAAAGGCTGCAAGACGGTACTTACCGCCGACCAAAGCCCCAGATGAAGAATTTTAAATCGTCTCTCAGGCGACCTTGCCTCAATCCGGCGCAGAGGCTTGAACATATCAGGCTCCAGGTAGGCGTCAGGATCTTCGACCTAAGGCAGTGATCGCCAGATCCTTAGTATTTTGCGGCGCGATGCTCGCTGTACACCGTGGTCCCGGGTAGAATACGATAGTTTTCTAATGAACTATATCATGATTCGTGCGATATACTGTCAAAGATCACTCGCCTAAATCACGTCGTGAGTTGTTCGATGAGCCAATGCTGCTGTTGAATAGTGTGAAATGTAGGCACAAAATCAAATGAATATACCCACCACCGGTAAGACCATGGAGATGATCACTTTATAGCATATATCTCACAAACAAAGGGCCAACGTCCACGTCCCTCTGCAGTGGAATGGCTCGGACATGAAGTGGAGATCAAGAAGGGAGTACACGTCACTTTCTTATACCTTAAAACCACCTGCAAGCAAAGTACGATCATCACCAAAAGCGCTTACGTTGTCACATGGTTCTGGACGTTGTGAATCATCGAGAATGCCGAGAACTGTGTTCTTTGTGCGTGACATCTGCAAGGGCTGATGGGCCCCAGCTACTTTAGGTTATAAATGTGAATAAAGCGTTCTGCATCACATTGAAAAGTAAGATAAACGAGGGAAAGTAAATATCGCGGACTACTGACCTATGCATCCGACGGAACCTGTCTCAAAATGGTGAAAAGGCAATAGTTATTTCGCCATTATATATTTCTCTGACAGCAACCTGCGGGGACGGTCAGCTGTGAGTTCTCTGTCATACCCATGGCGACCTGCGACAAAATGTCGAGCCTGCGGCCTATAAACAGGACCTTCTCAATTCCTGACCGAACAATGACCAGAGGACCATATTTGTCAATCTATCCTGCTATAGTGAGGGATGTGCTTATCGGTGATATGTCACAAATCAGTGTTCAAAAGTCAATAAGTTGAATGCGAAATTTTACAAGTGTTGCAGCAGCAAGTGCCCCAGATGGAAGGGGAAGGTGGGAGGGGAAGATCGCTCTCTGACTTAGTGAGATACGCCTGAGCAATAAGAAACGAATTACTCGACTTCATCGGTTCATATTTCGTCTTTGTCTACCCGAACATAGCTTAGCTATAGATCCTGGAGTTGCAGTTTCAGTACCATGAATCAGACTCTTACTTAGTTACTCGTTCATACCTGGAATGCGGAAAGACACTGGCATATGGTATCAAATAGGACGATTGCTGCGCCCTACAAATTAAATGAAGAGCAGCAGCATCAGCAAAGGTTGTCGAGAACAAAAATGGGTGGTATTAACTGACCGAAACGCACAAATATTCCCAGTCTGCACAATGGCAAAGGTGTCAGACGAGGGAGATGTGGAACAAAAATGATATTAAAAAAATTCTCCAAGTGCGATGCCGATGAACTTTGCTCTCTTCAGTCTGCTGATGCATGAATTCATCGCGTACGAGCGAGGTACCTAGTGGATGTACACATTCGTCCTGAAAAAAACTGGGCGAGCGCCATGCGGAAGAAATAGGAAACTTGCTTTAGCTGGGAGGTGTCATTTCCTATAGACGATGCAGTTGAGCTCGAGCAGCATCACCTCGGTAATTCCATTGGCAAGATCCGGACGGTGATGCTTTTGGATCCAGGACCCAAGCTTGCTAGCCGAAACCACCAGAAAATATTACGCAGCCGACTGTATAACAGTATTTACCGATAGAATTTGGCGAGTAATTTGTAGTACGAGGTCCAAGACTCCAAAGGTTCACTGAGCCATCGCCTTTCTATTGTGGTCGACCATTGCCCGACATTCATGCATGTGAGGTGGTCGAAACGCGACATATTAAGTTTCTCGCCTGAGGAGAAACAAATAAATCCTTTGGACCGAAAAACCAGGGAGAGTTGCAGAAACTTTGGCTTGAATTAGCGAGCGGAGTTGCGACCACCCTGGCACTAGGGTCCAAAGTTACTTCGATTTCAAGCTTGTGGACCAAACAAAAAGTTGGCGCCCACAATTCACCCACCAACCGCTGCGATCGTCCTTCAAAAAATGAAAACCCGATGGCTCAACTTTAACCACTCAAGCGTAACGCAAGAGGGCCCCTCGTAATCAAATTTCTCGAAATGTTGGTCCTGAAGAACGATGGAATAGGCTTCGATACCCGTTGTCGCACCCATGGATCCCTCGCAAATTGGGGTCGCCTATGATGAACTGTGTCGCCCACGAGGGCATGCAAGACAGCTTGGTCGCACTTCATGTTAGCTTGGTCACAGCTCAGCATCGCCAATTCCTGCATTGGCAAAGGCAAGAACTGGACGACACGACGGTAAAAAATCGCTGTTCTCCCGCCAACAACGGGGCTGGGTATCTTCATGGTTTCTGCATCTTGACACCATTTCTTCTCATGTTGGATCATTCGGTTCGACATTCTTCTCATCTGGATGCACGGAAATTTGTGGGGATTTGAGGCAGCTTACGATGCATATGGGGGGCACTGAGCCGAATTATAGTCACTGGTGAGTGTCTTGTTCACTCCAACCATGCTTTGTTTCTGGGGCATATCACTACTGGAGTGGCAGTGGTGGCCACCTGTCGATGTTGATGGAGGCGGTTGCGCCAGTTGTGATTTTTGAGTGGTCTTGATGCAGCCACAGTGTTCAAATCTTGACTCATACCAATGCTGCTTGAGACATCTTGCGAGCTTGAGAGCACACTGCTGAGTCGCTTTCATGTGTTATGATGGCGGTTGCGAACTTGCCTTGGCTCGTGCACGCGAATTAGCGTGACGCCCCTTTTTGGATCACACCGCTTGTCACATCAATATGTCACGCTATACTCACTGAAGGGAGTAGCTCGGCATTGCGGGTTTTTCTGGTATGTCCAGGGGATGTAATCGCTCAGGGTGGTTGATCAGTGCATTGTTGGAGATATATTGCGTACCATACAATAGAGAGTTCCAGAGTCCACGCACTCGAGCTTCGTGTGTACTGACTCTTTTCCAGGCAGGGACGTGTCTGGCTTGCGCGTCATTCTTATGACGCTCTAAGCAGCACATAAAAAGTCGAACAGGTCGCCGAGTTCGTGATATGTATCATGGAGCTTGAACATACAGGCATCCGACACGTCGAGTGTCATGTATGTTACTTCCTGCAGTGTGGTCCGTAGGTTTGATGGAGCAATCTGGGACCCAATCATGGCAATGCTGTCCCTCCTGCGCCGTCTTGTGTCTTTCGTTTTGCCCCATCGATGGCTTGTTCTGGATTGGGGTCGCCCATGAAGTTGTCAAAGAGAATTGCTTCCGCGGAAGCAAAATATCTCGAGGTTCACAAGTGCCACACTGGGATAGGCGCTCGCCAGGTATTCGGCACTAACTCAGCCCTATCGAGATTGCGAATTTGGGGACATTAGCTCAACCCTGTCGGAACTGCGAATTTGGGGTTCTGAATTCTAATCCCCATTTCTCAATTTATTTATTTTCGCTTTCCTTCCTTCAAGCTCTTGTTGGTATTTAAACCCTGATGCCTTCACGCAGGACACACGACATTCCTTTCCCTTCGTTCTCCCTTGTAATGAGCCAGTCTTCGACGAGCAACATGAGGTTGCCCAGCTACAGGACTTCTCACTTGCTTCGCTTCCACCCTTATCCAAGAGTAAAGCTAAGCCAACGTGAGAGCCTGATGGTGAGCCATGCGAAGCTCATTGGATCGCTATTTTTCACATTTTGTTATGAAGAACACTGTAGATGATCGCCTGAGCGTTCAGTACGACGTTGTTGAAGAAGACGACACTGCTGGACCGGTGGTTATCGACTTCGTACGCATTTGCTTAAATCTTCTTATACCCTGACTTACTCTCAAAATGCAGTCTGACCTCCATGAGGAGCAGCATCCTAATGTCGAGAATCTGCAGGAGGCCGTCAAAGTTGTCGAGGCCGGCGCCAAACCTCGCGTCAGGCGCCTTAGCTTGACCGTTTTGATCATCGTGCGTTTGCTAGCCTTGCTTGACTATGTCCATTCTCTCACACATTACGCCGGCAGGACCTTGCAGTGCTAGTAGCCAGAAAGCTGGCTTTGAAAGCCAGGTAGTTCGCCATAGCAGCACAGACGCCGGTATTCGATACTGAGAAAAACCAGACGGCGGTCTCTAACAAGCTGGTATCAGTCTACTAATTCCGGTCATGGTGTCAGTCGTTTTTCAACTTGTATATCGCCACGCTATCATTGTATCATACTATTGTTGCTCCTTCAGTTATTTCAACGTCCTTTACATTCATCTATCCCTCTAATCATCTCACATATACACGATACATGTGATATATATACTCACCTGAAAACTGTAAACCGGATCGCTCGCTTAACGACCATGACAGCGTCGTGTAGACGACGTTCCACCCCGATGAGCTGTTCATATCTGTGCATTGAGGCACCTCCTCGAAGACGTTACACAGTTCGCCACCATACGCCAACTGAGAATCTTACATGCCACCTGGAATATTTTTCAACCCGATGTATAATTCGTTCAAGTCGTTTGATCTGGGCTCTGAACAGCGTCAATAACCATGTTTGAGAAGAATAGTTTTCTCCGAATGGATCAATCTTAATGTCGTTGACGTTGCTGCATATTTGAGTAGAAGAGATCGGAGTGCTTGAAGAAGTGTTACGGACTGTTGTTCAAAGCGTTTAAAACTTGCATACTGGCACTTTTGCAATCTCACTCGATATTTGCCTGCATGCTATGCTGTACACGTCATCGATGGCAGCCTGTGTTTCCTCTTCCTCTCGAGAACAGTGCTGACCAGTCGAACACCCGGAAGAAGGCAACGGCGTCGACGGAATCAGACGGATATTGAAAGTAAATACCCGTGGATACTTGGGGTGAGTGAGCTATGGTCTGTTTGGTTGATGGATGTGTGCACGAGTGATAGTGAAGCGCCATGCAATACTAGACAAGGGCGCTTAGCGCAGTGGTAGCGCGTATGCTTTGCACGAGCATCCGAATTGTATAAGGTCCAGGGTTCAATCCCCTGAGCGTCCATTTTTTGTTAGAACTCAGACCGGCGTTCACGCGAGCCCCTGACTCGTTTATCCCTGGCATGTTTTGTGGGTGGTGCGAATTCGAAACCAAATGTTTTTCCCTTGTATCACACATTGACATTCGCTCATGGATAATTCTTTGCAGGCTCATCATAAGTGTCCTCACCAAAGTGGTTACCTTCAACAGAATCGAATTCTGTGTCTCTTACTAAGGGCAAGTTCGAAACTTGCTGGCTACAAGGTTTTTTTTCTATTGGAACCTTGACGTGGGTTCATGGATGGTTTCCTGGCAAGGTCATGTCAGCTGGCCTTAGCCAGGTGGTTACCACAACAGAATCAAAATCTGTTCCTCTTGGACTGTGCAGGTTCGAAATCTGCCGAACAACAGTTTCTCTCTCTCTCGCAACGCACCTTGACATTCACTCATGAATGATTTCGCCTGGAGTTCATCTAACTGGTGCTAGCCAAATAGTTACCACAACAGAGTCAAAATCTGTTTCTCTTGGAGTTGGTTCGAAACCTGCTCACAACATTTTTGCGATGTATAGATCCTCGAAGGTCCATCTTAACTAGGCCCAGTCATTGCGCCGAATCCTGCTTTTTATGTGAGTCTGTCCATGAAAAGGAATTATCCTTCACGCCTCGTGAGGGTCGTCTCAGAAATACCCGAGGTGTGTACGTACCAACCTAGATTATCGACAGACTGACCAAAACTGTCGGGATTCACCACCAAACGAAAAATGTTTAGTGGGACCGGAAAATGCACGCAAGCCAAGGACAGAGTGGATCTGGCAGTCATGTAACCTCTCCACCTTTAGCTTTCAAGTCATCCTCGGTCGCATTGGAAGAACCAACGACCGAAGGAGTGTCCATTGACGAGGCCCTTCAAGCTCAAGGCTGGAGGAATTGAAAGTGGCAGACTGAGCCATATCGTCCTGATGTGTGTAGTTTGCGTGCACTCCTGTTCTATGTCGATGCCAAGGCGGAACAAAAGATTATTTGCTTTCGACTCCCGCGGCAAGACTGGGGTATCAGAAAGGGATGTCAACAAAGAGGTCAACACGAAACTCTAGAACACTCCATAGCGAAAAACTTAAGACACCATGCAGTTGTGGCCCACCGAGGCATGCATAACGCAAAAAGGGGCACAGCGATTAAGCATGTCAAGGGAGTGGCACTGGCCGGCAAACTGTGTTTGATTGAAAGCGAATGCAAAGACAAGATAGCATAAGAGTACGCGACAGACGGTAATTCCTGCAACTTGAAGTATAATGAAAACGAAAGAGAATGCAACATAAAGAATACGTGAAATCGTACCAGATGAAGGCAATACAGCAGGAACTACACACCGTTATGAACGAAAAACATCCTCTGCTCGAGTGGCACTTTTGTCTTCACTGCGTGTGTAGCATGGTTGAGTGCCCAGGCCGCCTTCGTATAGTCCATGACACCACCATCCTTCAAATCTTTGAGCATGTTCTTGTAGAGCGCTTCGAAACGTGTTTTGCGGCCACGTCGTCAACCTCCCACAGCGTGCCGATGACGCCCTTGAGCCCCGAAAACTGACCAGCGACGAGGTGAACGACTTCGTCGGGCGTCTCCTTATCGCCAACGGCGGTATGATACACCAACAAGAATGCGAACTCGGCATGCGGAATGTCTCCCTCCATAATATCAAGCAACGTCAGATGTTCATCTCTCATGACAACGAGTGACAGATCGGCATGGTTGTGTCGTACTTGGTAGCGACGCAGATAGGTTTCCTGCAGCTGCATGTAGCTGAGATACATGTCAGGGTGAAGTGAAGACAAAGCCGCTGATGACTCTTGGCACAGAATAATGGCCTCCTCGATATCTTCGTCCGTCCGAGTTTGCGTGAAACGAGAGCAGAGCGCCGAGCTCAAATTTTGAAGATTTATATGGCGCTCTGAATGGTCGTGTCGCCTTATTTGAATGGATTCGCGATACAGATCAATTGCTTCGTTAAGATCACCTGACATGCAACTCTCCCCTGCGGATGCAATGCAAGGACCTCGCGGAAGAGGGAAGTGATAGAGTCAATGCCTTGAAGATCATTGCAAATATACCCTTGAAGACGCGCATGCGCGAGGTTGGTGAGAGCCGTTGGGTGGTCAGAACGGCCGATTGGACACTGATTTAGAACCAACTGAAAATGCTCTACGGCATCATTCAGGTGAGAGACCGTCTTGCCCGTCATGTATTCGGCAAATCGTGCGTGGCCCGCATCTGTGTCTCGAGTAATCTCCCGGTCTACGAGGAACTACAATTGGTGTTCCGTCAGCAAAAGCTAACAGCAGAGACCAGCGTCACTCACATCAGACAGTGCGCCGTCCTGATTGTTGCAAGTATGTACAATAGCGGCATTAAGCGTGAGGGAAGGGTGTACATTACAAACAGGTGGGAAAGAGATATCTACAAGATAGTTAGTAGATGTGCATGAATGAGGAGCAAACGTTCACCCACCGAAAGTTTTATCTCCGTGATCGAGTAGCTCATCTCACGCCGTTTGAATTTTCCCAATGACTTCTCCACTGCCCGGCATCCGACCGACCTCGTAGGATGCCCAGATCTCCACTGATAATGTAGGTGACCTATGTGACGATCTATAAACCGATGATCAGTTTTCGAATGGCGTCCAAAAGTCTCCATGAACTTTACAGCGGTACTCCTGGACTTTTATCACTGTGTCGGACTACTCATTTAGCTACACACTTGCAAGGTGAGATATAGAATCCAGTGTATTTCCTAAGGTAACGGCAGATGTAAACCGCTGAAAATGGCATGCATAGAGAAGCCAAACGATCCTATGGACTCGTCCGATTGAGCGTTGTGGAAACGCCGGAGACGATTTGCGAGAACATCACAAGTCGACATAGCTGAACGGGTCTAGCACAGACTGACTAAGCAAACCTCCGTTAATTAAACCCCCAGATAGGGGGTGCCCTGCAACATGATTCTACTCGACGGAGCCAAAAATTCAATCTGTGCCTCGGAGAGTATTTATCTCTATGCAAGACAACACAGGCTAGTCATAATGAGAATTATGGTCATCGCTTTCTAGATCTCGTTGCACGCCGCTCCTGGCGCCTCGCTCACACTCAATTTAAGAAATTTGCGTATTGTTCCCCCTTGATAAGCCAGTGAAATCCTCATCTAGTACCTGTATGAAATTCTGGCGATAAGATTACCACGCATGGGCGATAAGTAGGATAATTGAGTCTGACAACAGTTGACCGTGGCATTAGAAATAGAAATGCGATGGATGATCGATTCTTACGGCACCTGGAGTCTACTAGATGGGCCTCGTACATTGTTCGCTTAATCGGTACCTACCTGAATCGCAGTTTCGTCTTTTTCATTTTCTTGACAATAGGAAAAATGCCTCGACAACTTCTCCTGTTGATAAACCTATTGGCCATGCATAGGTAAGTATAAGTGAGCGCATGCTTGAGAAGTAAACTAAGGTCCATATGCTACCAAAAATGCGTACATAATAGAAAGTGGATGGTCATGCTGATTGAAAGGTACTGGATTTAAAATGAATGCAGGGCACAGGTGATCGCGGTATAGACGGAGGAGAACCGTCCTTTGGGAGTCGCAGAAATGCAGCATGTTCCTGGAGAAGCCGAATGTGGAAGCATGTGCGGAAATGGAATATGCGAGTGTGTGAAGGTGAATTACTACCAGGCAGCCAGACTACTATACCTGATGCTGAATAGCACACAGGCCAGGGCGATACCACATATCAGTGAGATGCTTCTAAGCCCGGGATTCGAATCTAAGTGTTTCGAATCTAAATATCAATCAGCCATTATAACGAACAGGAACGAAGTGAAGCCCTTACCAGGGGGATGGGATATTAAGGGGAGAGTGAGCTTCATGTTCCGAGGATGTAGCTTTGAATGTGATACAAAGTCGCGGTGCCGGTTAAGCTCTAGGGCGAGCTGGAGCGTGCATAATATCTCATCATCCGAGGGGCGTTCGGAGGGCCTTTCAGAGATAGGAATGATGCAAAGCTCGTCTTCCAGTTTCCATACCCTCGTTTTTGAAGGAGCGACGCAGCATTGAAAGTGTCGCAGGACCTTCAAGACTAAAGCATCAATCTCCTTGGCACCGGCACGCGATGTTGCCATCGCCTCTATGTCACGCGTATAAGGCGAGGGTGAGGTGGTTGACAGATATGTTACGGCAACATGACGCAAGTGGAATATGAAGTAGGGCGGCGGATCAGAGTCAACCATTGAGGAGCGGATTTTGGCATCGACGCATGCATCGGAATTCGACCGATCGCGCGCACGAGCGATCTCTAGCCGCTGGTGCCCTCCAATTTTTGCGCACCAACAACCACCAGTGACCCTTATTTCAGGCCAGTCTGATACGTTTTGACCGTAGACGTGAAAGTTATAGGTTTTGCAACGATCACAAAGGTCACCGAGGGCGCTCTGTAAGCTGTGGTTGAGCGATTGGAGTAGGGAGGCGGAAAGTGTGAGATGCAGATGGGTGAGAATACGAAAGCGGATCTCGAGCGGCAATGAGAGAGGTAGACGCGACATTGCAGTGAATTCTGGAGATACATATGCAAGGACAGCATGTATGAGTGTGAGTCGAGTGACTCGCAAGCAACAGGAAGGGGGCTCCATGGGAGATGAAGTGATGCAAGTGGTAGCGGATGAATATAAATCCAAATCTAGGGGAGCGATATTTATGTTTGCGAGTTGAAATGCGGTGTTCGGTGTGCGGATATAAAGCCTCGAGGAAGGGACATGAGGTGAAGTATTTGAATGGACGGAAAACAAATATCCAACGAAAGGATCATATCTCCTTCTTAGAGATGGGACGTCGTAGAAGCGCGACCCATGCGTCACAAGACAGTACTTACATGCGAAGTTCCCACCCAGACACGGTGTTTTGAAACTAGATCTAGACACATAATGTGCCAGTCAGAGGGAGAGCAAGGAGGAACCCCTCGCGACATCATACTTCGGGCGAAAGGGATTCGAAGACACAGATCAGCAGCTAGCTATAGGTCAAGTGATTGCTTCTCTCTATCAAATTGTCTCTATCATGAAGGCCGGAGGAGACCTGACGACCGCCAACTTGACGGAACCAAAAGACTCAGAAAAGCCTTAAAAGCACTTTTGGGGCGCTTCTCAACCGACTTTTCTAGATTGGCATGACGAGACATCTGGCCAGGAGATTAAAACCAGCTTCCGTTATAACAAGTCGGTTGTCTAGCAAAGTGATGGAAGTTCCTTCAGAGAAAAGATATCCGAGAATAACTTGAACCCCAGCAAGCCGCCGCAGCATTGGGCCGATACATCCCCATTAATAACCCTAACCTCAATCTAGGTTTCGGCCTCCCGAACACAACGGCCAGCGCTTAATAGCACGGTGACTATTCTCATCATCTCACGACACCATCCGTTACAATGATTCTCCTTCGACCGACAGGCAGGGTACCTAGCTTTGGGATCCTGACGCGTCCGATGTCTTCGGTTCATACCTTGCCACTTCACCCGCCATCATCAGCCGAGCAAAGAGCTACCTTCGATGCTCGCGTTCAGGACGTCTCTGCTTTCTTTTCCTCGCCTCGATTTGCTTCTATCACCCGTCCCTATACCGCTCAAGATGTAGCGCTAAAGCAGGGTTCCGCGCCTGTTCTTCCCCTGCCATCCACACTCCTTGCTAACAAGCTATTCGCCTTGTTCACTGAGGCAGCTTCTAAAGGTCAACCTGTGCCTACCATGGGTGCTATTGACCCTGTTCAAATGACCCAAATGGCAAGGCATCAACAAGTTGTATACGTTTCCGGTTGGGCTGCAAGTTCGCTGCTAACTACAGGCAATAATGAAGTTGGTCCTGATTTCGGGTAATGATGTGCCGGATCATGTGCATGTTCGCGCTCTTCTCATCTACATCATATCAGAGATTACCCTTATACAACCGTACCAAACCAGGTTCACCGTCTCTTCCGTGCACAGCAACTTCATGACCGGAAACATTACGATGAACGTATGTCCGCATTGCTAGAAAGGCGTGCAGAGATTTCATACATCGACTATTTACGACCAATTATCGCGGACGGTGATACCGGGTAAAGACTGTACCTTACTTAGTCTTCATATATAGCTCACAATATCTTAGCCATGGAGGGACCTCTGCCGTCATGAAACTCACCAAACTCTTTGCCGAGTCAGGTGCCTCAGCCATACATTTCGAGGACCAGCTCCACGGCGGAAAGAAATGCGGACATCTTGCAGGGAAGGTTATTGTTCCCCCAAGCACACATGTCTCGCGGCTTGTTGCGGCTCGTTTCCAACTCGACATGCTTCTATCTCCGATGTTGCTCATTGGACGCACTGATGCTGAAAGTGGCAAGCTCCTTTCTACTAGCATTGATCCTGTTGATCACCCGTAAGTCCTAATTTTAGAACTTGGTATCAGTCTGAAATACGTCACCTTAGATATATCCTCGGTACTACGACGCAAGGAAAACCCCTCAGTGAAGCTCTTGCGCGGGCCACAAGTAGTGCGGATGCAGCCAGAATTGAGAAGGAATGGGATTCATTGAACGAGTTGATTACTTTTGATCAAGGCACGTATTGCTTGGCGTCTTCTGTTCTCCACATTGAGCATGTGGCATAGCCGTCGAACGAGCGTTATTGTCTAGCAGTAGCTCGAACCCACGCGGCGTGTTCGAACAGTACAGGAAGGCAGTAGCCGGTAAATCAAACTTCGAAGCACGTCAGATTGCTCGGGAGGCTATTGGCCAGGATATCAATTGGAACTGGGACCGTGAGTACAGCTGCCAACGCCTCAAGGTCTTCACTCATTTTTTACAGTCCCCCGTACACCCGAAGGCTTCTATCGAACTACTGGTGGCCTTCAGGCAGCCATTGACCGTGCCCTTGTGTATGCACCATACGCAGACCTGCTGTGGCTGGAAACCGGCAAGCCAGACTTAGCGGAGGCCAGAACCTTTGCGAGAAAGATCCGGGAGAAATACCCTGGCAAATGGTTTGTATACAATCTGAGCCCTAGTTTCAATTGGTCGCAGGCAGGGTTTAGCGGTACGTCACTCCCCAATAATAGTTTCTTTGTCCGAGAGCACGAACGGCTTGAGCAGATGCAGATCTCAAGAACTTTATATGGGAACTCGGAAAGGAAGGGTGCGATATATAGCATTTTATTTCAAATGCGACTGCCTCATTGATGACCCTAGATTTGTCTTGCAACTAATTTCCCTTGCTGGGCTACATAGTAATGCTGCTGCTACTGGTGCGTTTCCTCTTGAATGCTGGCACTCTGCCGCTTACTGGATGTCCACCCAGCCGAGCTCGCTGCACGGTTCAAGGATGACGGTATGCTTGCTTATGTAGAACTTGTACAACGCAAGGAGAAGGAAATTGGCTGCGATGTTCTCACCCATCAGAAGTGGTTTGTGTTCTTTTCCAAATTCTGCTCCCGATGTGTTGTCAATGTTTATGATACAGGAGCGGTGCCAACTACCTTGATTCGATAATCCAGACCGTATCTGCGGGATCATCAAGCACGTCTGCTATTGGGAAGGACTCGACGGAACATAATTTTTGATCCTTGATGGTAGAGTATGGGCATACCTGTAACTTATGTCTAGTTTCAGTCGTATATATGCTGTTTGTGGATGACAGGATGACTATAAACGGTTTCTGGCTTAATGCTTTCGGGTGTTCATTTGGTTGCGGCTCATCGATGTATCGATAACGATTGTTATGAGTCGCTCAAGAGGGCTGGCTAGCGAACATCATAATCTATTCCGGTATTGCGTCAATTCGGCACAAAATCGTAGAACATAACCGTCTATGCCATCAGAGGCGACAGTACCAAAGTTGACTCTGCATTTGTAGACAAACAGTCGATGTTTCACTGTAAGCACGCTAGCTTACCCGAGTTCACATAATCAGGCTGATACTGCAAGGTAAGCTTCCAGTATCCTGCCTTTCGGTGTAACAGTCATGCGGATGGGAGTTGATCTCCTTACACTCGCCTTGATTCAGCTTAGCTGCTCTGTACATACCTCGCTTCACCCTGAATGGCCTGTTCGCACCCGACCAACTACCCAAGTCGGAGGATCTGATAATAGGATAGCCGCTACCACAAGCTTGGTATAGAAACAATTGTCTAAGATGGATCTTTGAGTCGGTCCCTGCACACGTCCAAAAATACCCTCGGGAGTCCATCACCTTCCAAACCTACTCTCCATGCCATGTGGGTCTTAAGAAGTCGGGCAGTATCATCAGTCCGCGATCAGTCATCTTTAATTGTGAGTCTTGCCAGCAGACAGCCTAAGGATATATACTAACTGGACTTGCGAAAGAAGTTGCCAAACGCAGAGATGCCTCTACTTGTGGCACTTGCGTAGCCCCATACCAGCCCCGAACAATAAAGGGTGATCTTCTATTACATGCCAATATCGTTCATGCTTGAAGAGATCACGCGAGATGCAAGCCGGTGATGTCTTGGGCCTTGGCCGCGACGTGATACCACTCCGATGAATGTTCCGGACAAAAACTGATGTAACACGCTTGAAAGATACTGCGCAGTGCGAATCGATACTACTGACCTGAATTTACACAGCCCAATGTCGACCTTTACAAAGAACCACGTAAAAGGGCACTCGGGCATGAAACGTCGAAGGACATCAAGAAGCGGCCTCGGACCCTGCAGCTGCTCTTATGCAATGAGAGACCATCAGAACCGTAATGCACAGCCAAGTGCCAATGCCGTCTCCTCTGAGTCGCGGGTTGTACATATTTGCCTGAGCATATCTTGCAACGATGATCCTGTTGGAGCTGTGATGGAGAACAACGCCCCTGATATGGTGTACCTATCCAGTGCCACCCCAGATATCGTTGATGTCATGCTAATTGATTTGATGGTTACCACAAGGACATTTATGAGAAAGATGTGCTCACGCAGGCAAGTGATGTTAGGCTGCTGCGACTGAGTCAAGAAGTACTGCCGTCCGCTTAACTGTTACGCCAGAATACTGAAAGCTTGTGTTTCAGTATCTCGGACAGTATTTATGTAGTTGCAGCATTCAAGTTTCCAGATGGTCAGGCTGCCAGCAGATTATGGGAAACATTGAATAGAGCATGGCCAGTCAACACAAAGTCATTATGTGACCGTTGCTCTACTAATCTATAAAGGCGTCGGGCTTTCAGCTACTACGAGCATAATGGATCAATCGATCTCGTGGATGCCTGCATGGCATTCGTGATCATGTCAACATATGGTTCTTGCTTTTATGCATTATTCAGCATGTATCTATGTCAGACTGTCGAGTTCGTGATTTCGCCCAAGTGAATCCAGTTGTATGCAATGAAAGCAATAATAAGATATGGTAATGAAGCAAAGCGACGATATGTAATGTAAAGATGTGACGTTGACGGGAAAGCAAAAAGCAAGAGGAATGACGCAACGGCTGCAGCTGCGAGACCCAAGGCAAACCCTACCTTCCAAGAACGAAGGTTAATCTTGGTCAAGCGTTTGGTAGGGATAAGACAAGTTCGGGTATAGTCGGGGCGAGGCGGATACTAGCTCATATTGTGCTGATTCAAAGCTGCCATCTACTTTGGAATGGCGAGAAGCAGACTGCAGAGAGCGAGCAGGGGATACAGAACCTGGAGGAGGTAGAGGTGAAGACGTCTGCGAGTGCGTCCTGGATGGAAGGGCAACGTCTTGAAATGATGTCGAAAGATTTGATGAGGCTCCCATTTTAGATCGTCCAACAGACCTTCTTCGCTCAAAAATGCCACTGCCTGTTCGGGCGTGATTTGAAGGCAGATATTGTTCAGCAAGTTTCGGAGTTGGAGGTACTCCAGCATCCAAGACGCTCGGCCTCCGAGGCTTTATGGTCTCGTTAGACACAGGTCTTTCAGTATCTCGTCTTGGTTCCGAAGGAGCACTAGAAGAGGCTGTGGAACCTGATACTGATTTCCAGGTCTTGAGAATCGATTTACGAACACTCGTCTTCTCTGACGAAGGAGTTGTTGGAGACGATGGTCGTGTGGGTGTTCGTGGCATAGTCGTCCCAGGCATAGGAGGCAATCCTCTTTGCGGCGGCCCAAGTTGATCATGAAACGATGGAGTAGGCGGTGCAGATCCCTGGAACGAAGTTTGTCCGGCATTTGGTGTCGGAGGTTGCTGAGCCGACACCGATGCAGACTTGCTTCTCCGCCAAAGTTTCTTGAAGGTCTTGACGCTGACGAGAAGAGTAGAGGTTTTTGCAGCCGCAGCATCCATCGAAAAACTTGCTGAGTCAGCAGAGAATCGGCTGGAGGGTGTTGTGGAAGCAACAGAACCCTCATCCACGGATGACAAAGATGGTCTGGATTCAATAGGAATACTGGTGAATTGCCCAGTTGCAGGATCCCAATACGTCGGGGCGGGGTGTGCCTCTGACTCGAGATAAGAGGGGTACCGCCCAAAAGGATCGGGAGACAACGGTATGGGGGAGTCGGTCGCCATATCCGATAGCCTTCCAAAGGAAGGGGGCAAGGGTGGTGGGTACATAGATGGCTCCAAATCTCGTTTGCGAATCTTGGTCTCTGCGGAGAGAGCATTGGGTGATGAGGACCGCGAGGGTGGAGCGAACGATTTTGGGGCACCTGTCGACACACCGTTGACAGCAAGCTGAGGTGGTGACGGAGTAAGATTTAGAGGCCGATGTGACTGGGAGCTTGGAGATTGCGATGATTTATTAGCGATAGATGAGTAGGAGACAGCAGGCCACGATTTGTCACTTGTATCGGCACGATCGATGGAGTTCCTAGGGCTCTTTTCAGCCGAAAAACTATTGACAGCTGTAATTGAACTCACCCTGTCGCCCGAATGTCGCGTGTACGATCAATTGATAATTTCGAAGTTCCTCCTGTATGGAGTGCGAGGAGTGACTTCGTTCGGGCATGAGTTATCGTAATATCTTGGTCCAAGTCATCTATCTTGATATGTCTCGGAGAAAACTGTGCCAAAGTCTAGTTTCCTAGATGTCAGAATCACGAGATGAGCACATGTGTTACTTGCATACCCGTTCAATCTCGTCAAGTTTGGCTCTCATGAGATATTGGCTTCTGCGTTGATCATTTGGATCATTCTCGTCGTACTACAAATAGAGTTAAGTGGCAAAGCATAGGGACTGACAGCGAAAACGCACCTCTTCGTCTTCATCCCCCAGATCTAAGCCAAGATTAAGGTCCTCGAAAACCGCACCGCCGCGCTTTTCTTCAGGACTCCGTGATCGCATATATTCTTGGTCCATATCCAGGGAGAGTCCATCATCGTCACCTATCTCATCCGCGACCGGCGTCCCTCTCGAACTTGAATGCGCATAAGGCAGACTCGTACTGTCGCCTCCACTGGAAGATGACAACATTGGGCTCGGTCCAGTATGCAGAAGGAGGTCATTTCTTGTGTCGTCGGGAGCAAGGACTAAAGGTGGGGGAGGTGACTTCTTAGAACCTCCTACGGGGGGTGATGACAGTTGCTGCGAGTTGGGTGAAGATGGTATTGATAAGGTCAACGTGGGCTTTGACATCCGGCGCATGATATCCCAAACCTCTTCCGCATCATCCACCTCATCTCCCGCTTGTTCCTGTTCAGGCATTGCAGTAATTGAGGACACATCCAACGCAAGTTCGACTACATTTGGATTGATCTCAGGCTGGTTGCCCTGCGATTCGGCGCGCATCTCAGCCCAGGTATCTGCATCAGTGCCGAAGACGTCCACCAAAGGATCGTGATGACAGATGTCAGTCTCGTGTGTTGCCATGTCCTCGTCAACTTCGTCGCCTGTGGGATCTGACAGGGGAGTATACCCGTCAGTGCCGCCTCCCTCCCTTGTTGTGTCTTCTTCAATTGCTTCATCCGTGGAATCTGACAGGGGAGCATACCCGCCAGTGCCGCCCTCCTCTCTTGAAGACAGTGACGCAGTAAAGCTAGGCACAGAACTTGCATTCTGCATCCTCTCCACTAGTCTTAGATCGAACGGCACACGCTTCCCATCTCCATCTCCCCCTGCACGTGGTTGAGAATGCGCTCGATTACTTTGACGACTCTCGGCACGTTTAGCATGGGTCATTAGACGGCCACGCAACCATGGCTCGTACCACGCTGCTTTCCGTCGATCAATATCGAACTCCACTTTCGCAAGTATAGGTATTATAGAGGGTGAATTAAGACCTGGGAGGTCAACTCCAAGTATTTCATTATCAGAAGAACGGGAGGTATCAGGGGTATCTGGTTCCGAGTGTGTCAGTGATGAGGATGATAGAGGGGCAGATTTAGAGTGAGACCGAAGATCGGATACTGAAGACGTGGTAGACGAAGGAGTAATTGGGTATGTGATAGGTTGCGGTTGCGGCGTTTCTGTCCGCATAGGGGTGACCAAAGGGCGCAAGTTGGACTGGCCCGGTGGGTCTGGTCCTAGACCCAGACCGAAAGGACTAGGGCGTGGTCCCCGCGAAAGTGCGAGAGATTCTTCACGCTCAGCTTTCAGAACTCGACCCCAGATACGTTTCCAGATTTCTTCGGATATGCGCGGACCTGGTTCCTCTGCGTCCTCGTTTCCTGAAATAGGGGTCGCGTATGGCATTGGACTATTCTGGCGACTCTGTGGGGAAGTTGTAATAAGGTAAAGGACGAGGCCGATTGTGCTAGGTAATGCATATTCTTTGGCAATTGCATTAAGTTGCGCATGCAGCGAGGGCTGTAGAGAGACAAGGGTGCCGCGTCGGAATTGCGTGTGATATCCTGATGCATTAGGAGGAGGCGCAGGCTCCAATGGGTCAGTCGCATCGAAGTCGTGAAGGAGGTGAAGAGGTGGTATGACATGGAGCAGGAACTTGGACTGAGATGAAGACGCAAATGATCCAACATTATAAGTAGATGGATTAGACGGCGTCGTCACGCGCCAGGGAAGATCAGCATGACTTATGGTGGGAGATGCACCAGGAAAGGAAGCAGACAAGTATGGAGATGAAGAATTAGGTCCTGCGGGAGAAGGCATAGAGACTCCCAGGGCATTGGCTATCTTCGCAAGACGATGCGGGGGCAAAGGTGCACGAGGCGGAGCCCATTGCCCCGGCTGAAGACTATGTGGGTTTCCAGAGACATGAGAATATTCTGCCGACACGACTTTTGACATGACACGGAGTGATGTCAACTGATTAGACTTTCTGGTAGCTCAGTACAAGGCAAGCAGAGTAAAATAGTTCTTGGGTGTCACACTGAGCAGTGTTAGAATCAGCAACGTTAACCTAGGTGATCGTGTTCTGAACCCATCATCATACACAGGGTCAGTAAGGCCGTCTTGGAGTTCAGAAATATATGAACGAACATTGGAGCAACTATTCCGGGAACATTCATAAAATAACAGTCCTTTGTTGTCGCCAGCGTTGCCTTGCTCCAGAACAAGGTCAGTCGTACCTTGGTCAATGGTCGTACCTTAGGCCTTAAGACAACCTTAGACTCGGAGGGCACACTACATGGGGCATGCTTAAACCTTTGCTTCAAACTTTCCATTGACAACTGTGAGAAATAATTTCCATTTCTAGATCTTTTGTATCAAGCCTTGTGAAGTTAACTAACTAGTAGGAGTCGCGGCCGTGCTTGACGCCGAGTTCGACGTGAACTGCACTCTAACAATAATATATCCGGGCCAAATACGGGTGCAGATTATCCCAGGTCCGTGTATCAGCACCGACCGGCAACTATTAAGTTTGTGAGTATTCGTTTAATTGAGACTGACTTGGTAACATTTGGACAGGACAGCACGCGCCTACAACTTACTCAATCGCGATGTCACAAGGCAATATTTAACTGGTGATGCCAGTGCACCAGTAAAAGCCACTTCAAATATTTGGAGGCAGAAGTTGTACATGGCAGCCGTGATTTATCATACCATCTCTACTGGATTGTGACCAATGAGAATGACCAGTATGGCTCCCAGAACAATCCACGTCCGCAGCCATTCGTGTGCCTATGTCGCGTACACCCACACCCATAGGGCGAAGAAACTACATGCAGAAGTCAGATAGATTGATGAGGCTACTTCTATGCAGTGCTTGTCTTCCTCCGCCGCAGCCGCCGCCGCATCGCCATCCCCTAACATCAGGGTCATCCTTGTCCCTAACCAGCCGCTCACATGGATCATTTGACTGCTGTTCTGGAAAGGAGACGGCCGTTCTCCCGTGGACTAGACAGATAGTGATTTTAATTTCTTCTGTGCTGACGCTTTCAGGGGTACGCTCAGTCGGAACAGCGGCGAAGCGCACATTAACTTAGCTTTGCTACGCCGGACCAAGAGTGCGCCTGAGGTACGATCTTAATCTTGGTTTAGTAGTAGGCCATATTCTTGTCGATTGGACGCATAAATCTGCATACGCAAGAAAATCCCCATCCAATTCCAAAAGCACTTTGCTCGGGCGAGGCAGGTGCGGACAGTGCCGCGATAGATGTCCAGCAAATTATCTGTTGTGGTGGTCGAATTTGCAAACATTTTTTTCGAATCTGGACGCTATCGACAGATGCGTGACTCTATCTGTTGCTGGACCCGACAAACGGACACTCGAGAACCCCGCAATTCTACTACGAAGTCTGACAATTTCCATCGCGGAACAGACGCAGGGTTGTGGAGGCAACTCGCAATTCTTCAGATACGATGGCATATTACTCCTAACAAGACAGTGATTTCCCATGGCTATCCTTCAGATACGGGAGAATAGCCGTCCATTTGCAATCCCTTACTCCCGACACGATGGTAAGTGTGTGCAACAAACCTTGAGCTAGAAAACACTTGACCAACTTCAGGACCACCTACTAGAGTCACAATCAAGTTGTATATCTCGACTTCTAGTGTGTAGATATCTCCAATCAAATTTGAAGTTTTTTGACATTCGACATCATTCCAACGAGTCGTGCAATCTGGAAGGTTGGTGACTCCCCGTTGACGCTCAAGAACCACCAGAACCCTGATGTGTTTAGCAGGTGACCTAGTCCATGAACGAGTAACTCCATATAACCGGAAATGAAGGGGTGTTGAAATATCGGCGGAAGTTGCTGTCTATCAATTCATTATCAACTTTCCATCGATAGGAACGACCGGAGGGTCGGCAGCCGTTCCATTACAATCTACTCATCCAGAATTTTTTTTAATTCAAAATTCGTGCTTTAACATTGTAGAAGTTCACTGTGGACTCAGCTGATGTGCCATCGTGGTTGGGTGCAGCATGTTCGTCTTTTTAGATCCAGCCAGTGATAGAATATACATGCACACGGTAGCCTCGAGGCATGGTAAAAATACATAACGGTGCCGACGGCTTGGATTGGGCCGAGTGGTGTTTGGGTGAACTCTAGGTACAATAGGGAGCAGGACGTTTGGTTGATGAGAGGACTTGGATGATTTTTCTTCTTCTGTAAAGCTGCCATTGTTCCTCATGGTGTGCAAATAAAGGGCAAACAGGAGGACTGATGGATATGATAGAATAGGCGCCCGAATTATTATGAACGGTTTGGTTCCGTAGCTTGTTAGCGAAGGAGATCGCTTTCTGGAGACTTTGGGGGTGACCGGTGACCATTGTTACTTGATTCTTAGCTTCCTCCTTTTCTTCTTAAATTTGCTTTTTTACCTTTTAGTTCACGATAAACTTGTGCGCTACAAGTTTTCATTTTGTACCACGACCCATCTACGATTTTTTTCACAGCAGTCCAATGGATCAGCACCAGCACCAGCACCAACACCAGCAGCACATAACCGATGATCACAACCAAAATCTCGGACATGCAAGTCCTTATGGATTCTATCCAGCCGAGCAAGAATCATCTTACAGCCTCGCGTACAACCACCACGCGATGCAGCACCAGCAGTCTTTTCCTGTCGTGCAGCATCCTAACCCTCATCATCCTCGTGGGTACTTTTTTATCCTCGAGGCCAAAACTCACCTTAAACACATGTTGATCTGATAATGTGCTCATGTTCTTGATTCTTTGTAGGCCATCTATCTGCGCCAGACTTGCATCAGGGCCTGCAGTTCCATAATCTTAGCCTCATGCCCACGCATCAAACGCATCAATATCCGCCACCCGTGTATACCTCATCGCCACAACATGTGTCAATGAATCTGCCTGCTGGCTCACCCCCTCCGCCCTCACCTCACATGTATGATCCTTTGTCCCCACCCATTTCAGGATCTGACACATCAGCGGACGGCCTTTACCACCACCATTCGAGAAACAGCAGCGGGACAGGCTCCCCATCGTCATCCCGTGGACCTAGTTTAGTTCATCGCCAATCTCTTCGCTACAACCCCACCCCTTCCCCTACCACTAGCTCTTCTGGGCGTCGTGGCCGTGCTCGTTCCTTAAACGACTCAGACGACGAAGACAACATGGGCGCTACATACGTAGAGAACTTGGCTCACACCAGAAAGGAGGCAACACGCAGACAGCGCATCGAGGCTGAACAAAGGCGTAGAGACGAACTACGCGATGGCTATGCCAAATTGAAGGATGTCTTACCAGTTTCTAACCAGAAGAGTAGCAAGGTGTCGCTACTCGAGCGAGGTAAGGCGATCAATGATAATCTTCTCCACCAGATGGTTGACGTTGTGGCGTTTAGCTACCAATCACATCATCTTTCTGGACAAACAGACACAGGAGATGCAGGCTCGTCTCATGGTGCTAGAGCAGGAGGTACAACGCCTTCGTGCCGTCAATGAGAAAATCTCGCTTGGGACTAGCAGCTCCCCTTCGCCGGGAAATATTCATGGCGTCGACACCCGACCGTTGTCGCCTCCCCCTGAGCCTGGGATGCAAAGCCATTCACTTGCTCATGTTCAAGGCCAAGAGCCCCCGCGAGAGGATTCGCGCAGTCCTGCCTCGGATTACTGAGGTGCTGTGGCCCGCGCCATTATCAACGGACGCTGCTGCCATCCATTTTCATCATTTCCACATCTTGTTTCACTGCACATCATGTATTTCTTATTCGTGTTTTGCGGCTCAGCGGTGGGAGAAGTCGAGAGGTATCTAGCTTTGGACGAGGCAGGTCGAGGAGTAGGCGCTGGGGACGTGTTCGGCGCTATGCGCAGTCCTATCGTCAATCCGCCTTCCTTCGACCTCTCATACAACTTGATGTTGCAGGATCAACACGAATTCTCGCCCCTCTTGATCCGAGGAAGCACTTGATCACTCCAATCGTGCTTCGTCTCGCTGATCGATAGGCGCTTGAGACTGTGTCTCCACCTCATCAACTCGCGAATGCTCCAGTCCCCAGTGGACTATCGTTTCCTCAAAGCTTAATCCCCTAACCGCCAAGTATTCGGGCCACTCATCCCATTCTATCACTAACATGTATTGCACTCTTCTCACGACTGCATCTAACCATATATTCATTCCCCACCCATCACTCATACGTAACGCGTCTACACACCTGCCCGCCATTACATACCATAGGTGCGGCTTGCTACGACCGCAAGATACGAAATTCACACGACTGAACGAACTCATTCTTGACGAATACTGCACGAACTCACTCGACGGGAACCGACGGAAAGGGCGCACCAAAATTATATGACCCGCTCGCCGAAGCACTTTTCGACCCGATGGTCGACTGTCTCTTCGGTTGATGTGAACGGATTTAATCTAGGGCTTTCTTGATGAAAGCGCGGGTGCCCTCTCTAGGAGAGGGCTGGAGCGAAAAGGTGCCTACCGAAGGAAGTTGTAGAACAGCCCCCGAAGATATGATCTATCATCTGTAGTCAGTACAGTAGTTTGTTCACCGCCTCGCGCTTTTCTGTTTTTCTATATCATTCTATCATCCTCATTCTTGTACGAGGGCTGGTCCAGACCTTGACCAAGGGCAAACTAAGTAGCGTGTACGATCGACCGATCTGAGACTTGATCGTTCGATGGACACCCAGACAATCATGCATATTGGTTGGGATACCGGTAGCGGAGCGCCTTGCTCACGTCCCAAATAACCCTCGGATTTTTGACAGCTCCACGTCAAGGACACATAATTATAATGTGGCGGGAAATAAGCAAAATGCCCTCTAACTTCGCGTAACTCTAGTAACACACGATTGGCTCCACAGGAAGAAGATCCCCGGAAGCCGGGGCTCTAACACCACTGTCAAATAGACTCTGGAG